GCTCCCTGGAAGCAGCCCCACATCGAAACACCCAGGCAGCCACCAGCTGTTGTCTTCTTGATGCAATCATCGTGATACTTCTCTGCAGCAGTGCGGAAAACCCAGTCCCGGCCCTTCTTTTCTCGTTGGACAATTGTTTCATCTGACCAAATGACCATGCCCCATTGAATGATTGACCAATCTCGATGTTCCAATGCAAACTGAAGGCGTCTTTCTTTATGATGTGGCTTGAGATCAGGCTTGGGCGTCTCTCTGTGCTTTCCTACTCCATATTCTCTCAACACACGGCGTGCAGTGGGTCTTGTAATGTCGAGGTTGCTGTTGTTGATTGTTTGCTGCAATGGCACCCTCCTGTTCTGCAATGCCTCATTGTGCAGTCTTTCTTTTTCGTCAGCAGATAGCTTGGATGGTCGGCCAGTCGGTTTGTGGTTCTCTGTGCTACCACGGGCTCTGAAGCGTTTTAGCATTGTCTTGACGGTGTTGTGAGAGAGAGAAAGCCTCTCAGAAATAATTTTGGAAGGCACTCCTTCTTCATAGAGAAAGAGGACCCTCTCCTTTTGCGCAGTGCTCCAGTGTTTGGGCATTGTGGTTTGGATGTAGGAGAAGAGATTCAACCGTGCTTTTGCCACACAAAGAGTATCATCCTGAGTAGCTACACAGCTTTTTGTCGAAGCTGGCTGACGACATCGGGGCAAAAAAACGCGACGAGGGTCTTACTTTATTTTCCATAGCTGTATATGCGCTGTGTCCACAAGCATGACCGACGGAATATGCAATTAGCAGATCCTGACCCGAAGCCCTCGTCTTCATCAGACTACTGCCGCATGAGAGGACTGGGGCATGCAAAGAAAGACTCCAAGGCCGCGCGCAAGTCACAGATGCAAAATGTGACATGCAATGCCGAGAAAGGGAACCCTCGGAAGAGAATCTCGGCGTGCAAATGGAAACAGGCGCGGGTTTAAGAGAAGGCCGACACCAGCGTGGGAAACTCAAACTATGGCCCACACTGGCGTGTCGAAAGACCCTGAGCCTAGCGTCGATTTGTCAACACTGTTTACAACTGCAATGGGGCCGAAGCGAGTAAATGCGGTGGACACTCCGAAGCGCGATGCATTTCGGACCCCCGAGAAGTTGCCATCTCCCGACAGCCGATAAATGAAAAGAGATACTACCGGACGGAAGCACGCTTGCTGACATACGCTCGCCTCGAGCATGAACAACCACACACCCGGCCAGAACTGGCGGCAGGTGTGTCGTCCTCAGCCAGTGGTGGCAAGAGTCATCTGCGACATCACCTCGTCTGTCGATGAAACCACCGGTATGTTCGGATCGGGTCATTGATATGCTACGGGCTGGCTTAGTCTACAGTATCCCGAAAGCGGCAGCGGTAGCGGCGCATGCGAGCAAGACTAGATGGTATAACGCTCCTCTGCTGGCTAGCACGCCGTTTGAAGTGGCCTTTGCCTCCGTCGTTGCAGTATATTCAGGCGTGCAATCTTTCAGAAAAGAACGCACGGTGATGTTGCCATAGTTTGGGTAGGGCCCCACTTCACTACCATTGGCGCGGTAGACGTGTCCCTGACAAGGGCGTCAGCTGCAGAAGCGAGCCGAGAAGCCGAAACGGCACATACCACGACAGCGAATTGGCCCGGGAGGACGAACCCCTCGTCGGTGTTGTCCTTGCTGAGGACCCAGGGATGGAAGACAAGCTCGCTCTTGGTGTCTCCGGGATACATGGGAAAGTAGAGGGCGACCCCCGTTCCATCTGGGCCGAGCCCATCTGTGCGCTGTGTCATCTGTGAGGCGTTGTAAGTGCGATCGACGAAGAGCTTGTCACCAGGGATAAAGGCACCTGATTGCACTCATTAGCCTTTACTTGCGGCTGGACTATCAGACATCAGTGGATACCTTGGCTGCCATAGCGTGTCTGACCGAGAAAAAGGCGGTATGTGTTCTCAGGGTCCACGTTTTTCTGTTCAATGTTGAGAGTAAACGAGTACCGGGACCTGTCGCAGGAGATCAGGCCCTCTCCGTTGCTCGGATCTCCATTGTAGGTGTTACCAGAGTTGCCATCTCCATCGACGACGTTCGCCGTCGGAAGGCCTTGCTTGTCCCACGATACATTGACGGGAATCACCTGCTGGCGCCGCTCAAGAGTATGGGCTTCAAGCGGAAAGGGTCTTGCCGAGCTGGCCAGTGCGGCAAGTGCAACGAGTAGTGAAGGGAGCATCGTTGTCGTTGGGAGGCAAGCGAATGACTACATTTGACGAGCAGGTAACTCGAGGAAACGACGACCGCATGGTCAGACATACATGGTTTAAAAGGACGCCGTAACTTATGTGTATTGCTTACAGCCAGCCCTATATTACAGATTCAATTGTCACATGGTTCTTTTCTATAAGCGTCCGAAGTGGCTCATCGAGCGCGGCGCGACGAAGTCAACGTGCGAGAAGTAGATTCAGATTGACTCAAACTGTGTCCGACGTAGCCTGCGTGATTTAGCTTACCCACTGCTACTACTACATTACTACTACTACTACGTGCGAAGCGCTGGAATAAAGCGAGAAGAGCAAATGCAAAGAGCGTGGTCCCCTCTGTGGAATAGTTGGCCGTCTCAAGAAGACTGACTGATAGTCGACAAAGGCATCTGCCGGGGATTTAATGTGCAAGGCAGACGGCGATCACAGCTTGCTATTGACAAAGCGGAGCGCAGCCTGCCCGTACTCCTTGCCGTAGCCCTGGTGGACAGAGGCATCATTTCCGTTGGAGCAGTAAGGGTCCGCCGCATCGCAGTACGACTGGATGATGCTCGAGTAGGAGCAGACGAAGCCAGAGGGCCGTGGATCAAACTGTGGACCGGTGTTCAGTCTCACGCATGGAAGGAAATTGTGCGAAACTCACACCCGCAGCGGTAGAGGTGCCGACGTTGTAGGGCGCGCCGGGCGTGTGGCGCGGGTCGCCCATCCAGATCATGGCCTTGACTTTGGCACCCACACTGCTGGGAATCGCAGGTGCGGTGCTGGAGATGCCCTGGTTGGGATCGCCTCCGCCGCACATGGCATCGTCCATGATTTGAGAGCCCTGTACCCCACGACAGGGCAAGTGAGCACAGAGCGATGCGATAGAAAAGACAAGACAACGCACCTGCGAGTAGCCGACGAGGACGAGCTTGGCGTTGGGGCACTGCGACGCATACGACTGCACCTGGCTAGCAACGGCTTTTACGCCTGCTTGCACCGAGGCCCCGTAGCTGTCTCCACCCGCGGCAGGGTAGTTGATGGCCTCAGCAGTCGCACCAGGGTGCGCGTTGAGGATGAGGTTCACCACCGTCCCGGCGGACCCGTAGCCAGCGGGTGCGGTCGTCTCGCGCGCACCAAAGACGTGCACATCGGGACAAGCAGCCCGAGGCGCGGGTGCAGCAAGGGCGCTTCCACAAAGGTCCAGGAGAGCCAGGGTGCTCTTCATCGTTGGACAGTGGATGTCTCAAGCCTCACAAAGGTAGCCTTCTTATAGGAGACCATTCTCACTGGACCCCTAGCCTCACTCCGATGCGCGCCCACCACACCTCCCATGCTCGGCCCCCACTCCGAAGACATTTGGGCGCAACCCTGGACCTTTCCCCCGCTCTGAGGCCATGGCGTGGAAGCAGCAGGGAAAGTATGTCCGATCAGCTAAGCACTAGGCAAGGCTGCTTACCCCGCTCTGAGAAGCACTTCGCGTTCTAGAAGCCCCTAACCCTCTCCCACGGGGGCCTGTTGACCAAACTTTACGCGTCCATCCAATCAGCAGGAGGCAGACAAGCCTAGTTCCTGACACACGCTCGACACTCAATCAGCAAGCGCGTAGTGCAATAGCGTTGCTCCACCGGGCCGGTCAAAGGGACACAAAGATGTCGCATTAGCCTGCTTAGACACGAGCGAGTACATGGCGAGGCCTGGGCTGCAGTCTGAGCTCGCCCTCAAGCAACGATGGCTGCCCTCTGAGGTGCCACGTGCTCACCCACCGCGGCTGCACTTTGGGGTACTGTGGGGTGCGCAGCGGGGGGAGCATCGAGGACCGAGCGGGTCGAGCTGGCCTGGGCGGCCGCTTCGGCATTGGCCAGCGCATTGCGGGCCAGCGCCTGCTGGATGAACTCGGCGCCCGTCTGAGGTGCGGTCAGTACAAGTGCGAAATCGCTCTGACAAGGAGCACACTCACGATGGGTGGGTACTTCTTGTGGGGCCCCTGGATGACAATGTCGGAGCGGGCCTGGTTGAAAAAGGCAATCGAGTAGCGCGGCCCCTGCGCCCACGCCTGGTGCTGCTTGGGTATGCCGACGCGGTGGTAAGTCGACTTGAGCCTGTCGTCCGACCACCGCATGAGCTGGTCGCCAATGTTGCACACGATGCGATCGCTGCGGGCCTCGACAGGTGTCCAGGAGTTGCCCATGCCATAGTCGCCCACGACCTTGCGACCGGGGCAGACCTCCAGACCGCCTTCGCCGTCGCGCTGGAAGAGCATGGTGAGCACGTCAAAGTCGGCATGCGCGCCGGCTCGCCAGAAGTTGGGACCGAACTCCTTGCCCTTGGTGTCGTGGTAGTGCAGTAGGCGCAGTGTGCTCTGCGAGTCGCCCTTGCCCGTCTCGACGGTGCCCTCGGTGAAAGTGTCCAGGGGCAGCCCGAGCCCCTCGGCGAAGCACTCCATCACCCTGACCGACAGTCTAAGGGGGCCACGAGCGTCAGCCTCATGCGTCATCGGCAAAGTCAAGGTACAACTCACTGCTGCACGATGGCCATAAACTTCTCCATCTGCGGTCGAAAGCTGGCCAGATCCTCCTCGGCAGGCCACATGCCCTCCATGCGAGCAAATTGCAGCTGCATGCTCTCCTTCATGTCGGCCGTGCCGGTCGAAGGCCGCACCTGAGCGCGGCTTTCCCATCCCATGTTGCGGCCGTTGAGCGGCGTCTTGGCTTTGATGTCCTCGGACAGGGCGAAGAAGCGACGCGAGTACGCAAAAGCCTCGTCGATCTGCTCCTGCAGAATGCCGTGGTCACAGAGCGTGAAGAAGCCGACGAGCGTAGAAGCGTCCATGAGCTGCTTTGTGATCTCCGCTCGGCGCTCGTCAAAGTCGCGCAGGGAGATGCAGGGCACGGTTTGGTAGGCGTCGGACGTCATGCTGTGATTGAGTGTGGGTCCGAGCAGGAAGACGAACGATGGAGGTGCTCTTATATGGCCTTCGACAGTGGATGATAGTGAGCGATCAACACCCGCACGCTCCGAGTGGCACCGCTGTAGTGGGTGCATGACACGCCAAGGCCTCCACCCGGGTGGCTCGGCCGTCGACCTTATCTTCACCTCGGCCGACCCGACCGAGTGATCCGAGCGGGCTTCTAAAGACGCCTTGGCTGTCCCTTTGACGGCACCGATAAGGGTCCAGATCATGTAGATCAACACGAACCGCACAAGAGCTGATCCGTATGAAAGCAGAGCGCAGCTCGCGTCGCTCTCGCTCCCTCTCAGACCATACGAGATGGCCTTCTTCCAGCACCTCTTGCCTGGCATCGCCCTGCTGGCTCTTCTCTCTTGGGCCAGTGCCTCCGCTCATCTCCATCCACCCAGTCAGCACGGTCTCTCCATCAACGACGTGCCATGGCACCGACGTGAGCATTGGATGCGCGTCGCAAACGAAGCTACGTACGCGGACGGTGAGCCGTGCCCGCAAGCGCCCTTTGGCAGTGCCATTGTCAACACGACGAGCGACGAGCTCATCTGCGTGGCCGCCAACGCGGTGGGCAGGACCGGCGACCCGACCATGCACGGCGAGATGACGGCCATCCGTGCGTGCCACGAGGTGCTCTCGAAGCGCGGCCTGTCTCCGCCCGAGATCCTGAGGGCGTGGCGCGACTTTTCTCTCTACACCAACGGCGAGCCCTGTCCGATGTGCATGTCGGCCATCCGCTGGGCCGGCTTCAAGGAGATCGTGTATGGTACGAGCATCGAGACCATCGCCAAGGGTGAGTCTCCACCTGCCTTTCGTCGACAAAGGGCGATGCTCATACATATGACACAGGGGGGCGTAACCAGATCTACATACCCTCGAGCGACATCTTGGCCAAGTCGTATTCGATGGGCCACATGACGCTGATGTTGGGCGGCATCCTCGCAAATGAGACTGATCCCTTCTTCGCACACCAATTCAACGAGTCAGCCCCGTGTCGTGAGTAGTGAATGCGTCCGAAGAGGATCACTAGCTGACGGGTCTCACTGCAGCCGCGGGATGTCAGCGCAAAGACACACCCGGGAAGCGCGTCAGCTCCTGCCAGCCGAAGCCCGAGTGGAGAGAGATTATACAGCAACGTGAGCCAGAAGAACTTCTCGACAGCGGCAGGGCATACCGCGAGCCATCGCCGGTCAACACGTTCTGGCCGTGGCAGCGTTTGTCTTGAAAATGTTGTAGCTTTGTGGCCCGCGTCATGGCAAAGTGGCCCGCGTCATACATAGCATAGCGACCCTCGCAATGAATTTGATTATCCGAATTCCCTGTCCCGCTGAGCTCTCTCATCTCTCTCTGCTTGCCAATCGTAAGACCCTTCTCACATGCCCGATGGAGCTTTGCAAAGCCAAAGAGTGGAAGATGCTTCGATTTGCCACGTGGGGCAGCCATCTCACCCTCGGATTACCCGGCCGAGCCTCCCCATGCAGGCACTGTTATCGCACGCTCGCCCGAGCCGGCCGAGGGACCCGAACTGTGGCTTGCTGTGACAGGCTCTCCTTATCGTTTTCTTGGCCGTCTTCCCGGCCTGGATCTCTCCCCCCAACCATGCCCCATAGTCGTGGTAACTCGGCCGCCGCAACTCGCCTTTTGCAATTGGACGCAGTAGCAGGAGGTCCTGCTCGTGGCGTCGGTCTTATCGCGTCGACGTATCTTATCCCCCCGCACACAAAGAGCATGAGCTTGTGTGGCATTGGTCATACCACTATCACGTCGTGTAGGGTCCTCTCTGTTGCGAGGTCATCGTTCAGCATATAAAGCAAGGGCCTTTTCTTCGCCACACCCCTCTCCATCAGTCAGCATCACAGCGCCCTCCCTTATTCCCCTTCCAGTCCTCAACGATGGCCGACGCCAAGCCCAGCGTGCACACGTACGAGCCAGACACCGACCTGGCCCCGGTCCCAGCCGGCCCTTCGGTCGTCGACAAGATCAAGCGATTCGGTCGCAGCCTCGTCTCACGCGATGCGTGGGTGGGCGACCACGACTATGCCGCCCTCCTGATCCCCACGATCCCGTACCTCACCAAGACCGACCGGGTGCTGCCCTTCTACGGCGTCCACGACAAGGTGCCTTATCTTCTGCTCATCATCCTCGGCCTTCAGCATGCGCTCGCCATGGTCGGCGGTGTCGTCACCCCGCCTCTTCTACTGGGCGGATCGTCGGGCGCGAACCTGGGCAACGCCAACGTGCAGTACCTCATCTCTGCCTCGCTCATCTGGTGCGCCGTAGGCACTGCCGTGCAGGCGTCGCGGTTCCGCCTCGGCAAGACTCGCTACTTCCTCGGCACGGGCATCATCTCGGTCACTGGCACCTCGTTTGCATTCGTCAATGTGGGTCTCTCCTACCTCTCGCAGGCCTATGCCTCGGGTGTGTGTCCCGTGGCCGAAGACGGCACATTGCTGCCGTGCCCGCGCGAGTTTGGCGCCATTCTCGGCACGGCCTGCGTGACCAGTGTCATCGCCTTCGTCCTGGCCTTTATCCCGCCCAAAGCCATCCGTCGCCTGTTCCCGCCGCTCGTCGTGGGCATGATGCTCTTCCTCATCGGCGCTTCCTTGGTCAAGAGCGGCGTCACCAACTGGGCCGGTGGCTCGGGCCCATGCATGACCAATCACGCGCTCATGTGTCCGTCGAACACGGCGCCCGTCACCAAGCATCCCTGGGGAAGCGCACCGCTCATCGGCCTGGGCTTCTCTGCGTTTGCCACCATTATCATCTGCGAGCTGTTTGGCGGTCCCTTTATCAAGTCGGCCTCTGTCTTCACCGGCCTCGTCGTGGGCATGGTCATCGCCGCCGCCACGGGCTACTTCAACGGAGCCACGATCAAGGCGGCGCCCAGCTTCACCTTTCTCTGGGTCAAGACGTTCCCCCTGGGCATCCGTGGCCAGCTCGTCCTGCCTATGCTGGCCGCGTGGACGGTCATCTGCGCCGAGACGATCGGAAACGTGACAGCGTCGTGCGATGTGTCGCAGTTGCCCATCGAGGGCGAGGAGTTTGAGACGCGCGTCCAGGGCGGCATGCTGGCCGACGCCATCTCGGCGATGCTGGCGCCCCTCGCTACCATCACACCCTTGACCACCTTCTCGCAGAACGCGGGCGTCATCGCCCTCACCCGCAACGCCAACCGCAACGCCGCGTACGTCTGTGCCTTTTTCCTGCTCCTGATGGGCATCGTGGCCAAGTTTGCCTCCGTCTTTGTCGCCATGCCCCCAAGCGTCGTGGGCGGCTTCACCACGTTTCTCTTTGGCTCTGTCGCCGTGTCGGGCATCCGCGTCATGGCGTATGCCAAGTGGGACCGGCGGGCGCGGTTCATCTCCACATGTGGCATGTCGCTCGGCCTCGCCTCGCTGTGCGTGCCCAAGTGGTTCAGCTACTTTTTCACCTACGCAGGCAACAACTCGGGTCTCCAGGGCCTCATCCAGGCCATTGTCCTCATCGTCGAGGAGCCGTACCTGATTGCGTCGCTGATTGCCATCCTCCTCAATGCGCTCCTGCCCCACGAAAAGGCTCCCGAGGAGCAGCAGCCTCTGCAGCAGCAGCAGGCTTCAGATGCCGCCAGCAGCACCAGTAGTAGCGCTGCCGCCGACGGCGACGACGTCAAAGTCGCGCCTGCCGCGCACTCGGCCGAGACCTGGAACAGCCCCGGCCCGGTCCTGGGTCGGCATTGAGCCATCGTAGTCATGCTGGAGAAGGGGTCAGAGGGTCGCTGTCATTGCTACGAATAGATGTACTGTACATAAAGACTGCTTGAGTGGAAGAGTACAATGTGATTCACGTCGACGCAAACGGATCGCCCAGGCTGCCGTCAAAGAGACTGCCCATGTCCGGGACATGCTCAAGCATGCTGACGATGGCCTGGAACTGGTCCCACTCGAGCGGCGCACCTGCGCCTGCATCGGTCCAGACGGGTTCCTCCTGCTGCCCGGGCAGCTCTACGCTGCTGCGATCTGGCTCCGCCAGCCGGGCTCTCTTCTGCGCCGGCGCATTGCGACCCCGCTCCTCGTCTTGCCAGGACACAGTCTTCACGGCCGTGTCCCTCGCCTGGGGCCCGGCCTCGTGCTGCTGGAGGAGCGACGTGAGCAGGCTGACGCCGCGCGCCGCAATCGGGCTCCGTGCTGCCATGGACCGTAGCACCTCCTGGGCCTGCTCCACCTCGCGTCTGCGGGCCCACGAGGCCGACCTGTCGCGCGGCTGGGCGAGCATGTCCATGGCCAGGACAGTGGCTGCAGCGACGGCGTGGTAGGCCGTCGTCCACATGGCCGCCAGCAGCGCGCTGCCCGGCCGCGTAGAGGTGGCGCCCATGTGGCAGTGCGAGAGAATGGCACGGGCAAGGTCGACGGCGATGCGCTGCGAGCGCTGCAGCTCGCCCGGGATAGCCGGCGAGCGCCCACAAAAGGCACGGTGGACGACGAGCATCTTGTGGCGCACGCTGATGTTGAGGTAGCGGGCCAGTGCGGCGCCAAAGGTGAGCCGGGGGTCCGAGGAGCGTGGGATCGTGTGGCCCTGGCTGTGGCTGGGCAGCAGCCGCAGGAGCGATGCCTCGTATGGTTCCACGTGGTCCGCGAGGGTGGCGCCCGACCGAGGCAGGGCATTGAAGAAGCGGCAGAGGACATCGGCAGAGACAGAGGTGATGCGCTGCTTGAGCGTCAGCGACAGCTCCGAGTCGTCGAGCAGGCGCCAGCAGCCGCGCCCGAGGTCGGTGTCCAGCACGTTGCTGGGAAACGGCGTGTCGTGCTGGTGCGGGTGCACGAGCGAGACGCCGCGAAAGGGAATGGCAAAGTAGTCCTGCTGGGTCAGGGACCACCACACGCGCTTGCCCATCTCGAGCGTGACGAGGCGCCGTCGCAGGGCGCCGTCTGCATGCACACCCGTTGCCGCGAGCGCCTCGACCTCGCGCCGCACCCGCTCGCTCTCGGCGCCAAGCACGTGGAGGTTGAGCATCTGCGCCGTCTTGATGCCCACGGCCAGGAGCGACGAGAGCAGGTTCGAGTCGACGACGTTGTGGCCGCAGACGGAGAGGATGGCGATGGCCTGGCAGGCGAAGAAGTTGGGCCGGCGCATAAAGTCGCCCGCGTCCAGGCAGGCACGCACGGCGGCCAGGCTGTCGTCGACGAGGGCATCGCGCTTGCGACCGGGAAAGAGGGAGCGGATGTCCTCGGCAGGCATCTGGTGCAGCGTGATCGTCTGTATGCTGAGCAGCAGCGCGAGCCAGAGCGTGTCGACGCTGTGCCAGCGCCGCGCCTTTCGCGTCTCGTCGTTTAAGTCGCCCTCATCGTCGTCTGGCCCACCCGCAACACCAATGTCCATGTAGTCCTGGGCCTGCCGCTCGAATGTCTGCGAGTGGATGCAGGCGTGCTGCCATTGAACAGCATCGGTGTGAAAGGTGAGAATGTAGCGCAGAGCACGGTCGGGCAGGAGCATCGCTGCCACCGCGGGGACGAGGGCCAGTTCGTGTGGCCACTCGAGCAGGTTCGTCGTCGGCGCTGTGGCCGTGTGTGGGTCGCGCGACACGCCCAGGATGCCCAGCCTGCGATTCTTGCCCAGGGCGAGGTACTCGATGGTGACCGAGGTCTCCTCGCCGTTGCCCTGGTGCGCCTCTTCCTGCGCAAGGTGCTGCGTCGAGACCAGTGAGGACTTTGTGGGAGACGCCGGGCTGTTGGACGTCGTCGTTGCGATGGCGAGAGGCGCATGGCCGATCGTGGACGCGGACGACGGCGACTCGGCCTGGGGAAAACTAGCCGACGGCGATGATGACGTTGCAGCAGAAACAGCAGCGGCGGTGGCAGCAGCAGCAGCAGCAGCCGTGTCCACAACTTGAGCCGATCTAGGCGCTGTAGAGAACGACGAGGTGGCCTGCTGTCGCTCCAGACGGTCCACACGGCGAAGCAGCTGCGCCACGACGGCTGTCAGCTGCTCGTGACTCTCCTGCGACGCGGCGACCTGGGCCTCGTCGACGGCCGTATCACTGCCTAGGCCCTCCTCGGACGCCCGCACAGCGACGCCATCGACGGCAGCCCCGCGCGAGCATCTGTCCTGCGTGCCGCGCTTGACGCATGGCTGGCAAGGGATCTGCTTGTCGCATCGCACCTTTCGTCGGGCACACTCGGTGCAGCTCCACGTCGGTCGGAAGATGATGTGGCTCTTGCGCGGCACGGGGGAAAAGGAGGACATTGATTCGACCTTAGCTGCTCTGCCGCGCCAACTGAACCCGGCCAGCGCCTCGCCATGCAGCCATGGAGGCGTGTCTCTTGAGCTGCGACTTGATGTCTTCACGCTGGAGACAGGCAGCACTGCAGGTGATATAGGACAGGCAAGATAAGAAGATTACTTAGCCCACGTGGCATGCGACCCCACCGAGGGTTCCGGTTAGAATTTGGCCGTGCAGCAGTGAATGCTCGCCGCTACATGCTAGTCGAGGACACGGCAATGCGAATTGACCACGGCAGCATGTACCGCGCGCTCTGGTGAACCATAGCAGTGTATCCACGCGTCATTGTAGTCACGTCCGTTGCCTCTGTCACCAACTTGTACAGAAAGCCAAGGCGAAAAGATGCGCTGGGCGGACCGCTCAATCTAGCAGCATGACAATCTTGCCATTTGCTCTGTTCTCCTCCATCAGCGTGTGGGCCTTGACGATGTCCTGGATCGGCATAGTCGCGCCCACTTCCAGTCGCATGCGTCCCGCGGCAATCTCACGAGCGATCTTGGCCAGGGGCGTGTCCATGAAGTCGTTTGTGCTGCCGGCATACCCGGTCAGAAAGACGCCCGATGGAATCGACGCTGTCGGATTGAAGTCCTTCAGCGTCCAGCTGTTGCCCAGAATGCCTGCCATGCATACGATCCCTCCGGGACAGCGCACTGCATGGAGCGAGTCGATGAGCGTCTTTGTTCCAATCAGCTCGAGGCACTTGTTGATGTCGGCGCCCTTGACCTGCTCGGCAACGTGACCTGAATCAATAACGACATGCTCGGCCCCGTTACGCTTCAGCACCTCGCTGCGCGTATCAGAGCGTGTCGTCGACCACACCGTCGCACCCATGTCACGGGCAAGGGCCGCGGCCGTCAAGCCGATGCTGGAGGTGCCACCGCGGATCAGGAGCCTGTCGCCTGCTTTGAGCTGCAGGCCCTTTGTCAGGCAGCCACGGGCCGTCTGTAGCATCTCTGGCATCGCACCGAGAGTAGGCCAGGGTAGGAGGGGTGTCCCGTCGGCATCGCGCCCGCTGGACACTTCCTCGGCGGTGTAGATGACCTGGGCACTGGTGACGGGCACGCAAGTGTACTGCGCATAGCCCCCATCGAAGGCGCGACCGAGACCGCCCATGGCTGTGGCCACAACAGCGCCCTTGGCCAGCTTGCCAGACGGACATGTCTCGACGGTCCCCACCGCCTCGATGCCCAGCACGCGTGGGAACGTCACGCTCGGTGAGTGGCCTTGACGGGTGAACATCTCGCTCCGGTTGAGCCCCGCGGCGCGCACGCGGATCAGCACATCGCCAGGGCCAGGAGAGGGAATGGGCAGACGCTCAATGGCCAGGACAGAGGGCGGGCCGGGAGCCCTGACAACGGCGGCAATCATGTTTGAACCCATGTCCGATCTGGTGATGGTGCAGAGAAACGGCAGCGTCAATGCAGGCAAATACCGCGGAATTAAGGTTTCCGACACGTTTTTGTTCTGCCGACGGCACGGTCGAGACGTTGTACTCCTGACAGGCACCTCTCTAAATGGGGTGCATAAACGGGCAAGAACTTTAGTTAGGATGCTGCCGCTGCTAGTCTCTGTTGTCAAGACTCAGGAGCGCCCAAAGATCACGAGAACGCGATTCGTGTGACGAGAGACGAGAGACCTGGCCTGCTTCGATTGTCGTGGCAATGAATCGTCTCTCGCCTGACAGCGACTACGTGTCGGCGCCCCACAACGCTTTCCCGCCGACCGTCCGAATACAAAATATGCCCAGGCCATGAGGAGAGACTACTCGTAGAGCATTTCAGCTATGCGGGGTAAAGTATCGAATTGCTAAGAATTGTGCATGCTTCGAAGCGGGCATGCCCAACCGCAAACAAAGAATTCGGCAGCACGGAGTCTAGCGGTAGCAGAAAACGGAAATGACCGAGCCGAGGCGTCTTGGTACCCTACTTCGTTCCACCGTAGGCGGCGTGGGCCTCCTCGCACATGGTCAAGATCCGGGTGTTGATCTCCTTGACCTGCTTCAAGATCGCCTCGTCTGCAACCGCGCCTTCCCATGCAGCTATGAAGGCCTTGTCCGAATTGACGAACCAACCGAGCGCCATCTTTTGCAATGTGCAAGAGGTGTGAGCATGATGGACAAGCAACACGAAAAGACCAAGCCCACCTTGACGACGGAAGGAATGCCCATTCCGAGCTCGCAGAAGCGCTTGTAGTGCACCGTGCTCATGCGATGCAACGTCTCCTGGATGAGATTGATCATCTTCTCCTGGAAGAAGTCATGGATCTCCAGCGCTTCCTTGTCAGACAGCTTGCCACCATTGTCCTTGGCGGTGGCCTGATGAAGAAGATAAGGATGTCTCATTCGATCAGCTTGTCGAGCTGTCACTCTGCACCCTGGCTACATACCTTGATGGCCGCAGCAGCAGAGTTGATGCCCATTCGAACATTTTCGGCTTTCGCACCAATCGTCTGCACACAGGACGAGTCAGTCTCATTGCTCTACGGTGTAAAAGAGTGAAACGCACTCCAGCTCCGATGATGCCAAGCTTGGAAGGCTCCGGCTTTACAGCGTCGTACAGTGTCTGCGTCCTACTGCGGAGCGTCTCCAGGGCTTCCACAATCCTCTTGTTTCCCGTCTGCGCATCTTTTCCAAAGGACAAGACCATTGTGGGCGTTCGTCTGAGAGTAAGAATAAATGAAGTTCCGGTTAGACAGGGGCAATCTGGTCAGAGTGACAACATCTTGTCCGCATTTATAGTCGAAGCAATCTCTCCGCCTTTCCCCGCACTCGTCTCAGCCTGACTGGCGTTCCACCGACGCAGAATCGCCTCGTCTGCATCGTGCGGGGTTGCAATCAAGACACTGATGTTCTGAGGCTGTCAATTTTCCGGTAGTATGCAAAGACGCGGGGAGGCAAAGGCTGAATGGGTGACCGCGGGGTGAATTGTGGGTTCACCGGTGTGCACTGGATTGTATGCTATCACGATAGCCGGAGGGGACGCACGCGAAACAATGCTGTGGAGTCGAGCGAGCCATTGCCCTCGAACTGGCTTGTCGTACCTTCCAACAATTACGGCGCCGTTGAACACGCTCGCGTCCTTCGAGACGCGCTCTCAGTTTCTGCAACACGACATCTTGTTGTAATTTCTTTCGCAAGTGCCTGTGGCACCCAATCGAGACGTATGCGTTCAAGTCGGAGACCCTATCTGAGCATCTGGCCAGGCAGTCGTAATGTTTGCATCGAAGCCCTTCCTTTTTCAGTGCAAGGTCCTTTCGGTTCGGGCAAAGTACGCGCTTTCGCGACAATTAGTCAAATAAAGGCATGTTGCACCCTAAGCTCCGCCACCGGCAATGCCAGTCAGCACTGTGTTTTTGGTTGGCACTTGTGATCGGCGTTTTAAAGCCTCGCGGATCTATGGACCGCTTGAGTGCTTGACGGGCAGACGCCATCGCCTCGCAACCACTATTCCACGGATCAATGCCATCAGTCTACTTCATCCCGTCAAAGCTAACTTGCCTCTATAGTGCCTTGTCGCGACTGAGGCGCAGAGAGGAGGCTGGAGTTACTGAATCGCTTCCCTCCACGTGCTGTCTCACAAAGCTTCTTTTGATCTTGATATCCTGCGCTCCACCTGTGGGTGTCGTGTGCTACTTACTGCACGGCTCTTTAATTAGGGCACCATGGACCCAGTGCGACTCTATGCGCAGTGCCACTGCAAAAAGCAGACGTTCCACGTCGACGTGCCCAAGAGCAGCCTGCCCCTGGTCAATGAGTGAGCCCCTCGTCACGTTTTCGCTGCTCACACGCCCTCACGCGCCCCACTTGCAGAACATGCCACTGCGACGACGACCGCCACATCACTGGACTGCTCGCAGGCGACTTTGCCATCTTGCCTCCAGAAACGCAAGTCTTTGATGAAGACAGGATACCGAACGGACTCTCGCGGTACATGAAGCCAGGCGGGAGGGTCCGCTGGTACTTTTGCCAGACTTGCGGCGCGCACATCGTTCAGAGCGCTCCCAAAGAAGACGGCGGAACAAAGTGGCTCATGTCTCTGGGCACCCTCTACCCGCTGGAGCTCCCCGACGGCACAAAGACGACGCAGCTGCAGCGCCATTCATTCGTCAAGTACGGCCGCGACCTGGGCGGTCTCGCGCGCTTCTTGCCCGACGGTGTGCCTAGATATGCGGACGGCACATCAACCGAGGCGATAACCGACCGAGACGTCGCGACAAAGGAGGAGGAGGAGGCCATTCGTCAGGCCGCCGAAGCACGAACTCTGCCCCTTCGCTGCCACTGCGGCCATGTACAGCTGGACGTGCATCGCCCTTCCTCGTCGCCGGTCCCGGAAGCGTTCAAGGGGGCCGTGGTAGGGGACAGCTGGCTCTGGAACTTCTGCCTCTGCCACTCCTGCCGGACCACTTCGGGCTTTGATGCAAGCTGTTACTTTTTTGCTCCCTACACGCACATCACTGGCTCATCGTCCAGCAGTCACCCCACCGACGGCCTCTCCACATATTCGTCCTATCCTGGGCGTAGGAGACACTTTTGTCCCACTTGCGGTGCTTGTGTCTTCTTCGACCGCGCCGACCGGGGCGATCTCTGCGATGTCTTTCTCGGTTTGGTCGATGTACCGGTAAGCACACTTGATGCCTTCTCTTGTGCTCCTTGTCTTCAGTGATGCTCACACACAAGCCCCTGCCGGCAGCTCGCCGCCCTGTTCTCGTCCTGGATTCGACCGGCCAAGAAGATGTCATTCTGGGCGTACGCCAAGAACAAGGAGCTGGCTCAAACGCTTGCCAAAGGGTTCTGCCCAGACGAGGACCTCAGCCTCACCCAAGCGACGGCAAAGGCGTCAGCAGACTATGATGGCGCGCTCGTCATCTGAGGGTCAGCGACGAGGAACAGTCACCAGTACACCTGCATCATTCAAGAGATATGATATGTGTGCTGAGCAGAATTGATATAATTAGAGGTGCAGAGATGCAGAGGTGCAGAGGTGCAGAGGTGCAGAGGTGCAGGGTGCAGAAGTGCATTACATCGTCTCAACTAAAGCCTCAGCGAGATCTGGTTGTCGGTCTGGCAAGTCTGTCCGCTGAAGCATGTGCTCGGGTTTGCGATGATGTTTCCCTCGGGCGAGTCGTAGATCTGGAGGCCCCAGGACATGCCCTTGCTGCCAAACGGCCGAATGCTCTGGTACTTGTAGTCCTGCAGGAAGAACTGGCTTGCCTGGGCATCGGCGCTGTCGTCGTCTGAGCAGTCGGCGGCGACGAGGTATGTATTGGCTTGGGTCGTGGAGGACAGCGCGAGACACTTGCCCGGCTGATCAGCGAGGTAGAGCTTGATCGGGTTCGGGTCTGCGTAGCCGCTGCCGGTGCGGTCAGGAACTGTCAGGTTGAGGGCCTTGGAGGTGCAGACGCTTGACTGGAATTGGAGAGGGGTGAGGTCTCCCGAGCGGCCATCGAAGGACAGGTTGGGGCCCTTGAAGCCGGCCAGGGTTCCGTCGTAGGCATAGATAGCGTCTCCCTGGTAGAGCCATGCTGCATCGCTCTTTGGCTGGCAGACGATGGAGTCACGCTTCGTGGGCTGGGCCGATGAGGAAGCGACCGTGGCAGCGGCGACGACGAGGAGAGCAGTGAGAGCGCGAGAGATCATCTTGGAAAGGTAAGCTGTGAGAGGCTGGTCGATGTCTCCCTATGAATGAGTGGAGAATGAGGAGAGCCATCTCTCAAAGACGGCTCCTTATATACCTTGGATAGTGGCCGTAGCTCTAACAGAGTCACCACAGATGCTTGCGACGGAGCAGGGAAAGGAAACGATGCAGGTACTCACTCACTCCTGTGAGCTCCGGTCGCGGAAGTCCGCGTAGGCTGTGGAGGTGCACAAAAGACCAGACTGCTACGACGTTCTAACGCAAGATGATCGAATTCAAAAAGAACCAACGCGTTTCTTGCGGAGTTTCGACGACCCGAGAAGCCGGCCTCGCCGTTCACGCCGATTCGCTCTGGCGAGCAAGCATTGCAGTCCCACAGTGTCCGAATCCTGTGTGTTTGAGCAGCGGCAGGTACAGCATCGGAACGCCGGAACCGTCGCCCGATGCTGACGTGTCGTCTCCCACGGATCCTTGCTGCTTGGCATCCTGCTACTGCGCCTGAACGATTGAACATCCCTACTGAGCCGGACCCGATTGCATCATTCGATTGTTCCCTCTTGAATGTTGAGTTGAGCTAATTAAGGGAAAGAGGGCCCGAGATCCATTGCACAGAGAAGACGATTGCTACAGCTCCTGTCTAACATAAGTCTCAAAGTCCATCAAGGCGGGGTGAATGGCTCGCACGGATCCAATGTCGGCGGCGTACCCGTGGGTATTGAAGAATCGAAACATGGTGCGGAGATCCTTGGAGACGAAGATGGCCACTTTGCCGAGAATTGCGAAGCTGGTGGGCAGCTCGTGTCCCTTGACTTTGCGGTAGACGGCGGCCACAGAGGGCGCATCGAGGAAATCGCCGGCCAGTGAGAACTTCTTGCCGATATATTGGCCGGGATCGTCGAAAGCAAGGGCGGCAATCTCGCCAATGTCAGTCGTCGCAATGAACTGCATGGGCTTGTTGAGACAGGCCATCATGCCTGTGTTGCTGTACTTTCCCACTTGTGTCTCGCCGTTGCTGATGTTCTCCATGAAGCTCACCGGCCGGAGCACCGTCGTGGGAAGATTGGCGTGTTTCTCGCTTAAGTACTCTTCGATCTCCCTTTTGGACTCAAAATGTGCGACGCCGGTGTTGGCGACGGTACCGCGATCGACAGAGGCGTAGACAAAGTGCTTCACGCCCCGTTTTGCTGCCTCGTCTGCCATCTGCTTGGCCTCCCTGATCTCTGCCGCGACGCCGCCTCTCGGGTTGTCGTAGGATTGCTGGACGCTAAAGACTCCATAGAGGTTTGTTCCCGCCTTGTCAAACATGACGCGGGGCTCATAGTCGCACTCGATTATCTCAACGCCTGGCAGTTGCGCCAGGCCCTTTGCCTTGGCGCTCGAAGCATTGTGCGTAGCGGCAATGATATCGTACGTCCCTGGGCTTGTCTCGTTGCGCTTCGCCAAAGCCTTGACCACGGCGGTGCCTTGGCGGCCAGTGGACAGTGAGACGAGTATGCGCTTGGTCATTGCTCGAGGCTCTGCCGGTCCCCTCTCCTCGTCTTGACACGACCCTTCTTATACATATGCGTTCCCTTCTCGTTAGCAAAGCAGATGGAGATTCATCTATGGAGTTAGCCTTTCTTCGTCACGCGGAGCCGCGGCCTCGTACACAAAGTGCGCAGAAGTCCGCAAATGTCCTCGGTCATTCTTGATGACCCTTCGACGACTTCGCATGCAATCAGAAACATCGTCACGGCCTCCCACCCCTGTCTTCAACATACATTCCCTAGCGGCCCCGACCAGATCTATCTCAGTCCCGGTTCCTAGCGGCTGATCCCCAATCGTGACTGCAGTCTCTGCTTGATCAAGTTTGCCCGTCTAATCCTGGACGGAAGGGTCGAAGGTTGATGAAAGGACTCTCGGTAGCGTGGTCATCCGCAGAGATTTGGCACAGCAGGATAAATCGGGGTGGCAACTGCACGATGATCAGGGCCCCACAGGTGAGGAAGAGCGGGCATAGGGGACCCTCGCCAAGTCGCCGCTTTCTACTTTTTTTCCCAGATGTCCCAGGCGCAACACCTTTGCCCATCCTGTTCTTCACTTGATTGCTGCCGCAGCACCGGCCGTGAGCTTGGAGCAAGCCTCGTGGTGTGACAGCCACCACAGCTCCACCGGCGGAAATGGACTCTGGTGGTCGCCCTCCACATCAGAAGTAGCCTCGCCATTTGCACCGGACCCAGCAGCAGAGGCCGTGCCCTCCACCCTCACTTCCACAGCATCAAGTTGTTCACCATGGCACCTCGCGGGTTGGCCGTCATCATTGGTGCTGGTCCCACGTCTGTGCGTATGGCTGTGCGCGCAAGAACAAGAAGAAAAGAGACTGACGATGGTTGAAAGGGCGGCGGCATTGCGCGCTTCCTGGCCACGCAGGGCAACCTGGCCGTTGCAGTGCTGGCGCGCAACGAGGAAAACCTCAAGCAGCTGTGTCAGACGATCCGCACGTCGACACAGAGCGGCAGCACGCCCGTCGTAGAGGCCTTTCCCACCGACACGTCGCCCGAATCGCTGTCCAGGACGTTCCAGGCAATTGCCAGTCACCAGGCCTTTCACGGACTGAAGCTCCGCCTGGCCATCTACCATGTCAAGCACAGCTCCAAAGAGCCATTCCTCGACACAAAGCCCGAAGACTTCTCAAAGAGCCTGCACACATACACGACGGGCGCGTTTGCCTTTGCGCAGGAGAGCGTACGGCTGATGTACGCGCAGAACGGCGGACAGACGCTCCTGGCCGACACACAGGGTGCCAAAAAGGGCACAGTCATCTTTACCGTGCGTAGCAGCGCTGGACCTGACTAGAGCATTGCGTTCTATGCTGATGCACTGTGGAACAGGGTACACTCGGTGCGCTGCGTACCAATGCCGAGTATGCAGCGTACGGTGCAACACGCTCGGCCGCGCGCAGCGTGGTGCAGGCCCTGGCCAAGGAGACGTCAAAGTACGGCATCCACGCGGTGCACGCTGTCGCCAATGGTCCCATCCGTGATGAGGACTCCGAGGAGACGCGCACGGGGGCGCGCATGAGCGCCACTGCAGTGGGCGCAGAGTATCTCCATCTCATGGAGCAGAGCCCGGCGCTGTGGACGCACGAGGTGAGCTGCTGCCGATTTCTGCTTGTGTCTACACGACAGAGGGCTTATGTATGCGCTCGTCAAACGCCAGCTCGACCTGCGCCCGGCACAAGAGAAGTTCTAGAGACAGTTTTGTTGTTGTACCCTCTTGGTCTCAGCAGCGTATTGCGGTAGTTTCTTAGTCTTCAATGCGCCAGGACCCACAGCTCGCAAAGACAGATCTGTTTGCCGGTGCCATGTTGATGAAAAGAAGAGTAAAAGTATGGATTGACCATCACGAGGTCACCACACGAAGGGCAGCATCGTCCAAGGGCCGATCTGAATAGACCAACCGGACGGCGTGGGGGTCGTCATTGCCGGCATCTGGCCCCCGCCATCGCACCGGCGTGGCAAGCGCCTGCTCGGCAATGCGCTTGCTCGCGGTGTTGTGCTCGAGCAGATAGGCGACGATGGGCAGATGGGGCTGCAGGCGCCGTGCTGCTTCGACTGCTCTGTGCGCCACTTTCGCCGCGATGCCGCAGCCCCAGTACCTTGGCGCAACGCGGTAGTACAGGTTCCACACCGTGCCTTGCCCGATCAGCCGGGCCCCGCCCACGGCAGCCAGGCCGCCTTGTGCATCCCTTACGGCCCAGTAACTCAGCCCCACTGCCTCCCACTCTGCCGCCAGCACTTCCAGATCCTGGCGCGATCTGTCCAGTGTAGTGTGCCGGCCAGATGGAAGATGCTCCCACACACGAGGGTCGGCATGTAGCTCATGGTAGCTCGCGAGGTCGTCCAGGCACAGCGGGTGCAGCGCCAGGGTCGCGAGTCCCTGCCCACCGCCAGGCGACTTTATTGCAATTTCAAGCGGGTGCGACGAAGCTCCTTCCACACCGTAGCCAGCCGAGGAGGAGGAGGAGCCAGTGACAGCTGCAGGATGAGCAGCACTGCCAGCTGCATCGGCTTGGGCCATGAAGGGGTTGAAGCGTAGAAAGAGGCGACGAGACGAGAAGCTAGGAAGAAAGGGAGCTGAGCCTAATCTACTGTACTGTACAGTACAGTACAGTACAGTACTGTACATCTTACATCTTGATTTGTGCTCAACCTGACCCTAGCGCGTCTCGGCAGTACGCAGCTCAATAATGGCCTTGTTTGTGGAGCAAGTAGAGTAGTACGGTACACAGTTGGTCGGATCATGGGCGAGACTAACCCCACAGGATACCTCTGTCACGAATGGCAGAATTGTATCGGCCGCCAGAGACACCCATCCTACTGACGAGGCTCCTTATATCCCTGTCTTCCTGGTCAGAGAGCTCAAATGACATCGCAGAGGCATTTTGCTTGATGTTGTCCACCTTTGTCGTGCCAGGCAGCGCAATCACGAGCTGTGGATCCTGGCGCAGGACCCAAGCCAGGCAAAGCTGGGCCGGCGTGCACTTCATCTGCTCAGCCTTTGCGGCGAGGCTCCTCGCCAGCTCCAGGTTTGCTGCAAAGTTTTCCTCGCTGTAGCGCTCGTGGAAAAGGCGATTGTCTCCCGCTACGAGCTGCTCCCTACTGCTGAGCCTGCCGCCGAGGATGCCCTTGCCGATGGGGCTGTAGGCGATCAGAGGGATTCTCAACTCTTGGCAAGCTGCAAGCACGCCATTGCTCTCGACGCTAGTCTCCCAAAGCGAATACTCGACCTCGACGGCAGCGATGGGGGCGATGCCAGCGGCTACTCGAACCGTCTCTGAGCTCACCTCGGAAAGGCAAATGTGTGTGAAAAGGCCTTCCTTTTGAAGCTTAACCAGCGTCGACATCCACTCTTTGATGGTGTACTTGGGAGCAACAGCATGCTGTGAGCACGGTGAGGCGGCAAGATGCTTGTGAAGCGCTTACCTTGTGATCCACTCTCGCTACGGCATACATGTCAACTTCGTGTCCGTCCTGATCGCTGCCCAGAGCTTGTCGAATAGCGGCGAGGTCGTTCCGAAGATTGTTCTCGCTCATATCTGGACCCAGACCACGATAGCCTTCCTCTTGATAGCGAGCCATGTTTGAACCTCCCTTGACGCAGAGAAAGACCTTGGACTTGTATCCGGGGAAGCGCTGGAAGAACCGACGAATCAAGGTTAAGTTGGCTGTCGGGTCGCTTGGAGGACCGTAAAAGGCGCCACCATCCCAGAAGCAGCAGCCGCTATCTACAGCGGTCTTCATGACGTCAAAGGCTTGTTCATCGGAGGCTGAAATAGTGTCAGAAAGCCCTGAGGAGTGGAGCGGACGACTGGACACCCACGAAGTGCAGAAGGAGCGACCCAGGTGAGGTTCATCAGGCCGAAGCCGATGCGGCCTACAGGCACTTTTCCGAGGGCAACCACCATGATGAGTCTCAACAACCCGTGAGGTTACAGGCCTTTGCGAGACGCCTCTCGTCAAGCAGGAGATTCATGCATTGTGCAATGATGCTCAGGCAAGCCCAGGATTCATGCAGCGAAACGCGTCGGCCCGTGCGCGGAGCTAGTAGTGGCTGCTCGCAATGTCTTCGACTGCTCATGGCCACCACGCAAGCCTCCAGTCACTATAGCTGCCCACGGAAGGCATCGATGAACATACTGGTCGCAGCTTGCAGCCTATGCTATGTGACTTGTGGACAAAGAAAGTAGATTGATGGCAGCAACGAGCACGTACTTTCTATGGAGTGGAGCTAGGCCACCAAATGGACCATCATGGGGGGCCGGGCCTCCTGGGACGTCGGAAGGGGCCATCCCAGTAGCCCTGATGGTCCCCAAGAGTCGTTTGGTTGGCGCAGCTGGGCCGCTCGTGGTCTTCCTTGCTCCCAAATGGCCACATGGGGACGATGCAGGCCTCATCGTCCGTACAGCCCGTGCACTGCTTCCAAGTCGTCCACGCCAGCCACTCCTTGAGCTCGGCGATCGTCTTCAGAGCAGAGCTGACGTCTACAGTCTCTGCCGCTGAGAGGCTTGCAATCGTCGAACAGATGCGGTACGACACCGCACGGATGGCCATGCTGGCTTGGTTGTGCGGCCAGTCTGCTGGGATATACTCGTCGGTGCAGCGCTGTGTCTCGGCGCCCACGTCTCGGGCAGAGTAGTCGATGAATGGCCGCATGAACCGATCAAGTGTCTCTTTCAAGACCGACGGCGACGACTTGGCGATGCTGGGGCTCGTGAGATGCGCCAGCCGGGGTCCGTGTCGCGCCACAATCATGTCCGTTACCGCCTGCCAGTCGTGCCGGGCCGCCGTGGTGGCCTGCTGATGATCAAAGGACGTCGGACGAGTGGCAAGGCGGTCGACCTGGGCCAGGATCTCCTTGAGCGTGTGATTACTCGTTGCATTGAGTCGTGGCAACTGGCCCGCAGCAAACAGCTCGGCGTCGGGGAAGGAATAAGCGCTTACAAAATCGTCGTAGTCGAGCTGCACGCGGCCCCCGCCGATGCCGTGGTAGCGAGCAGTAATGGCTTGTATCCAGCTCCACCTTTCCTCGCCGTTGCCTTGGTCGCTGCGAGCCGCAGCTGTGATGCGGAGGGGCGTCACATGCTCTTCGAAAGAGCACAGGATGATCTCGAAGCCTGCCTCCATGCGCAAGATGCCATCGATGCCGCCGCGCCACTCATTCCTTGCACGCTCGCACATCTCGGTCGCGCGCTCCCTCTCACCCCAGGATCCCCTCTCTGCCCGGGCCAAGACGTAGTCCTGCGTGTCCAGCGTGCCCTTTTCCGACTTGGCGGCAGACATGCCATCCAGGTACAGCAGGCGAAGGGGGTGTTTCGTGACATAGGTGTGCAGGTATCCTGTCTGCGACGGGTCTTCATCAGGCGGCGCATGGCCAAAGACGATCTGGTCGCTGGCTGGCGGCGGAGGCGGAGGCGGGGGACGGGGATCCTTGTGCGGCGGTGGAGGAGGAGGCCTGCGCGGGTTGGCAAAGAAGAGTGCGTGTTCGGGCTCAAAGGCGAGCCACTCGAGTCCCTCGACTGGGTCTGCAGTCCCTCTTCCGTGGTAGAAGTGCGTACCGGCAGGGACGGTCGAGATAAAGAAGGACATGCCATTGTGGTGCAGTGAGGAGCCAAACTGTCGCATCGACGAGTGGATCGCATTGAAGAGGTGGTTCGCATGCAGCGGCGGCAACTCACTGCTACTGCTGGGTGTGTCAGGCAGCGGGCCCGATGACGCGCTGCTAAAGCAGCTCAGAGCAAGCGCTCCAAAGAGCAGGAGTCGACTCATGGTGTTCGACGGTGGAGCGCATCGAAGCCTGGTCGCCCCAGAAGCTCAGCACCTGGAGGCAGCCGCTTCGGCTGCGCATCGCGGCGAGGTGCATAGAAGTGATAAAGGTGAACTAGCATTTAGAGAAAGAATAAGCGCTCTCATCTGTAAAGTTCAGATAAGGCTCTGAGAGAAACGCTAAAATTTGATGCAGAGATGCGGCATCGCCAAAACACCGCCTCCGTGCCGAGGCGGGTACGGAAGCGGAGCTGCGCTGCCATGGACCGCTTGACTTTCGAAGGACATGTCGGAGAATCTTTTGAGGGTCAGACGGACTTCATGAAAGAAGAGCTAGCTGTTCTTCGGCTTACGAGCCTGCCTCCCGCTCCTTTCGTTTCGAATCTTCTGTCGCCCAGACTAGTCGCAAATTTGGCGTCTGCTGCGCGCAGCTGAGGTTCTGGAGATCTGCGCCGATCACGCTCTTACATCGTGGGGCCAACGACATCGTGTCTACAGACACGTGTTGCTACCCCTGAAGAATGGAGTGCCTCTCTTGCCACAAAGGTACTGTACAGTGGACAATTACGCGGTAACTTCGCCATGGGGAATTTGACGGGCAAGATTGGACATGCTCTCAGCCTGCGCAGAATGTATGGGCGACATCACGAATGGAGAGAGTATGGGGGGAAAGATTAGGGAAGAGGACTGTCGGGCCCGTTGCCCGCGAGAGCACCCAACAGATTCTGTCCTGCGCCCGTAGTATCATCGAGGACATTGGAGAGGCCCTGTTGCCAAGATTGGGTTGCTTAAATAAGCAAGCCGCTTGCTTGGACATCGCCCTTTCAACTCACCGAAAGCGGGTAGTTGTCACCGTCTCGCTGGGGAACTGGTGAGGCCAGTGCCGAGAGCGATGCCAGGACAAGAGCAAACGAAGTGAAAGCGAAAAAGGTCTTCATGACTGGCTGATTCTGGTCCAAGGAGAAGAAAGGCAACCGCTATTTATGGGTGAACTGACCTGAAGGGGTGCGGATCTTTCTTGCGAGCAACTAAATTGCAAGCTTCCTCCCGGGATTGCTACCCTCTCACAGTCCTGTACAGACGTTGATTTCCAGTAAGCGGTGGCCGGGCAGCCTGGGATGACGCAGGGACACGTTGGACCTTGGGTGCCTCAAGCTCTCGGGTCAATTTCAAACGCCGCCGAAGCCAGATCCACTCCCCGTGCGGGGTAGCTCTTGATTCTCATTCCGAGACGCTTCTATACATATCTCGGTATCTCCCTATGCAAGGTCCGAACGTTCGATCAGCTGATTTCGACGCAGACTGTTTACATGCAGACGGCCCCGGTGGGCCACCGGGTAATTTCTGTCAGTGAGCGATCATTTACCGCGCTGCTCTATTGGCGCGCACCTACCGATTCTGCCTTGATTCTATCCTCTCATTGGACGTGTTGTCCAATCTTTTGGACTCTGTTTCTAAGCATCGGCACCGGAAGACGATTGGCAGACCACAATCGCAGTGCAGCAGTGCTTGCCCCTTCTTTACCCCGCACCACTATGCCTAGCTTCTCGCCCCCTGCCGTACACTTTCTCGGTTCTCGTTTGACGAGCGTGTCAGTAGTGTTACTCTCGTTGCATGCTTGGACCGTTGGTTATGTCTGCTTCCGGGGAAGCGACCACAAAACGATCTCTTCGTCCTAGATGAAGGTATAAATCTGGGCCATGAATTGGCAAGACTGCAGTCTGGCAACCCAAGTCAATCGTCTCCCAGTTCGCTTTGCCACGCCTCACCAAGTCCCCGTCGAAACAAAGCGCTCACCATGAAGCTTTTCGTGAACCAGGTCTTTACCGGCCTTCTCGTCACCCTGACGGCGACGAGTTATGCCTTTCCCGCCATGGGTTGGGAGAAGGTGAAGAGCAACTCAATTCTTACGGTGAAGCGCTTGAAACTAAACTTTTCTTTTCCACACAACGCAGCTCCATGAGTTCGAGGCTAGAGCGAAAGCTGCTGGTCTCGGCCCGCTGGAGAGCCGCGCAGCGACGAGCAAGAACGGGGCTGAACCGTGAGTTCGGGACGCCGACACACTAGAGCTTTCAGCTGACGTTGATACCTTTAATCTTTGTCAGGATCACCGACGCCTGCCCCTTTGCTGGAGCGAAATCGGCGCTTGTGCCCGGTCCCAACAAGGGTCCCTATCCTGTCCCCGACCCAAAATGCCCCAACATTCACCAATTCCAGGCGCCCAAGCCTGGCGACGAGAGGGGCCCCTGCCCAGGGACCAACATGATGGCAAACTACGGCTTCATCAGCCGCGATGGTCTCACAAATTACGAAGAGCTGGTCAACGCCCAGCAGAACATGCTTCAAATCGGCTGGGATCTCGCCGTCTTCTTGGCCGCCCTGGAGGTAAGCCTGAGCGGCAACCCTCTCAACGATGGCAGGATCTCCATTGGCGGAGCCCGCCCCGACTGGACCAACACAGGCCTCCTCGACCCGCTGCTGGGTGTGCCCGGGGGTTACGACAAGCACAATGGCTTTGAGTCCGACACGAGCTTCCTGCGAAAGGATCAGGACGTGGCCCGCGAAACGGACGGAAACTACGGCTTTGACCAAGCCACCTGGAAGAGGCTTATTGAGGTGTGCGAGAGCGGCAAGTACCCCAAGGGAAAGGAGTACAACTTTGACTGTGCTGTCGAGGCGCGAAAGGCCCAGTACGACTACTCGCTGGCGACCAATGACCGCTTCTTCTTCGGTCCATACCAACTGATTCTCTACGGCACGCCCCAATTCTTGTACAAGACGTGGGCCACGGGCGACTTGCAGCCAAACAGGAGCTTGGCCATGACCGTCTACGGCATCGAGGAAGACGGCAAGGGTGGTTACCGAGAGGCACCCAGTAAACTACCCGACAACTGGTACACGGCTCCTGAGCCCTTCACCTTCAGCTCAGGGACGACCGACATCATCCGCATGTATGCATTTAACCCCGTCAGCTTCGGAGGAAAGGTCGACAATGGAACGTTTGTGCCCATCGACAGCCGGAGCCTAAAGATCACCAACGGAAAGCTCGACGACCCGTCTTCCAACGGCATCACCTGCCTCATGCAGCAGCTCCTCCTCCAAGAGAGCCCCGACATTGTTACCAACAGCCCGCTTCTCCGCGTTCCCCTGTCCTCGCTCAACTGGGCAAAGCAAAAGACCCAAGGCATGTTCAGCGGTTTGGGCTGCCCCGAGCTCACGCCTCGGGGGCTGTTCCCTGACGATCATCCTCTGGTGAGGCGAGAGCAGTCCATCGCCAGCAAGTAGTACTTGCTTTGCCACACCCTCTGCTTTTGTTCCAACCTCCTCCTGCCTTAACTTCGTCTGGAAATCCGCAGGAAATGCGCGAATTCATGTATTCCTCTTACCAGGCAGAATGCTGTGCATTGCGATTGTCTCAACGAGTGTGAGAACAGCTAAGTACTGCTCTTTAGATTCCTCGTCAACTAAAATTTGACAGATTCATTTTCCTTTCGTGCCGGCCATTCTGACGGACCTCGCCATGACAGGGACGAGTCCTGTAGGGGGTTTTGAAGACCAGCTTGACGTTTGCTCCTGCCAGTACTTTGCCAGAGAGAGAGATCGAACGTGCAATTACCCCGACCATCAGTCGGGTCTCAAAACATGTTGTCGTATAGACAGCGTACCCCACATCCTTCTCTCTATGGCTCTTGGCACGCCGGCAGCCAGGTATGCAGAAGCAAGAGCGATGTGGGGATCCTTTCCGGTGGCGGGGCCAGACTCGACATTTGATCAGTGCGCTCGGTTCTCGTTCCAAGGCAACCATTCTTTGCATAAAATTGGCACATAATAGCGCAAGTTTGCAGCAGTGAAGCGAAGTATGTACACAAAGCTGTAGCGGTCATCGGAAATTCGACCACCACTCATAGAGGAGCGGAAGTTGAGTCTCTAGCCCTCGTCTCCCGCCCTGCCTCCGGTACCGACTGTATCGACTACACCAAGGAGGACGTCGTCACCCAGCTGCACACCGGCGCCTCCGAGACCAGCCACATTGTCGCCAGTCCTGAAGACATCGCCCTTTGCAAGGCCAGCAGGAAGATCATCTGTTCCGAGAACATATCAGTAGCCATCAGACAGCCAATTAAATCTACGTACTTGCGTAAGAATCAATAGCTTGAATGCTGTTGAAGGAATATTAGACAGGGGATCAATTCGCTGTGTTGCTCAGCATTCAACCACACTTACTCGAGGGGCACGGAGTCGAAGCCTTTTTGGGGTGCTAAGCGCCTCTGCATCTCAGCCTTTGGCCCAACATGGGCGCAGACGATGGAGACAAGACTGAGAGCAGCAGAAACATGAAAGAGCTTCATCCTGTGCAAGTTGACGAAGGGGAAAGCGTAGTTGTAAGATTGCAGAGGGTCAGGATCAACTCTGCCCTTTTCTTTTGTGTTCGCACTCGCACAAGGAGCATCCAATCCCGGGTGAAGAGAGGTGGAATAGCAGATCATGAGATCCATGTCCGTTGCATTTCTCGAATGTTTCGGTGCTTCCACCGGATCCGATGTTGACAGAGGCACACCATTCTTCTTCCTCACCTTCGTCAAAGAACATTCGCCGCCCTCCTCCTCACAATTGTGGGGTATCTTTCGCTTCCCAGATAAGGCCATTGCAATGTCTCATCAACGAAACTGGTTCCCCACAATCGCCCCTGCAAAATGGTGCTTCTCACCACCCTGATTCGTTTCCTCGCCGTCGCTGCCGTCGTCGCAGCAGCCCCTCAGCCTTTCAAGGTGGCCTTCGATGCTGACGATGTGCAGAGGATGAAGGACCTCACAAAAGGCACATTGCTTCCCGAGAAGGCACTGTACAGTGCAACGTCCTCGCAGTTCGGCATCTCGTACAACAAGCTCGCAGAGATGAAGTCACTTCTCGAGAATCTTGATACCAATGCGTTACAAGACAAGCTCAACGGCGAGCCCATGGTGTGTAGCCTCCGAATAAACGTGACGGTGCCTCTGCTCATCGGTTTCACAGTTTACCTCGGTCATCGACGGCTACACGATCCAATATGTCCACAAACAAGCAGCCGACCCTTCCAAGGCCATTCCGATCATCCTGAGTCACGGCTGGCCAGGCACGTGGTACGAGTATTATCCCGTCATTGACGCCTTGGTGAAGGGCGACGGCAAGGGAGGACCGACATTCAACGTCGTAGTCCCTTCTACGCCTGGCTTTGGATACTCAACCAATCCGGGCCCCAACTTTACAAACTACGACACGGCCGAGCTCTACCACAAGCTCATGACTCAGGAGCTTGGCTACAAAAATTATGGAGCCGCGGGTGGTGATTTTGGCGGGGTGACCACCTATGGTCTCTACAACAATCATTCCGAATGCGCCCTCGCCCATTTCTGGACGCTTCCCGTAGGTACTACACACACGTTTGCGTTCCCTCGCTGGCACTGACTGGTACTCTCTTTCAAAGTATTTCCCTCTCACGTTCGACATGCTCAAGCAGCAGTACCCCATTGAAGCGGCGCGCCTCACGTCTTTTGAGGTCAACGGCCAGCAAATCACCAACGAGTGGTTGCTCAAACAGATGGGTTGTGAGTCGAAATCGAGCCGTTGTCGTCCGTCATTGAACTTCAAGAGCTGAGCTTCTCCCTCGTTCTCAGACTTCCAAGAGCAAGCCTTCAGGCCGGCTACCATCGGCTTGGCATTGCAGGACAATCCCGTCGGGCAGCTGGCTTGGATTGGTGAAAAAGTCAGTAGACTCCCTGACTCCGTGTCCGGTATCTGTCCGAGCCTTACATTTTTGCATCTAACCCCTCAGTATGTTTCATGGTCGGATCCTGCTGCTGGCTCGGCCTCGATAGGCAGCCAATTTGACACGCAGCGTATGGTCGAGTTCATCGCTATCTACTATCTATCGAAGACGTTCCAGTCATCCGTCTTTCAGTACACACGCTCGGGAAACGACTTTCTGCTGACAGCCTCGAAGAGCCAGAGCAAGCGGCCCTTTGCACAGTCCGTCTTCAACTACGAGATTCTTCGCGTTCCCAAATTCTACACCGAGAGGCTTGGCAATCTCCAGTACTACAACACACACGGCCACGGAGGGCATTTTCCAGGCACAGATCAGCCAAACGCCGTCATTGCTGATCTGAGAGAGTCGTTTGCCAAGTTGTACAGGCCTTAGTGAGCAACACCTTTCGCCTTCTTTTGCCTTTCACCTTGTCTCGTCGGGAGTTGGTTCCATCAAGTCAATATACAATTCTAGACCCGTAGTTTTGAATTGATGCTTCCATCCATGTGTGAAGTTTGCGCCTTGGTCTTCATCTCGTGCGGAGACCCTTGCTGGCTAAACCACTTCGGTCTCATTGCAGATCCGGGTTGTTGGAGCCCAGCTCTCGTACCAAGTCTGCAATGATCTGGCCTGTTTCTGTTCCCACGTTCTCGAAGCCTCGCGAAACGCCCTCCCTGTCTTCTTCGTGCTTGTCCTGGCTCATTTTATGTCTCCCCTCGATTCTTGTCACGGCTATCTCAATACCAATGATTCCCCGGCTAAGCACGTTGACATACGCCTGCGGGGCATCAGCGACCTTCCACGGAGCCTCGTCTCCTTTTCCTGTCAGGCGGAGGTGCCGCTGTTCCAGTTCGTCGGTGAGATCGCACAGCTGCTTGCTGAGGAACTGTTTCGTCTCCTCTTCCTGAGCTCGCGTAAAGACTTTTGCTCGTCCGTGGACTTGGACTGCAGAGTAATTCCACGTCGGCACGACCTTTCCCGTCTCTGGTTTTGTCTTTATATAGAACTTGGGCGTGACGTAGGCGTTATGCGGCGCCGTAAAGAGGACCATGACCTCGTCTCCTATCCTGCCCTCTGCTTGGTCCTTGTCTGCCGCCTCGATGAGAATCTTTGTGTGCGGGTTGGCACGCGCCATGTGACCTCGCAGAACGGTTCCATCGTGAGGGTCCAGGACCCAAGGAATATGAGTCGACTGGAGCAATGGAAGCTCGTGCGACGAAGCCAGCGCCGTTGTGAGGACGCCTAGTGGGTTGTCTCTAATAAAACCATAGAGCTGGGCTTCATCGTCGATGGCTTGACCTGGTGGGATGTGCATGGTGGCTAGCTAGGAGTGCAGACAAATTGATGACTCGTCTTTCTTCCTGCAAGAGCTTGTTTCTAAATGCGCGCAAGATCATTGGCCTTTGGCTTAGTCATCGTCTAGAGAAATCAAGCGTCTGAATAGGCGACGGAAGGGCCGCCTCCCTTGGCGGATCGGCATCGTCTTTGCCCTTTTTACGTATGGCTGCTTGCACCCTTGGCTTCTCCTCAAGTGTTGCGTGTACCTGACTTGACTCACGGCTGCCATCTGGACCTGCATGTTGAGGTCAGGAACGCGCTTTGGACTTGGTCACAATCAAGGTGAGAAAATAGAGCTTCTCTGATATTGTTTGGAGTTTCTGCCACCACCGGCTGACCAGGGTCGGGCCCCACCGGCTCATGCATTGCCTTGGTGCACGCATTACCCACTTCTTCGACTCGACTTTGTTGGTAAAGCAATACTTGCAACACCATCCTCCGTCACCAACAGACTCACAAGCAACAATGAGCGACAAGATCGAGCCAACGGGATTCTCGGGCAAGCCGCGCCTCGCATCAAAGGTCTGTGTCATCACAGGTGCCGTGGGAGGCATCGGACAAGCAACCGTGGTGCGCTTCGTGGAGGAGGGTGCAAAGGCCGTCATCATCAGCGATCTCAACAAGAAGGCATGTGATGAGCTCGTCGAGAAGGTCAAGGCGAACCTTCAGCAACTGGCTTGGCCGGGCCTCGAGCCGATCACGGAGCTGTACGCTATCCAGTGTGACGTGACCAAAGAGGAGGATCAAGCAAGGCTGTTCCAAGAGACGCTCGACAAGTTCGGATCGGTCGATGTTGCAGTGGCCAATGTGGGTGCAGGTGACTTTGGAGTCAGACAAGTCAGACTGACGGCTTCGCAAACAGGCGGGCATTGGATCGCCCCAAGCTCCTCTCGAGGAAACGTCTCTCGGCTTGTTCAAGAAGATGTTTGACATCCACACGACGGGCGGTGAGTCTACTGGAAGTATGCGCCAAGTCTGTAAGAGAGCTGACGCTCTCCTCTAGTCTGGCTCACGACCAAGTACGCTGCCAAGGCAATGCAGGTCAACAAAGAAGGCGAAGGCAAAGGATCTATCATCATTAACATCAGCGTGGGAGGCCTGATTGCCGAATCGAACTTTTCGCCCTGTGAGTATACGACGTCTTGCAAGCGGCAGTACAGTTCCGTAGCTAATGCAAAGCATTAGACATTGCATCCAAGTGGGGTGCAAGGGGCGTTGGACTAGCTCTGGCAAAGGAGCTGGGTCCAAAGGGCATCCGCGTCAACAATGTCCATCCTGGCATCGTCGACACTCCACTGGCAACTGACTGCTGGAAGCCCGAAGTGGCACAAGCCATTCGTGAGGCCTCGACTCTGCGGCGATCTGCGACAGCGGTGGAAGTTGCAAACGGTAAGTCCGAAGAAAGCGAGAAAAGTGGAGATTACAGCCGTCGCTCACCGCTCATGTCTCAAGCCTTTGTCTTTCTCGCTTCCGGAGAGAGCTCTTACGTGGCTGGCGCCACGCTGGGGGTCCACGGCGCAATGGTGGCCTAGATTTTGTCGCGCGAAAATTTCGCGGGGTAGGACATAGGTGTCGATTTACTACTGTACCTAGCAGCTGAGACTAGTCACACCGGTAATGGCCAAGCCACAAATTTCCCCAATCTCTCCTCTTCCCCCGCCTTTCTCCCCCGCATCGCATTTATGGGGAAGTGACAGCTAGTGGCATCACCGTTAAAAAGGGAGCACCGTTTGCTTCGTTGCCATCCTACCATCCTTATCTTCCATCCATTTCTTTCGACACACAACCACCTGCCTTTCTCTAAGAGCACAATCGGCCATGGAACCTCCTCCACACAAGTACGCAAAGGGACTTCGAGGCAATGCTCTCCTAGCCGTTGTCGTCACGTTTTGTTCGCTCGGCTTCCTTCTCTTTGGCTATGATCAGGGTCAGTTTCATTGAAGATGCAGTTTCGTAGCTGCTGTCGGAAAGACAGGCGCTCACCTTGTGACGTTCAACAGGAGTAATGGGCGGGCTGGTGATCAACCCCCTTTTCCTGGGTCTGGACGCGCGCCTTCAAGACCCAGACATCCTTGGTATCACCGTCGCCACTTTCCTTCTTGGTGGCTTGGCCGGGTCTATCTTGGCGTCGACGCTCTCCAACAAGATCGGAAGGAAACCCATTGTGCTCTCTGCTTCGGTCCTGACCATCATCGGAGGTGCGGTTCAAAGCGCGGCCGTGAATCTGGGCATGCTCATCTCCTTCCGAATCATTCTGGGTATCGGCGTCGGTCTTATGACGTCGCTATGTCCTGCGCTCCTCCTCGAGTTCTGCCCAACAAGGATCCGAGGTATGGTGTCGTCTATTGAACTCATCCTGTGCGCCACAGGTCTTGTGCTTTCCTTTTGGGTCGATTACGGCGCGGCGTCGTACACCTCCTCGTTTTCGTGGCGATTTCCCCTCGCCCTCCAAGTCGCTTTCCCTCTTCTCATGATCCCTTTCGGCCTTCTGATGCCCGAATCTCCCCGTTACCTGGCGGCAAACCATGATGACGCAGGGGCGTTGGCTGTGCTCCATCGCATCTACCCAAACGACCCCAGCGAAGCCGAGCGTGTCATGACGCAGCTTCAGGAAGCCATCCGACTCGAGCACGAGGTCAGCCGATCCTCGGGCTACTGGACAGCTTTCCAAAACAACAAGCAGCGATTCAGGTACCGTACGCTGCTGGCGCTGGGCGTTCAATTCTGCCAACAATCGTCCGGCATCAATGTCGTCACATAGTGAGTAGTGACGGCGAATGGCTGGCTTGTCCGAGGCACTGATCACGTTGATACGCGCACAGCTACGGCACCTACGTCTTTTCCACGAGCTTGGGCCTGGAGCCCAAAGCTGCGTTGCTGATGAATGGATGGAACGGAATTCTGGCCGTTGGCTCGACGACCGTTTCCGTCCTGACCGGTCTCGTCGACAGTGTCGGAAGAATCCGCCTCATGATGATAGGTGCAGCCATGATGGGCATCTCGATGGCCATCTTGGCCGGCACGACGGGGCCCCAGCACGCTGGCGACAAAATGTATGGCGCTGCCGGCACCGCATTTATCTTCATCTTTCTCAGCTTCTTTTCGAGCTGCTGGCTTGCTCCGAGCTGGATCTACCCTAGCGAGATTGCCCCCCTCGGTGAGAGCTCATGATGGACCTGCCCTCTTATTTTTGCTCGGCCTTGCTAATGAGACGGATGTGGCAGCCATTCGTGGTCAAGTGGCCTCGATGGGCTCAGGTGTCAACCTGTTGTCCAACTTCGCTGTGGTGCAAATCACACCCAAAGCGATCCAGAACATCTCAAACGTAAGTCGTCCTGGAGACAGTCCAAGGACTTATTGCCCTGCTGACTCTGCCGTCCTTGCAGCGCTACTTCATCGTCTTTGCCGTCTTCAATGCTGTGACAGTCTTTGCCCTGTACTTCCTGTACCCGGAGACGTCACGACTGACGCTGGAAGAGATCGACCTGCTGTGAGTCCTGGTTCTAATCCAAGGCATACACTCAAAAGGTCCCTAACCCGATCACCGTCACAGCTTCGACGAAGACAAAGTCGTCATGCGACGGTCCCCTCGAGATGCAATCGTGGGTCACACCTTCAGCCAAGGTCCTCCTCACGAGGACGTTTCCCTGCACGACTCGGATTCGAAAGAGGCCGACATCAAGATCGCTTGATCTGGTACACGCGTAACTATTATCGTCTGTCTCGTTTTCTCCATTTCTTGCTTCTTGCTTGCTGCTATTCTCTCCCTTTCCCATTTTTTTTTGGCTCACTATTGTAAATACGAAGCGGTCCCGGTACACCTGGAAGGCTCAATACAAAGGTTCTTCACTGCGCAGAAGGAGGAGTCATGGAAGAGAGGTGCCGGAGAAGCTTGATGTAGGACCAGGTGATGCCCCAAGCATCGCTGGCCTCGAGCTCGCAGGAAAAGACCTTGAGCAGCTTGCTGCCGACCTCGTGCCCTTCAAGAAGGCCGACGCCCCTCAAACGAGCTGGTCGTCGAACATCATTTATCCAGTCTTGCAGCTCTTGGCTCGTCATGTCGACTTCATCATCGAGTATGGGTGCCTTGGACATCGGCCCGCTGGACCAGCCAAGCTGAGACGAGAGATTGGCAAATGTCCAGAGGATCAGGGCGGCAGTAAAGACGAGGTGCGACTCGTAAGGCTTCCACCGCGGGCTCTCGATAAAGAGTTTTCTGATTCTGCTGCTGTGCCAGGCTGCAGCTCGGAATCTTCTTTGGGCGTTCACGTTGTTGCAAAGACTGAGCCTGAGGACCTCCCTGGCCTCCAGGACACCGTCAGATGTCCGTGCGCCTAGCCGACGAAGCATACTGAGCGGAATGAGCTGACGAGTACTGGCAAAGTGGTACATCATCCGTCGATCCAGCGTTTCGGAGTCAGCTCCCGCCTCTGCGAAGAGCTTCATTGCGTCGAGGTACCTCTGTGACTGTTTCGCAGAGAGAGAGAGGAGCAGAATTCTAGTGTCAGATACAAGACAATCTACTGACGGCAAACGATACCCACGGGAGCGTCAGAGTCGTCGCCGGAGCTCTTGGCCTTTTGCTGCTCCATCTCGAGCTGACCGTCTTCGCTGCTGTGTTGAACCAACTGGCCATCAAGGATCTGCTGGGCGAGCTGCTGCTGCTTTCGGTCCCACAAGAACCTTGCCAGGAGCATAGAGATGAGGTGGCTGGCGAGCGGAGACGTCGGGGCTGCCACTTGCCGTCGACCAACGAGGGTCTGGACGGCGTGAAGCATCTTTTTGTGGTTGTTGCTGTTGCTGTTGCTGTTGCTGTTGCTGTTGCTGTTGCTGTTGCTGTTGCTTCCACTCTTGGCGCTGCTGCTGCCTCCGGCGCCGCTGCCAACGCTGGCCTTTGTCTGATTGACAGTAGAAGAAGGAAGGCTGCCCCGTCGATAGACGTGGAACCATGCCTGAGAGGAACGGGCCGACCAAAGCTTCTCGTCGCTCGGCAGGTCATCGTTGAGTTCGGCAAGGTTGGTGCTGGGAGGTGAATCAAAGAAAATGGTCATGTAGATGTCAAATACATGACACCCGAGTGACAGCCGACGATGTTCCTCGGCCTTTCTCCACGCCTTCCACTTTGCGTCTACACCCTCGAGAGCCTCAAAGTCGGCGATTGGATGACTTGCAAGGTAGTCGCTTCTTCTTCGAAGATGTGTCAAGACTTGCGACCGAAGAATCTCGGCCAGTTCGAAGTGGCGCGGATTGCCGGAGAACGTGCCGAGAATGTTACAGAGGAGGAGTGACTGGATGTACCACGGCTCGATGATGCAGCTGTTGTCTCGCTCTGCGACGTAAGCAGCACCTCTGCGGACGATCTCGTTGAGGTAGTTGCTCATCTCGTGTGCATGCTTCAGCGACGACAGCTGTGCGCCGACGGCGGCGACGACGGTACAGAGGAGCCAGTGAGCTCTGCGCGGGTCAAAGGTGTTGTGAAGAAGAGGGAAATGAGGGTGGAAGTGTTCAAAGTAGCACTGGACAAAGAGGTCCATGAGATCGTGCTATTGTCTCGGCCTCATCATCAGCCCAGCTGGAATGAATAATTAATGATGTGACTGAAAACTGCCCACCTTTGGAAATCGATTGAGAATCAGAGAGCGGTGTGCGCTCACCGATCGAACCTCGTCGATGGCTGCCACGACGCGCGTGAGCGTCCGTTCGTCGAGCGCCTTGGTATGCGCCAGATCATCCTTTCTCTTGGCCTCCTCGAGCTCCTCGAAAGTCGGCAAAGGCGGCATCCGAAAGTCTTGCTGCCTCGTTCGGTATCTCGTCCTTTCTTCCGGCCAGTTCTTCTCGCCCACGCCGCCACCGGTGGTCGAGTCGGGCTGGGCGGCGGCTTCGACTGGCGTGTTGGCCCTCGTCTGGATTCTCGTAGCGCGGCCAGTCTCGTGGACTTCCAGTGAAATGCTCCCTCGATGTTCAACGTCTTCTTCTGCCCCAACAGTTTCGACGCCGTCGAGTCGATCTGCCGCGGCTCCCATCCCACCGGGGCCACCGGGGCCACCGTGGCCGTTTCCCTCTTCGTAGAAATGTGCTTCGATTGGTGCCTGAAGCGCTTGAGTCGTCTGTCGAGGAGTCGCTGTGTGGTCGCCGGCGGTGTCACCCGATGTGGAGCCGACGGTCTCTGCAAACGATAAGTTCTCATCCAATACACCATTCTCGTTCTGTCCAAGGGCGGCAAGGCACGGAAGCGAGCGTCAGCGACAGTTAATGGGCAAACCCATAGCACACCGCGCCCATCGACTGACCAAAAGATTCGCGTCAAAGATCCACTGAGAATTACTCGGCTCAAGCTGAAAGACGTCCAAGGGCTGCTCGATGAAGAAGCTGTCGAACGAGAATGCGGGCCACTCAGACGAGGTTGCAGCGGACGACGATGCTGCTGCCAGACCGACAACGGGCGGATTCTGCTGAGGATGATGATAATGTCCCTGGTGCATACCACTGGCCTCTGGCTGACTGGAGGGGCCGGTACTGCCGGCTTCCGACAAAATCCTCCGCAGCTCCAGGCCTACGTCTGGCGAAGCATTCACCGGAACACTATCGTGAGGTCCAGGCTGGAGCGATGCGTCGGCCCCGTCAAGAGAGGGCAGTGCTAGGCCGAAATGTCTTCTTGAAGACGCTATTTGCCTCTGGTCGAGGTCGGTCTCTTGCCACTGGCCGACTACATGCCCTTGCCCTGCCGTTTCTGCCAATGACGCTGGTATATGTGCTGCTGTTGCTGCTGCCGCTGCTGCTGCTGCTGCTGCTGCTGGTGGCGGTGGTGGTGGTGGTGGCAGTGCTGGCACCACCTGCCGTGGTAGGGGCGATGTTGATTCGCGGTAGTTATTGGTCGAAAGTGTACGACCCGGTACTGCATACAGGCTATGAACGTCTGTCTGCTGATATGATGGGTGTCCATAAGAGGGGCCTTGCTGATCCTGGTGCAGCATCGACGACGCGGCCTGGCCCAGCATGGCGAGACCCTCGCACCGATCAATCAGGAGATCTGCTGATTGATTGGTGTCTTCGCTCTCGTTGGTCCCTCTCAGCGCAGCTTGCTCGTTGTTCCTCGTGTCCTGGGAATTGCCCATCCTGCCGGCCGCAGGCGTCGTCGTGTCTCCCGACCCCGTGGACGATCGACCAGCGGAGAGATTGCGACCCCGGAGCCACAGTCTGTCAAGCGTGCACTCGCATCCGCGCTGGCGGCACTGAGAACAGGGCTTCTTTCCGTCGCAGTGTACCTTGAAAGAGGCGCAGTTGTCGCAAGCTGTGTGTCCAGCGTCAGCTAGTCTGCATCGCTTTGCACGACGGATCGTTCAACTCACCCTTGGATGCACGCTTCAGAGTCACAGCCTCGGCACTTCCCACCTCATGTCCGAGCCTTCTGTGAAGGTTCACATGTCTCGAGAGACTGTCTTTCCGGCTGAATATCTTGTTGCAATAACGGCACACGAAGTCGCTCGACCGAGACTTCGATCTTTTTGGCGAGTTCGCCCCTGCCCCGTCCTCGTCGTTCGAGGCGCTGGCCCGCTTGCCACCCGTCGTGCCGCGCTGTGGCCGCGCCTCGTCACGGTCAGACGAGGACGATGAGGAGGAGGATGCTGGTGCGATGGAAATGTCGTCTTCTTCCACGTCTCTGCCTGACTTGGCTGTCTCTCCGTTGCAGGCTTCGTTGCTGTCCTGCTCGTCGCTGCGCCCGTCGTTACCGTTCGGAGCAGGCCACTCGCGTGATTTCCTTCTGCTGCCCGTCGCTTGATGATCGCGAGCACGTCTCGAGCTTGAGCGGGATTCCATTTTTTTTTTCCTAAACTCGTCTCCCTCAAGATTTGCGGGGTGCGGTCCTCCCCCGGAAAGTGAGGAGGGAACGAAGATGGAGGTCTAAGCGGTGGTTATTTCATTTCCTCACGGCCGGTGGAGACAAAATCGACCCGCGTGTAAAAATCCCATGCTTAGTAACCTGTTGTGGCACCTCCAACTTCCCCCCTTCGTATGCTATTGGTCATGACAAAGAATAGAGTGCTCACGCAAGGATAGATTAGGAATCTTCATGGAGAAAAACAGTACAGATGCCGGACGACTGGCGAATCATGCAAAGCCTCTTTTCAGTGCATCGTCTATGTGGCTGACAAAGGGCAGGGCAAGAGGGTGGTCACAGACGCTCTTCGATGTTAATCCGTCTTGACAAGCTTCCATCCCTCTCAGCCGGCACACTCCTCGTCTCATCACCCCAAAGCTCCCAGCCCTTACCCCGGAAGCGCCTGCCCCAGATGCCCGACTTGCCCGGGGCAATGATGGAGTTGGGGTCAAGGGCATCCTTGATCGTTTCGTTGAACTTGAGGAATGCGTTGTTGTTCCAGCCATACACCTTCATCACCTCGTCGAAGCAGCTGATGTGCGTGCGATACTCGCCGTAACCCTCCTTGCCGGCGTCCCGGATCATGTCACGCAGCATGCGGTAGGCGCCCCATTTGTGTTTGGGGTCGGCCTTGTTGTAGATGATGCAGCAGATGTGGTGCATCTCCCGAGGACCCACGCAGAAGGTGCTGAAGCAGTCAAAGCCGTATTGGCGGTGGCGCTCCTTGACCATCTTGAACTGCTTCTCGGCATCTTTAGCCGTGATAGGTGAGATGGGGGCGAAGAAGAGATGAGCACCGTCAGGCACCCAGTTGACCCAGCCGAGTTCTCGCAGGTTTGGCTGGCCCGAGAAAATCTGGATCCTGGTCCGGATGTACGAGTCCTCGGGCGTGTCGTCGGACTTGTAAAAGGCCGATCCAGGAATGTGGGTGAACGCATCGCGCACCACGTCAACAAGGTGATCGCAGCTGTCCTCGTCCGAGTACAGGCAACCGTAGAGGAACCAGTAGCCGCCGAATCTCTCTGCAATCTTCTCCGTTGTCTCCTCGTCGATGGGGCCAGGGCCCTTGTAGTAGGTCCTTTGGTTTCCATGAAGAGCGGCCTCCTGGAGGACGTGCCGGAGCGAGGGAACGTTGCCGAGCACGCCTCGGACCATGAGCGGCCTCAAAGCCTCGCAGACGGCGCCAAGGTCCTCTTCACGCTTGAAGGAAATCTGATAGGCTTGCATAGACTTGGGGCTGGGCATGAGCCACATGCCCATTTTCGTCACGATGCCGTTGTTGGCCTGCGAGAAGAGACCATCGACGCTGGGACCAAAGCCATGTTGGAAAGATTGCCACGTGTTGGCACCATCGACGGCACCCATTCCTGTCCGCATCAAGCTCCCGTCGGGAAGGACGACCTCGAGGCCGCAGTGCTTGCCCCAGTGATCGCCGTAGGGCGTGTAGCCAACGCCTCGGTCCAATGCGTTTCCCCTGATATTTGCAAGGTACAGTACACAAGTCAATGAGAGCAACAGCCAGAATCGAAAGGGGATTATATGCGACTCACATTACAGAGCCGCCCGGAAGATCAGGTGTGTCGATCCAGAGCGACGACCCCTGGGCCTGGAGGCAGTCGTAGAGGTTGTAGTACGTCACGCCTGGCTCTACGAGGCACGACGCCTCGCGCTCGTTGACTTCCAAGATACGGTTCATGTGGTGGCCCATGTCAATGACGACCGAGCCTCTGACGCGAGGTCCTGCACCACCGTAGCCGAGGTTGCGACCGATCGAGATGGGCCAGAGCGGGATCAAGTACTCATTGGCCCAGCGTACAATGGCCTGGACGTCCTCGGTGTGTCTCGGACGAGCGACGCAGCTGGCGACGAAATCGTCCTGGTCGAGCACTTGGAATGCATCGTGACTGAAAGACATCCACAGGGTGAATTTCCAGCTGGGAGAACATACAATGATCAATGACTTACGTCTTGGGGTGTTGCAGGTACCAACCATCGTTGAGAGGTTGATCAACGATGTCGACATTCTCATTGCCAATGAGCTTGCGAAGCGTAGCTGCGGCAGCATAGAACCTCTCTTCGGTGTAGTCAGGAGGCAGAGCCACCGATCGCGGTCCCGAAATAGGCTCGACGGTCTTGTTGGCTTCATTGATCTCGCGCGCCCTCTCCGCCTGCTCTTGAAGACGCGGGCTGATCTTGATGGGACCCTGGAAGCTCATTTCGTCGTGCAGTAGTTACGAAGGGTGCTCGGCGGTAGCAGTAGAAGTCTTGAAGCGGGCAGATCGATTCGGACCCCTGTCTTTTAATGTCTAGACGTGGAAGGTGCTATGGTAATCAAGTAACCTGTTGGCATTCTGACGGCGCACCGTCACGAGAGATTCGAGTGGCGGTCATCCGGTGGTAAATTGCGTGTAGGCTTGCCATCCTTCTCCTCTTTCCCATTTTTTATTTATTTCTTTTCCCTCTTTTTTTGTTTTGTTTTTCAGTGCCTCTTGGATGGAAACCACCGGCTACACACACCTCACGCCATCACCGGGTGCTACTGGACAAAAGACTGCGATTGATGGCATAGATACATAGCTTATTTCATCCTGTCGGTGCACCTTCCACCCCTTCCCCCTCTTGTACAACCAAACGAGGAAGTATACATCGGCTCACTACCCAGTACACACAGCAGCATGGTTGAACAGGTACGAAGCGTGGGCAATCCCGTTGAGATCGGGTACGCCGACGCAAAGACTCTGCCATGGAAGTCTGTCGACGCAGCGATGGATCGGCCTAGGCCATTCAAGGTCATCTGCATTGGTGCGGGTGTCTCTGGCATCTATGGTGAGAGTCATAAGACGCAAGAATGGCGAGCAAGGAAGCTGACCAGGGAAACTTTAAGCTGGCATCCGGATCACCAAGACGATGGCAAATGTCGACCTGAAGATCTTTGACAAGAATCCTGAGTGGGTACAGGTAGCGCATTGACGAGTCTTTGTGCTCGCTGACAAGGTCATCATGGGTAACAGCTTCGGCGGAACATGGTTCGAGAACCGCTATCTGGGCTGCGCTTGTGACATTCCCGCGCATTGCTATCAGCTCTCCTTTGAGCCAAACCCTAATTGGTCTTCCTTCTATGCGCCGGCGCGCGAGATCGGAGCATACTGGAAGGGGGTGGCGCTCAAGTACGGCCTCGACGGACACACTCAATTCAACAAGATGGTCTCGCACTCTAAATGGGACGAAAACGCGGGCGAGTGGATTGTAGAGGTGACTGATGTCGAGACGAAAGAAGTCGAGGTGCACCGCGCCAATGTCGTCATCCAGGGTGTTGGCGGCCTCAACAACTGGAAATGGCCCGACGTCGAAGGAATCACGAGCTTCAAAGGACATCTGGTCCACTCGGCTGCGTGGGATCAAAAGTATGACTTCAAGGACAAGCGTGTCGCCCTTATTGGCTCCGGGTCAACGGCCATCCAGATCCTTCCTCAGTTGGCTGGCGTAAGTGTGCTGAGTGCCGACCAGTGTCTCCATTGCTGACTCTTCCCACCCCGCAGCATGCCAAGCACGTCGATCAGTACGTGCGAAGCGCCACCTGGATCGGATTCCCATTCGCGGGCGAGGAGACCAAGGCAGGCCTCCCAGGCGCCGACAAGGAGCGGTATTCTGACGAAGAACAACAGCGATTCCAAAGCGACCCCAAAGCCTTGGCCGAATACAGGCACCGGCTGATGACAAATCTCAACAGCATCCACTCTGTCACGATGCAGGAGAGCGAGCTGCAGAAGGGCGCCCAGGCCACCTTCTGGAACAACATGCAGGCCAAGCTAGAGGCCAAGCCACACATTGCAAAGTTCCTCAAGCCGAACTTCCCCGTTGGCTGCCGCCGTCTCACGCCTGGACCAGGCTACCTTGAGTCCTTGAATGGCGACGACGTGGGCTTTGTCACGGACGAAATCGCCCGCATCGACGAGAGCGGCATCGTCGATAAGAAGGGAGCACATCGCGAGTACGATGCGATCGTCTGTGCTACCGGGTTCGACACTACCTATCAGCCACGATTCCCCATCCTTGGTCGAGAGGGCTCCAACCTTCACAAGAAATGGTCTCAATTCCCCGAAACGTACTGCAGCGTCGCTGTCGATGGTTTCCCGAACTACTTTATCGTCAACGGGCCAAATTCGGCCGCCGGCTCGGGTGATTTGGTGGTTTTGCTGCAGACCGAGGTCGACTACGCGGTTCAGTGTCTTCAGAAGCTCCAGCTCGAGGGCTACAAGTCGCTCGAGGTCAAGCGCGAAGCCGTCGAGGAGTTTCAAGAATATGCTCAAACCTACTTTAAGAAGACGGTCTTTGGAACAAAGTGCCGCACTTGGTACAAGTCTGGCCGCTCAGAGGGTCCGGTGACTGCGCTGTGGCCCGGCTCGATTCTTCACGGAGTAAAGACGCTGCTGCGACCTCGCTGGGAAGGTGAGATGACTTTCATTTGCGCTTCTTCAGACCTTGACTGGAAGGACTGACATGGGCTGGGCTCGCAAAAGACTACAAGCTGGAACCGCTGCCAGAGTCAAGGAGAAACCGGTTCCAGTATCTCGGCAATGGCTACACCGTCGCCGAAGAGGATGGCTTGGACACGGCGTGGTATGTCATGGAGCCCAACTCGGAGCTGGTGGCCCGCAACGGTCAGGCAGCTACCGCTCTCATGTTGCGCGGACAGGAAAGGGCCGAACAGACAAATGGACACCATTGCAACGGCCATTGATTGTAATTCTCTTCTTGATATGTCGAAATACGCATCCCATGAACTCGAAATTTGGACCATGACAGCCTAACCGGATGTGCACGTGTTAGAGGTGTTGTGTCCACATGACCTGCGGCCGATGAACAGCAAAGCACGCGTCGATGGGAAGAAAAGCGGGAGTAGTCCTGTTGAGTGGCTTCAACGGAACACCGGTAACGGGGACAGCGGGGAGAAAATGCGTTGCGGGGAATGGCGAGCGCGTAACCGGTGGTGGGGAAAGACGGGACGCCTTAAAATAATGGAAAAGGATCCCTAGCCTACTCTTGTCGCTGCTTTCTTCATCGCCATCATCATGACCGCCAGCCAAGGTGTTTTCGCGTCGTCTGAGCTTCGTGATCTAGCGCCATACCTACTGGCATCGCTCCCGTTCCTCTGGGCATTCTATGCAGTCTTCCTCCACCCTCTTGCTGGAGTGCCAGGCCCAAGACTCGCCAAGGTTACGAGAGGGTGAGCAGATTGCCTAGTTCTCTTTCCCCCTTCACGCGACTCACAACGCGGCTCTCTTCCAGTTGGCACACGTACAAGTGTTTCAAGGGACAGTGGCATCAAGTCATTCTTGACCTACATGAGAAGTACGGACCCGTGGTTCGCATCGCTCCTGACGAGGTCTCCTTTGTGGATGCCACTGCGCTAAAGAAGCTCTTCGGCCATGGAAGCAATTCGGCACCGAAAACAAAGTGGTGTGAGTAGGAGCAACTTTGATGAAGAGCCCATCGCTCGCCTTGTTCCTGATCTCCATCGCTTCGTAGACAACACCTGGCAGCTGAGCGGGCAAGGCGAGTCCGTTTTTGCGACGCAAAATGCCCAGATGCACGCCAAACTCCGCCGCAAACTTGCCTCGACGTACTCAATGACAGCGATCCTGCAGGTCGAGAGTCTCGTCCAAGAAGTTGCCGACGAAAATTGGGCGGCATTTGAGCGCATCGCTGGCGAGTCTCGCGTCATTGACCTCGACTTCTGGACCGGGGCTTTTTCGTACGACGTTGTCAGTGAGCTGGGCATGGGAGGCCGCCTTGGGTTCGTCAAGTCAGCCACCGACGTCAATGGCCTCATTCGTGCCGTCACTGATGGATTCTATACCATCACAAAGTGCGTTTTCTTGCCGTGGATTTGCATTTTTGGCGCCCGCTTATCTTTCCATCTGTTCAAAAGCATGGGTCACGTCCCCGGTCAGATGCTGCTGTTTGACAATGTCAGTAGCTCCGCAAGTGTGGAAGCGCCATGGACGAAGGCTGATTAATGAGTTTGCAACAGCCCATCACAAGTTCCCTGCTCAAGCTGTTTGGTGCGCGAAACGCCTTTGAGGACTTCATCAAGTGGCTCGACGAGCGTGTGAGGTGCAGACAGGACGGGACAGAGCCGGCAAAGAGACACGATATGCTCGAGAGTTTCCGAACCCCAAAAGGCGACGACGAGCAGGTCACGCACCCGGAGGTCATGGTAGAGGCCATCAACCTTCTCGGGGCTGGCGCGGATACAACATCAATCGGGTAAATTTCCTCCTTTTTTGGTCTTCCCCTTGCGGATCTCAGTCTCATCCCCTACTCTTCGCACAGCATTCGAGCGGTACTCGGTCACCTTCTCGAGTACCCAGAATCATACAAAGCCGTTCAAGAAGAGATTGATGGCTATTTTGCGGTCGTCGGCGACCTCGAGGCACCCTCGAAGCTTTCTTTCAAGGAGTGCCAGAAGCTCCCCAAACTTCAGAATGTCATTCGGGAAGCACAGAGGCTACATCCCAGCATTGTTTATCAGCTCCCGAGGTTGAGCCCGGGCGTTGAGATTGCGGGACACTTCATCCGTAAGTAGAAGGCTATCGCTCTGGGCTCTAACCCCCTACTCATAGAGAAGAGCTTCACAGCCCCCGGATACGCCGTCAGCATCAGCTCTCTCTCAGCCAACCGAGACAAGGCCGTCTTTGGAAGCGATGCCAACTCCTTTAGACCAAGCCGTTGGGAAGACGAAGACGAGGCCAAGAGGATGGACTCGATGCTGTGCACGTTTGGAGCTGGTAACCGCTCTTGCCTCGGCAAAAACCTGGCCCTCGTCGAGATCAACATCTATGTCGCCCAGCTTTTGCGGCAATATGATCTGGAATCGGCGGTTGAGCAAGGACAACCAAAGTGGAAGAACTACTCGCAGTGGTTCAACATGCAGACCGACTTTCTTGTTCGGCTACGTCGCCGGTCTAACGGATCTACCTGAGGTGCGCTCATCGTCTCATCTTCCTCTCCCGCTGTCATCCTGTCCCACCACTCCAATCTTCGACCACAAAGCTCTCACTGGCACCAGTGCCTTTTTAAGTCCAAGAACAAAACCTCAAGGAAATGAATGAGTCTACCTGCACATGTTGCTGAGATGTCGGCAGTGTGATGTCCCTTCCACTCTTCTGTTCCGTACGCGCATCTTCTTTGCTTGCGAGTTTTGGCAGTGTGATACGCAGCAGGTGTGTTCTGGGACGCAATTGCGGAATCATCTTATTTGGTGCTCTGAGCACCATCAGGTAGAAGTGTAGCGTAGCACCTAGCTTCAATCCCCTGCCGCGGCAATGCCGATACCATGTAATCCGACTGATGCCGATTTACAAGCTACGGGCGGGCGGGAGGACTTCTGAACGAGATACAATTTCGATGAGGCAAATCTTATCTGTTTCTTTTCTCCACATTCTCCGCGAGACCTGCGAAAAATAGAACTCAAGGGCAGACAAGTAGCCGGTGGCAGGTTGTCTTCCAACCAGATCAAACAAGCCTGACAACTCATCATCATGAGCGGCAAAGCAGGATCCAGCGACGCTTCAAAGAGGCTTGAGGGCAAGGTATGCCTAGTCACGGTGAGTCGGTCCGGCTCGCCACTCGTCTTCGTTCAGCAAGAGGCTGATGCCCATATTCGCCAACAGGGCTCAGCGGGTGGCATTGGCCTCGTCGCGGTACAGGAGCTGCTCCTCGCCGGCGCGCGGGGTGTCACACTGATTGACCTGCGCCAAGAGGCACTCAAGACAGCTCAAGAGCGCTTGAATGAAGCGCTCGCGCACCTCTATACCCCAGAACAGATTGCGGAGCGCACTCTGTTGCAAAATGCCGATGTGTCGGTAGAAAGCGACGTTTTCGAGGCTGTCCGAGCCACGATGAGCCGCTACGGCCAGCTCGACGTCGCCGTCGTCAACGCAGGCTTGAGCCAAGCACCTCAGAGTGTGCTGTTTGAAAGCGTCGAGGTTCTCGATCGCCTCTACCGCGTCAATGTTCGAGGGGGTGAGCGGACCGCTGGGCTACTTTCCTCGTTGCTCTTGAAACTCAATTTGTTGCCCTTCTTGCAGCCTATATCACACTCAAGTTTGCAGCACTGGCAATGACAGGATTGCTTCCAGCGACTTTGGAAGACACCAAGCAAGTGAATGGGCTTGGTTGCAACTCTGCCAACCTATCCAGAGAAGGTACGGCAGGCAAGGGAAAAAGCATCATCATTGTCAGCAGTGTGGCAGGATTGTACGGCGAGGCACTCCTCGTTCCCTATGTAACGACCAAGTGGGCTTCGCGTGGCATGTCGCGCTCGGCTGCTCAGGAGCTCGGTTCGATGGGCATTCGCGTCAACTCTATCCATCCTGGGCCCACGGACACGGAGATGTTCAAGACGGCGTTTGACACACAGGAAAAGAGGGATGTTATTTCTGGCAAGACGGCTCTCAAACGTGTCGCCAATCCGACGGAGATAGCAAGGGCTATGGTGAGCGTCTTCCGTCTATCTCGTTGAAAATCGAAGCTCATTCCAAATCTTCTCCTCTCAGCTCTTCCTTGCTAGCGATGACTCATCATACATGACTGGAGCATCCCTTGACGTCCACGGCGGTCAGGTCTGATCCATTCACGCCAGCATCTTTGAATTTCCGGCCGCCAAGGTGCGACAAAGCGGCCTCGGGTCAGAGTTCAACTTTTTACCGAACATAACCGGTGGATGCGTGATAGAGTGGCAATGATATGATGCTTTTCGAATCTTCTCTCTTAGCGACCACTTCATTTCTTCCCAGTCTGGTTTCTTCAACGATGGCCAAAACGCACACGTTCACCTACAAAGCGGCACCTGACAACGCTGGAGGTCAGGTGGAGATCGCCGTCGATGTTCACCTGCCCGACTCGGCCAAGGCAGGCGACAAATTGCCTTGCCTTGTCTGGATCCACGGCGGAGGGCTGTTTCAAAGTAACAAAGCCCAGATTCCAGCCCACTTCCTGAGGGCCCCTGATCGGCATGGCATTGCTATCGTCAGTCCGGACTACAGGGTGAGCCATAACCACGCTTGTCTGCTGCGGTCCAAGCTGATTATATCTTTCGGTCAGCTCGCTCCTCAAGTCCGTCTGCCTTCCATTTTGGAGGATATCTCTGACTTTGCCAACTTCTTGCTCGATGGCACACTGAACAAAAAGCTCGTCAGCCAGCAGGCAGCAGAGCTAGATCTCACCAAAGCTGGCCTCTCGGGTGCCTCTGCCGGAGGCTTCCTTGCGAACCTGCTCGCTCTTGGCCTCTGCCCCAACTTTTCGATCGAGCAAGCCAGCAAGGCATTCCGATTCGTGGCCCTAGAGTACCCATCCTCGGATCTGACGACTGACCAATTCACCAAGCCCTGTCGTCCGTTCATGGGCTACCTCGCAGAGCAGGATCCCGATCCGCTCTTCCGGGAGTTCGCCGATCCTCAATCCAAGGTCAGCAATGGAAGCGACATTCCGCAGTCATCGCACAGGAACAGGTTCTTCATGTATGCCCAGCAGACGGGTCGCTACCAGAACTTCATCTACGGAGACAACGCGGCCGACCTGATTCGGCAGACTACTGTCCCCTCTACGGTTCAGAAGAGCCCCAAGGAGCACCTCCTGCCCGTCTTTGTCGTACATGGTGCTGCGGACTCTGCAGTTGATGTGGACCAATCCCGTACACTCGTGAATGCCTACCGTACCATTGGACATACCGACGTCGAGTATGTCGAGCTGAAGGACACAGATCAGTGAGTCGTCAGCCTGGGCTCTCGCTTCAACGCTTATCTCACGTTTTCTGCTTCCCTCTTCCCTTTTGCGCAGTCTTTTTGATGGTAAGTCTGCCTCGGCAGGTCACTGTTGACAGCAGAGCCTGATTTCCTTTTCTTCCTCACCCAAACAGCCTTCGACGCGACGGTCGAGCTTGAGCCATGGTGGGACTTTGTCACCAAGAGGCTTACAGCAAAGTGAATTCGCAAGTGGACTCTAGGTTCCACAAGCGGGGCCGAGTCGGTGCGACAAGAAGCTTCATAAAGATGGAGAAAGTGGTGTTGGAAGACTTTCATCACTGCACAACATTGCATTTATGGGAAAAAGTTGCTCTGATGATGTATGGGGTTCGGCCTTTAGGGCCTCTTGTGCTGCTAAAGGTTATGCTGAGAAGTCGGAACACGTTTGACTTGCTCGCGCTCTTCCTTTGCCTGCGCAAGAGTGCAGAGAATGAGGTCGTACTCGATGAGCCAGAAGGAATTCCTCTTGAAGCCGTGCTTGCGAGCTTCACTTGGATCGTCTACGAGCACTGGGTCGACAACGAGAGAGCTCTTTACCCCGAACACAGTGTCGCTTTGCAGAAACTTGTCTTCACGAGGATAGAGTGCCGTGATTAGAGGATCGAATCCGTCGGCTTGGACCCAGAGATGAAGATGCGAGGGCCTGTAGACGTGGCGTCCCAGCCGAAGCAGCAGCGACCCTACGGGCCCGTCACCGGGAATGGGGTACGACACGGGCAGGATAGCACCGTACTGGAAGCTCCCATCCGATTGAGAGGTTATGCGACCACGACAGTCAGCTACCGTTCGGTCATCGTATTGGGTGTCGTAGTGACCGGTCGCGTCTGTCTCCCAAGTCTCAATTGTGGCGTTGGCCACTGCGTTTCCGTCGAGATCGAGAACCTTTCCTCTGACCAGAAGAAGCTCGCCTTCTTCAGCTTTTGCTTCAGACACAATACTTCCGCCGTCGACAACATCGGGGGCGTCGGTAGTGAAAAAGGGGCCCAGCACCGTCGATTCTGTCGCTGAAGGACAAATGACCGGGGGTCTGTCAGCCCATGATCGTACTTTTGACTACACTCTAATACAAACCTCCCTTTGGTTTCGGGTGATTCAATGAGTCCACTAGAGTGGAAAGCCCGAGTACGTCAGAAAGAAGAATGAACTCCTGACGAACATCATTGCACGTTTGACCGGTCTGAGTAAGGAATTGGATCGCCCTCCTTTTTCAGTCGAATGAGATTAGTTGAGCCCGAGATGTGGTCTTGAAGCACAGGTAGGAGCCACTCACATCCACTCGTCGGTCGTGAGATCAACATGCCGGGCAAAGTCGTGCAGATGCTTGACAAGGCTCTGCATCACAAATCTAAGTCTCGGATCAGGGCACTGCTCGCAAAGTCAGCACTCTTTGGAGCTATGATTTGTGAAAGGAAGCTCCTCCACTCCAGCGTCAAAGTCTCACTCGTTCGTTGTAGCTGTGCGCCACTCCTGTGATGGAGTTGTAATCGATGTCGATCGGGTGCTTTGGAGGGTTCTCCTGGAGATTTGCAGGGCGTTAACAAAAGTATGTCATTTGCCAGTACAACATCGACTCACGGTAGCCTGCCGGCGCAGCTCAGCGGCGATGCTCTCTACGTTGCTCGCAGTCATTTGTGAGTTGTCACTGGCCCGAGCGAAGTGATGGTGTTGTGTGGAGAACAAAGGTAGCGGCTCATTTAGCTTTGCAGCAGTCGAGAAGGTATCCACCGGCAGACTGCAGGTCAAAGCGCTCACATTATAAGCGGTGTCGTTTCCTCACTGAAGCTTAATTCTTGCTTTTTGACTGACTCTTCTGTTTCTGTCTGTCTATGATTCGAAACGGGCACACAGTCTTACAACTTCTTCCCATGCAACTCAAATTTCATCCACAGACTTGGCACTAGGAAATTTCGAGATAAGCCAAATGCGCGCCACGCAGACAGCAAGCCGGAGAGAATGAGATATGTGGGGTCAGGAGAACTTAGGCTTGAGCTCCTTGAACATGTCCTGTAGGTCGGCAGCGAGCAGCTCGGGGCATTCGACTTGCGGGAACTAGAAGATGTTGCAGGTGATGGACAAGCGCGACATCCATCTCGGTCAGCAAGGTGTCTACCAGCTTGACAATGATGACAGGAGATGACTCACGTGTCCGCCGACGTCTCGCTCTTTCCAGAAGACAATGTCGTTGACCCGCTCCGCCCATCGTCTGGGCACACCGAGAAGCTCATAGTGAAAGGCGCTGCAGCCGAAAGCCACATCCTTTCCCTTTAAGCTCTCGTTGTAGCTCTTGGGAATCTCACCGGTGTACATGCCGGACTGATATAGACGCAGTCCCCATTCGGGTCCGCCGATGTAGTGCATCATGACAGCGTCAAGCACCTCGTCTTTCGAGCTGTTTGTGATCATCGCATTCGGATGAGCAGGGATCGCCAAAGCAGTCTTCACGAAGGTGCGGAAAAACCCACAACTTGAAGTGACGGTCGTCGACCCAGCGAGCCAGCTTCTCATAGAAGAGAGCAAGGAGCCCAACGGGTGAGTCGGTCAGAGCGAATGCAGCCGTCTGATCGACGCCCAGACAATCAGCCCCTCGACCAATTTTGTGTCATTCCTGCTAACCCACCTGAGGCGTCCTGACGTTTGTCTGGCTGGAGTTGGGGGGGCAACGTGTCAGATTGCTTGCAGATCGGAGCGAGACACACGCACTCACAGGTAAGGCTGCGCTGTGTAGAATTCGGCCATGTCGGCAAGCTTCTTCTTCTCAAAGTCAGTCGCATCCTCGTCCTTCCAGTCGTCCGGCTTGGGTGCTTCGAGCATGGTGACGTGAATGGCACGGCAGCGCTGCGGGAACTGGATCGCGAGAGCACGGGTAATCATGGAGCCCCAGTCGCCTCCCTGAGAAGCGTACTTAGGGTAGCCGAGCTTTTCCATCAGGCTATCGAACAGCTCGGCAATCTTAAAGGGGCCCTGCATGGCACCTGTAGGCGGTGAAGAGAAGCCAAAGCCGGGGAGGCTGTAAAAGCAAACATGAGCTTAGTGCGAGACCGACAACGAGGAAGAGCTAACCAACCTCGGAGCAACCACGTGAAAAGCGGCCTTGCTGTCGTCCTTGGGATCAGCAAGCATGGGTGCCAGCTTCTTGAACTACAGATTAGAACGAGAGTGCGGGTCAGCCGAGCAAAGGGAATGGCGGAACGGAAAGATCCTTGCGATGCCGTACCTCCAGAACGCTGCCAGGCCAGCCATGAATCAGGAGAAGCGGGATGGCATCCTTTCGAGGCGACTCTTTGATGAAGTAGTGAACGGTTTGCTTGCCATAGCCCTCCAATTCGAGGTCGACGGTGTACTGCGAGGCGAGCTCTTTGTTCAGGAGGGTCTCCCTCTCCCTCCAGTTGTAGCTGCTCTTCCAGTGCTGAACCAAGTCGGAGATATCGCTGATGGGCGAGCCTTGCAGCCACTCTTGGCCCTGAGGCAGAGCAACCGGCTTAGGCAGGCGCGCGAGCGCCAGCTTCTCTCCAAGTGTCTTCAGGATGGACTCGTCAACATTGATCTTAAAGGGAGAGGGAGCAGCCATGGTTTCGTCGCTTGTGTGCTGTTTCTTGATGTTCTGTTCAGAGGTAGTCGGTGTGACAGTGGCTGGAGGTCAAGAGTCAAGATGCTCGGGCACGGAAAGCAGCCGAGCCCGCTTTTCTTCGATAAGCGGGGAAGCTCCAGAAACACGCGAAGGCACGCACGCGATTAGGCTCCGCCGGATCGCCACAGGCCCATAGCCGGTGGTGGGGAAGCAAATGAAGGACTTGAAAAGCGCTGAAACGCTCCTCCCCTCCTCGTTTCGTTTGCGCTACCTCGTTTCATTTGCGCTACTTCATCCCACACGCTAGCAAACATCATGGCAGCAAAGCTGTGCACCACTACTTTCAAGCTAACGCATGGTGGCAAGGACATTCCAGCAGTCGGCATGGGCTGCTGGCGTGGCAACTTTGGCGATGGCCTCGACGGAGAGTTCCCGAGGGCACTCAAATATTGCATCGAGAACGGCTATCGCCACATTGACACGGCCTCGTTCTACCAAAATGAAGTGACTATCGGCCAGGTCCTCAAGACTGTAAATGTCGACAGGGAGGATCTCTTTATCACTAGTGAGCATTGCTGAGCTGCCCAGTCACGCTTTTGCCGTTCCTGACTCACTGACACCGGCCATTATTATTTAACTTCTCTTTATAAAAGCTAAAATGTGGAACACCCAGTCAGTCAGAAGAGCCTGTTTAGCTCGTGACCTTGTCTTTGATCTGACCACAGCAAGGTCTTTGCTCTCATAGGCACAATGACCCCGCGAAAGCCCTCCAAGAATCGCTCGAGAATCTCAAGCTCGACTATGTGGACCTGTACCTCATGCATGTGCGTCTGAAAAATGTCCAGTGGAGGAGCGATAGGAACGTCGACTGACCTCCTTTGCGTCTCGTCGCGCAGTGGCCCCAAGGCGAATCGGCCGATGGTACCATGTACGGAGAGAAAGGTGGTGCAGGCCCGACCTTCAGCGAGGTTTGGGCCGAGCTCGAGAAGCTGTTGGCTCAAGGAAAGGCAAAGGCAATTGGGGTGTCCAACGTGAGTTCGATTTGGCTTGTCCGCAAATTCTTCCTCCCTTTAAATCTTCAGCTGCAATCTTTTGCTCATGGGTCAAAACCAAACAGTTCAGCATTGGCAACCTCGAAGAGCTTTTCAAGACGGCCAAGGTAGCTCCAGCAGTCAACCAGGTCGAGTGAGTGGCCCCCTCCGCCTTTCTTTTGGAGGAGCGATCATGTGCTCACCTCCCCGCCTTCCTCGTCGCTGTCACGACAGGACTCACCCATTCAACCCCGACTTTGAACTTGCTGACTACTGTGCAAGCAAGGGTATTCACCTGACCGCCTACTCTGTGAGACCTTCTCATCATTTTCTCCCTTGCTACTCTGCGCTGACGAGAGAGACGTGGCCTTCCAGCCCATGGGCCATGGCACCGACAACCCCCTTCGCGATGAGCCTGTGCTGGTTTCCATCGCCGAGGAAATCGGCTCGACGCCTACCCAAGTTGCTCTTGCTTGGAATGTGGCCCATGGTAGGAGCATTGTGCCCCGGAGCAGCAATCCTTCGAGGATTGTGGCCAATATCACTTTGCCCACACTTCAGCCAAAGCACATGGCAGCCATCGATGGCATTACCCTCAACGATCCCAAGAGGCGTACGCGTCTGTGCTGGCCAATGTGCGACCAAGAAAAGGGCACCGTCTTCGGATGGAGTCTCGACAAGCTCCTCTGGGACGTTGGTTTCAACACGCTCAAGGAAGATGTTGTCTCCCTACGCAGGCTTCCGGCTTGATTTGCGACCGCTTGCTCATGTCACTTGCTCACCTTTGGTTCTCTTCCGTTCCTTGAAAACCAGCATGCAACAGAAATCAAATGGTATTTGCCCTGCTCCGTCCACTTTGCGGTGCCCTCTTCATGATATCGTCTCCTTCAGAGTAACAGAGGAGAATTTTGGAACATGCAGACGTGATGCAAATACAGAGCCAAGTTCAACCAAGTCTTGCTTTCTACTTGCCGATCCTTCCTGGCTTGAAAACGGTCCAGCACTTGCCAGCACTTGCCAGCACTTGCACATTGATATCGTGCACAGCCCTGTCTTTGCCAGGCATCGTCAATTCTCAAAGTCAAGAGCGCAGGAGCAGCTTTGCCACGTGCATCCGCGAGACACACCGGGTATTGGCGCAGCTGGAGGAGCGTGCAGAGGAGAATGAGTTGGACTCAACAATCACCATTGCAACGACAGCACATCTGATCAACGACTTCCTCGATGCGTCCCTTCGTCTACGCCGTGGCAGCCAGCCGCGTCGTCTTTGGCCGTGGTAGCCTCAAAGCCCAGCTCGAGGGGGAAGTCGCCCAACTCGGTGCGAAGCGAGTCCTTGTCATCACGACTCCACACCAGCGCGACATTGGCGAAGAAGTGTCGAGTCTACTGGGCGCTCGATTCACTGCTCTGTACAGCAATGCGACGATGCATACCCCCGTAGAGGTCACCGAGGATGCCCTCAAAGTTGTGTCTGAAAAGAATATTGACTGTCTGGTCGCCGTTGGTGGCGGGTCCACAATCGGCCTCGCAAAGGCCCTCGCCTACCGAACGGATCTACTTCAGATCGTCGTTCCTTCGACGTACGCTGGCTCAGAGGCCACGTCCATCCTCGGTCAGACGGAAAAGGGAGCAAAGACAACATTGGTCTCACCAAAGGTTTTGCCCGAGGTCATCGTCTATGATGTCGACCTCACCTTGACCCTTCCCAAGGTCATGTCCCTCACTTCGGGCGTCAACGCCATTGCTCACTCCATCGAGACGCTCTAGTTAGTACTGTCTTGACCTGTGCGCGAGCATGTCATGCTGCTGGACTCTGACACGAGCTCTCATCACACAAGCTCCGCCAAGTCGAACCCATTCATCGATTTGCTGGCCGTCGAGGGGATTCAAGTCATGATGAGAAGCCTTGCCAAGCTGGGCTCGGAGCCCGACGACATCGAGGCAAGGTCGGATGCACTTTATGCCGCGTGGGCCTGTGGTATGTGCCTCGGCAATGGAGGTGGTACTGCACTCCATCACAAGATCTGCCACACGATTGGCGGCATGCTGAACACCCCGCACGCCGAGACACATGCGATTGTCCTACCGCACGCGCTGCAGTACAATTACGCCTATTTGAACAAGGACTCTCGTCGAAACCTCGGCCGAGCCTTTGGACTGGCCGTGAATGAAGAAGGAGGGCGCGATCAGCTGGAGCGCGAGGGCGTTGAGATGGCCCAAAAGATCTTCGACATTGTCCAAAACGGAGGCGCCCCAACGTCTTTGGCTGCCTTGGGTGTCAAGTCCAGCGACCTCGAGCCCGTGGCAGAGGCGGCGGCCAAGGCTCCTTACCCCAATCCTGCCCCCCTCGAGGGCCCCAGGCTTCTCGAACTTCTTCACCGAGCCCACTTGGGAAGTCGTCCTGTTCCTGGACTGTGAGCAATGTATGCTTGTGCAAGAAGACTTGTACTGCAAATAAATGAATGCTATTCCATGTCATCTTGGATCGAGACGGGCTGTCTGCTCGACAGCAGCAGCGATACTTTGAAGACGTGCGGTTAGCAGGCTTGTGAGCACGTGAAATAGCAATGGTGGACGCATTGCGCAGTTCGTGATGTAGGCGAGGAAGGAACGACAGGAAGAATTCCCCCATCGGTATCTTGGAGAATCCTGGTCAAAAAAAAGGTCGAAGTTTGACAGGGCACCACCGGATGCAAGTCCGTATTGCAACCGAGCTAAAGAGATATTGTTAAAGCCCTTGCGGATTCGACTCAGTCCTTCCCGGGCTATCGCGCCATGATACGGGAGCAGGCCTCATTCCGCTAAGCACTACCCCGCATCTTTGCTTGGATAAGCTCCTTCTGGCAGCCGCATCTTCTGTACTGTAATGCTACTGAGTAGCGCTTTTCGGGATTGGGCCAATTCTCGGCAGCGCCTGCGCAATACGCGTTCTCCGCCTCCACCGGCTGTGTTTTGACAAATCTACTGGCGTGCCAGATTCAGCCCCGCACTTGCTCGTTGGCCCTTATATTCCTCTGGGTTGCTCTCGCAGTTGTCGAGAAGATCCCAGTACGAACCCTTTCTTCACAACTCCCAGGTCAGAACATGTCAAAGATCGACGCAACGCGCTACCTGAACATGAACTTCACAAACGACGACACGCTTCGCGTCGTGTTTAGTGTCGCAGCCGCCCTGCCAGTCGTCTACATTGGCTTCCAGGCTTTTTGGTGGGCCCTGCGCCGCTACATGATCGAGAAGACGACTGCGAGAAACCAGACGCAGACGATCGGCAAGCCTCGAAAGGATGGCAAGCTCAGGGGCACATGTGTCGTAGCTGGTGGAAGGTGAGCTCGAGACGACGAAATGGAAAGACATGCCAGTCTCGCTGATTACGCCGCCACCACTCACCACTCACAGCATCGGCGGCCTCGTCTGCGCCCGTGCAATGACGTTCCACTTTGAGAAGGTCATCGTTGTCGAGCCCGACGAGATTCTGGTCGACAAGCGATCCCGAGTCGGACAGTGGGGACAGATTCACGCCTTCCACAACATCATCGTCAAGTCGTCCGACGCCCTGTTCCCTGATTTCCGCCGCGACGTCAAGGCCATCGGTGGCCACTTTTTCCACCCGCACTCAATGTACTGGCAGCTTGGCAAGGATATGATGCCGTTCCCACCGAGCGACGATGACTGCGAGGAGCTTGGCATGACGAGAATGGGCCTCGAGACCATCATCCGCCAAAATGCTTTCAAGAAAGAGTACGGCATCGAGTTTGTCGCTGGCACCGTGGTGGGCGCCACCCCAGACGCAAAGGGCGAGCGTTTCCAAGGTGTGCACATCCGCCGCAACGATGCAAAGACGAGCTACTACCAGGAAGCCGATTTCGTCGTCGATTGCTCGGGACCGGTCTGCGCAGGAGCCAAGTGGATCCAGAGGCCGCTGTCTCGCGACGGCACCTCTGCCAGCGAGGTCAAGACCAAATGGGGCCCAGTTCAGCGATCGCAGTACTTCCCCGACGTGGCCTACTCGACTTCGGTGATCACAATCGACGAAAAGCTCCTCAAAGAGAGGCCGTCGCTCCCGCGCAACCCAAAGAGCTGGGACAATGCCGGCTTCCTCCATCTGGTGCACCCTTCGCCCTCTACGGATCCCCGTGCTTCGATGATCTTCAATGCCGAAAAAAACACGATTGTATTCTCTGCTGCTTGCAAGGGCCTGGCTTCTGAGCTTCCCGACGATCTCGAGGGCTTCCGCAACTGGGCCGAGAGCATCCAGAACACGACGGGCAACCGGTCGCTGCCCCCATACGTACTCGACATCATCGACATTGCCCAGCGATCCAAGGACGAATTTGGCCATGACATCGTCTTCAACAAGTACAAATTCACCAACTGCCACCTGCTCAAATACACCGAGACAAAGGTTCCTCACAACTTTGTTGCTGTCGGCGATTCCCTCGTCAGGGTCAACCCCATCTTTGGCATGGGCGTCTCCAAGGCCTTTGTAGATGTCCTCACCCTGGACCAGATTCTGCGCGAGAAGGCTTCGGCTTCTCGCGGGATCCCCGACCGTCTCTCCAAGGCTTACTTTGCAAAGGAACTGCCTCGCGCAGACTGGCTTCTTCAGATGACCAAGGACCTTGGTAAGTTGCCAGCCGCAAATACCTCTCTTCTCCATCTGTGCCCGACTGACGTCTGCTTGACTTCTTTGCCCTGGTAGACTTTGGATGCAGCTACGTCAAGCCCCTGGACCCAGGCTCGAAGCTGTCTCACGGCGCACCCTTCCGCTGGTTCGTCGACGGCATTCTCACCGTGGCCGCTCGCAACCCTAGCGTCGCAAAGACGGTGGGACGCGTCTTCTTCTTCGATGCTCCTCCCCTCGATCTCATGGCTCCCAGCCTTGTCTTCAAGGCCGTCAAGGCAAACCTATTCGGCTAATAGTCTCTTCGCTCGAGAGACTCGCGCCTACAAACCCTCTTTCGCTCCCCTTTCCCCCTCGTTCTCTTCCCTCTCTGTCACCTCGCCCGACCTTTCCTACTCTCACGCCGGAAAAGAGAGCTGCTTTCCCTCCCCCTTTAGAAGACAGCTGAGCCTCTCGAATGTTGACGTGGCACCCCTACTCGTTCCACACCCAACCTCACACCTTGTACTTCCCTCCCTTCTTCTTTGATAGTCGTAGGAATGTTCCAGTACATTGCGCCCGAAGTGCCTCAGGAAAATCCCGCACTGCAGAGAACCAGTCAAGGGTGCCTGCCACGTGCTGGACGACGAATGGAAGGATCACCGGTTATATTTTTAAGCTCCACTCTCTCCAGCCGGTAAGCTTTGTTGCTCCATCTCTTTCGCACACACGACAAATGGTCCCCTAGCCCCGACGAGGCGCCCACTTCTCACCCTGAGTATACGCGTCAGATGTCGGAGAGAGCAGCGGGAGACGCAGGGGCTGGACAGGGAATGCAACCAGACGAGGACATGTCGGCCTACAAGGCTCGGCTCATCGCTGACCACATTTGCTCCTCGCTCCCGCCCTCTGACGGCCATGAGGAAGGCGGGAAGAAGAGAAGACCGCTCTTCGTGGGCATGCAGGGGCCGCAAGGCAGTGGCAAGACGACTGTGACGAGCATGGTAGCAGAACGGCTGAAGGGCAAGGGGCTGAGCCCTGTTGTCATGAGCCTGGACGGTTAGTGGGCCCATCTTCCAGGGAGACCAGACGACCCGGAGGACTAATGCCAACGAGGTGTACACTGCCCATAGATCTTTATCTGAGCCATGATGAGCTTGTCGAGCTCGCTCGAAACAGCCCCACAAACAAGCTTCTCCATGGACGAGGGCAGCCAGGAACGCACGACATGCGCTTGGGTTCAGACGTTCTTCGATCGCTGTCCACCATCAACGGCGATCAGACGACCGTCCTGCTCCCCGTATTTGACAAGTCGCTTCATGCGGGCCAGGGAGATCGAAGCAAAGCAACCGTCCGCGTGTCGTCTCCGGTGGATGTCGTCATATTTGAAGGCTGGTGCCTCGGCTTTCTTCCTATTCCTCCCCAGGAGCTCGAGAAGCGGTATGCAGGGGACATTGGTGCGCGGAAGCAGTACTTCTCTGCACACCAATTGGCATCGCTTTCCGACATCAACGAGCGGCTCCAGGCCTACACCGAGTGGTATGGCTATCTCGACGCCTTTGTCCAGCTCGTTCCCCGCGACATCAATGATGTCTTTGCATGGAGGCTGCAAGCCGAACACAACATGATATCCTCGGGCAAGGAGGGCATGACGGACCAGGAAGTCCACGATTTTGTCGCTAGGTGCGTTCCGCAATGCCTGACCCTCGAGCGCATTGTTTTTCTCAAGCTTACAGACCGTGAGTCACTCATAGGTATATGCCAGGCTATGAGCTTTTCAGCTCGGGCGTGAATGGGAAAGACACGCCTTGGTCGGGCAGAGGGATGGCCTTGACAATTGATGCCAATCGGGATGTGTTGTCGGTGGAAAGATTCTAAGCCGCCCTAGGAGGGTTTCGCCACAAGCACGACTTCCGAGTAGCATAGACACTCCTCTCCGAATAGAATTTTGCTCTAGCGGAGCAATCCTGAAAGGCAGCCTTTAGAACACAGTGGAGCAATCAAGTGGCCAAAGTCTCCACCTGATACACGGCAGAGAGAGGCTCGCTTGCACGCCTCTATGACCTTTTCTGGCAGGGAACACAAAGATGCAAAGATCTTGATGCAGCGGCAGACGCACGTCTTCCTGGCTCTCTGCGTTGTTTCGAAGGAAAGCTTTCTGGTTAGCATACCTCAGACAAGAGGTAGGTAGAAGGGCAAGAGAGGAGGCGACTCGGATCAGTTCCGCGATCCTCTGCACACCGGAAACCTCACAGGCACCCTACGTCCAGTGTACCGGTGAAGTCAGGGGGATTAACACATTATCTTTCGCGCACGCTTGACAATCTTATCGGGGATCTTGAGATGTGAAGGCTAGGACGGGGAATCAGGAAGATGCTTCCTGGGTGAGGGGCTTGTCTTCTCTCGCCACGGACTCGCTCGGGTTGTGCTTGCCCTCTCGGCCACGCTTGAGCTCCTTTGGCAAGAGCGCGAAGCCGCCGACGTAGAGGAGGAAAATAAGGCCCGTCCAGCCGTATATCTGAGGCACAAAACGTCAGCACCAGACGCCATGAAAGCCCACAGGAGAGACTAGCACACGCACAATGTAGCTGGCATAGCGGGGCGGCTGCCACTTGGGACCCTGGTTGATCGCGGGCCAGATCTTGAAGCCCTCGTGCACGTTCCAGACCGAAAGCGCAAAGAGGACGATGCCGGTGACAATGTGGACAAAGCTCAGGTATCGGTTGCCGCGGCGTTTGTTGAGCGTGCGACCGGCCTGGGCCAGCACGAGCTGGACAAAGAGCAGCAGGAAGAGCGCAAGTCCAAGCTCCATGTGCAGCGTCGCAAAGTGGTGTCCTCCGGCGGTGGAGACACCGGCTACGGCCCTGTATGAAAGTATCAGTTGCGTTCCGATGCAGAAGGAATGGTCGCTGCACCCACAGGAAGAAGCCGATGAAAACGAAGAGGTAGGCAGAGAGTTGCACGCCACGATGCGCAGGGACCCAGTCGTAACGCAGTCGGCTGTAGCGGCCGATGAGGGCACCAATTGGGATGAGAAGCATCCAGCCGATGATCATGAAGAGCTGGATTCACACTTCAGCCTCTGATCCACGCGAAAGGTTACGATTACGGTGCACTCACCATGTGGACAAGGAAGATGCGGCGGACCTTGTTGAACTTCTCTTCGACGGCGTTGCTGACCGAGCCGCTGCTGCTGGAGCTGCCATGAGCCGGCGCGGGCTGGCCGGTGGCTGCAGCAACATAGTCTCCGAGGGCATACTGGTCGGCACTGAAGAGAAAACAACGTCAGCACGTCGAGAAGAGGCATGTACTGTCAGACGTCCACTGACGGATTGACAACCATGACCATGCCGAGGGAGCAGTGGGGCAGGCACATAAAGTACAGGGGGTCCGTCGTCGTCACGGGGTAGGTGTAGGTGGAGCCGTCGGCCTGCACCGTCTGCTCGCCAAAGGTGCCTGGCGAGCAGGCATCAGCGGCCGAGTTGCCCTTTGCTCCCGTGGCCGTGTGTGTCGAGCTGTGGAAATGGAAGACGAGCTTTGATTTCACAGCCTCAGCATTCATCGGACTGCCTTTGGATGCAAGAGCAGACCCTCACATTGTCTCCCTGCTTGGCTGTCGTCGTGTTTGGGTAGAACTGAAGCACGCTTTGGCCCGTCATGTCCTGTCCAACCTGGATGGCAATGTCGGCGCACATCGCGGCCTGCAGGAGGCAGAGCCCAACGATGCCCGTCTTGATGAGCCAGCTAAGCATGTTGATGAGATGATGGTGACAGACGACAAGAATTGCCCATTTCAAGGGGCTCAACAAGCACCCACTGTTGTCCAAAGCGGAACAGGGAAATCAGCTCACTTTGCTTTTGTAATTGCTTCAAGCCTGTTGGCTGGCTCCACTTTTCATTTTCAAGACTCGTGGAACTACTCCCAGCAGCGTAATGAAGGGTTCCAAGGCTATTTGAGGCTCGAGCGCGCGCGCTGAGCCTCGGATCTAGTGTTTTGATCTCCAAATCCCGCTAGGCGGTCCGACCGCATCGGCTTCCATGCGTCCGACGATCTTTTTCCTGTCACCCTTAGTGCTGCGTCGAAGCGACAGCTAGCTTCAAAAGACTGGCCCACTCCTCCACAAGGAGCGCCACCTCGTCCCGCTTGTGAATGGCCTCATTGTAGTCGAGAGAAAGGGTGAGACGATCTCGAAACGTGGCCGAACGGCCAATGAGATATGGTTGGTGAACGTGGCACCCAAAGTGCACGCCCTCAACGTGGAGCTGGCTCGCGTAGCTCCTTTGAACATAACGTTCCAGCAAGCCGTCTGACATGCACATCTATGGCAACGATTCTTCTTTAGCATCAGACCTGTCTTGCATCTGCTTTCATCCTCACTGATTGATGCCTTGGGGGCGGCGGTCCGGCGCTGACGTCGTTCCGCACCAGCTTAATGAGCTTGCCAAAGACGACGAGCCGCTCTTCGGCTTCGTCTTTACATGCCCTTGCGTCGGCCGACATCTCACTGGCCAATTTGCAGACACGCACTCGAAGCCCTTCCTCCTCTTCAGACTCGTCTTTATGAACAGACTCGAAAGAAGAGCTGAGGGAGGCAAAGGCATTGCCAAAGTAGCGGGGCGTAGCCAGGCCGAGGCAGTCGCGTACGTTGACTGCCGTTGCATACGCCACGCGGGTCCGCGTCGTGGACGGGAAGCGGCGTGCGAGGACAACGAGGTGGCTTGCAACGGCAAGCTGCGATATCGAAGGTAGGCCTTTCTCCTTGATAACGGTGAGCATTGAGTTCGTCTCTGAAGCCGAGAAGGTGTGTCTGCACTGGGACGATGTCGAAGCAAGAGCGCCCATCGTTCTCGGTGGTGGGCCGGGACTCGCGGACTTTTTGAGTAAATGGACGAATCAGCGTCATATATGCTACGCCTGCTGGTGCTTCCAACTTACGCCGGACTCCTCGTATCCTCTGATCAGTGCAGAGAGCGCCGAGCTGTGGTCCTGCTCGAATAGCTGAAGCGGGAGGAGAGAAGACAGCGCTGGCTGAGGTGCTGCTTTTGCAAACAAGTCTCCATTTGAGGGGCAATGTCCACTGACGAATGAACGGAGGAGCATGTCCATACATAAGAGGATGCCTGTTCCATCCATGACGGCGTGATCCGCTCGAATAACAAGGGCGAAATACCTGATGGTGGGTGCGCGCCCAAAAAGAAGAGCCCGAACAAGGACCCGGGTGGCGCCTCGCCTTGGAAGACCATCCCGACTCAGCTCGCATCTACATTGGTCGATGTGAGTCCACAGATCCTCTGACTCCTGCTCGATTTCTTGAAAAGTTAGCGAGTAGTCGACCGCGTCTCGCAAACTAGCAGCGTTTATGGTATCCTCGTAGAATGCCCGCGGTTGTCCGTCTTCGTCGCACCGGATGTCTGTTGTCACCTGTGATACCTCACAGAGACAGGCTGCCCATGCCCGTCGCAGCCTATCAACGATTTCATCGCGCGAAAGGAGATTCTCTGTGCGAAGCAAGAGGCATGGCATCATGCTGTCGCCGCAAGAGTCAGCCTCTCACAGCCGTGCCCACTTTTACCGCGACCTACGAACGTGTGCTCGTTCGGCCAGATGTCTGCAGCCATGTTCTCGTACCACTCGATGCCGTCCAGGTCCCTCTTCCACACGTTCCCACCAACGTTGCCCCATGTCGCCCGATCCAGCTTCACGTCCATGTCGTATGAAAATGTGTAACGCCGTCGTCGACGGCTGAAGGCCCGCGTCAAGGCTCGCAGCAATGTTGTTCTTCTCCTGACAACCAGTGCGCAAGCGTAAATTCTAGCCTTCTGACATCCTCAATGGATCGAAAGCAGCGTGAGACAGGGAGGCGCATCAGATTTGCCGGGACCTAGGCCCCTAGGCCGGACGCTGCCGACCAGGCACGCCGAGACAGCCGTCGAGACTTTTTTGAACTTCTCGGGACACTTTCTGGCTTATTCAACGGCGTCTTATTTGCTGGATGGTCAAGCCAAGAAGCTGTATTGAAACCCCGTCGGGCAGCTAGGCGTTTGCTTGATGCAGGTCCATCTGATACATCTGCAGATGGATGAATTGGCGAGAGAATTTAGACGCGTCGCAGGCAGCCTTCTCGCACTGATTTGATCTATCACCCCGTCCAGATGGGCGACAATATACTTCCGAGCCACCTGTCCGGTGTAATGGCAAGCTGCTGACAACTTGGAGTGGCAGAAAATTTTGTAGACTGGACCAGAAGAGAAACGAGAAGCTATGGGTCTCGACCTGCCGCCTCATTGTGGCTTTGAGGAGCCGCAAGAAGGAATGACGGCCTCGAAGACGGCTTATTTAAAGAGACGAGACGAGGACGACCCCTACCATCAATCCTACAGCTTCATCCTGGTACCAAGATGTCCACCAACGCCACCACACAGCGTCACGAGACCGAAGTCAACGTGCCCCATCTTGCCAACACGGGCACCGAAGAGGCCGCCGTCGAGGATGGCCACAGCAAGCATGCCAGCTTCTCGGACGACCAGTCTGAACGAAACGGGTCTGTCGATGTCAAGGCAAAGTCGCAACAAAGGGGCGTGAGCTCCATTGAGGCCCTTCACCGCGTCTTTGGAGGCAACAGACTTGTCATGTGGTCCCTCTACTTCGCCATCTTTGCCGTCATTGTCGCCTCGACCATCGACACATCGACGACATACTCCTACCAGCCCATCGTTGCAAGCATCTACCAGGACCATGCCACGCTCCTGGGTGTCATTGGCACAGCGACGGCCATCTTGAGTGAGCTCATTCCCGCTTCAAATTGCAAAGCGCACCTGCTGATTCCTTCTGCGCAGCGGCGGTGTCGCAGCCTTTCATTGCCAAGATCTGCGACGTCTTTTCGCGCCAGGCCGCTTTCACCTTTGTCATTGCCTGCAACGTCCTCGGGTACATCATCATTGCCGGCACCAACACCGTCGCGGGCTACGCCGTGGGCAGCGTTATCGCAGCTGTCGGCACGGGTGGCGTCAGCCTCGTGTCAAGCATCCTCCTTGCCGACCTCTCGCCGCTGGAGTGGCGAGGCTTCGCCCTGGGCATGGCTGCTGCCCCTTACATTGCCTTTACTTTTCTCGGTGCCAAGATTTCGACGTCCATCATCGCGTCCAACCAGTGGCGCTGGGGCTATGGCATGTTTGCCATCATGTGCGTAGGCGCCATCTTTAGCTTCTATTTTCAGGTTGAGCGTGCTGACTCGACCCGAACAGCCATCCTGTCTGCGTCCTGCCCGTTGTTGCAATCCTCATCTGGGCCCAGCGCCGCGCTAGGAGGTCTGATGACCTCAAGTATGCGACGGCTGCCACTGCTGAGAGGCAGAGCCTGGTCGATGTTGTCCGGATCTTCTTCGTCGACATTGACGGTCTCGGTCTCGTCCTCCTTGCCTTTGCCTGGTGCCTCATCCTGCTCCCCTTCAGCCTCGAGGCTGGCGCCGAAAAGGGCTGGAAGAATCGTGAGTCCGCCCCAAGCGATGCTAAGAGCCGCGCGAAAGTAAACTCATGCGACCACTACCTACCAAAGCCTCGATGATCGCCATGCTCGTTTGCGGTATCATCATCCTCTTCCTCTTTGCTGCCTGGGAGTACTTCGGCGCATCGATGCCCCTCGTCAACCGCCGCATTGCCGCCAACAAGGTCTTTCTCTTGGGTGCCAGCCTTGACTTCCTCTACTACCTCAGTGGCTACCTGCGCGACTACTACTACCCCTCGTACACGTACATTGCCACCAACTGGACGCTGCAGGGGTGGACCTACTGGAACCAGATTGTGAGTCGGGCCTAGCAGAACAATTTCATGTCCCACTGCATCGACGACTGACCCTCCTCACCAGACGACTGTCGGTCTGTGTTTCTTTGGCCTCGTCGTAGGCATTTTGATGCGTGTGACGCACCGCTACAAGTACATTCAGCTCGGCGGTATCGTCATTCGCACCATCTGCGTCGGCCTCACCATCTGGGCCACGGGTTCAAACGCCACGACAGCGGCCCTCGTCTCGATCCAGAGTGAGTGTAGGCCCGCGACGGCCGTTCCGCTCTTCGTTCATTTTCACTCGCTGACAGCTCTCGGCAGTCTTCAACGCCCTCGGCTGCTCGTGCTCGGTCATGGGCACCCAGATTGCCACGCAGGGCTCGGTGCCCCACCAGGACCTGGCCCAGATGATCGCACAGCTGTCGCTCTGGACGCGTCTGGGCGGCGCCATTGGCACCTCGGTGGCTGCCAATGTCTGGACCAACAACATGCCCGTCAACATGGCTAAGGAGGGCGTGCCCGAGGAGCTGATACCGACGCTCTACGGCAGCATTACCTCGATCAAGGACACCTATTCGTTCGACGATCCGATCCGCCAGGCCGCCATTCGAGCCTACGACTCCACTGTCCGGCCCATGTTCATTGCAGCCACCGTCTTTACGGCGTTGACCTTCTTCTGTGCTCTCTTCATGCCCGACTTCTACCTCGGCAAGAGTCACAACAAGATCGAAGGAACCGACGTGCGCGGCAACAAGGTCGAAGACGTGGCTTCTGACCCCACGGCTGACCCCATGGACGTGACTCTGGGTGCGCCTTCTAAGCCTTCGGCGTGGAAGAAGTTCGTCGGCTAGTCGCTGAAAAATTAGGCCGTCAAGGTCTTCAGATTCTCCTTATCACCTCTCCTGCTTGTTTCTTCTCTTCTTTTTCGGGCCCTTCTCTTGTTTTTCTGCTCTCTTTCGGGCTCTTGGTAACACTGTCACATAGATTGCAAGGCTCCCTGCCAGCAAATGGATCGAAATACATCATAGCGCCAAATCATCGGTGCTGATGCCAAAGTAGTCCCACAGGGTCAGCGTGGAGAGGTCATCCTTGCCGTCGTCGAGCGACTTGTGCGTACCGCCGTCTTCTACGATCCCATCCTCGAGGCCGAGAGTGACCTTGATGGCGTGTGGCGGTGCCTCGTATCGCTCCAGCGCCTCGCCCAGCTCCTTGCGTGTCTCTCGCCAGCGCGCCCATTGGCCCTGCTCTCCCTCCTCTTCCTCTGCTGCACCGAGAGAGTCACACTCTCGCGCCACGAGCCGGGCAATGTTGCGGCCGGCGAGGAGAGCCTGGCCATGGGCCGTGTGGCCAGCATTGAGGGCGCCAAAGGCATCGGCAGCATCGCCTGCAACAAAGATGTGCTGCAGGCTCGCGTCCGTCTCGGGCTCCCCATCCGGGTGGGCAGAAGGCACAGCGAGTTGCAGGTGTCGGTTCACACACGCCATCCTCGTCTTGGCATCAATGGCTGCTGCTCTGTCCTTGCCGCAGAGACCGGAGAGGAACGAAGTGTTGGGCACCTGGCCTGTGCACACGAGCAGCAGCTGTGCGGCCACGGTACGTCCCTTGGCCGTCTTGATTGTCCGCTCCTGAAACGGGTGGGTCTCCTCTTTCATGCCGCCATCTATGACTGCACGGTCATCGGCAATAATGTGCACGCCGAGCTCCTCGAGCTTGCGTTTACTCTCGGTGTGCATCCATGGCTCGAACCTGGGCAGCAGCCTCCGCGAAGCGAGGAGCGTGACGGCCTTGCGCGGCGCGTCGCCAGCCACGTCGGGCCGCCGAGGCTCGGTGTTGGGCGTGCCATAGATGTAGGCAATGTCGCTGGCAAGCTGCACGCCCAGTGGCCCTCCCCCGACGACACACACGCTCCGTGCTTCGCGGATCCTCGCCTGGGCTCGCCTCATCCACGCCACACCTCCCTCCTTGAACCCTTGCTTGGCCTCTGCCTCGCTGCCACCGTCCCCATCGGCCCATACGTCGATGGGCGCGGGCAGAAGGCTGCCAAGGGTGTAGACGAGGTAGTCAAAGTGTACGCTGCTCTTCTTGCCTCGATCACCGCTGGCCATCGACTCGACGTGGGCCACGCCTCGGCCGAGAGTATCGCTAGGCTCGAGCGCGACGAGTTTGGCGTGCAGCACTTCGTTGGCATCGGAGATGGGCCGCAGATGGGGTCGAGCCTCGATGGGGGCAAAGACTTTCATGATGGGGATAAACACCTTGCGCTCGTGGCCGGGCAGGACAAAGACGCGCGGAAAGGCGTAAAGGTGGTGAAAGTGGCTGTTGCGCTCAACGACGACGACGCGCCAGGTCGGGGGCAGCGATGCAGCGAGCGTCTGTGCAGCATTGTAGCCTGCGTAGGCGGCGCCGAGCACCAGCACGGTCCTGCTCGACGTGAATGGCTGGACGACCATCCGAATGGGGGAAAGGAGAAGGAAAACAGGAAGAGGAGACCACTGCCAGACCTTGTGTGCCAGGCGCCTTCTTTTTGAGGCAAGAATGCCAGGAACGCAATCTGATAAAAAAAGAGGCGCCAAGCAAAATCCCGATGCATTCTTAAATCGAGTGGCTCAGCTGCAACCTCGCCAATCTATCAGCTCAATGCATCAACGTCCCTTAGATGCTATCTCGTTGCCCCGGCTCGCCTCGAGCTCTGCCTCTACAACGGCTGCATGGCGCTTGGTGCGATAGTCGAATTGTCTGTCCTGGAAGATCAGCTCCGACAAAGACACAAAGTGGCCGCTCTGACTCACGCATCAAAGGGCAGGGGTGCCGTGGGAAGCTTGTTGGCAAACGCCATGGTGTCGACCTCACCCGCCATGGTAAAGGCCCAAAGTAGGCTGGCCGCGCCAATGAGGAGCGACCGCTCGGCCACATGGAGGCCGGGGCAGATGCGCTTGCCGTGGCCGAAGCCGGCATGGCCCCGCTGTGGGCTGAACCAGGTGCCCCTGAAGGCGCCATTTTCAAGAAAGCGGTCTGGGTTGAACACGTCTGGGTCACTGTACTCGCGCGGGTCGTGGTGGATGGACCAGATGTTGGCGAGGACAGTGCTGCCCTTGGGAAGGACATAGTTCTTGTAAGGCACGTCTTCCGTCAGCCGGTGCGGGAAGCCCAGCGGCGAGATCGGTCGCCAGCGCATCGACTCAAACAGCGTCGCCCGCAAGATCGGCAGCTGGGGCAAGTCGTCAAAGGTGGGCATGCGCTCGGAGCCGACTACAGCGTCGAGCTCCGCCTGCGCCCGTCGCTGCGCCTTTGGGTTGCTGACCATGGCCAGGACAAAAGCCGAAAGGGCGGCGCTCGTCGTGTCGCTGCCTGCAAAGTACAGTGCGCCCGAGAGGTAGGCCGCCTCGGCGTCAGAGAGGCCCAGACGCGCCTGTCTCTCCTGCAGCCGGCTCGCAAACGAGTCGGCGGCCTTTCCTTCGTCGCGCCTTGTCCGCACAGTGGCGTACATGTCGGTGAAGAGGGCCAGCTCCTGCGCGTGGATCTCGAGCGCTCGTCGCTTTACCGGATTCAAAAACATGGGCAGGTGCACAAGCACGGGAAGCCGGTCGAGGTAGGTGCGAGCGATGAAGAAGGGTGCCACGTTCTTGATCGAGTCGAACAGCCGCACAATCCACACATCGTCCATGCGCGACAGCGGGTGGTCGTAGGTGACCGTCATGATGCCGCTGGCAGACATGCGCTGGAATTGCTGTGCAAACGAGCTTGGCTGGCGAGCCAGGGCATCAACGGTGATCCGGGCCTCTTTCTCCTGCACGGGCTGGTAGTGCCTCGCGCTTCCCTCGGCCAGCGTCTCGGCCATTGCCTTGCGGTAGCGCGACCAGCGCGGGCCGACATCCATCGAGAGAGTGCGCATGTTCTGCGACACGACCTCCTGCAGCGTCACCAGCCTCGGCCGGCCAGCAGACGAGGACGAGTGGCGGTCGAGGATCTCGTGAGCGGCGGCGGCGGTGCCCAGCACAAACATCTTGGGCTGCAGTGGCCCGGAGGAGAGCGTGATAATCTCGCCATGCTGCTCGGAGAACGCACTCAGCAAACCCTCTTCCCGAAATCCCGATGAGGCGCCTGCGCAGACTCACCTCTTGATGCAGACGCGCATAACGGAGCCATGGAGGAGTTCCATCTTTAACCTTTGCCCCCGTCCAGAAGTGTGATCTCGGCCCGGGCGGGAGTCTCTGGCCCCTCTTGGCGCCGACCAGCAGCCAGGCAAGGACGACAAGTAGGCCTGCGGCGAGCCATTGTACAGCAGGGGCGGGCAGTGGCGACATGTCGGTGGTGCAAAGACAAGCCCTACCTCCTTTCATGCGGCAGACGCGCCCGCATCGTGACGACAAGCCTGCATTCGGGGTTTTTTAGTCTAAATCGCAGCCGTAGCGTAATTAGTCTAATTACTCGAGGCACGGCCGAGCTGCCCTACTGCAAAGAGCAGAAGACGCCGGCAGGGCGCTCTTATGATCGATCGCACGCGGGCCTTGACTCTGCCAATAATCGTTTCGCCTGCTCTGGCCTCTTCTAGAATGACGATGAGGAAAGGAAACAGGTTCACTCCGTTGGAATTCTGACGCTTCCAGCTGCGCCACACTGCCAAGCCTGGCGCGCGCGGCACCCCTGCCCGCGGCTTGGCGGCGTCCGCGGTATCTTCGCTTCGCATGTGGAGTGCTTCTTTCTGTGGGATGATCCAACCTCTTTCCCACTTCTTATATAAAGTAGTGCTACAGGTAGGTCAGGTGCATGTCGCAATCACTCCTTGCACCATGTCGTCTAAAGCCATCCTCAGTATCGGCATCGACGGAGACCATCCGCTGATGAAGACAATGCCCACGGCGCCGTCAGCCGAATTCATCCGACAGGGCATTGCTGACGCTCGCATCGCCACACATGAGGCCGGCTTCACTGGTTTTCGCTTCGTCGAGCTGAAGCCAGAGACGTGCGCCGACGAGCTGGCTGAATTACTGAGGGAGAAGCACTGGTGCGTCTATCTCTTCAATAAATCCCCTTGATTACTAGCATGTGCTGACGAGTACCCATCAAAAGGGATGCCCTCATCATCGGCGGCGGCTTCAAACTTGTCCCTGGGTTCATCACCCAGCTCAAGGATGTCGTCAACACGACAAAGGTGGGTCTTCCTCATCCCGCCGTACGTTGCACTGCTGACACCAAAGTGTCCAGAACCTGTCTCCCAAAACGCAGATCCTTTTCACCAGCCTGCCTTCGACCATCATCGATTCTGCCAGGCGTGTGAAATAGCTGCAAACAGACGTGGATTTCTGCAGGTATACACAGGACATTTCGTCTAGGGCACAATCACTTGTAGTAGGAATTGGCGTACTGTGGCTGCAGGTAGGCCGTGTTGCCGTTCTCGACATGCCCGTTAGGCCCACGCTGTTGCATCGAAAGGACGTCGTAGGAGTGAAGTGCTGCAGGCCTATGTCAGTACCGAGCTTGCCTGGAAGTTGGACTGAGAAAGAGGCTCACCAACGGCCATGACAAAGAGGATCAGCTCCTGCGGGATCCACAGACCAATCGACAGGCCAATGTTGAGATCATTGATCTATGATGTGATGCAAGACATGTCAGGAACGATGGGGGTTGATGGTGATGCGAAAGCACTCACCGTGTCGCAAACGTTCGAGCCGTCAGCGCGACAGTCGCGCAGGAACTCGTCCTTGTTCTTCACGACGGAGATGATGTGGACGAGGCCGACAAGACCGAGGATGAGACCCTTGAGCAGCGCACCATGTGCAAAGAGTTTGATGATCTTGCCGTTCCTGCGAATCAAACCGAAGTCGCCGACGATCAACAAGACAACGAGGATGACCAGGAAAGCGCTTTGAAGACCCGTCATGATCTTGTGGAACGTCGTCAGAGTGTCAGACCACTCGGCGAGGATGTAGAAGCCCCAGCCAGATTCGACGACAATGAGGACGAGCAGGATAGGGGAGAGAAGGAGCACAGCGGCTCGCGTCGACATTCCTAGCATGGAGTCGACGATGGGAAGGCGGTCGACGAGGGTATTCTTGTTCTCGCTTCTGGACATTGTTGCACTGATGCTTCGGAGGGGTGCTGTTGTTGATTTTGAATCTCGTGGTGGGTGATGCTGCTGCTGGAAGGACGTCCTCAGCGGCGGGTTTTATACCTTTCGACAGCAAACGAGCAATTCACGCTACATGTGACAGCTCCTGCAATTTGGCAATTTAAGACAGTGCTAATGTGACACCTTCTTTACCGAACTCGTACCGAACTCGTGAGATAACGCCGTGCATCTGCGGTGGTGCACCGCCGTCAGGGCAAAATTAAATTGCGTGGGCGTTGGCGGTGATGCATTATGCGTTCTTTGTCTCGGGCGAGGCACTCCTCGGCCGACGCGTCTCCTTCTCGGGCGAGATTCGTTGAACCGAGCGAGGCAGGATTTCGCCCGACGCGACCCCCCTCGCGCAAACGCCTTCGCTTAGATTCAAAAGCGAGGCGATGAAATCGAACTTGTGATCGCCTTGAGAACGCTCGTCGAGCAGGAACACCCGTAAGGCACTGTATGGCTCACAGTAATCGACAGTGGACCCAAATCGATCTTTGGCACGATGATGAGAGCCTGAGCGGCCTTGCTCCACGCCATTAGACCGAGATGTCCATGGCCTCGTCATAGAGACAAGGTGCAAAGCCGGCTCCCTTGTTGTCTGTCTGTTTGCGGCGCGTTTGTTCCGTCTGCTTCGAAGATTGTCTAGGCTCACGTTAAACCCCTAGAGGTAGTGCTCTATACTCCTCGTCAGCGTCTCGAAAAGTCGAATTAACATCGTTCACTCATTCTTTTACCCCAAACAAGTCGTTGAGGTAAGCAAACTTTCTCGTTCTCATCTATCAGCGCAAAGGCAAGTCCAAGAAGCCTGAGCAGCTTGCGCATGCTCGTCGCTGCTGCTGAGCCTCAGACGTTGTGCATTGAATGCAAAAGTGTAGGGACTCGCTGAGTCAGGAGAAAGACGACCGCGGTGCACTGGCGATGCTTTACATGCGGGTACGTTGCCCATTTGCTGCCCCGTAACAGGGGCTCGCGGCAGCACTGCTTCTTGCTAGTCGGTGCTCACTTTTTGATTGCAGCGCCGAAGAGACGGCGCCTCGCCGGCCGTTTGGTGTGCCAAGTGCTGCGTCTATGACGACTTCTCCCAACTTCGGTCCTGCACGGCTGGACCTGGTAAAAGACAGATATCCGTGAGGGGGCCGGCCATGCAGCCCATGCTCGCTCATCGCACGTATCTCTTTCAAGCCATGCCAAGGCTGTGATGCCTGAGTGCTGGCCAATTAGGTCCAGTAGAGATAGAAGAATGCCGCAGACAGCAGCGTACGAAGGGCCGTGTGTCTTCGGAGCGAGCCGCGCTTTAGTGAGACCCGTCCTCTTCTTTGGACCCCTTTTCGTTACCACCGTCGCGTTCGAAAGAGCATGTATTCGTAAATAGTTGAATGAGCTCCTTTGATTGCAAATCTTGTTGGAGAAGAATGGAATCCTGGCCTACGACCCAAAAGTGCGCCAGACAAGAGAAACTTTCATAGTGGTCGGTCTCTGCCCGCCTCGTGGGATCGACCCTTTCCAGAAACGTGCAAGTCCCCTTTGCACCTCCCAAAACGTGGGTCAGACCGCCGTCAGAGAGTGCGGGCGTCGTCATCAAGTGGGAGACGCTCGAATCGATGAGTCCACAACATCAGTAACGTCGCTTGTCGCTTGGAGCCGGCCGGTAAAGCCTGCCGGTCCCTGCGAGGAGAACATCAGCTGATGTTGGCAACCCCTTTGTCTTTGGTATGTGTGCGCAACGAGCGGTGTTTGAAGTTAGAAATAGATTCACCAACATCCGCGGCCAGCTGGAGGCCGAAGTGCTGTAGATAGAACCTGGGGTAAGCAATCCCGCATTAGTATGTGGGGTACTTTGCATTCTTCGGATACAAATGTCACAAAGCCCAGGCCAGCCAAGAACTGCATGCGTAGGGGAAATCTGACTTTATGGTACCTGGCCAGTGCGGCCAACGTACCCGGTCCGAAGCCGGCTTATTGTGGGAAGAGCGTTCCTAAGGTCATTCTAGAAAAAGCTCCTCTTAGCGCCTAGCTTCTTTGACGCCGGGCTTTGAATTTATTGGACAAGCCTCGATGGGCGTGCTCGGGCTTTTGTCCGCCCAGTAAGCGCACCCCGCTTTCCAATCAGTGCTTCGCTTTCTCCAAGAAGCCCGCTTGCCATCAAGGGAGTCCAACAAGGCTCAGATGTGAGGAGGTACTTAGCGCTGGGACAGACGAGGGATCCGGCAAGAGATTGGAGCGGTTCCTTCATTGCCGCTCCCTCATCCCTCGTTGTCCAGTCTAGTACTCTTGTTGATTTCCAAGAATCCGGGGTAACAATGACATGGCTAACGGCAGAACCTCGAGACCGGGATGAAGTAATGAGCGTAGCTGAACCATCATTGTTGGGACCCGGTTTATCGTCGTCGCCACTGAGAGAGTGAGAGAGGCGAGGTATAAATGCTCTTCTTCTGCTTTGTTTACAAGTATCCTCAGCCCCCAGAAGAAGCTCTCACCTCCCCTTATCCCTTCATTTCCTGCCCGTCACCGCACCGCAATGAAGCTCTTTGCAGCCATTCTCCTTTCCATGGCCTCGGTCGCGTCGGCCTTCCCCGCCTTTGAGAAGCTCACGGTTGAGCAGCTCGATCGGGCTAGGCAGATGCTTGACGAGCGGCAGGTGCTTCCCAATCCCATTGCACCCATCCTCGGTGGCAACATGACCGTCACCGTCGGCAAAAAGGTCATTCCTGATGCCGCCCACCCATTCAAGGCGCCCAGCGCCACGGCACAGCGAGGCCCATGCCCTGGTCTCAACCTGATGGCCAACTACGGGTAAGTCTGTGAGCTTCTTGGGCCTGTTCAAGCACGGTAGCTAACGGCAAGGGCCATAGCTACCTCGACCGTGAGGGCATCACCAACTTCGAAGAGCTCGTCTACGGCCAGCAGGAGGTCATGGGCTGGGGCTTGGACCTGTCCACTTTCCTGGCGGCCCTCGCCGTCGCCGTCGACGGCAACCCGGTGAACCAAAAGGTTTCTATCGGAGGCCCCGACGAGCGTGTGGGCACTATCCCCCTCCTTGGTGACGGCACGCTGCCCGGTGGCATCCTCAAGCACAACACCTACGAGATCGACTCGTCGCTCACGCGAGACGACGTCGCCATTGGAAACAACAAGGTCCTCAACACCACTCTCTGGCAAGACATTTGGGACGTGGCCGACGAGATGAACGGTGGCCAACTCAACGGCAAGGTCATGTCGGTCGTGCGCGAGAAGCGGTATGAAGCTTCGGTGCGTGACAACCCGCAATTTGCATTTGCGCCCATCGGCGTCCTCTTCTTCTTCGCCGACCAGTTCCTCTACAACACCATGCCAACTGCACTGGACAACGGCGAGCCTGGTCCGGCGACACGCGAGACAATCTCGCCCTTCTACGGTGCCAAGCGTACGGGCGAGCGAACGTGGGAGTACGTGCCCGAGCACCTGCCCGAGGGCTGGGTGCGCCGCGCAAGGCCCCTCTCGATCCCAGAGGCCGTCCTCGCTGGCATCGACACGGTCACGGCGGCAGCGAGCAAGGGACAATTGCCCGTTGGCATTACCAAGGAGGACCTGACGAGCCCCCAGGGTGTTGTGTGCGCTGTCAAGTCCATCGCCATCGGACAGGTGCCCGCGGCAGTGGTGGGCCTCCAGGGCATGGAGATGCTTCTGTCTTCCATCAACTCCATTGGTGCCCCCTGCTGATGTATCAAGTTTCTCTACCTGGTTTTTCTTTCACGCCACCTTAACTGTGAGCTGTGTGTAATACGAATGACGTCTACCTCATTTCTTTCTCGTCTTGTCAGTGGGGTCAATGACTCTTTTCCGGGTTGTAACCGGGCGCTCGCAGTCTGCCAGGAAGCCAAGTTCCATGTGACCAGTGAACAGTATCGGTGTGCACTTGCCTTTGTCATCGAGAGTTCACTGGACAGGTTTTCTGCACACAATTGCACACATTGGGGCAAGGAGTTCGCTTCACTCCATGTCGCCGAAATCGCGCGTATGCTGACGCAGCCTGTCGGTGCGCTCAACTTCCCAGTAAGTGTCGACTTGCTCACCATTCCAACGAGCAAACACAACTGGTCTTGGTGCTTCGTGCCGAGCGATCTCACTCGCTATCTCACTCTGCAGTAGGAAAGTGGGACGTTGTGATTCGGCACCGCAGGCATGCACTTCTGATGTCGAGACCTCGGGGTCACAAAAAGACGCCTGCCGTGCGTGATACTCTGCCGTTGCTTGCACAGATTTTTAACTGGCGTTCTGGAGAGAGCGCAAAGGCGAGTTGATGAGGGCGGGTGACCTCGGTGAGTCGGCTTCAGCCGCTCTTCTCGAGAATTTACTGGCATCTTTGCTTACACCGGGCGTTATACTCGTCTCGGCAGCCGTGCCACCGTGGGTAAGTATGCCCGTCGTTCTGAGCAAAATGGACCTTGGGTAGGCATGATAAGGATTCGAGGGGTTGTACGCAAGGTTTAAAAAGGAGGAGAGAAGCCCGAAACTACTGACCCATTCACCACCACAATTAAAAAAAATGCGCTGCCTTCTGCCTCGCCTCCTTTCCTTGCTCGTAGTGACGCTCGTGACGTGCTCGCAGACGACTGTCTGGGCAATGGAGCATGGCGTGCACAAGCCCACGCCATCATCAATCAAGCTGCTGCAAACCTTCGAAGATCTGTCTGAGCAGATGGACCGCCTCGATGTGGGCGGTCATCTGTGCATTCGCTTTCCAACACAAGAGTGGAAAGGATTTAAAAGTCGCTTCAGGCACTACGTATCGCTCTGGGGTGACCACATACGCGCGTTCGAATTTCTCGTCGACCGACATGAGCCTAACTGGGTGACGGGATACATCAAGCGCGTGCTCCGATCCGAACCCATCGCCATCTCCGTCGACGACGAGCATGTGCCAGTAATAGAAGTCAGCTCGTACAAGCGCGAAGACATGTACAGGATCGTTACCAAAGATGGCAGTGTCAAGAAGTTCATATTCAAGCCCAGGGCATGGAAGGACTATATTCGCGACTGCGATGAGCTTCACGATATGCTCCACGACTGGCGTGTCCTCCACTCGTCTGGCACAAACCCGGGCACTGGATGTCCCGTTGAGACGGCTCAGAACCAGGAAGCGGTGGATCCTCAGGCAATCGTCTTGATGCTGCCCATGCCCTACAACGAAGAGCCCATTACTCCTGAGCACTCCGTTGGAGCCTCTCCTTCTCACCTTGCGCTTCCTTCGACTTCTTCGAGAAAGGAGAAGCCGGAGCTGTGGCACGATCTCGACAAAGTCACCGCTGACAAGCTCACTCATGAGGCCAACTTGTGCAGGCAGATGGAGAAGGCCAGCATCTCCTAAGCTGTCTTCCCCCTTTAACCCCCCCCCCCGGTTGCTTCCATTTCAGTTGAAGATGAAATCCAAAGACATGCTTTTCTCTCCACGGGCATGGCTGGCGAAAGCATGCGATTGGTGTGCTAGTATCGTAGTGATCTCCTCGGACTGACTCTGCCAAATTGCTTCTTCTTTTGACTCCCCGTTCGCTATCTCGTCACTGCCAAAAGCCGAATGTGTTTCGCTTCATGCTACCGCCAGGCCACGGGCGGTCTTTCGCCGCCATCCTCAAGCTGTAATTTCGGCGTAGCAATTGCTTGAATCTCCCGAGAGGTCCCGTGAAGATTCAGAAGCTACCGTAGGCAGTGGTAGCAATGGCCTCTGTCACCAGAAAGAGCTACAGCTGAGCTTCAAAATTGTAAAATCATCGCTCGAAGTCAAGTTCGAAGCTGGTGGAAAGGTGAAGCTGGCGGGAAGGTGAAGCCGGATTCTGGATGGAGCTTGCGGAGCTCGCTTTGAAGGACGAGAGACAGACGTGCGAAGACCTGCTTGGTCTGAGTGGCAAGGGAGAGCTCAGAAACCAAACAAGACCACTCGTTGGGGTGGAGTAAATGGTAGCTAATGGCAATGAGAGCGAAGGTATTAAGTAAAGACGGCCGGAACGGTCCTAGGAAGGTATATGAATGCCTAAGACTTACGTTGAGACTTACGAAGAGACTCGCTTTCCCGCTCACCTTCCGACACAAGAAGCAGAAGTAGCGATATACTGGCCAGGGCGTAAACTATTGTTTTCAAAGAACAGAAAGATGTGCTCTTCTTCGAGTGGCAACGATGAACTCGCGCAGGCAAGCAACAACGTCCAGCGACAGTCGACGCGGTGGTTTTCAGTGCCGCTTTCCCTTCATGTAGACGAGGCACCCCAGAACATGACAGGAGGGCGTACACCGTTTGCGCAGCGCCCTCGCCGTTCTCCGGTTGCGTCTGAGCCCTCCATCTGTCGGCACGCATCTGCAATCCAGGCGTGGGTCCCAATACGGAGTCAACGTAACTTGGCCTTTGCTATCCTCGCCCCAGTTGACCCAGCAGGTTACTCCATTGTACCCCGGGCACGTGTAGATGTAGAAGTCGGCCAAAGGATTGCTATTCTTGTCCGGAATGGGAAGCCCGTAACATTGCGCCGTGTCTTTCAGGTTGATGTAGGTGATACCACTGGAAGGAAGATAGGTTTAATCCAGCTTGTCTATGACCCATCTGTCGAGCGTACTCACTCGTCATAAAGGCGAAATTGGCTACTCGGTACTGCTGCGGGTTTTGGCTTGAGATCTAGTGCTACTGGTATAGGCTTGAGATCTTCCGCTGTCGCGTTGAACATGAAGCAAGGGATGACGAGAGCCATTGCAAAGATGTTGAGCTTCATGTCGTAGAGAGGGTCCAAGAAGCTGGGAAATGGGAGTGGGTGAGAGACTTTTCGTGCAAGGCACCAGGGCTGGCAAGGGGAAGAGAGAAGGCGAGCGTCTACAATGCAGAGCAATTAATCCTATGCTGGGTTCGTTGTTGCCCCATCGGCTTTCCCCCTGTTCGCAATCGTTCCCTGAATTGCTCCTCGGTCGATTCGTCTTCCTTTCTTGACCTCCGCAACTCCGTGACTTGTCGAAATCGGGTCGTGCGTTTGCAACTCTGACCTAGGAAACCGTTAAGCCGTCTATCTATCAGCTTTCTTCTTCATGCTCGTTCACAAGAGAGGGAGGGTGGTGCGGCGCATGGAGTCTCCCCGACGCTGAGTGGCCCAGGAACCCGCTTCGAGGAGCTCCTCTACTTTCCCAGGCGATATCACACCTACAGCTGGTCTGCTGGGGACCTCCGCTCGAGACTGGTCTCCGTCGGAGAGGACAAGCTCAGACTCTGGTCTTGCTGCATCGCCGATCGAATCAGGTCCAAAGCAGGAGCTAAGGCTGAGGCGTGAGAGAAAAGAGGTACGAGATGAGAATGGTAAAGAGGGAGCCGAGACAGAAGGCATTTGCGGCAATGACGACATCGTGGCGGTCCAGGGAGCGCGCCTTCTGACGTTGAAGAGCCGACGCGGATGCCGTCGCCGCCGCCGCTGTGGCAGATGAGGGCGGACTTGTTCTTGTCGGTCGGAAAACGTCTAAATCGCCCTTCGTCGCCCGAGGCGCGGTGATTCGTCGGTTGTTCCCTGCAACGACGAGGCCGGGGAGGTCGTCGATGGACCTTGCATTCTTGAAGAGCAGGTACGCCTCCCACGCCGTCCTTGCCACCCGCAAGCTGACTTGGCCCTCTCCCTCATCGCCGCCCCCTTTCGCGTCGGCATCGGAGTTGGCGTTGGGGAACGAGGGCACGTCGGAGGTGACAAAGCCGTACTTTTTCTCCGCCCGCTCCACACCCCACGACTCCATGTTCCTAGCCCACTCGGCCAGTGTCTGGCGCTCGCGGAGGTACGCATAGATGGGCACGCTGAAGCCGCACGAGGTGCTGCACATCGCCACGTCGACCTCGATCAGCGCCCGCGTCCCGGGTGGATGCCTGTCTTGGACGCGTGATGAGAAGCCGTCAAAGAAGCGCTCGTGCACCGTGCCTGTGTACCCCGAAACCGCCCCATGCTCGAGTGAGTCAGCCAGGCACAGAGACCGCCATCGGCAACAAGGTTAGAAACCCACCTCGGCCATACATGCGCACAATGTTGGGCGCGCCCTCTTCGAGATTGACAAACATGACGGTGATGCGGCCGTTGCCGACCTCGTTGAGGTGCGAGATCGTCTCGTTGCCGCTGCCAGTCAGATCGAGATAGCGCAGCTTGCGCGGACCCACGAGCTCGAAGCAGCCCGTGGCAGACTTGGGCGAGAGATTGACGCGGTGCTGCGCAGAGAGGGGCGCCGTTGCGACGAAAAAGAGCGGCTGGCGCTCGATAAAGTCAAACAGCTTGGCAGGGATCTCATCATAGAAGACGACCATGCTGTGTGGGAGAGCCACACGGAGAGCGCTCAAAGTCGACCAACAATCGATTCTTTTATATCATCTAGGCTAAAAATACTACAGGTGGGGGGAACCGATGTGTGGGCGCGCGCGCGGGCGGGCGCGCACGGGCGCCGAGTCACGCACGTCACGCGGCCTTGAGCGACGCGATGGCGGCGTCGATCTCGCCGTCGCTCAGGCCCAGCTGCTCGCTGCAGTAGCGACGGAAGCCGCCCAGCCTGCGCTCGACGACGCCCAAGAAGTCGTCCATGGCCTCGGCGCGCGACTCGGCCAGTGCGATGAAGCGCTCGTCGTCCTCGTCGAGGTGCGGCAGCTGCGCCTTGAGCTTCTGGAGCAGCAGCGCCCTGGCCGGCTCGACACCGACGCGCGACAGGCTGTACTCGTCGGCAATCTGCGCCCGCGTACAGCCGGCGAGCGAGAGGAGCAGCGCCGTGGCCACGCCGGTTCGGTCCTTGCCGGCGGTGCAGTGCAGGAGCAGGCCCTGGCCGTCCTGGAGCTGCGCCACGCTCCGGACGAGTGACGCGAGGGCGCTGCCGTGCGTGGCGAGGATGCGCAGGTAGGATTCCGTCACGATGCCATTCTTGATGGCCTTGGCCTGCTGTTCCTTGTCCTGCTCCTCCTTGTCCTGTCGCTTCTCGTCTTCGCCTTTCTGCATAAAGCTGCAGGGCGTTACATTGGGCGCATCCCAGTAGGTCCGCACCAGGTTTTGGTCCTCCGCCGTCCACGCCGGCGACGGACTGGCTTGTCTCTCCTTGTCGGACCGCAGATCGACGATGGTGACAAGGGCGAGGCGGTCGGTGGCCGTCTCGCGATCGATGGCGAGTGCGCCAGAGCGGTAGATGCGCTTGGCCCGCGTGCCCACGTGTGCGCTCGTCAGGTCCGAGTAGAGGCTGCGCAGGTTCAGGCTGCCGTCTGCGACGACAAATGGCGCCTCGCCCAGCGCTCGGGCGACGGCCTCGGCGCCGATGGCCTCGCTGACGGGCGTCTTTGCCAACTCAAGCGCGAGCATGTTCTCTCTCCCGCTTCATACAACCGTTGTCTCTCGCTCTCTGATGTCTGATGTCTGCGTTGGTGGGAGCGAGTAGGGAGGAAACGAATCTTTTTTTCAATCTCTCTATTTTTCTCCCCTCCTGCCCAGTATCATGTCGGGCTACGCTTCCATTCGGGTCGTCCGCGGATGTGTCAGTCGTCGACGTAGTGCAGCAGCAGCAGCAGCAGCAGCAGCAGCAGCAACACCAGTTGTGTGGAGGGATTTTTTAGAAATCAATTGCATCGGATAAAAACTGTGAAAGGAGAGCTGTGGAAAAACTCAAAGAGTCTAAAAGTGGGCCGGCGCGACCGGGATCGCTTGCCACACAAGGAGGCCCGAGCTGGGCTCGGTGGTCGCGTCGCGCGCTAAAAATACACTTGGCAGAACATCGCCCGGTCGCGAGGGGCCGAGCAGGACACGGCATCGAGTGCCCGAGCGCGCTCCCATTGATGCGCCTCGACCCGTTTGCCAGTGACGGTGCACCGGGTCGGGTACGACGACGAGGCCGGCGAGCGGCTGCTGCTGCTGCTGCTGCTGCTGCTGCCAGGGCCCTCTTCCCAGCCCGTTCCTTGGGCCTGTGCACGTGACTTTGCCTGGCGACGGCGACGGCTGTTGGCAGCGTGGTGGGCGTGCCATGGCCCAACAAAGAGGGGCGATGGCTGGAGTGCCAGCTCGGCAGCGGTGGAATCGTGTGCCGCAAGCTGCTCATGGCCATAGAAGGATGCACAGCCGACGAGGTACAGCGACTGGAGTCTGGGCCAGGCCGAGTGCTCAGAAAAGAGGCAGGCGACGAGGGTGCCGTCGACCCAGTCGCAGTGGCTCAGGTCGAGGCTGGCGAGGCGTGGGGTGGCACGGCAGAGCTTGCGGAGCAGCGCCAGGCCACTCGATGTCTCGAGGCCCGCGAGGCTGAGCTGCTCGAGCTGCGGGCAGGCGCCAGCGACCAGGGCCACGGTCCGACTTGCCGGGCCGTCGCCCTTGATCAATTCTGAGCCGGCGAGTGAGAGGATGCGCAGGTGCACACCGAGCAGGCGCGAGAGCGTCGCGTGCGAGGCGCTGCTGAACGAGAGGTCGAGCAGGCGGCTGCCCGTCGCTCTCGTCGTCGACCTCGACAGCGGCGCCTCGTCATCCTCCCATGAGTCGGCCCTACTACTTGACCCTCGCTCATGCTCTACTTGCTCCTCCAGTGAGTGCAGCGAAGGAGGAAGCAAGCGACGCAGGACCGCATCGGTGAGGGGCCTGCCCTGGGCCAGTCGACCTGAGAGTGCCATGAGTCTGGGCTGGAGATGCGGTGGGATCCACTCGAGGTCCGCCTCGGCCCCGCTGCTTGCATCGTCGACGATGGCGAGCAGCGCCGCGTCGACGAGGCTGGGCAGCCGTCCGTCGCCGTCGCCCAGCATGTGCCTGACCGAACGCGACAGTGCCCTTTTTCTTCTCTGGTCCCATCCCTGGTTCTGTTCCTTTCTCTCAGGCGTCCCCGGCCTCGGAGGTTCCTCGTCGAGCCAGCTCCCCGGAGGCAGCGGTCCGGCGAAGCGGGATCGGAGCACGTTGCGCCTCCTCGCCAGCGCCTCCTGCTCCCTCTGCCTCCTCGTCGCCCTTTCCTCGTCGCCCATCAGCGCAAGCGTCTCGCTGCCTGGAAAGGCTCCACCGACGACTGACGACGAGCCGGGCTGTTGCTGCAACAACGACGACGACGACGAGGCCCGGCCCTCGAGGTTCCGCAGTCTCCGGCGATCCTCGATGCGCATCTTTGCGAGGCGCGCCGCAAGCCGCTGTGACCCATCGCCTGCGCCACGCTGGCCGTCGTCCGGTGCGGGCCGGCGCGCAAGCGAGGGAATCAGGGCCGTCAGCGCCCTCTCGCGCTCCTCCATCGTCGGGCCATGGCTGCTCATCTGACGATCTCTCGTCTCGCCGACGTGCTCTTCTCCTCCACTTCTTTCCTATGATTTTATTTGGCGCACACGTGATTTTGACTCTAAAATGCACACGACAGCCCCGTCGCCGTCTCCACTCAATTCACACTCTCTCTCCGCCTTCCCGCTAAGCTAGACTGCCTCTGCCCACCGTGTTCTCCACGCTCCGCCTTCTCCGCACCATGTCGCACCAGACCGATGCCAACTGGTGGGTCCATGCCTTGACGCCACGCACTGATTGAAGACTGAACAGAGAGATTGCGCGAAACAAAAGCATCTTCTGCAAGATCATTGCGGGCCAGATCCCGAGCATGAAGCTCCTCGAGACGACGCACTCGTACGCCTTTCTCGACATTGGGCCCATTGCGCCCAAGCACAGCCTCGTGATCCCCAAGCACCACGCCGCCAAGCTGCACGAGCTGCCAGACGAGTACCTGGCGGACCTGCTGCCGGTGGCCAAAAAGGTCGCGCTCGCCAGCGGCGCCGAGCAGTACAATGTCCTGCAGAACAACGGCCGCATGGCCCACCAGCTCGTCGACCACGTCCACTTCCACGTGATCCCCAAGCCCGACGAGCAGCAGGGCCTCGGCGTCGGCTGGCCCGCGACCCAGCCCGAGAAGGAGGAGCTGCAGAAGGTGGGTTCATTAGCCTCGCTCCACGCACGCTGCGCTGACGGTGGTGCCACGGCTAGATCTACGACGAGCTCAAGGAGAAGCTGTGATGCTAGTGTGGATTTGTTCACGGGAAAATAAATACAAGTGCTTCGTGTCCTGCTCTTCCGCCGCTGCACTGTGGCTGCTCTTCTTGCCGCCGCCGCTGCCTCTAGCGGCGCGCGTGCTCGTCTGGCGCGCTGCCGTCGAGGATGGAGCGGAGGCTGTCGGGTGCGCGGCTCCGGCTGCGCGACGTCGACGAGCGGTGGGCGGGGGCATCGTCGACGCGGCTCGGCCCTGCTGCGCGGCCGCCGAGGCCCGCCGAGGCTGGCGAGCTGCTGCTTGGCGAGTCCGAGTGGGCCCGCGTCCTGCTCAGGCTCCTGCTCAGGCTCCGGGTCGATGAGGGTGACGAGGTGGCAGCAGCGGCGACGGCGGCCGCTGCCGGGTCCCGCGGCCGGGAGCGCGAGAGGCTCGACGAGGCGCGCGACATGCCCCTGCCGCGCGTGGGCCGCTTGCCAAAGTCGAGCTGCTTGCGTCCACGCCGGTCCTCCTCCTCGTCTTCTTCTTCATCTCCTTCTGCTCCTGCCTCCTCTGCCTCTGTGTCTGCTCTTCTGGCCTCTTGTGCCTCTTTGCCTTCCTCGCCAGCCTCTTCGTCACCGCCTGCCCCCTCGCCCTCACCCACGGCGAGCGCGAGCCACGGCGAGGCAGCCACCTCGTCGATCGTCCACCGCCGGGCCGGGTCGATGTGGAGCAGGCCGCGGAGGAGCGTGCGGACGCTGATGCGGTCCCTCGAGGTGCCGTCAAAGGCCGTGTCGAGGCCTGCGTCTGACCCTGCGTCTTCCTCTTCTTCTTCTTCTTCTTCTTCTTCAGCCTCTTCTGCCTCCATCACTGCTCCTCCTCCTTCTTTGTGCCCCTGCAGCATTTCGAGCGCAGGCAGCGAGGCCGAGAGGTCCGTCGTCAGGCTCGTCGTCCGGCTCAGGCTGCCGTGTCCGCTGCTGCTCCCACTGCTGCTCTTTGTTCTTGCATGACCACCGAAGCTGCTGCCACCTGCTCCTGGCGCCTGCTGCTCCTCGTCGAGGCGCAGGCGCTGGCGGCGGCGAGCGAGGCGCGCCGGCATCGCCCACTCGCCCCGCGCAATCTTCTGCTGCAGCCGCGGCTCAAAGCTGTCGACAAACGGCAGCCGGCCCGAGACGAGGGCGTAGAGGATGCAGCCGAGGGCCCACATGTCGCGGCCGTACTTTTCCCTCGCTGACGGCGTGGTCGTCGCTGTGGTTGTCGCTGTTGTTGCTGCTGTCGCTCCTTCGTACGCCACAATCTCGGGCGCGGCATAGGCGAGGGAGCCGCCGGTGCTCAGCGTCGTGGGCCGGCGCGCGACGGCCGACGACGGGCCCGCTGTGCCTGCTGTGCCTGTCCGGGCAGGGAGGATGTCCGAGGCGCGCGCAGCTGCTCGCCTCTTTGCTGGTGTGTTGGAAAAGGAAGAAGAAGAGGCAGCCACTGACGGTGCCTGGCGGAGGTGCGCCCTCGCCAGGCCAAAGTCCGCCAGGCGCCAGCGTGTCGCTGCTGGGGTTGTCGCCGTCGCCGCCGTCGTCGCAGGACAGGCTGAGCTTGCCGGACTCGCCAGCACATTCTCGAGCTTGATGTCGCCGTGCACAATCGACGCCGTCCGGTGGAGGCAGAGGAGCGCGCGCGCGAGCTGGGCCATGATGTCGCGCGCCTCGGACAGGGGCACGCCGACGCTGCTGGCCTGCAGCGAGGCAGTGCGTGTGAGTGACGTGGACGCGCGCGACGAGGCACGCCGCAGGAGCCCACTGCCGTTGGGCGACGGTGGCGATGCCATCGTGAATATCCCTGCGCTCGACGCCGCTGTTGTCCCCGCGCCTGCCGCTGCCGTCAAGCCCGCATCCACCGCTGCTGCCGCCGCCGCCGCCGTGGAAGAGGGCCCCGAGGCCATGCGCAGCTTGAAGCCCGAGCCGGTGCGCTCGGCAAATGCGAGCGGCGACGGCGCCGAGTTGCGCGGACCAGTCACGTGGGCAGCTGCACCAGTGGCAGAAGCAGGCGCAGCATTTGAAGACGGCGCGGCATGGCGGATGTGCTGGAGGAGGCTGCCGGCGCAGAGGGGCATGACGAGAAAGTCGAGCGTGCCGCTGTCCGTGTCGATGCGCTCGTGGTCGAGGAGCGGGAGCAGGTGCGCGTGGCGGGGCACAGCGCGCCAGACATTCACCTCGTCGTCCATCGTCGCCGGCTGGCCGTAGACGATCTTGACGGCGACGGGTGTGGAGTCGTCGTCGTCGTCATCGTCGTCGCCGCCGCCGCGCTGCGTGTCCCAGGCCTCGCGCACGGTAGAAAAGCCGCCAAAGCCAATGGCACGGCCGAGGCGGTAGCGCCCACCGACGATGTATGCGCCCTCGTCGTCGGGCCGCAGGGGCAGCAGCGACGACGACGACGACGATGGAGCCCCCTGCCGCTCGTACAGGGCCGCTGCGGCACCCGAGAGCCCACTCAGGCCACCGGCTGGCTGGCTAAAGGCCGACTCGTGCAGCTGCGTCGCCGGACTGCCAGGCGGGGAGAGCGAGTGCGACGGGCCGGGCACGTGCGCGGCCGAGTACGACTGCGAGTGGCCGCGCAGGAGCGACGCACCGGGCGAGGCCAGGCGCTCGTTCATGCTCGACAGGAAGCTCGCTGCGGGCGACTGCATTCGCCGCCGCTCTTGGACCTCGCTTTGACTGTTGCTGTTCTGGCTTCCATCGCCATCGCCGTAGCTCCTCGTCGTGGCGGCCTGCTGTGCATCGACGTGCAGCCGGGGCCGGCTGCCATCCAACGCATCGCCGTCGCCATCGCCCTCGCCGTCGGGGCCGCGCTGCCACCAGAGCCGCGACGAGGACGAAGGCGAGGGCGAGAATGAAGACGAGGAGGGAATAGCGTGACTGCCGCCGGCACTGGGCGCTGCGATCGGAATCGCATGGCTGGGCCCCACCTCAGCCCTGGTGGGCGGCGCGGCGGCGGCAGACCGCGGCAGCTCCGAGCTTCTCCGTCGGCGGCCCCGCCGTGTGCCTGTCTCTTCGTCGGTGCCCGTCGCTTCCCTTTCCTTGTCCTTGTGGTTCTCGGGGCTGCCGCCGCCGGCGCTCGTGTCGCCGTGGAGCAGCGCAGCGGCACTCAGCCCAAACGGGTCGTACTGCGGCGTCGTCGACGGCCGTCCTCCATCGGTGGCCATCCCATGGGGCTGCGTGCTTCCTCTGTACTGGCGTCCGCTGTTCTTGCTTTGTCAGTCTGGATATCAAGTGTGGATGGCAGCGATCTGTGCGCGCAGCGAGCGATGGAGCGGGGTGGGGGGGAGGAAAATAAAACGGAAAAGAAAAAGAGACGAGACGGGGGAGGAGGAGGACCGAGCGAGGAGGGGGGCGCGAAAAGAAAGCTCAGTTCTCCGGTTTAGACTTTTTCAATGTTCGGCGCGTCTCAGGCAGGCAAGCCAGACCGCGGCCTCCTCGTCGCCATATCTCAGGGTTGGCAGCAATGTACAGTATTCAGCATGTATCTAGCAATAGGAAGGTGTCAGAGCAGTGTCCGTCTCGTCTACAGCTTGGAGCGCCCCCAGATGCGAAAGACAATCGTCGAGGGCGCCACGCCGAAGCTGTCGGCAATCGCCAGGCCGAGCTCGTGGGTGAGGATGACGCGGGCCAGCGCGTAGTGGTGGATCGCGTGGAGGCAGCAGAACCACATCTGCGAGTCTGTCAGTGCACGATTTGGGACTTAACAGGAAGATACAAGCAACCCACCTCTCTCCCCAGCGTGCTCCCCAGCTCCACTTCCGCAGGCGTCGTGGCCGAGAGGGCGAGCCGCTGGTCCATGCGGTGCGGTGCCTGGCGTGGAAACAGCCGCCGGATGCGCTCCTGCGTCTCTTCGAACTCGCTCAGCGCCGACTGCGCGCTCGTCTCCAGCGGCGGCGACCGCATCCGCTTGTCGTAGTCTAGCTTGATTACGTCCCCGCTCGACGGCCCTTCGATCGCATCGAGCATCAGCCGGTAGTGGTCGTGGACGCTGTGCCGTGGGAGTGGTCAGTCTTTGCATTATTTCACTCGATCGACGTGAAGGAAGACTCACTGTCGCAGGTGCTTGCCCACAGAGCTGCCGGGAATCAGGGCTGATTCAGCAGCCATCTGCTCGTCGCCCACGGTGCCGTCGCGGAGCATGGCCAGCGGCTGCTCGAGGATCTGCAAGAGGCACGACACGAGCGCCTCCTGGCTCTCCTCGCGCGTCGACGGCGACCACGACTGGTACGGCATCGGGCTGTCCGACGACGGCGTGTGGTTCAGCGTGTAGTTGGTCGGTGTTGATGAGCGCGGCATCGTGGTCTGCTCTCCTCCTCCTGGTCGTTGCCACTGGGAGATTAGCCCTCGCCTCGCCTCGCCCTCGCAAAAAATTCAAAATTACCGGTGGACAGGAGTGGAGCACACACACCCCAGCCCTGGATGCGCACGTGTTTGACGCACGTGCATTGTGCGCCCTCCCAATTTTGATCCCCATCTCAAAAGTTCTCGCCCAGTCGTGCAAGGAACGAGAAGAAGAAGAGACGATGGCCATGGCGACGACATCGCTGCTCCGGACTGCTGCAGGCCCTGCGCGGTGGACGCTGCTCGAGGCGCCGAGCCGCTCCTTCTCATCGTCGAGTGCAGCATGCGCAGCCAAGAAGGGGGCGCCCAAGGTGCAGCAGAAGCGCAAGACGCCCATCCGCAAGTCCGCCGGTTCCTCGGGCCCGCGATCACCGCGACGGGGGCAGACCAAGTCGGCGGGCGTGCACGAGGGCCTGTCCAAGACGAACCCGTTTGTCAAGCCGGTCGCTGACATGTCATTCCTCGCCACGCTCCTGCCCGAGCAGGCGACAGAGGCCAACGTCGGCCAGGTCATGGCGTGGAGCGAGCGGACGCTGGAGGCGACGAGAATACAGGGCTTTGGCCTGACGCGCGAGATGGCCAGAGAGGTGGGTGTCGGCTCTAGCTTCTGTCGCTGATCATGCTCTCTGACTCTTGCCTGCTCGCGTTTCCCACAGTTCAAGAGACAACCGAGACCGCGGACGCTGCTCCGGCCACAGTCGCTCCGCCTCTTCAACCACCTCGACTCGTCGGTCGAGGGAGCGACCGGCCAGACGACGCTTCTCCAAGGCCCGCTGGGTGCCGGTGCATCGACGCTGCTCCTCCAGGCCGTCTCGTACGCGCTCGAGTCCGACTGGCTCGTCGTCTACATCCCCCGCGGCATCAACCTCGTCGACAGCTCCTCGCCCTTTATCTACTCGTCGTCGATGCAGACCTACGTCCAGCCCGAGGCCAGCCGGGCGCTGTTGGGTCGCATTCTCTCTGTCAATGGCGCGGACAAGCTGCGGGAGATCCCCGTCGACGAGGGCTCTTCTTCTTCGTCATCGTCCTTGGCCGATGTGATCAAGCAGGCGTTGGGCGAGCAGCAGCAGCCCGCGGCGCTGCAGCGCACCCTCGAGACGGCCCTGCGGACGCTGGTGCAGCAGCGGCAGCGGCCCCTGCTGCTGTGCCTCGACGGCGCCCAGGCCTACTTTTCCACGACAAAGTACCGCGACGCAGACTACCGCCGACTGCAGGCGTACGAGCTGGGCCTGACACGGACGGTGCTGTCATGCATGCGCACCCAGGGCGCCGGCAGCTTTGGCGGCGTCCAGCGCGGCCTCGCCCTCGCGGCACCGAGCCCGCAGCACGCCGAGTGGTGGCCCTGGACGCTCTCCGACGACACCCACCGGCTGCACCACGCCGAGGCGGCCTTTGCCAGGCTCGACATTGGCCGCCACTTTACCAACGACGAGGCCGCAAGCCTGTTTGACGTCGCGCGCCGCGAGCTCAACCGCGGGCCCGAGGCCATCAACGACGAGTCCTACCTCGCCCGGCTGGCCACCAGCGGCGCCAGCCTGTCCGTCTTTGAGCGCAGTCTGAACGTGCAGCAGTAGGACACACACACAGAGATAGATAGATTGTACACATGGCTACTTTACTTGAATTGCAATTGATCATACACCTGCTTCGCCATGGCCACGAGCTGGGCCGCGTCGCCGACCTGTGACGAGGCCATGAGTGCCTCGAGGGCGTCGACGAGGCCGGCGCCGACGAGGAGGCTGCCGCGGCAGGTGGGCGCGTGCTCGGCGACGTTGGCGAGGATGGTGAGGCCGCGCAGGGCCAGTCCCTCGTCCCACTCGTCGCGCTCCCCTGCTCTGTCCTCTTCCTCTTCTTCTTCTTCTCCGTCGTCACCACCACCATCTCCAACCTCGCCCACTTCGCGGATGCGCGGCGGCACGCCGGGCCACACGAGGCGCACGAGCAGGTTGACGGTCGTGGTGCGCAGCTTGGCGATGCGCGCGCATACAGCGCTGCTCTCGGACAGCATGGCCAGCAGGCCGCCCGCCGCGAGGCGCATGGCCTTTGTCGTCTCGCCGCTGCCGCTGTTGCCCTGATCTGCCTGTGAAGAGGCTGTCGGAGCATAGGCGCAGAGGGCGACGACGAGGTGGGTCCAGCGCTGCCTTCGCTCCTCGTCAGAGTCGTCATCATGCTGCTGCTGCTGCGGCTGCGCTGCATCGGGGCCCAGTGCCTCGCCAGACCAGTGCGAAAAGGCGTGGGGACCCGCAGCGAGGTTGCAGGCCAGCTCGACGCAGGCACGCCGCGCCATGGCATTGTCCTCAAAGAAGAGGCGCTCGTCGAGGAGCGCGAGCAGGCCGATGCTCGCCTTGTCCCCGTCTTTCGATTCTGCAGTCCCGGCGCCACGGAAACCACCGGTGGCGGGCAGGACCGCATGCAGGGGCTGGGTGAAGCGCGCGACAGAGGCGCATACATCCTCGGACAGCGAGGCGAGGTTCGTCAGGGCGAGGCAGGCCTCGAAGCGCTGCAGCGTCGACGAGGCCGCCGACATGAAGAGCGCACCGAGTGGCGCAACGGCGCTCGTCGCATCGTCGCGCAGCACCAGTCGCGGGTCCAGGTCGATGAGGAGGTGCGCGAGTGACTGCGCGGCGGTCCTTTTCGTTGCCCCGTCGTCTTTCGTTGTTCTGCTGCTGCTCGAGGACGAAGCCAGGAGGAGAAAGAGGGCACGGGCGCCGCCCTGCTGCACGATGCGCCCGCGCTGGGCCCGGTCCTGGGGCGTCGTCATGGCCAGCATCGCCTGGGCAGCCGTGGCGGTGAGTGCGCTGCTCAGCGGCCTCACGGTGCTCATGGCCGTGATGGCGGCGACGGCGCCACACTCGACGGCACGGTTGATGCGCGCCCGCACCGCCGGTGCCTCGAGCAGCTCGTTGTGTTCTCCATCTCCGTCCTCTTCTTCATTCGCCTGCGCCTGCTTCTGCGAGGCGCGCTTCTCTGCATTGGCCATGCGCCGCAGCCGGGCCATCTGGCGCTCCTCGGCCGTGGCGACGGGCTTGAAGGCGACGAGATGGAGAAGCACCGTGGCGACGCCGTACTGCAGCGCCGTGTCCGGCGGCTTGGCCTGGCATGCGCGCAGCACGGCGACGACGAGGCCGCGGAGGAGATCCGTGTCGTCGGCGACGCGCTGCCGGAACGCAGAGCCGAGGCTGAGGTAGGTGAGCGCCTCGACGCTGGCCATCCGTGCCCGCTCGTCGCTGTCACTTTTCTCGTCGCTTTTCGTCGCAACACCCACGACGAGGAAGCGGCGTGCGAGCTGGTAGAGTGTCTCCTCGTCGCCTTCCTCTCCTTCTTCCTCTTTCGACTCCACGGCCTTGTTGTCGGCCTCCTTTTCTTTCCCTCCCCGTCGCATCTTCTCGAGCGTGAGCGCGCAGAGGAGGCCGACGACGCGTGCCTGGCCGTCCTGGAGCTCGGCGCGGTCCACCCACGTCCTGAGCCACTCGCCGACGGGCACGCCGGCCGCAGATGCACCATCCTCCTCGCTGCCCACCTCGACGATCTTGCTTGCTTGCACTGGTGCTCTTCTTCTGTTCCGCTCGAGAAGCTCTTTGCGTGAAGGCCCATGTCCACTTGCAGCGCACAGCACTTCGGCCAGGGCGAGGCCGAGGCGGTCATCGTCGATGGAGCGCACGACGAGGCCGCCGTCGAGGGGGCCGCCGTCGTGCGCTGGCAGCAGCAGCGCGTGTGCCTCGTCTGGCCGTGAACCATAGAGGGCAGCTACGAGCCGCAGTGCTGCCATAATTCCATCCTCATCGCCAAAATCGGACCCCGAGCTGCTTGAGGATAGAAGCGCAGCGAGGCGTGCACGGAGCGCTGTGTCGACACCCGTCTGCGCCAGGTGGATCTGCGCGAGCGTGCGCCGGTGTGCGTCCGACCGGGGGCCAAACGCAGCGACGAGGTCCGCCGGAGAGGGCGCAGACAGCTCCGCAGACGCCAGCGAGGCCGTCAGCGAGTCCATCTTTGTGCTTCGCCGCCCTCTTACCGCTGCCGCCTCCGTTGTCGTCGTTGCCGTCGCCGCCGTCGCTCGACGCCGAAAAGAAGAACGCGAGAGAATGGACCGTGCGCGCGCGAAAGATCACGTGTCGCAGTCTCGCTCTTCTCCCGGAAGACAGGGTGTGGAAGACCGACACACAACCATGGCCGAGCCGGCGCTCCTTGCGCCCGAGGACCTCTCGACGCAGCTCGACGTGCTGCAGGTCGTGCTGAGCCTGTACGGCGACGACGGCCTGGAGCTGCCGCGGGAGTCGGCGCAGGCAATCGAGGACCTCGCCCGCTTCCTTGCCCTTCCGCTGGCCTCGCTCGGCGATGCCGGCAGCGTGGCCCTGCGCGACAAGCTGCCCGTGGCCGTCGCCTTTGGCCTCGTGCTCGACCCCCTGCGCGGCTCCGTCGATGCCTCCGACGGGCGCACCGTGCGGCTCGACGTCGAGGTGCCGCTGCGGCGGCGGCAGGAGAGTGCGTCTCTTCCAACACGGCCATCGGCGTCGGTGTCGCAGGCCGGCTGGATGGCCCGGCAGGACCACGCGGACCTCGTCGACTTTGTGCGCACCTTTCCCTACCCAGGCGATGGCGATGGCGAAGCGGAAGAGGAGGGCGCCGGGTCGTCGTACATCCTCTCGCTCGCCGAGGATCTCTGCGAGCGCGCCGTGCCCCTCCTGCTCCAGGCACAGTCCACAGAGAAGGAAGAGAAAGAAGAGAAAGGCGCCACAGAGGACGAAAGCAACAAGTCCACACGCTCCTGGCACCTCCTCGTCAGCCTGTCGGTGCCGTCGAAGCGCGCCGATCTCGTGTCGTACGCCGTCGACGCGGGCCTCACCGGCTTTGTCCTCGCCGGCAAGCCAGGGCTCGTCGTCGTCGAGTCGCCCACGGGTACCGCAGCCATCGACGCCTACTGGCGCGACATCCGCTCCCGCTCCTGGTCTGACCTGCCGCCGGCGTCTAAAAAAGTGACGCAGCGCCTCGTCGAGGACGGCGCGCCCGCCTGCTTTGCCGGCTTCCGCGACATCAGCGAGCAGCTCCAGCCCGACGCGCCCGTCCTGGGCCCTGGCGGCCACGTGCGGCGCACGGACCTGGGCGCGCTCCGTCGCTGGCTCGACGCCGCGGGCGGGCTCGCTGACCGCCTCGACGCTGTGCTCTAGCAGGCAGGCAGGCAGGCAGGCAGGCAGGCAAGCCAACCCGCAGCACAGCCTCGCTTCCGTGCTTGCTTCTGATGTGGTCTCCATCGTCATAGTCACAAGTTGCCTTTGTACAATTATCAAGTCTGTTTCTATCTACATGCATGCATCCCGTGTCTCATAGTCCAATGCCCGTCGCAGAGCCAGTCGCAGTCCTAGTCGCAGTTCAGGACGCCGGATCACTTGGAGCCAAAGTTGACGGAAAAGGGCCCGATGAAGTCGCGCTTGGGCAGCGCCGTGGTGAGGATCTGGGGCACGCCGCGCACCTCGCCGAGGACGGGCGAGCCGACGCCCACGCCCTGCGTCGGTGGCAGCGCAGGTCCCGGCGGCATCATGCCCAGCATGCCGGGCATCGGCTGGGGCGCCTGCTGCAGCGTCGAGATCGGCTGGGCCCACGACGAGACGGGCTGCTGGAGCGGGCCTCCCTGCTGGTTGTTGTTGTTGTTGTTGTTGTTATTGCTGTTGCCACCGGTGAGGGCGTCCTTGACGGCCTGCAGCGTCGAGCGATCCTGGCTGTTGTCCTGCGTCGGGGGCGACGAGACAGTGTGGATGACGTGCTGGCCGGCGGGGAGCGAGCCCACGCCCAGGGCGAGGGGCTGCTGGTCTAAGTGGACGAGGTGGCGGGACTTGATGCTGAACAGGTCGGCAATCTCGTGCTCGAGGTGGCGCTTGGCCTCGCGGATCTTGCCGACGTCTTCAAACATGCCGGCGACCTCGCGCGAGAGCATGCGTTTGAGCTCGTCGGCGTGGGCCTCGATGTTGTTGCGCAGCATCTCGCGGCCCGCCGAGTGGACGGCATTGACCAGCTGGCCGTTCTGCTCCGACGTGGCGCGCAGCAGCTCCGATGTCATCTGCTGCATGGCGGCGTCCTGCGTCGACTTGGACGCGGCGTCGGCCTGGCGCTGCGCATTGAGCGCGGCCACGAGGCTCTCGATGGCCGACTTGGGGTCCATCTCGCGCCGCTTGCGCTCCTCCTCGGCGGCCTGGCGCGCCTTTTCCTCGTCGAGGCGCGCGAGAATCATGTCGACGAGCTCCATCTTTTCGCGCTCGCGCACACTCATGCTCTGCTGCGCCTCGTGCTGCTCGCGCGCACGGCGCTGGGCCTCGGCGGCCTCGCGCTGGGCCTGCTGCCGTGCCTCGTCCTCCTTGCGCTCGAGGAGGTGCTTGAGGATCTCCTCAACAGCAAGCGCCAGTGCGCCGCCGCCCGCGCCCGCGCCTGCACCGAGTGCGCCTGCCAGCGCCTCGTTGGCCATCGTCGTCGATGCAGAGCTCTTGGCCGATCGCTGCTGCGGCTGCGTTTGTATGCGTGGCTGCGACATGGGCTCGTCGACGGCCGTGGGGTCGCTGTCGTTGCTTCTGCCGCGCTCCATGTGCTGTGCGCCGTGGTCGTCACTGTCGTCATGCTGGGCCATGGCCTTGTCCGCGGCAACTTCCTCGTCGGGCTGCTGGCTGGCCTTGATCTCCTCGACGATCTTGTCGACGGCAGCCTGGCCATCGCCCTTGTCGGCGGCAGCGCGCACGGCCTCGCGGACCTGGCGCTCGTCGCCACTCCTCGCCGCGCGCCGCACCACATCAAGCAGGCCGAGGTCCATCTCGAGGGAGCGCGTCTGCTCGCCCGTGTCCTTTTCTTTCGTCGCTGCCTCGTCGCCGCCGCCCTTTTTCGTATTCTTGCGCTTCTTCTCCCGGTGCTTGTCGTACTCGTGCACGGCCGCCGCGACGAGGGCAGCGCCGCCGGCAGCAAGGGCGAGGCGGCCGGCGCCCTCGCGCAGGCTCCGTTTGCGCGCGCGCTTCTCCGTCGCCTGGCCGTCCTGGCGCTCGCGTGCGGCCCTGCGTGTGCTGCCCGAGCCGCGCCAGACGTCGTCGTTGCGCAGCGGGCCCGGCGAGGCCTCGGCGCGCCAGGTGCGTGTGCCTGCGCGCCGCACGCCGCCTGCGCCTGCGCCCGCCGGCTGTGGACCAGGCGTGACGAGGGGCGCAGGCTCGAGCAGGCCAAGCGCACCGCCACCCATGACGGGCGCACCAGCAAACGGCGGCGCACCCGACGCAGGCCGCAGCGGCGTGGGCGGCGGCATGCCTGCTGCGGGCGACGAGAGGCCGCCGCCTGCTCCCATCGGCCGCGGTCCACTGGGGCCAGCGCCAGGGCCTGCTGCGTCGGGCATGGCGCCGTCGATGCCCCTGTTCGCCTCGGGTGGTCCTCCTGCAAAGGCTGCCATGCCACCGTGCATCGGACCGGGCATGCCCATCGGCGGCTGGCCCATCGGCAGCGGCTGGCCCATCGACGAGGGCCCCGGCTGCCCACCCTTGAGCGCCGAGAGCTCGTCGTGGAGCTGGGTGACGCCCATGGCGAGGGTGCGCCACTCCTTGCTGCGGTCGACGACGTCGCGCTCGAGCCAGGAGTTGAGCTCGTTGAGGTAGCGCGCAATGTCGGCCTGCTGCTTCTGCTGCGCCTGGCGCGCCGCCTCGTTGTCGCGGATCGCATCGAGCACGGCCTCGATCTCGGGGCCATGTCCGCCTGCAGCGCGCCGCTTGGTGGGGCTGCGGGCCGTCGCGGACGAAGACGACGACGAGACAGCGGGCGATGCGAAGGGATTGGGCCGCGGCGTGGCTGCGACAGTCAGGCCGAGGCCCTCGCCGTGCCGGACGGCCTTGCCCGCCCAGGGCAGCGCACCGACGACGTCGTCGGCCGTCTGCTGCGACACGCTGCGCTGCTGCGGCCGCTGCTGCTGCATGCCGGGCGCGACCCTCCTGCTTGAAGTCCCCTGCGGCTGCTGAGCGAGACGGGGCGTGTACCAGCCGCCGCCGGCATGGTCTGGGTACGTGGGGCGGATGCCGTGCGTCTGGGCGAGCCTGCGCCGGCGGATCTCGGCCTCCATGTCGAGGCTGACGGTGCTGCTGCCGCGCCTGGCCGCGAGCTCGTCAAAGGTGCCGCCAGCGTCGCCGTCGGCCATGTCCATGGTGAGCAGCGAGGCCGTGTCGGCGCCGTGGCCACGGTCCGTATTGGCGGGCGCGCCGGGGATGCCGTCGCGCGAGCACCAGCTCCGGGGCGGGATGCGCTCGGCCATGAGCGACGAGACCACGTCCGAGTCCGACGCCGACGAAGGGAAAAAGGGGCTCCGCGCCGGCCGGGGCGTGTCCGGTGCCGGGGTGTCCGGCGTCGGCGTCTGCATGGCCGGACCGAGGTCGTCGGCGGATCCGATGCGGGCGAGCGGCGTCGAGAAGTCTTCTTCAGCGTCATCGTCGTCGTCGTCATCTTCCTCGTCTTCGAGCGCAGGCGGCGCACTCATGCGGCGCTCCATCGGCCGGGTGCCGTAGACGAGGCGGTCGGCGAGGATGGCGCGGTCGCGGCCATTGGTCGGCTCGTCGGCGCCGTCGCGGACCCGGTTGGCGGCCTGGAGCAGCGATGGCAGGCCCTGCTGGGCATGTGTCTGCTGCTGCTGCTGGCCGCCGCTGCCGCCGCCGACGAGGGCGCCGCCGACGAGCTGGACGAGCCGGTCGAGCTTGTCCTTGACGGCGCGCAGCTCGGCTGCGTTGCTGTGCCTGGCGCTGCTGCTGCTTTGCCTACTGTGCCCGCTGTGCCTGCTGTGCCGGGACAGCGACGACGAGGGGGTGGGCGAGGCGGCGGTGTGCGAGGGAGATTCAGAGGCAGCGGCGGCAGTGGCGTGGAGCTGGAGCGACTCGAGGGCCTGTTGGAAAGTGGCAAACTGGCTGGCGAGCATCGCATCGCGGTCGCGCCGCTCGCTCTGCTGCGCCTCGAGGTACTCGAGCAGGCGGTTGACGTCGTCGGACGAGATGCTCGACGCGGCGGCCGAGTGGGTCGAGAGCGAGGAGATGATGCTGCGTGCGCGGCTGAGCACGTTGCTCGCTGGGGCCGTCGTCGCAGGCTTTGTCGCTTGAGCGGGCGCTTGAGTGGCCGCAGCAGCAGCAGGCGGCGACGGCGCCAGGGGCAGGCGCACACTCTCGGGCGAGACGGTGGCCGAGGCCGCGCCGACGAGCCCGGCGGCCATGGCGGCAGCAGGCGACGAGGGCGAGGCGCGTGCGAGCGAGGCGCTGGCAAGCGTGGCGCTGCGCCGTCGGTGGCCCGGCTGGCTGCTCTGCGCGGCCTGGGAGAGCGTCTCCTCGACGACGGTGTCGAGGTGGCCGGGGCCCTGGCCGACGAGGAGCATATCATCAGGCAGCGGCGAGCCGAGCTGGCCCATGATGCTGTCCCGCAGCGTCTGGGCGGGCGTCTTTGGCGGCTGCAGCTCCCTGTCCGTCTCACGGTCCAGCTTGGCGACGGCAGCAGCCGCGAGCTCGTGCTCCTGCTCCTGCTCGTGCCCGTGCCCGCGGCCGGAGCGGCTGGAGATGGTGCCGCCGCGCTCGCTGCGTGCAGGCCGCTGCGAGGCCGAGTCGCTCGGGTGGATCTCGCGCTCGCCGTCCTGGGTGCGCCAGTCGAAGACGGCCTCGCTGCGGGGCGAGCGCGGGCCGAAGTCGTCGGTATGCGACAGGGCTTGGCCGTGGCTTGTTCCTTGAGCCGGAGCTGGAGCTGGAGCTGAAGCCGATGCAGCAGCACCAACGCCAGACACAAGCGTCTCCTGCGACTTGCCCTCGTCGAACGAGGCCGGCACGCTCTGGATCTGCGCCACGTGCACGTCCGTCGCCACCAAGCTGGGCGGCCGCGCCGACACGCTGGCGCGGCGGAGCGCGCTGCCTGCGCGCGTCCCTTCCTTGTCTTTATTCCCATCCTTGCCGCTGTCCTTGCTGCCGTCCTTGTCTTTGCTCTTGCCACTGTCCTTGGGCGGCACCGGCGGGCCCGTGGCGAGGGCATCGGCGAGCGACGCCGGCTGCTGGCTCGACAGCTCGCTCTTCCACACCGAGCCGATGCGTGCGATCTCGTCGCTGTCCTCCTCTTCTTTGTTGAATGCCCTACCCGCGGCCATTGGCTGCTGCGTGGGACCGTGGAGCACGGGGCTGACCTGGAGCGAGAGGCCGTCGACGCCGCCAGCCAGGGAGGTGTCGCCCCCAAGGCCATCGCCAGCCAGGGGAGTGGTCGACGACAGCCCGCGGCGGCGCATGGCACTGGGCCCGCGCGCGGCCCCGAGGGCGTCCCAGACGGCACTGACCCACTGGACGCGGTCACGTGCCGTGTCGACGGCGAGGCGCTCGACGCCGTCGTCAAAGATGAGCTGGAAGGGGCTGAGGCTGCCGAGGCCCTGGTCGCGTGCGATGCGGGCACCCATGTCGGCCGCGCTGCTGGGGTGCTCTGCATGCGGCACCGAGTGCACCTCGCGGCAGGCACGCAGGTCCAGCACGACATTCTCGCGGCCACCGCCGGCGGGGATCCAGCTGAGGGCAATGGCCGAGGGCAGGAGGACGGCCTGGGCGCGCTGCCAGTGCGGCTGGCGCGTGTGCACGTTAAAGTAGTAGACGAAGCCGACTCGAAAGGGCTCGGCACCCTCCTGGCCCATGACCTCGAGGGTGGTGCGCGTGTCGAGGCGCAGGCCGGCGCCCGTCTCGGAGCGGCGGCGGAACGAGGCGAGGGTGCCCAGGGTGCGCGTCGAGAGCGTGCTCCTGTTTTCGTCCTCTGATTCTGTGCCCCTTGGCGTCGTGGCTGCTGTTGCTGTTGCTGTCTCGTGCGCCCGCTTCGGCTCGCGGTACGACGTCGGGGGTGCGCCACCGCCACTGCCACCGCCTCCGCCGCCGCCGCCAGAAAGAGCATTGACGATGTTGCGCACGCTGCTCTTCCACAGCGGGCCCTTCTTTGGCGGCGACTGCTGTGTATGCTGTTGGGATTGCTGCTGCGAGGGCCGGTACGACGGCGATGGCCCTGCCGCCTTGCCAGCCGACGAGAACTCCGAGGCAGCGGCGGCGGCCATCATGCGCGTCGTCTTCGTCGGCGTGCCCGAGGCTGAGCGCGTGCCTGAACCAGACATCGCGCGGCTGGTGATGCGGCGCGGCGTGGCGCTGCGGACTGCAAGTGGGTCGTTCTCTGCGTCGTCGTCGTCGTCTTCGTCTGATTCGACGCCACCACCGCCAAAGAGATCGCCACCCGCGCCTGCGCCTGCACCAATGGCGACGGCGCCTCCACGGCGGCGGCCAATGCGGCGCTGGGCCATGGCGGCCTTTTCGAGCGTGGCATCGGCGTACGTCTCGGTGAGCTCCGTCGCGCGTGGGTCGTGGTAGGTGAGCCGGGGCGGCGGTGTGGCTGCTGATGCTGCTGCTGCGACTGCGGCTGCTGTGTTTGCTCCCGGCGGCGGCGTCGTGTTGCTGTTGTTCGTCGAGAGGAGCAGCGCGGCACGGCGCTTCTTTTTGGACGGACTCGCACTCGGGCTCAGCGGCGCGAGCTGGGGCGACGAGTGCTGCTCAAAGAAGCGGATGAGGTCCTTTGCGCGTGTCGGCGTGCCGAGCAGCGCGGGCGACACACCGGCCTCGGCGGGCGTCATGGTGCCCAGCGGTGGTTGTGGGCGCGCAAGCACGGCCTCGTCGGCGAGCGGCAGCCGCGGTGCAAAGTTGACCTCGCTCTTGCTCGGCAGCGACGGCGGCGCGGCAGACGAGACGAGCGACTCGACCTCTGCCTCGTCGCTGTCCCTTTCGCCGTCTTTGTCTTCTTCTGTCTCTGCCTCCTTCGTGTGCTCCCGCTCCTGCTCTTCTTCTGCTGCATCAGCCTGCACGGCGCTCCCCTTGCTCGGCACGCCCATCTCGGCAATCGAGAGGCTCGTCGCATCCGTCTCCTGGCGCGTCAAGAAGGGCTTGTGCATGCTCCTTTTCCTCGTCCAGCCTGCACCAGCCGAGTAGCCTGGCGGGAGGCCGTGGTCACTCGAGCTGGGCAGGCCCGGCGACGTCACGGGCGAGTCGGGCATCTGGCCACCGTAACCACCATAACTGCCACCATAGCCACCGTGGCCACTGTGACCCCCGCCGAGGAAGCTGCCGGCGCCCGCAGAGTGCGGCATCCGGCTCCAGAACGTCGACGTGCTCGTGCCCGGGGCCGACGACGAAACATGACTGCTCTGGTTCGGCGACAGGATGGCCAGCTGTGTGGGCCGCCGCGAGAGGGTGCTGGGGAGCGTGTTGATTCGGCCGAGATTCGAGTCAGCACCGCCGCCGCTGCTGTTTCCAGCCGTCGTCGCCTGGCGTGCAAGCGTGGGCGAGGCGTAGGGCTCCGACTCGGTGCGCAGCGGCCGCCGTCGTCGCGGCGAGGGGCTGCTGCTGCCGCCGCCTGGACCTCGGATGGGCGCGATGATTCGCTCGTCGTCGTCGTCCATCATCATCAGCGACGAAGGTGCAGCAGACGAGGATGCGACCGATGACGGTGCAGCAGACGAGGACGAGGTGCGTGCGAGCGCGGACGCGGCCGCTCCGTCGTCGCCGTCTGTATGCGCAACGGGCGGGATCGCTGGCGGGCCAAAGCGCAGCGAGGCAATCGATGTCTTGGCCTTGAGGCTCGATGAGACGGCGCTGAGCAGCGAGCCGGCCTGGCTGATGCTCATCGGCGCCAGTGTCGGTGCGTCTCGCTCCCGCTCCTTTCCCTTGCTGTTGCCTGTGGCAGCAGCCTTGCCTGGCGACGGCGGCTGCGAGGCACCCGCGCTCCGGTCGAGCTCCTCGCGCTCCTCGATGGCGCGCCGGACGCTGCTGCCCCGGCTGCTGCTGTTGCTGTTGCTGCCTCCTCCCTCGCCGCCCTTGCGGGCAAATTGTGACCGAACACGTGCGACGAGGTCCTCGCCGCCGCTGCCATGCTCAAACGCAGAGGCAAACGCGCGCACCGACGGCCGCGTGGGGCTAGCTGCTGGCGAGGCCGCCGCGGTGGCCGCGCCAGGCGCAGCGAAGCTCTTTGCGCGCGAGAGCGAGGCGCGCGTCGACGGCTCACCATGCTCAATGACCGTCTTGGCGCGCGCGAGGGCAAAGGTGTCGACCTGCGAGTTCATCGCATCGAGCATGTCCAGCACTGCGCGCTCCTCGCCGGCCATGTCGCCGCCGCTGCGCCGGGCGTCGTTGACCTATAGAATAAGAGTATGTTAGCATGGCACTCTCCGCACAATAGCAAATTCATAGACACCCACGGCGGCATCGGTCATGCTCTGCTCCTCCTCTGGGTCAAAGAGGCGGTTCCACGGATTCGTCATCTTGCGGCTCTTGAGCGCCGTCGTTGTTGCTGCGGCTGCATCGAGCGACGAGGGCGTAAAGGTGCCCCGAGGCGCCTCGTCGAGGCTGCGCACGAGCGGCGGCGCTGGCTGTCTGTTGTCGTTCCCATCACCGTTCTCATTCTCATCCTCATCGTCTTCGCCGTCGTCATGATAGGACAGCGGCAGCTCGGGCGCCGATCGAGCAGCCGAGGCTGATGTCCCAATCGCCGAGGCAGCCGTCGACGAGGTGCTGTTCTGCGCACGCAGCTGGGCGAGCCGTGCGCGCGCATTCATCGTCGGTTGCCTCGTGGGCCCGGCCTGCTGTGACCCTGGCTGTGACCCTGGCTGTGGCCCTGGCTGCGGCTGTTGCCGCTGCCACTGCTGGCGAGCAGGAAACTCGTCCTGGAGCACCAGCGACGACACGGGCTCCAGCGCAGGCGAGCGGTACGTCGGCAGCGCAGCCTCGCTCTGGTGGCGCAGGCGCCGCAGCCGGGGCGTGCTTGGCTGGGCGAGCGTCGAGAGGTCTTTGGAGGATGACGACTGGCCGAGCAGGCTGTTGACCCAGCTCCGCGGTCGCGGCAGCTTGCTCTTGCCACCGAGCAGCGACAGCGATGACGACGACGACGAGCTTGTGGGAAACGAAAAGCCAATCTCAAAGCCGGCGTTGTTGTTGTTATTGTTGCCGCTGCTGCCCCCATCCTTTGCGCGCGCCTTGCCCTTGCCATTGTCGTCCCCCCCTCCGTTCTTTAGATTGCGAAAGCGATGCATCCGCTCGCGCTTGCCCGGCACACCCAGCGTGGCCTGCAGTCGGCTGAATGTCGTCAGCTCACTCGCGAGCTCCTCTTCCTCGTCCGCGTCGTTGCAGGCGTCGTCGTCCTCGTCGTCCTGTCGGCGGTGGCCCAGTCGTCGCGGCCCGTGCTGTGTGTCGGCGTTGTTGTTGTAGTAGTAGTACTTCTTGCGGTCGAAATCAATGATGGAGTCGACTCGGGAAATAGAAGACGACGACGAGATCCCATCCATTGAACTCGCCCCTCGGCTTTCGTCGGCAGCAGCCCCAGTACTATCACAACTAGTGACGACAGGCGAAAACAATGTGCAGCGAGCTTCTACGGCGCTAGCAATGTCGATAGCGCCACAGTTGTCCGCATTCGGTCCAATGGGCGCGCTAGCTCGCTTTTCGACCTCGGCCTCCTCCTCGTCCTTTTCGTACTGCTGTGCCTCAACCTCGCCCTCGTCGCCCGTCGTCATCGCGGGCCAGCAGAGCGCACACAGGCCAGCTGGTGAAAGTGACGTCTTGCAAGGAATAGCCCGGAATCGGTCTCGTCGCTGGCCTGGCGCGCTACGACTGCGCACACGCCCTGGATGGATTAGACTAGCCTAGCTTAGCTGGGCCTTTTGTATGTTTGTCCTGCTTGACGTACGTGCCTTATTGTCCTGTTTGTCCTAGACCCCGGCTGTGCCTTGCATGGAAGCCTGTGCTTGATGCCAGCACCGTCCAAGCTGTCCTTGAGTCGTCGTCTCAGTTGTCCGTTCCTACGCTGCCGTCGCCTGTGCCCGCAGCGGCAGACGAGCCCGTCCGGCACGTCGCCCAGCGAGACGCGCCCAGTCACGTGAGACAAAGTCGGATGGGAATTGCAAGACGGGAGCGCCCCCGCTGCTGCGACAGCCACAGCTGTATGAATTGAGATAGGATAGAAATACAGATGATGAAGCAGTCTCTCTCTAGTGATGATGTCTCTATGTCTATGGTTCTTGCTTCTGCTGGTCTAGCAGCTCGTCCCCCGCGCGGCCGAGGCGGGCCACACGCCAAAGCCCCGGCCGCCGTCGTGGACGGCAATGACGACGCGCTCCTGGTCGCGCGGCTCGTCAAAGACCTGGAGCATCTTCCTGCGCGCCGTGCGCAGGGCCGCCTCGGACTTTTCGCGGTGGTGGCCCGACACTGAGGCCGAGGCCGAGTGCAGCGACGGCGACGGCGATGGCGACGGTGACTGCTGCAGGTGGTGGTGGTGGTGGTGGTGGGTGGGGTAGGAGACATGGCCAGAGCGCGGGCTCAGGGCGTGGGCATGGCCGCCCGAGAGGTGGTCCTGGACCAGGTGGGTGATGGGGTCCACAAGCCGGCGCTGGGCCAGGAGCGCAGCGGGCACCTCGACCTTTTCGTGTGCGTCATTGTAGTACGACACGGTGTCCGAGGACACGGACCAGGCCCAGAAGAAGACGATGATGGCGGCCAGGGCATAGGCGTAGAGGAGGCCGATGAAGATGGCGACGAGGTAGAAGTTGTACTGCTGGGCGAGGATGCGTCGCCACTGGCGCACGGCGACCATCTGCGGCTCAAAGAGGCCGCCGACGAGGGCGAGTGCGTGGTAGCCGATGGCGTGGCCGAGTTCGGACGCATAGTCGTCGCTGGGCACGCGGCCGGCAGCCTTGGCCAGCGCAGAGGCGGCCATCGCCGTCACCTCGCCGGCCAGGAGCGGGCCCGAGAGCGCAGTGGCCAGCGGTGCATCGGCAGACGCCTGACTCTCGAGCGTGTAGGTGCCATTAAAGTAGGACAGGCCCAGGTCCAGGTACTCGAGCTCGCACAGGGCCAGCACGTAGGCGTGGCTGGCATTGCCGACAAGGGGGCTGATGGTCTGGAAGCCTGTGTGGGCATTGTCGACACCCTCGACAGGGTAGACGAGCTGCACGGCGAGCGGGAGCCGGCTGGTCGACGACGGCAGCTGGCCCACGTGGATGGCGTTGTTTACGCCCAGGAGTGCAGCGCCGTCGCCGTCACCCTCGCCAGTGGCCACCGTAACGGCGTCGACCTTGAGCTCGGGGTGGCCGAGCGGGGTGCAGTCAAAGGAGCTGGTCGTCGCCCTGCACTGCGGCGTGACCACGCGGCAGTGGCACGACACGCCCGTCGTCTGGAGCGCAGCGGCGTACTCGGCACGGTGCACCTTCGGGTTGGTGAGGTAGACGGTGCTGCGCGCGGTGTCGCTGTCCAGGCCACGGTCAAAGAAGGTCTGGACGAGGCGCGACTGCGAGGCGTTGGTGGCCGTGAGGAAGCCCTCGGCGCCGATGGCCTTTGTCGAGACTGTGGCGGCAAACCTGCGCGTGGTGGCGTCAAAGAGGCAGGGGGCAGACGCATCGCCGCTGCTGCTGCTGCAGAGTGTGCGATTGAGGGCAAAGCCATATGGCTTGCTGCTCAGCACCGCATCGACGTCGGCAACAGCCACGGTGCGTGTCGTCTCGTGGAGGAGCACGTCCAGGTTGGCGATGGAGAAGTTGAGAAGGAAGAGGACGAGGCTCCAGGCGAGGGCACGGCGGAGCATGGCGGGCACCCTGGCCTGGGAGCCGTGCGCGAGGAGCCGGTGGCGGAGCGTGTTGACCATGGCGCCCAGGCTGACCTTGGATGTGAGCTGGGCCAGAAGCGCGTACTGGAGCGGCGTGGGCAGGTCGATGGCTTCTGCATGACGAGGCGACTGCGAGTTCGACGGCGAGCGCGAGTGAAGTGGCGACTGCTGCAGAAAGCGGCGCTGGAGCGTGAGCCAGTCGGCGGCCAGGCGGTAGGCGACGAGGGCCATGAGGGGCTCGAGGGAGTAGCCGAGGAGCGTCGAGGTGACGCTGGAGATGGTGAGCGTCGTGGGGTGCGAGACCTGCTCGTCGAAGCGCAGGCGGCCGTTGGGGCCCAGGGCCTCGTCGCGGTACTCGCGCCCGCGCTCCTCCTCGTTGCCCTCGTTGACGTAGAGGACGCCGGGCGACTTGAGCGGCATCTTGTGCGCATACAGCCACGCCGTCATGAGCGATGCTGCGCCTGCCGTCAGGACGAGGACAGCGATGATGGAGCCGAGGAGTGCCATCGGTGGCACATACCTTCGGCTGGCTGCCGTGCCCAGGAGCATCGCAGGGCCGTCGCCGTCGCCGTCGCCATCGCTGCCCTTGCCAGCGCCGCAGCCGCCACTTGAGTACGGCAACGTTATCGACGAGGCGCGCGACTTGTACCGCGTCGATGCAGGCGTGCGCACCGAGGAGCGCTCAAAGTCGACGACAAACGAGTGCGACGACGAGGGCGAGATCGAGGGCGACGGCGAGTGGGAGACCGAGGGCGAGAGGGAAGGCGACGAGGAGCCATGGACGGAGCGACGACGGGGCGGCGTCGTCATCGTCACCGACCACGACGAGGGTCTCAATGGCGAGGACATGGCGTGGTGGTCAGAAAAGACAACGGCAGCACACCTCGAGATGGAAGATAAGCCGCGAGCGAGCCTCGGCCGTTGAAATTCGTCCAGCAGGGGGCGGTGTCTCGAGATAGACGCCGCGCTGCGCTGGCATGGGCGCGTGCTGAGCTAGATGTATGCGGCTGCCGCCAGATCGACGGGGGAAATCGACTACTGCATGCACGCGCGCGCCTTCTCAGGCCGCCCAGCCTCCTGGCCGAGCCTTATCTCGCCCATTGGTCGACGGGTTGCTCAAGCCATTCGCTGCCGCTTGCGTGCCAGGGCGCGCTCCCTGGCACTGGCCACGCTCGCTGCATCGTTGCGCCGCTCGCCGACGGCACGCTTCTTGTGCTGCTCGAGCTCCTTCGCAGCCTCGTCGCGCTTGCGCTGCTCCATCTCGAGCACCTGTGCTTCGATGAGCTTGCTCTGCCGTGCTCGCTGTGCCTCTCGCGCCTCCCTCGCCTCTCTGGCGCCGTCTCGCTGCGACGAGCCCGCAGTCTTGCTCGACTGCTTCGAATCCAGTGCTGCCTCTCGCCTCGACTCGTCCTCCCCCTTCTTCTTCTTGGAGAGTACATTGAGGCCCGCGCTCAGCAGACTCCGCTCGTCCACCACCTCGTTGTCGTCGTTGAGCCGGACATCGGACCCCCTCGCCACAGCCTGCTTAATCCTATCCTTTTCCTGCTGGTCTTCCTCCCTGACTTCTGCCCTTGCTTGTTGCTGCGTCTCTACTGTGGCTGCAACATCCTCGACCATCGTGGCGGCCACGGCTGCCTCGTGCGCCCGGTCGTTGCTCGCCAGCATGTCCCTGTAGAAGCCCGCCACGCCGTTCGACTTGTTCCTCCGTCGCTCTGGGGGGAGGCACTCGAGTCAGCAAGACGCAACACTGCTGCCGACGATGACACTCACCCTCCTCGCGCGCCTCCTTCTCCTCCTGCTCGCGGATCTCCTCGAGCTGCTTCTTGTATGCGTCCGTGACAAACGCCTCGGTCCCGGCAAACTCGTCGCCCTCCATGTCGCGCTCCCGCTGGATCTTCTTCGCTTCGGCCCGCGCCAGGTACCGCTTCCTGTCCTCAGTCGACTTGAGAAAGGCGTCCATGTACTTTGGCTAAGATTCGACGCGCTCAGCAAATCGAAGAACCGACGTAGAGAAACGAAGGCAGAACTCACATCGCGCTTCTGGTTGTCCTGCTGCTTCTGCCGCGCCGTCTCGCGCTCGGCAGCCTTCATGCGGTCGTAGACGCCGTCGTAGTCAAAGACGGCCGAGTCGAGCTCGAAGGCCTGCTGTTGCTTCTGCTTCGAGGCCCTCGAGGCAGGCGGGCCAGTCCTGCTGCCCCGCGGCCCTTGACTAGGATCTTTCGCAACATCGTCCTCGTCCTCGTCATCTCCCAGCGAGAGCTTGGACGCTGTAGCGAGCGGCTGGGGCTTGCTGGGCGCCTCGACCTTCTTGAGGCCAAAGGAGATCTTTGGCTTGGACGCCATGGCCTCCTGCTGCTTGGCTAGGTGTGCCAGTGGTGGTGGTGGGCGACGACAAGGGCAAGCTTGGTCCGTCACGTGGCAATCAGCCCAAGGAAGAAATAAAAAATTAAAAAGTCTAATGTCCTACGGGACTCGGATCGAAAGGCAGGGCCGGGGCCGGGCAGCCAGTCCTTCTTGGACCCCACCCCGCATACAGAGCACTCTGCCCCATTCGCCAGTCAGCCAGCCAAAGTGTCAAGCAAATGGCGCTCACGAGGCCGACGCCCGAGGCGCTGCAGCCGCTGGACATGGCGCGGGAGCGTGCGTCGTGCGCATTCCGCATCGACGACATGGCGTGCCTGTTTGCGGGCTCGCGCAGCCGCCGCGACCGTGCGCGCTGGCTCCTCTCGCTTCTCAAGGCGGACCCCGAGGCGACGTTCGACAAGACGATGCGGCCGTTCCAGGGCAGGACCGAGCGGTTTCTAAAGGGCCAGCAGATTGCGCTGCGCTACTTTGAGCTGCGCAACAGGTACGGCCTGCAGAAGGAGGACCGCGACATGCTGCGCCTCTTTCTCGACGAGTACATTACGCTCCAGGTGCACGAGGTGTGTTGTGGCAGCGCTTGTTTCCCACTCTCCCCCATCTCACCCTCTTTATTTTTGCACGCACAGTCCATGGGCCACCCCACCGTCGAGCGGCAGTCGAGCGAGGAGCAGTGGCGCGCGTGGGGCCCGCTCATCGAGTCGGGCCGCTGGCTGCTCTGCTATGCCCAGACCGAGGCCGCGCACGGAAGCAATCTGTCGGGCCTGCGCACGACGGCGACGTTTGTCGAACCTAGCAAGGGCAAGGGCACTCAGGACGGCGATGACGACGGCGAGTGGGAGATCCACACGCCAGAACCCAGCGCGAGCAAGATGTGGATCGGCGGCAGCGGCTCCACGGCCACGCACGCCGTCGTCATGGCCAAGATGGTGATCCGCGGCGAGGACAGGGGCATGCACCCCTTTCTCGTCCCTCTGCGCGACCCGGCGACGCACCAGCTGCTGCCCGGCCGCACCGCGCTCGACATGGGCCCCAAGATGGGCGCGGCGAGCATGGACAACGGCGTGCTGAGCTTTGATGCTGTGCGCATCCCACGCACCAACCTCCTGGCGCGCTTCCAGACCGTCGACCGTTCAGGCACGTATGCGCAGCGCAACCAGCAGGCCAAGGCCCTCATGCGCGGCACCATGACGCTCGTCCGCGTGGGTCTCTGCGAGATTGCGGCGCACCATGCTGCGCGCGCCACCCTCGTCGCCATGCGCTACGCCGTCGTCCGTCGCCAGGGCTCGTCATCATCATCATCATCATCATCCTCCTCCTCCTCGTCGTCCCTGCGCCTCGAGCCGCAGATCATCGACTACGCATCCGTACAGCAGCGCCTGTTCGGTGCCATGGCCTCGAGCTGGGCGCTGACGTTTGCAGCACGGCACATGCGCGCCATCTACAACGCCCTCCAGCGCGACCTCGCCGCCGACCGGCTCGACACGCCGCTGCTGCAGCAGGTGCACGGCCACACGAGCGTGCTCAAGGCCGTCGTCACCACCGAGTCGCTCGACGTCGTCCAGCGCTGCCGCCGCAGCATGGGCGGCCACGGCTACAGCCAGGCGTCGGGTCTGTCGGATCTCGAGGTGCAGCAGCCACTGGCCAACCTGACCTACGAGGGCGACAACCACATGCTCCTCGCGGGGCCAGCTGCCAACTTCCTCGTCAAGCAGCTCCGTTCTTCTTCCCACCCGCCCGAGCTGTCGTACTTGGATGACGGACAAACGACTGCGCCGCCGGCTTCCGGCGACGACGGCGACCGCATCGCCAGCCAGACGTGGCAGCTCCACGTCGTCGGCCACCGCGCCGCCCGCCTCGTCCGTGCTCTTGCCGACCTGCGAGGCGCACGGCAGGACAGTGGCAGTGGCAGTGGCAAAAGCAGCAGCGACGCAAAGGCGACGAGCATCCGCGCCAACCTGGACTCGAACCTGGCCACGCGCGCATCCAAGGCCCACGGCCACTTCTTCATCCTCTATGCATTCATCCACACCGTCGATGCCATTCGCGCAGAGGTCGGGCCTTCTTCCACAACAACACCAGCCATGCTCGCGGCCCTCGACCGCCTGCGCACCCTCTACTTCCTCGACGTGTGCCTGCTTGCGCCCGACGCGCTTGCCGACTACACCGAGGACGGCTCCCTGGGCCTGGCGACCATCGATGCGTGCCGGACCCACCGCGCGCGCATCCTTGCCGAGCTGCGCAGCGACGCGCTGGGCCTCTGCGAGGCCTTTGACCTCGACGACTGGTACCTGGGCTCGCCCCTCGGCAGCTCCGACGGGCGCGCCTACCAGCGCTTTCTCGACTGGATTCGCCTCGAGCCACTCAACCAGTCGGGCCCGCTGGGCGCCAGAGACTCCGACGGCGTCCTTCTGGGCTTTCGACACACGCTGGGCAGACTCACCCATGGCGAGGCCACGCCCTGGAACGCCCACTACGCCGCCCAGGCGCGTCTCTGAAATTCCCGAATCGCCGCTCCATTTCATCTTTCTTTCTTCCTCTCGTCGCATGTCTTGGCCCTGCCATGTCGTTGTATATAAGAGAGAAGAGCCACCCGCCGAATCTCATTCATTCATTCCCACTGCCTGTCTGTTTGTCTGTCTGCTCGCCTGCCTAGCTCCCCTCTTCAGACATGGCTTTCTCAACCACTTTCACTCTCCCCGCCTCTCGTCGCCTGTTCCCCGCCCTGCTCCTCCTCATGCTCGCAGCGGTCCCGCTGTACGGTGCAAAGCTCGAGAAAAGGCAGAGCAACAACGCGATGCGCGGCCACATGGACGTCGAGCTGCCCTACGTCGACGTGAGGCGCTGCATGATGGTGCAGAGCATGAAAGACTTTCCCCCGAATCAGGAGCAGCTCGACAACCTCCTGGGCACGACCCAGTCGTCCTTCTGGAAGCCGCCGACCAGCACCGACAAGCGCCTCTACACCGACGGCCAGGTGCTCAACAACGTGGACAATGTCGAGGACCTGTGCGAGGTGTGCGACGTGGCGGTGCGGACAAACAAGTACAGCGGGCTCCAGTACAACGACTGGAGCCTCAAGAGGGGCCTCTGCAAGTACCTGCGCGGCAAGAGCGGTGGATCAAGGAAGGTGAACAACGCGAAAGCCTCGTACAACTCATTCGAGCAGGCGACCTCTTGGTGAGTCTGCGAAACAGGCCGGGGGATGAGTGCACACCATGTGGGACAGGGACAACGACTGACGGTGCGCACAACAGCTCGAATGCCTATTCGAACAACTTGGCCACGGGCAACTATTGCGCTCTGTCGCGCGGGATGTACTCGCTCCTTTTCTGTGGCGCCAAGGTCAAGATTCAAACAGGGAGCCAGGAGGCGACATGTACCGTCGTCGACTGGTGCGAGACGGTCAGTAGTTCTCCCTCCCTCTCCTGCCTGCTTCATCGTGTCCTTCGTCCATGAGAGCTGACCGCGGCAAGAGAAAGCAGTGCGACACCAAGGACCTCGTCGTCACAGCGTCCGTCTATGAGCAACTGCTTCAGGACAAAAGCACCAACCAGCAGTACATGCCCGTCTCGTGGAGCATCTCGCTGCCTTGATGGACGGCTTGCCACCAAAGCCCCCCCTCGCGGTCACATTTTCTTACTTCTTCCCTCTTCTTCTTCAAGCCACAATTGTCTCCCAAAGAAAAAGTTTCCTAGATTAAATTCAAGTGATTGACTACTGATGCTTGGCTCCATGGCTTGTGCGGCCAGAGGAGGCAAGGACAGGAGAGGAGAGGCGAGGCAGATGGGCAGCGACGGCAATCAAGGCAAGAAAAGCAGCCGGACCCGAAGAGCCCGAAAAGTCAAACAAAGGGGGACGACGGACAGATCAATCAGCAAACAGTTCAAATGAAGTCATTTCTCGAGATGCGCGAGGAAATTTGAGAACAATGTCGTCGGGCCCTTTTTTTTTTCTTTCTGCTTTGTCTCGCTCGAGTTTCTCTTTCCTCTTTTGAGTCGAGCTGCATGCAGAAACGAGCCCTCTTTTTTTTCTTTTTTTTTTCTCGATCTTCCTTTGACGCTGTTGCATCGCATTCGTCGACTGACTGCAGCGAGCGGCGACCGAACCGTTTCGACAGCTGTGCTTCCGGCGAGCACAGCAAGATTGGACCGCCAGCAAACTTTTCGCTGTCAGCGCACCTGACGCACCCTCTTGTTATTTTTCATCGGCCGCAACGCTTGTCTCCGGCTTCTCGGAAGCGCAAGCACCCTGACCTGGCCTGGCCAAGCCCGCTCGCTCTTCATCATCGCCGTTGCACTCTAAATTTTTTCCCCTTTTTCTACTTTTTTCCCCTTTCGCTCGCTTCTCGGTGCCTTTTTTTTTTTTTCCTTTTTTTTTTCTCTCGTTCCATCGGACGACCGGGCCCTGCGCAGAAGAAGTGCACCGAGATCGGGAGGCAAGCAGGACGGGCGCTTCTTCCACTCTCGCCACCATCGTCATCGCCCCGTGGATCGGAAGGAGAAGAGATAGAAGCATGTCATCGTCGGACGCGGGACCGTCATACCGCGCACCGGGCCCGGGCCAGGGCGGGCTCGTGTACTACTCGCAGGGCGCGGGGCCTTCATCATCATCATCGTCGGCGCCGTCGTCGTCGTCTGCGTCTGCGTCTGCCTCTGCACCGCCACACATGGGGGGCATGGACGTGAACATGGGCCTGGGCATGGGCTTGGGCATGGGTGGAGGCGTCGGAGCGGGCATGGGCATGGGCATGGGCACGGGCACGGGCATGGGCATGAGCAGCATGGCGGCCATGGCCAATGCGAGCCACAACGAGGAGCTGGCGGCCGAGATTGCGGCGGCGACGCGGAGCTCGTCGGTGCCGCGCGGCTTTGCGGGCAACAACCACTCGGTGGCAGCCCCCGCATCGCCGGCGCTGTCGACGTCGTCGCTGCCCTCGCCGATGCCGCATCAGCCGCCGCTGCATCATCATCATCATCATCAGCACGCCATCCACTCTCACGCGCACTCGCACTCGCACCAGCACCAGCACCAGCATCCGCACCGCAGCCACGCGTCGCTGCCGCCGTCGCCGCTGCAGCACTCGCCGCTCGTGCAGCAGTCGTCGCCCCTCGCGCCGTTCCACCAGCAGCACGCGGGCGCACCACGCCACTCGCCATCATCGCTGCAGCAGGGAAGACAGTCGCCGTCTCTGATGGTCCAACAACAACATCCACCGTCACAGTTGGAGCAGCTGCAGCAGCAGGAGAGCAGCAACAGCAGCAGTCGCGAAGCAAGCCCCGTCGGCGGCAGTGGTGGACAGGGCAAGAACAGCAGCAGCAGCAGCATCGCGCGCGTGGCAAAGGCATGCGTGCCCTGCTCGACAAAGAAGCGGCGCTGCGACGGAGGCAAGCCCGAATGCAAGGTGTGCCAGGTGCTGGGCACGCCGTGCTCGTACGAGGCGCGCGGCCTCAAGCGCGGCCCGCCCAAGGGCTTCCGCTCGGGCCCCAAGGAGAGCGCAAAGGTGCGCTTGCTGCGCAGCCTCGAGACGACGATGCGCGACCTCTCGATGCACCTCGGCACCCACGAGACGGCTCTCGAGATTGCGCGCGTCGCCCACGACCGCGGCCTTGCGCTTCCTGTCGTTGGCCAGCCGTCTTCTTCTTCTTCTTCGCACATCACCGTCAAGGCCGAGGCCGAAGACGAGGCCGAGGATGGCGATGACTTGGCTGGATCATCTGCGTCAGCGTCGGCACTAGCAGCGAGAGGCAGGGAAGAAGGAGCAGCAGCAGCAGCAGTAGCAGCCAGACGCCCCTCGCTCAACGACGACTTCCTCGGCATCAATGAGCAGGGCCACGTGCAGCACTTTGGCTCCTCGTCGGGCATCCACCTCGTCAAGAAGGGCACCCAGCAGCAGGCCCTCTCGTCGTCGTCGACCTCGACGCCTGCCGCGTCGCCTGGTGCCGCCGCCGCTGCTATCAATTCACCGTTCCCCACCGACCGCTCGCCCGGGCAGCTGCAGGCGCACCAGTCGCCGCAGTCGCAGCAGTCTCAGCAGGCGCAGCAGTCGCAGCAGGCGCAGTCGCAGCATGTACAGCAGCAGCAGGGAGGACAGGGAGCACAGGGAGGACAGCTCGCCGCACTCAGCGCGCAGGCCAACCGGGAGCTGCTGCAGGCCTACTTTGCCGGCTTCCACACCTTCTGGCCCGTGCTGTACAAGCCCGCGCTCGACGACATGCCCGCCGACGAGGTGCCCCTCACCCTCGACCCGGCGCTGCTGCATGCCGTGTATGCGATTGCAGCCTGCGTCGCGCCCGCCAGCCTCGTGCGCCGCCTCGAGGCCGAGCTGCTCCTCGTCGGTGCTCCCTCCCCTGGCTCAAACAACGACAGCAGCCAGTCCTCCCCCGGCGCACTCCTCTACCGCCGTGCCGAGGCGCACCTCTTTGGCGACTGCCGGCCGCCCGTGGCGTCGGTGTCCAACGTCCAGACGTGCTTCCTCCTCGCGCTCTACAACCAGGGCACCGGCGACCTCTCGCGCGCCTGGCTCCACTCCAACCTCGCCAACGCCATGGCCTTCGACCTCGGCCTGCACCGCTTCAACGTGCACCGCCTCGACCGGTTCCAGAACCGCGTCGAGCGCGAGACGCGCGTGAGGCTCATCCACTCCGTCTACATCCTCTCGACGATGCTCAGCGCCGAGATGGGCCGGCCGCCGACGATGCGGGCGCGCGACATCGATGCGCCCCTGCCGAGCGAGGACGAGCGCGACGAGGCCGACGAGCATGCCGTGTCGTGCATCAACTGGGGCGTGCGCCTCTTTACTATCGTCGAGACGCTCCTGTCCCAGGTCCACTCGTTCCGGCGCAAGGCCGCGCTGCGCAGGCAGGGCCACGCGCGCCAGGTCCTCGAGGACATCGACGCCCAGCTCGTCGACTGGCACAAGAAGCTGCCCGCCCACCTCGCCCTGCCGCCGCCGCCGCGCGAGGCTGGGGGGCCAGCATCAGGGGCAGAATCAAGACCAGAGTCAGGAACAGGAGCTGGAGCAGGGGCAGCAGCGGGAGCAGAGGCAGCGGCAGCAAGTGCCGCCGCGGCAAACGTCGTCGCGCTCCATCTCTGGTACCACACCGCACGGCTCCTCCTCCACCGGCCCTTTATCCCCCAGGACGAGGGCCTGTCGCTGGGCCAGGTGCTGGCCAACGAGTCGCACAAGGCCGCCACCCAGGCCGCCAATGCCATCTTTGATCTCGTCAAGAGCACCGCCAGCGTCGACGGCCTCTCGACCGACCTGGCCTACTGCCTCTTTACCGCCGCCGTCATGTTTGTCTTTAATGCCCGCCTCGCGGCGCAGTCCGACGTGGCAAAGCAGGCCCGCGAGCGCTTCACTGCGTGTAAAGAGTGGCTCCGCAGCCTCGCTCAGCGCTGGCCTGCCGCCAGTGCGCGCCGCCAGCTCCTCGACGGCTTCAGCGAGGTCGGTAATGGCTTCCTCGACCGCGCGCCTGGCCAGGCCCAGGGCGAGTCTCAGTCTCAGTCTCAACCCCAGGCTCAGGGGCAGGCCCAGGCCCAGGCTCAGTCGCAGCCCCCGTCGCAGCCTCAGTCGCAAGCCCAGTCGCAGCCTCAGCCTCAGTCGCAGTCGCAGCCGCAGCCCCAGTCGCAGCCTCAGCTTCAGTCTCTGCAGCAGCAGCAGCAGGCGGCGCATACACAGCAGCAGCAGACGGCGCCTCCCACGCTGGCAGCAATCAACGACCAGTGGCAGATGATGCACACGACGACGCCCTGGCAGCACCCCTTTCCCTTCACGCCCTCGCCCTCGGCCTCGTCGTCGTCGGCGGCGGCCAATGCCGGCGCACCGCGGCAGGAGATGCTGCAGTACCTGCACGACAACAGCGCCAACAACTCCAACTTTGCGTACAATGCCACCAGCTTTGGCTTTGCACCCGGCATCTTTGATGTCGAGGGCGTCTACTGGAACGAGACGATGAACAACCGCCAGTACCAGCCGCAGCCGCAGCAGCAGCAGCAGGCCATTCCTCCTACAGCGGCTCGTCCGGGGCCACCGCAGGCGCAGCACACGCTCCTGCAGCAACCGCAGCAGCAGCAGCAGCAGCAGCAGCAGCAGAGCTTCAGCTCGCCTCCGCAGCGAGACAACCTCGCGATGCTCGCCCACGTCACCTCGCACCACCCTCCTCCTGCGCCGATGGTCCCCCAGCAGCAGCAGCAGCAGCAGCAGCAGCAGCCGCGCCTGTCGCAGCAGATGAATGCACCGCCAGCAACAGGCCAGCAGCCGCTGCCACAGACGTCGCCCCTCAGCTTCCAGGCCGAGGTGGGCCACCCGCAGTGGGGCGACCTCATCAACATGCTTCAGCTGCCCCCTTCGTTCATGCAGTGAACCACCGCCGTCCGACCTGAACCCATGTAGCATGTATCTCTATCTTTCTACTCTCTCTCTTTCTCTCTCTCTCTCTGTCTCGCTCTCTTGCCGCGTCTCTCGCGCACGCATTGTAGAACTCTATATCGGAAGACACGACGGGTCCCTCTAATCCTACATCAATTCCACTCCTCATCCAGCCCAGCCTGTGAGGTGTGCGTGCGCATACGTCTGCGTGAGACGAACAGCGAAGCGCAAAGTGGCCTGAGCGCGCGCGCGCCAACTGCCAACTTATCCGTCGCGTGGCTTGATTGATTTAGGTGGAAACGTCTTAGCTTGGAATGGCCAAGAAGGCCCCCGGCGGTTCTTCCTGACGACGAGACCCCAACGATGGCGACGACGGCGACGACGAGGAGGGCCAAGCTCCTCGATGACGACCCCTCGCGCTGGGACGAGGGCACCAACCAGCGTGCGAAGAGCCGCATCGCCTTTCTCCACCCTGACCTGGGCATCGGTGCGTCCTGTCTCTGAGTCTTTCTGGTTCCACTTCACTTGCAAGCACAGAACTGATGGCGCTCGACGTGGCTTCACTAGGCGGCGCCGAGCGGCTCGTCGTCGATGCCGCACTGGGGCTGCAGGCGCTCGGCCACGAAGTCGAGGTGCTCACGTCGTACCACGACCCAAACCACTGCTTTGAGGCGACGCGCGATGGTAAGTCTTCGTCTCCTCCAGCCAGCCATCGCCCAACCCACTCACCATTATATCTACACAGGCACACTCAAGGTGCGCCACGTCAGAACGTCGATCCCGCGGTCCCTGTACGGTTTTCTGCACCTGCCCATGGCCATCTTTCGCCAGCTCTCGCTCCTCTTCCAGCTCGTCGTCGCCCTCTACTTTGGCCATGTCCTGCCGTCGTCTATGTATGCTGCGCTCACGACGCTGCCGTACGACCTGGAGCCGTTCGACGTCTTCATCGTCGACCAGCTGAGTGTGTGCGTGCCGCTGCTTCGGCTGCTGCTCAAGACCCGCGTCGTCTTCTACTGCCATTTCCCGGACAAGGACGTGGGCGAGAGCCTGGCGCTGCAGCGCGCCCAGCAGCGAGGCCGCAGCCGGCCCTCGCTCCTCCGCGCCGTGTACCGCCTGCCGCTGGACATGCTCGAGGAGGGCACGATTGGCGCTGCCGACAAGGTTCTCGTCAACTCGCAGTTCACCTCGGACCAGTTTGTCCGCTCCTTTTTCCGTCTCAACCGGATCCCCCGCATCGTCTACCCGGGCATCGATCTGGCCCAGTCGAGTGCCGAGGAGGTGGCGCGCGCCAATGCGCAGCTCGAGCGCGAGGAGCGCGACGCGGAAGATGACGGCGACCACGGCGTCAAGGAGGCCATCCGTGCCCTCGTCGATGACGCCGACCGGCCGACGCTGCTGTCGATCAACCGCTTCGAGGCAAAGAAGAACATCGCCCTGGCCCTCGATGCCTTTGCGCTCGTCCGCCGCGAGCGTGCCGCATCGTCCAGCAGCAGCAAGGCACCCCTCCGCCTCGTCATTGCTGGCGGCTACGACCGGCGCGTGGGCGACAACGTTGCGACGCTGGCCGCGCTCGAGAAGCAGTGCGCCGACGCCGGCCTATCCAGCCAGACACTCTTCTACAAGCGGCCCACGTACGAGCCGCCACGGTCAGGGCCGAATGCAGAGGAGATGCGCCGTGCCACTGTCGTCTTTCTACCCTCGCTTCCTGGCCCGCTGCTGAGCCGGCTGCTGCGCAACCCGGCCACGCTCGTGCTCCTCTACACGCCGACAAACGAGCACTTTGGGATCGTGCCCCTCGAGGCCATGGCTGTCGGCAAGGCCGTCGTCGCCGTCGATGCCGGTGGGCCCCTCGAGACCGTCGTCGACCTCGGCCTGCGCCGGTCAGCCCAGTCTACCGTCGTCGAAGTCGACAACCCCGACGAGGGCACGGGCCTCCTGCGCCGCGCCGACGCACGCGTCTGGGCCGGCGCCACCCTCTCGCTGCTCGAGCTCCTCGAGGACAAGCCCGGCTTCCGCGAGCAGCTGGCGCGCACAGCGAGGAAGCGCGTCACGGACGTCTTCAGCGTCGAGGCGATGAGCCGCAAATTCGATGACGTCGTCGCCGATGTCGTCGCCATGGGGCCCGTGCGGCCCGAGGAGGGGGCTCTCCAGTTCGGCATCGCCTTTGGTAGTGAGTTAAGTGCCAGTGGTTCCCTTTATCAGAACAATGACTGAGACAAGAAGCCACGACGACAGTGTTCATCCTCATGATGACGGCCTTCATCGTCGTCATGATCTACGCCGACCGCAAGGAGGCAAGCGCAGCGGCAGAGGCGCGGCGCACCATTGCCTCGCTCCAGTCCCAGCTCCAGGAGGAGCGCCATCTCTGATTGTCATTTGTGTACTTTCTCATTATAATTTTTTCAATTCGCAAATCCAGCTACAAGAGAGAAGAGCCTTAGTCAACGGTGACGACAATCTTGCCCGTGTTCTTGTTGGCTGCCATCTCGTCGTGCGCCCCCTTGATGTCGTTCCACGAAAAGACCTGTGTATGCGTCGTCAGCTTATCTGAAGATGGAGATGGAGAGGGAGAGGGAGAGACTCACCTTGTGGATGACAATGTGGTGCACATCGTCGTCCGTCTTCTCCCGGCCGACACCCTCGGCGAGCCGGTCGAGGTTGCCGCTGTGGACAAAGTCCTGGACGAGGCTGCTCTGGTACTCGATGTCGCGTGAGCGCAGCGTGGAGCCCTCGACGCGGAGGCGCTTGAGGAGCAGCTGGCCGATGTTGACGTCCTTGACCTGGGTGCCCCCCATCATGCCCTGGAGGACGAGGCGGCCGTCGCGCGCGAGCGAGGCCAGGTTCTGGTTGAAGTAGCCTGCGCCGATAAAGTCCATGATGACGTCGACGCCACGGCCGTCGGTCTGCTTGGCCAACTCGGCGGCCCAGTCGGTCTCCTTGTAGTTGATGGCCGCGTCGGCGCCCAGCTTTTCGCAAAAGGCGCACTTGTCGGCGCTGCCGGCCGTGACAAAGATGCGCTTCGCGCCCAGCAGCCGCGCCAGCTGGATCGCCGCCAGGCCCACGCCCGACGCACCCGCGTGCACGAGCACCGTCTCGCCCTCGCGCATCTCGGCCAGCCGGTGCAGCGCCTGGTAGGCCGTCAGGAAGTTCTCGGGAATCGCCGCGGCCTGCTCGTGCGAGAGTGCGTCCGGCTTGGCGAGCACCATGCGGGCGGGACACGTGATGTACTCGGCGTAGGCGCCACCGGTCGCGAGGCCAAAGACGGCGTCGCCCGGCGTAAAGTGGCCGCCGGGGCTGGCGACGACGTGGCCGCTGAACTCGACGCCCATGATCGGGCTCGCGCCTGGCGGCACGGGGTAGGCGCCCTCGCGCTGGAGCAGGTCCATGCGGTTGAGGCCAAACACGGCGACCTTGACGAGGACGTCGTCGGCGCCCGCCTCGGGCACCGCCACGTCGGGCGCAATGTACAGGCTCGACGAGGGGCCCTTGCCGCCCTTGATCTGCACCGCGCGCATCTGCTTGGGGACTGCTGCCATTCTTGCTACTCTGCTTCCTTTGCTTCGTCTTCTTCGACTTCTTCCTCTTCTTCCTGCTCCTATTCAGCCAAAATTGCAGCTGTGGAACATCAGCATGTGGAGCAAGGGCACGTGGCTCATTACTCCCTCGGGTCTAAGAGACGCGCCGGACTTTAGGTATCTTCTTGGGCAGCTCTCATGCGCGTCGAGCGGCCCTGTCAGAGAGGGTCTTTCTTGTCTCGTCCAATCAGCAGCAACGTGGAACGAGAGAAGGCCATGGAAGGGGGGTCTCCGTCTCTTCTGGGTGTCTGCTCCCTTGCTTGCCCGCGGGCTCTGGTGGCGACAAGCAAGAGAGAGCTACAGTACAGCACGCAAGAAGTGCTTCCTGTCCCAGGGTCGTCTGTCGTCCAGAACGTTGCTTGGCCCTCTTGAGATTCGACTTTTTTTCTTTTTTCTTTTTTTTCATCTTTCCCTATCTCCATTTTTTAAGTTCTTTTCCTTTTTTGGACAGGCGACATGCCTTGCCTTGTTTTAGGATAGAGCGATTGATGAATACACGCAAGCTGAGCCAAATTCAATCGGCTTTCGAGTCTGAAGTTGAATCTCATCCGCTCACCGTCAGAGAGAGCACAGTAGTGTCCACGTCTACCTCTGCTTCTACGACGAGACCAGAAAGCTGCCAATTGCAACGGGGGCCAGGCGAGGGCCACAGGACTGCGCTTGTGTGAACATAGAGACGGAACGCACGCACGCACGCACGCTGCAGACATGGCCGTGACAGAGCAGGGACGAGGCCAGCGCGGCGCCGCCGCCGCCGCCGCCGCCTCCTTTGGCGCGCCGTCGTACCGGCAGCAACATCAGCGCGCGGGCCAGGATGCGCATCGCCACTCGCACGCGCACTCGCATGCGGACGACGACGACGACGAAGACGAAGACGACGACGATGGCGACTCGTCTGACGACAACAGTGGCGGCAACAACAATCAGAGGAAGAGCTCCTCGTCGGGACCCCACGAGGCCGCACCGTCGGGCAACGTCTCGACGCGGCCGCCGCCCAAGAAGCGGAACCGGGCGGCACTGAGCTGCACGCTGTGCCGCGAGCGCAAGGTGAAATGCGACCGTGTGATTCCCTGCTACCAGTGCATCAAGCGCGGCGACGCCAAGTTCTGCCAGTTGGACCCGACGAAGCGCGGGCCAAAGTCGTCGCGCAGCCAGGCGGCGCGCAACCAGAACGCGGCCCTCGCTGCAGCTGCAGCTGCCGCCACGGGGACCAAATCGGCGTCGACATCAAACTCGGCGTCGGCAGTCGATGAGCACACGAGGAGGTACGGCGGGAATGGTGGCTTTGGTGTCAGCAGCGCAGACGACGAGGGAAACAGGACCAGGCGCGGCATGACGGCCTCGTCGTCCTACGGCTCCTCGACGGAGGAGGTCGATGCGATCAAGGCACGCCTCGCCCAGCTCGAGGCCGCTCTGGCCCAGGCCAAGCAGGGCAACGACATGGGCCCGGGCGGCATGCCACCGTACAACGGCAGCAGCAGCAGCAGCATCGCCAACGAGCCGTCGCCGGGCTCCTCGCTGGGACGCTTCCCCTGGCAGCAGCAGCAGCAGATGCAGCAGCAGATGCAGGCGATGACGACGGCTGCGTCTGGCGCCACCACCGACGACAACCGCTTCGTCGCCAGCCCCAGCAACCGGTCCAGCTCGGCGGCGTCATCGTCGTACGCCAGCGCATACATCCACCCCTACCTGCAGCAGCAGCCCTACCCGCCCTCGGCCTCGTCTGACGGCGGCTCGGGCAGGCTTGGACCTGCCTCATCGGGGGCCAGCCCCGTCGATGGCATGGCCATGTCGCCATACGACATGCGCCTCTCGGCCACGGCCAGGCGCACATCGAACGACACGCGCGGGAGGAGCACCGACGACGCGTTGTCGTCGCCCGCTGCCCTCCACGCCGCCTCGCCCAGGCATCAGCGCTTCGTGGGAAGTCAGGCGCCCCAGACGCCGAGCAGCAAGATGGACGTCGACAGCGACACCGAAGACGCCGCCCTCGTCCTCGAAGGCCTCGCCATGGGTGGTGGCGGCGGTGGCTCTGGCGCTGCCAAGCTGGCGCGCAGGGGTGACGACGGCGCCTGCGACGGTGGCAGTACGAACGGCGCTGGTGCTGGCGCCGACGGTGTCGGCAGCGGCAGCGGCAAGGGTGGCCGAGGCCAGGGCGGCGGCGACGAGGCAGGCCAGCGGAGGAGGAGCACCGTCGTCGACAAGCCGTGTCCCTCGGCCGAGGGCGATGTGATTGAAAAGACGCCGGCAAAGAGCATCCAGGGCTTCGTCGACGCCGACCGGACAAAGGACATCATGCAGTCGTCGCGCTACGACGGCCCCGATCGCGACGACGACGACGGCGGTGCTGGAGGCTGCAGCAAGGGCGGTGCGATGGGCAGCAAGGCCAAGCCGCTTGCCACCAACCGGGACTCGGCATCGATGGAGACCGACGACGACGGCGGCGCTGGTAGTGGGAGGAAGAAAGGCGAGGAAGACGGAGGTGGCGGCGCCTGTCCGGGTGGCGGCGACGACGACGAGGCCGAGTTCGATGTCAATGCCGAGTTCGACAAGGACGGCAAGCGCCTCTCGCCAGCCAAGCGCGTGTGCCGGCTGCTGTCCAAGCAGGACAACTCCCTCTTCACCCTCTATGCTGGGCCCGACACGAGCTTTGGCTTTGGCATCGGCTGGGCCTTTGCGGCCGCCGAGGCGGCTGGCGACGTCAATGCCGTGTCCAAGGTGCAGGGCTGCCGGGGCGCCCGCCAACGCGAGGCCGTGCTGCGCGCCATCATCCGCTCGCTCCCCGACGAGGACGTGGCCAACCACCTGGTGGGCGTGTTTGAGACTCGGGTCAAGTTCCTCGCGGGCAACTGCATCCACATGGCCACCTTCAAGCGCGAGCTCCAGGCGTTCTACCACCTCGACACCATCGAGAAGCGCGCCCGCGTCGTCAACCTCGTCGACACGGCCTGGCTCTCGCTCTTCCTCATGATCCTCGTCCTCGCTCTCCACTTCCACCCCTGCCAGCGGCCCGACAACGTCGTCCACCTCTTTGATGGCCGCACCATCCACCTCTGGCGCTCTGCTGCCCAGACTGGCCTCGTCCTCGCGCGCTACCAGACGAGCTCCTCGATGGCCGTGCTGCAGACGATCATCCTCATTGGTCTCCACGCCTGCGGCACCGGCTTTGACTCGGCCAACCTGCTGCCCGTCGCGATTGCCAATGCCATCGACATGGGCCTCCACCGGCTGGGCTCGCGCGACAAGCAGCCCAAGCCGGGCGAAAAGGCCGACATTGCGATGCGGCGCGAGGTGGCCAAGCGCATCTGGCACCAGCTCGTCTTCTGCGACGCCTGCTCGGCTGCCACGCGCGGCGGCGCCAACTTTGTCCACCCAGACCAGTTCAACACGCCCCTGCCGGGCAACTACAACGACGACGACCTCAACCAGTCGCCCCTGCCCCCGCCTCGGCCCCGGTCCGAGCATACAGAGATGTCGTTTGCGCTTGCGCAGTTTGACCTCGCGGGCGCTGTGCGCGAAAACGTCGACCGGCTCAACCGCGCTCTTCTCGTCGACGGCACCGCGCGCCTCACGGCCGAGGACACGAGCTACCTCGACGCACGCTACCGCGGCCTGCTCGAGAACGCACCTTCGTTCTTCCGCATCGGCTCCGAGGAAGGCAGCGGGGAGAATGTAGAGGTGGAGCGCTGGCTGCTCCAGCAGAGCGTCTTCCACAAGCTCCTCAAGCTGCACCGGCCCAACCTGACGAGCAAGCCAAACGCCCGCACCAGCTGCGTCCTCCTCGCACGCAGCATCCTCGACATGCAGCGCCGCATCCGCTCGCGCTGCAGCGTCGTCGACCGCCTCTTCTTCAACCTTAGCCAGTCGTTTTCTGCTGCCATTGTCCTCTGTCTGGATTTGCTCCAAACGCGCCCGCCGGCGACGATGCGCTCCATCGTCCGTGGCGAAATCTTCGAGGCGCTCAAGGCGCTCCGCCACGTCGGCGCCTCGCACCACACGACCGAGAGCAGCATCCGCGTCATCCAGGCCCTCCTCGACGAGGAAGAGGCCCGCTGGAACCAGACGGCCGACTACCTCGACGACGATGCCAACGGTGCGTCTTCTTCTTCAATGAAGAGGAAGCGCAACGGCCAGCCGCACAGCAACAACACCAAGAAGAACCTCCTCAACCTCGCCCTGCGCGTCGCCAAGGCTGCGCGGTGCGAGGGCCGCATGGACGACGCCAAGGACGAGTCGGTGCCTTCTTCGTCGCCGTCGCTGTCATCCACGTCTGCGCCCGCTATCTCTTCTTCTTCTTCTGCTGCTGCTGCTGCTTTCGCCGCGCCTACTGCCGCTGCGGCTGTCGCTGCTGGTGGCGGTGGCACGGGTGCCCTGCCAGCAATGACGACGCCCGACCGCATCCGTGCCGAAGAGGCAGCTGCCGCGGGCGCAGGCCTCGTGCCGTCCAGCGAGTCGGGCCTCGCCATGCTGCAGAGCTACTCGTCGATGAAGGACGAGGAGTCGCGCCGGCTGTTCGACCAGCTGCTGCTGCCCCAGCCCGCAGGCGACGATCCGTCGAGCTTTGCCAACATGCCCAACCTGCAGCAGTACAACTTCTTTGGCGGCATGGCACCAAATGGCCTTGATTTGCTTGGCCTCCAGGCCACGCCGCCCGACTCGGCCGGCCAGGAGTTTGACCTGTCCAAGTTCCTCGCCGAGTGCGACACAAAGAGCTCCCCCGGCTCGTCCGACGACCAGAGCATGGCCTCGGGCGCCAGCCACAGCGGCCACAGCTCCCTCCACGGCGGCGGCAGTGGTGTCCACTCGGGCCCCGGATCCGTCTCGTCGGCCGCGCCCTCGCTCGCCGGCTCATCGTCGCACCACCACCACCACCAGCGCTCCCCCAATGCCTCGTTCTCCTCGGGATCGTCATCGTCGCCAATGGCGCCCCCGCAGACGCAGGCGCAGACGGCCGCTGTCTCGGCGAGCAACCCGTCGCCCGCCGCCTCGACGTCGTCCTCGTCGGATATCTCCACCTCGGGTCTCGACGGCTTCTGGAGCTGGGTCCTCGGCCAGGGCGGCATCCAGCAGGGTGGTGGCCAACAAGTCGCGCCGCCGCCAGCCCCGCCCTCGCAGTCGCAGCATCAACAGCAGCACCAACAGCAGCAGATTCCTACGACGTCGGGCATCGACTACTTTCCACCGCCCTCGTCGTCTGAGAACGCGATTGCAGCCGCGCTGAATGCGCCGCCCCAGAGGCAGGCGCCGTTCCCTGCCGCCGCTCCTTCCTCGTCTGGCGCATGGGCAAGCAGCGGGGCGCAGGCATTCCCCGCCGCCGCGCCCTCGCCCTCGTCCTTTCCCTTTGCCGGCTTCCCCACGAGCACCTCGGCAAACGCCGCGCCTGGGCAGCAGCAGCAGGCAGCAGCAGCCGGAGCGGGCGCGGGCGAGGCCATCAGCATGGGCACGCCCAGCGCCGGCATGGGCCTCGGCTGGATGAGCACCCCGGGCCTCTTTGAGCTCGCCTACGAGTTTGGCGACGGCTCCGGCCCTGGCTCCGGCTCCGCCCCTCAATCGGCCCAGGCCAAGTAGGAGTCGATTCCGCCGCCCGCGCGCTTCTCTCTCCACTCCGCCACTCATCTCTCCTCTCTCTTTAGCTTATTATTATCATCTCCTCCTCCTCTGATTCCCTCCCTTTACTGTTACTGGATCTCGTGTCGTGTATCATCATAGTTGACCTCTTCCATCTCTCTCTAGTATCGCCGGGAATGGCTCGTGGAGTCGTCTGGTTCGCGGGAAATGGCATTCTTTAGCACCAAATTATTAACTTATGGTGGCATTGTGGCAGCTGGCGGGGACCACAATTCATGCTTCTTAATGCCCCTTCCATTGCGAGCGTGTCTTCTTCAAAGTATGTCTGCTTGGGAACTTGCGACAACAAAGAAGCCTCAGCGGGTGGACTCGGCTGTGGGTGACGGTAGATCAGCTCAGCCGACTATTTCCACAATCAACGTGACGAGGCAGGGCAGTCTGGTGACAATGCCCCGTTGTGTGAATGCACGATGTGTACGAAGATGCAAAGTGCATCCGATAGCGACAGACTTTGTCTTCAGTGCTTGTTTCTCGACATGGTGAATACTTTAGATCTTTGTACAACCAGTCGATGTCGGACAGTCTTGGCATAATAAAAAAGGCGCATTGGCCACGGTCGAAAACACCGTGCAGTCCATTTAGACGCAGTGACGATATACAGGGCCAGATAGGGGCTTGACATTCGGCCTCAGCATGGTTCTTGCTCCCGTCGACAGAGATTTTTCTTCAGAGGGCTGCAGTTTTTGGCGCTCATTTGACCGAAATTGCCAATTGCGATCATGAAAAAAGATAAAAAGAGATAGGTATGTGAGCTGGAAGGGAAAGAACCAACCATTAATAGCTTGGCAGACGTATAGATGCTGTGAAGTTCGCCCGTCAGCTGTGATTGCGAATAGGCATCGCAGGTCTCATGCTCTTCGAGAGGTTTTGGGTAGGGACTGCCTAATGAGCCTTGCTCGTGCAAAATAAAGGCGCAGGGGCCTACTCCCTCTTTTTTTTCTCTGGACTTCTCGCTTCTCAGACGGCAGCACGATCCTCCTCATCGATCCCATCAAAAACGAAAAAGGAGATGTGATCATTGCAAAGACTTACCAACGAACGATAAGACTGCCTACGGTGACCTCAAAAGTCCAAGTGGACCCAGGTTGGCGATGGCGGAATTAAGTCAGCGACCACGTGGCGCCTGGCCCCGTTTCTTCTCGGGCGAGGCGTGCGAAAAGTGTTGTTGGAACTCGAGCGAGAGAAAGAGCCAGGCCTGGGGTGCGTGCGTGCGTGCGTGCGAGGGTGCGTGCATTTGAGCGAGAGGCGTGCGCCTGACTCGTTGGACCGGCAAGAAAACCGAATCCGACTGCAGAGGGCGAGTCAGTCACTCCGTCTGCCTTTGCCCAGCCCAGTACGTAGGTGCAGCCCAGCAGCGAGAGCGAAAGCCCAGCGACGAGTGGTACAGAACGGTCGAGGGCGAAAGAGAGAGAGAGAGAAAGAGAGAAGAGAGACGCAGCGCATCCCCTTGTTTCCAGGATTAGCCGATCGCACACGTCCCCATCTCTTCCTTCCCCCCTCCTCACAAGATCGAGGCCAAGTCGAGGACAAGTTGAGACCAGGTCGAGACCGAGCCGAGGACAGCAAGGGTAGGCGGAGGAGGACGAGAGAGCGCGTGTGAGTGGGAGGACGAAGAGGAAGAAGAAGAAGAAGAAGAAGAAGAAGAAGAAGAAGGACGACGACGACTACTACGACGATGGCTGCGCGCATCGTGCCCGGCGCACCCCCGCCGAGCGCCGCGGCCAAAAAGGCAAAGAAGAGGGCTGCCGCAGCTGCCTCGTCGACGGCCACGAGCAACGGCGGCATCCACGAGGCGGCCACAGCAGCCGCGCTGGCCACCAAGGCCCCTGCGGCCGGAGATAGCGTCGACGGGAGCGTCCAGGTGCCCGCGCAGGATCTCGACGAGGAGGCCTCCAAGCCAGGCCAGACTGCCACCGAGAATGGCTCGTCGCCGTCGCACAAGAGCCCGCTGCAGGCCGTGCTGGCCAAGAGGATCAAGGTGCTGAACAAGAAGCTGGTGAGAGTCTCCTCGTCCCTTACTTTGCCTTTTCATCTTGTGTGGCGGTGTGGCTGACGGGCGGGTTCCTGCGACCAGCAACGCATCGCCACGTACGACACGACGGACCTGGGCAAGCTCAACGCCGACCAGCAGCGCGCATTTGCGTCCAAGGGCGGCATCGAGATGAGCGTCTTTGAGCTCAGCGAGGCCCTCAAGGGTGTCCAGGTGAGTTGGTCAATATTGATGATGACGCAGTGAAGTCCTGGACACCACCTTATCCATTCCATTCTCCACAGATCGCCGAGGCAGAGGCCAAGAAGCAGGCAGATGCGGCGCAGCAGGAGGCCGTCGAGGCAGCACAGGCGCGCGAGCAGGCCTCGTTCTCGCTCCTCTTTGAGCTCGTCCGTCTCTTCAACCTCTTTTCGCCCCCCGGCCCACCATCGTTTGCCCCGCCTGCGTACCCGCGCGTGCTCGACAGCGCCACGGGCCAGGACAAGGCCGCGGTCAGCAAGCTCTACTACGACTTTGCTGCGTCGACCGATGTCATTGGCCAGGCCGACAAGTTTGCGCTCCTCGCCAAGCTCAGCGCCGCCTCGCACGAGAGCGTCATCGAGGGCGTCTCCTACCAGCGGATCCACGAGCTGCTCCAGCGCATCTCTGGCTCCGGCTCTGCTGCTTCCATCTCAGAGCAGGAGCAGGAGCAGGAGCAGGAGTCGGAGCCGGTGCCCGAGCCAGTGCAGGTGCAGGAGACGGCGCCAGCGCAGGAGGAGCCGATCCTCGAGCAGGCCCCTGCGCCTGTCAATGGCCACCACGCTGGCCTTGGCGGCATCCACTTTATGCAGGCCTCGGAGATCGACAAGGACGAGGGCGGGGAGGCACACAACCAGGAGGTGCCGCTGGAGGTGCAGCAGGCCGAGCCCGAGGGCGGCGCCGTCGAGTCGGTGCCCGCTGCCGTCGTCGAGGGAGGCGCGACGGACAAGGGCGAGAGCGCAGCCAAGGGCACTCTCGTAGGCGATACCAGTGCCCACAACGGCCAGGGCGGCGCTGACGGCACGGCCAACGCAGAGGTGCTCGAGCCCGTCAACACGACGCAGGTCGTCGACGGTCCCAAGAAGGTGGGCTTGTTCCTCTCCTTGCAGGTCTAGAAGTGCATGCTGACGGAATTATAAATCACAGACGGCCGCCGAGCTGTTCAGAGCCGGGCCTCGCACCTTTGACTGGGCCGCTGCCGACGACGACGACCTCGGCGACCTGGACCTGCAGCCTGCAGCGGCGACGCAGGCCCACGCGATTGCGCAGGCACCTGCTTCGAAGCCCGCTGCCTCGGCCGCGGCCACGTCTGACCCGGCTACCGTCAATGGAGACGAGGCCAAGACGACGCGCGGCAAGGCTGTTGAACAGAAGCAGCAGCAGCATCAGCAGCAGGCGTCGCCCGTGGTGCCCGTGACGCACGCAAAGAAGGCGCCCGAGGTGGACGAAGATGGATTCGTGGTGGCGAGCAGCAAGCGGACAAAGATGCTGCAGGAGCGCATGGAGAGGGAGGCCGCCGGTGCCAGGGGTGGCCGAGGTGGTGGACGTGGTGGCGGAGCAGGACGAGGCGGCGGCGGGGGAAGCAGCAGCAGTGGCGGCGGAGAGCGCAGGGGCGGAGGGGCGGGTGCCAATGGCGACAGGCGCCCGCGACTGAGCGGCGAGGGCGGCCAGGGCAAGGGCCCGTTGCGCGGCGGCGGCGGCGGCAGGGGACGCTACCCAAGGGCCAATGGCACCGGTCGCGGAGGCGGTCCCTCGACGGAGCAGGCTGCCTGAGTGGCGGGATGCCTGGATGGACACCGGTGTCCGCATTACACAAAAGGAGGCTCATCCTCATGATCACAGATGGACAGAGTCTTGTCCTCACACACACAGTATCTCTCTCTCTCGCATTCCCTATCACTACACCTCCCTCTGTCCCTTCTCCCTCTCTCTCTGTCCTCGCACACTAGTCGACTCTGTGGATGGATAGGATCACTCTGCGGATGGATAGGATCATGCTCTCCGCATCCTTCTTGTCTGGCGCGAGAAATCAATGATGTTAAGAGTCCATTTCTCAGGTGTGCTGCTGCATTGACTATTGTACAAGATTGACCACACACACACACGCGGACAAGTCTATCGGCCCACGACGAGCGGCTGCATGTGTGCCTGCTCGTGCTCCCCTCGCATGTCCTGCCTCGGCTCGGCTTCGTCAGCATCCTCGCTACCCCCATCATCGTCGCTGTCGCTACTATCGCCATCACCAGGGACGGCACCCCGTGCGACGGCGCCGGCCCACTCGCTCGCAAACTCGGCAATGCTCTTGCCCTCGGACAGGTCCACGACGTCGGCAGGGACCATGTTGCGCGCATGTGTCGGAAAGGCCTGGTGCGCCTGCGCGCGCGACGTCAGCACCCGCAAGATGGGCTGCTGGCCGTGGTATGCAGTCGTCGTCGTTGTTATGGCCCGTGAGCCGCCCCTCCTTGCTGTCGTTGTCGTCGCTAGTGCAGAACCAGATGCGCCGGCCTCGGACCTCGGCGTCGTTGTCCCGCTGTTGCTGTTTGACGGCGTCTCGCGAAGCACCGTCGGCGGTCTGCCGTCGGTGTAGATTCGCACAAACGTGTTTCTCGCATCCTCGTCGTCGTCATCGTCTTCGTCGTCGTCGATGCCGTTCTGCGCGTTGCCTGGCGCTGGTCGGAGGAGCTCCACCGCACTGGCCTCCTCCTGCAGCTCGGCCTCGGACTCGTACTCGACGACCTCGCCCCACGCGCGCCGCGCCCGCCGCTCGACCTCGTCAAACGTCCAGAGCAGCCCGTCGGTGCGGTCGAGGTACGGGTTGACGTCGACGAGGAGGACGCGGCCGAGGTCGCGCGTGATGTATGCGTCAAAGATGAAGTCGGCGATGGGAAAGGGCCGCGCAGGCCGTCGCTGTCCTCCGCTCCAGCCTCGCGCACCCTCGCTGTGCTGCTCTTGCGCTTGCTCCTGCCCGTGCCCTTGCCCTTGTCCTTGTCCCTGCGCCGCCGCTGGCTGGAGCATAGGCCGGAGCACGTCGTCGAAAAAGTCGCGCAGGGCCAGCACGATGCGCCGCCGGTAGCCACGCTCCTGAAGGTGGTCAAAGTAGGTGCCCACGTCGCGCTGGCTGATGGCGACGAGGTGGCCGCCACGGACAAAGCAGCGGAACTCGTGCGAGGTGGGCATCGCAAAGAACTTCTTGAGGATCAGGTGCGGCCGCACAGACACGCCCGCCTTGCTCGCCTCGTCGACAGCGTCGGCAGCGGCCATCTTGGAGAGCTCCGAGAGCTGGACGACGTCCTTGGAGATGAAGTCAGACGACTTGAGGAGCAGGTACACGTCCGACGGCGAGGTGCATCGGAGCGTCGAGCCGGGCACGATCCACGCCGCGTCCTTGAAGCAGCAGCAGCGTCGCCGTCGCCGTCAGCCTCAGCTAGAAGAGAGAGAGGGAGAGACCAGGACTCACTGCGGGTGCACTCCAGTCGAGTTTTGGGAATACGGCGCCCTCATAGTCTTGGATCACTCTCCGGATCCGCTCATTGAGCCCGTCGAAGTTGCGTGCCTCGGCTTCTTCGTCGTCGTCGTCGTCTTCTTCCTCCTCCTCCTCGCCTGACAGCGACGAGGGCGGGGAAGGCGCATCTCCGCTTTCCGTGGGCAGCACCAGCCCATCTTCCTCGAGCCATTCGAGGAAATCGGGCTGAAGCGTCGACAGATCCAGAATCGTGGCCTTGGGTGAGTGTCGGCGATAGAGGGGGAACCAGGATGAGAAGCGCGTGTGCTGCAGGGCCAGCGGCGCGCTCGTCAGCGGCGGCAGCGTGCTCGACGAGGCGTAGGAGGAGGAGGCTGCTGCTGCTGCTGCTGCGCGGGAGACGTCTGGCATGGTGGTGGTGGGTGTGTTGGTGGTGGAAGAGGAGGAGGGAGCCGGGGCAGATGCATGCATGATCGGCCGATGCTCCGAGAGGGCGAGTCAGCAAGCAGCAGACCCAAACCGTAAAACGAGAAAACGCGAAAAAAAGGTGGAGACGGGATGTCGGGAATGACTGATCGTTCAGTCACCGCCACGTGACAAAGTCGTCTCAGGAGCTGAGGCACGCCCCGACACACACACCAACGAAGGCTGTCCGACTCAAGACAGACAGACACACGTCAGCGACCAGCAAGCAACGGATCGCCTCTCCAGTCTCGTCGCCGCTCGGTCTCACATACAGGATGAGCACCTTGGCGTATACCGGTGGGGCGGGCCTCTCGACGGCGACGCTCCTGGGCCTCTACCTCGTCTTTACTGGTCAGTTTCTTTGCCTCATCTTTGTTCTCTACTCTTTCTTCCCGCTGACACCTTTGCAGGCTCGGGCGAGGCGTTCAACATCGGCGCCTTTCTCACCGAGACATCGCCCTATGTGTGGGCGATGATCGGCATCGGCCTCTGCATCGGCCTGAGCGTCGTGGGAGCCGGCTGGTGGGTGTGCCAATGGCAAGAGTGGCCAAGACTTAGAACTATCACTGACGAGAAACACAACCACAGGGGCATCTTCATCACCGGCGCCTCGATCCTGGGCGCGGGTGTGCGCGCGCCGAGAATCACGACCAAGAACCTGATCAGCATCATCTTCTGCGAGGTCGTTGCCATCTACGGCGTCATCATGGCCATCGTCTTTAGCGCAAAGGTCTCGAGCAACTTTGAGGCCGCCGACAAGCTCTGGACGGGCAACAACTACCTGACTGGCTACCTGCTCTTCTGGTCAGGCATCACTGTGGGCATGTGCAACCTCGTCTGCGGTGTCTCGGTCGGCATCACGGGTGCCAATGCCGCCGTGGCCGACGCAGCAGACCCGCAGCTGTTTGTCAAGATTCTCATCGTCGAGGTCTTCAGCTCCATCCTCGGCCTCTTTGGTCTTATCAGTGGGTTTCTTCCGTGCTTTCTGGGAGTGGCTTTATCTCAGACTGACGTGACTTCATCTACACAGTCGGGCTCATCCTGTCGGGCCGCGGGGAAGACTTTGCATGACCTTTCCTCTCGCTTCTCTCTCTCTCTGTGACGCAATCAATCAACACAATCAATCTCTGGACACGAAGTCTTCGGGTGCTGTTGGACACACAGTCTTTGGGTGCTGTTGGACACACAGTCTTCGGGTGCTGTGGGGGTGGCTATAGGATGTCTCTCTCGCCGTCTCTCTTGTCACCGTCTCTCCTGCAAAGCCTGGGAGGAGCAACGTGGTCGTGGCAAACAGTGAGACAGTGGAAGGGAAGATGTGTTCCTGGCGGCTCCGACGCTTGGCCGCTGCCCTGGCCGCGGCCTTGCCTTCTGCTAGTAGAGACCTGATACGCAAGCACCACGAGGTCGCGATCACCCTCTCCAAAACTCATTAAGAGAGTAGACAGCGGTCTCGAACGTCATTCGAGCACACGACGCGGAAGACGGCGAACGACATAAAGGCCCGGGCCAGCCTTCCATGCGTCTGACCGTCTCTCTTTCTCGGCATTTGATCACCTAGGGTACACTGAAACTTGAAAGGCAAAAGGAGGAATTCGGTGCTGTGAAGTCATCGGCCGCCCTGTTGAAATTCTCCTCTGCACCCTTCGACCCACTACTACTGACCCACTCTGACGGAGAAGAGGCCGACCTTGTGGACCGACGCCAAGTGCAAATAGTGGAAATAGTAACAATTGAAAGGCAGATAGGACTGACTGACTAGCTAGTAGTAGTAGTAAAAGGCTAATTCGAATTTTTGGACGGGCCCTAGATCTGTGCTAAGTCGGCGGCAGCTAGTCTTGCCCAGCGTTCCCCTGTTCTCCGCCCTGGAGTTCCTGCAGCTCGAACGAAGAGGGTTGTCTAAGATAGAAGAGCGGCCCTTTTTTGCTTTGCTGCCTGGCGCAGGGCAACTCTTTTGGCTGGCCAGATCGACGCCCAGGCCCCTTCCCTCTTCGAGCCGACGCAGCGAAACGCAGAGCGCAGCCAGAGCAGCGGGGCGGGCCGCAGGAGACGGGAGGCTTGTGCGCGGACTACGCACTACTACTTCTACGACTCTTGCCCTTCCTTTTTCTTTTTTTCGCCACTCGAGACTGGACTGAGCGCGCGCGCAGAGGGTCGGGCGGCAGGCGGGACCGACGACGCTCTCTTGCAATCTCGCGACAGGGGCAGCACACTCTTACTCTTGTCTTGTCGTCGACGTCGTCACCGTCGTCGTCGTCGTCGGACAGCGAAAGAAGGTGAGGGGCTAGCAAGACGCCAGCTGATCAGCACCCGACACCGGCCCGCAGCCTGCTGCTTCTCCCGCGCGCACCATGGCCGTCGGCGACCCAGGCGGATCGTCGTCGTCGTCCCCGCCATCGTCGTCGGTGCCGCCCCTGCCGCCCGCCTTGTCTTCGTCTGCTGCGATGCTCTGCCCCCCCTCGTCGTCGTCGTGCTCCTCGGTGACGTCGCCCGGGTCGTCGTCGTCTGCCAAGCAGTCGCCGCTGCACCGCGTCTTTGCGCGCGGCGATCCCATCGCGGGCCTCGAAGCCTTTCCCACGCCCAGCTCAGCCGGCAGCGCGGATCTCGCCCAGGCCCAGGCGCTTGCTCAGACTCAGGCGCGCACGCAGCCGCTCAAGCTCGGCAACAAGCAGTTGTCCTCTCGGCAGTCTCAGCAGGCGCAGTCTCAGCAGGCGCAGTCGCAGTCGCAGTCGCAGCCGCAGACGCAGGACCAATCGCAGCAGCTGCCGCCCGCGAGCAGCGACGAGGGCTTTAGCCAGAGCAGCACGAGCGGCAGCAGCGCCGTCTTTTCCGCACCGTGGGCCGCGCCGCGCGAGCGCAGACGGGGCGGCATCAATAGCGGCGATGCGCGGGAGCAGGATCAGGAGCAGGAGCAGGAGCAGGAGCAGGAGCAGGAAGCGACACCGCCGTCGAGCAGCTCGCAGTACAGCCAGGATGGGAAGCGCGGCGAGGAAGCGCAGCTGCATGCGCGGGCAGCGGACGAAGAGAAGGAACCAGAAGAAGACGGAGGAAACGAGGAAGAGGAAGAGGAAGAGGAAGAGGAAGAGGAAGAGGAAGAGGAAGAGGAGGAAGAGGAGCGCATTCATCCACCGCGGCCCACCACGGTCAGCAGGCCGAGGGCCAGGGAGCCAATGTCGTCGATGCCCGTCGACGTCAGCAGCGACGACGAGTACGACGATGAGCTGGGCATGTGGGCCCGCGCCGTCGACAGCATCGGCGCCGGCCAGACCCTCGATGTCGGCCAGGCAGACTACGACGACGACGATGGCGAGCACGGCGTCGGCTTCCACTTCAAGTCGCCTGCTGCCGCCGTTGCCAGCAGCCAGCCACGTGGCTTCGGCCTGGGCGATGATAGCGATGGCAATCGTGGCGATTGTGGCGACGACGATGATGGCGAGGAGGCCGCCGCTGCTGCTGCAGCGAAGAGATCAGCACCCGCGGCCGCCCTGCCGGCGTTTCTGCTCGCGGGCAACCCGCTGCTGCAGGGCGCAAACGAGTGGAAGGGGCGCCTCCTCGCGGCCTCCAAGGACCAGCCTGGACAGCACGAGGCTGAGCAGGCGCACGAGGAGGAGCGTGGTGTCGCCAGAAGGAGATCCACGCCGCCGCTCACGCCCCGCGACGTCGATGTCCATGCCGACGCCAATGCACATGTACATGCCTACGGCGATACCTCAACAAGAAGCAGCATCGATGATCACGATGCAGCCTCGCGCCTCTCGCGCACCGACAGCGGCGACTCGATGTCCTTCTTGCCCTACCGCGCCGACCAGACCCGGCCCACGACGGCCTCGTCGTCGACGTCGACGTCGAGCAGCAGCAACCTGCGCGAGCGACGACGCAAGTCGCGCGCCGCTCGCATGACGTCGGCCGGCGGCAGCACACACATCCCCGAGCTGTCGAGGGAGCTCGCCGCCATCAACACGGGCGTGAGGAAGCAGCAGCAGCCGGCCGATGCGCAGGCCCATACCCAGGCTCAGGCTCAGGCACAGGCGCAGGCGCAGACTCAGGCGCAGGCTCAGGCTCCGGCACAGGCGCAGGCACAGACTCATCGACAGCCAAAGGACGCCAGACGGCTCACCGTGGCCGCGACAAAGGAGGATGCGCTGCCGTCACCGAGAAGACAGCAGCATCAGCAGCACCTCCTCGCAGCCAGCGACGCGCGGCCGAGCACCTCGCCGGGCCTCCAGCCGACTGCGCTGGGCGGCGAGAGCGACGAGGGCATCGGGTCCAGCTCGACGGCCAAGGCTGCGACATCGGCGCATACAGACACCGGCGAGCACTTCAAGAGGACGCTGGCTGATCTGCGACGACCCCCGCTGGCCGCCCGCAAGACGACCAATGTCCCGGGTGCTGGTGCCGCAGCCGCCACTGCTGCTGCTGCTGCTGCAGCACACACGGCCCCGCAGCGTGACTTGACGCTGACCCCAACCCAGGTCCATGCTTCCCAGAGCGACTTGTCGAAAACAACACCCGAGCCTGCGCCGAGACCCACATCGCCATACACCGTACCCAGAAGACCGCCCGCAGTGCCGTTTCAGCAGGACCTGCCGAGACCTCTGCCAGCAACGCTGCCCAGAGCCGCGGGCCGGGCCAAGGCGCAGACGTCAGATGCCGTACCCTTGTTCCACGGTCATCACCAGCAGCCGCATACGCAGCAGCAGCAGCAGCAGCCTGACGCGATGGCGATGGCGATGGCGATGGCCGGCAGCCAAGGACGAAGCGCGAGCAGCCAGAGCAGGCGCATCTACAACAGCGATGTCCCGGCCTCGCCCCGCAGCACCTCGACCCGGTCCAGTGCCACACGGCCCTCCATTGGCGATGGTCGGCCCTCGATTGGAAGCCTGCAGAGTCAGCTGGGCAGGCAAGCTCCCTCGTCGAGCAGCGGTGCAAACGAGAGCGTCGAGGACCTGGTCGATGGGCCCGAGGCGCGGGGCAGGAGCCAGCTTCTTCATGTCGGCGGCAGTAGTAGCAGCAACAGCAGCGGCGCACAAGCAGGCATCGGCAGCCACCACGGAGGAGGAGCCGGATCGATGAGGCAGCAGCATGTACGGCAGAATTCAAACGACAGCAGCTCGGCAGGCACCCAGAGCACCTCGGCTGGCATCTCGCCCTCGTCTCGCAGCTTCCTGGCCGTCAATGCCTGGCAGGGCTACCGACACCAGAATGCATCGGCCGAGAGCGCTGCGTCGTCGCTGCGCATGGTGGGCGGGCCTCACGCTGCTGCTGCTGCTGCTCACCCGCTCCCTCCTGCACTGGCCTCGTCGCTGCACAGGCCCCCATCGCGTCCGTCGACGGGCTCGAGCGCCGCGGGACCTGTCGCTGCAGGCATCAATCCTGGGTACTCGCCAGACAAGGCGTCCATCAGCCAGTCGTCGTTCTTGGCTGCTGGCAGCAGCAGCCGTCCCTCGCGGCCTGCTTCACCGGCCGAGTCGGCTGCGATGCAAGCCAACGGTATCCCGCTCGAGCTCGACGAGGAGGACATTGAGCTCGTCGAAGAGGAGACTGTCGTCACGGAGCAGACGTCCCTCTTTGGCGTCCGCCGCAGACTCGTCGTGGCCATCCCCACCCTCGGTGGCAAGTCCAGCACGCTGTCAAAGAGGAAGTCTTCGCTCAGCACCGTCGGCGGTGGCGCCGAAGCTGATGGTGCCGCGGCCAAGCCTGGCTGGAGCCTGCTGGTGGGCAACGAAAAGGAGATCAAGAAGCGCGAGGAGGCGCTCGAGGCCAGGGAGCGAGACCTGACCATCGAGGCGCTCTCCAAGGCCGAGATGGCCTATGTCAAGGTCGAGGTCTGGACAGAGTCGAGGAAGGGCAAGTGGGCCGTGCGGGGGCCCGCACCCTACGATGGTGAGTCTTTCTGCCCACTTGGCTGTGTATTAGAGTGCTGAGAGAGATCTATGCAGCACCCTATGCGGAGGCGTTGCCTGAGATTGCGGACCCGTGGTCGATTCCCATCGATGCCAAGGGCATCGTCAGGCGCAAGAAGCTCAAGTCCAACATCGAGATGAGCTCGACAAGGACCGTCGTCGAGTGCGACGACTGCTCCGAGGCGCGCCAGATGGGCATTGTTGCCAACTGCAAGACGTGTCAGGGCGGCGGCCTCGTCGAAAAGGTCTATGTGGTCCAGTGCATCGTCCGGCTCGCCCAGTTTCTCCCGCTCAAGCTGCCTGCGCTGCACCTCATGGGCGCAAGGCAGCCCCACATCAAATACCTTGACACCAACGACGCCTATCACCGCGACGCCGTGCTCAGGGACCGCGCTCTCGACGGGCTCCAGGCGGCGGCTGGTCGTGTCGCGCGGCACCACTATGCCCAGCACGGCTCCCGGCTCCTCCAGGGCCGAGCGACGATCTCGCGCCGCGGCGTGCTGACGGTGTGCGTCACGAGCAAGAAGAGCAAGGCGCGCCGCTTCTTTGACATTGACGATGGCGCCGAGGGACGCATCGTCGAGACGACGTCATCGACGTCGCCCAGCATGCCCGACTCGCTCGCTCCGCCGCCGCTCCCGACCCTGTATGCAGACGGCGACACCGGCGCGCCCCCGAGCCCTTCTTCCTCGTCGTCCTCGTATGGTCGAAAGACGAGCTTCAGCGCGTCGCTGAGACACCCGCAGCACACCCTCCTCCACCAGCACCAGCAGCACGGCTCCGCCGCCTCGTCGGCCACCGTGGGTGGCTCCTCGATGCGCGCGCGCAATGCCAGCAGCCCGAACCTGCACCAGGGCAGCGTCGCGCCAAATGGTGGCACGAACGCACCCCAGGGCAGCTTCTTTGTGCCCCCCAGCCCGCCCAATCCGCAGCCGCCGAGCATGGGCCTGGCCCAGTCGAAGCGGGGGTTCAAGAGCCTCTTTGCGAAATAACTGCCTCACTGGGGCTGCCATTCTGGCACTTGAACTTCGCGCACCTACACTGCTTCTCATTACCATCTCACCCCTTGTGGTTCTCTCCTGTTTGCTTGCCGTCACCGATTTTGGGATATTTCCTCGTCACTTGAACAATGTCATCGCTCTCTGTGTGTCCTTCCACAGTCTGACGCTAAGTGCGAGCCATCTTCGTGAACAGCTTCGCAGCGCGTGCCGTACACGCTGACGATAAACCAGAACAAAGGTGAATTATTGGCTATATGAAGTGCAACTACTACTCTGCTACTACTTTTACAAATGAATAAAGGCCAAGACGACGTTGCCGCCCAGGACGAAGCTGGCGAGAAGCATGGCGAGCCACCGGGCGCGCTGGGCAATCTTGAATGCGCTCCGATCCGCCTCGTCGTGCTCATGTTCCAGCTCATATGCGAATCCTAACCGCTCTCTGCTCTTGCCGCCGCCGCCGCCGCCGCCGCCACCACCACCGTCGTCGTCGTCATCGTCGTCGTCCTGCTGAAGTTGTTGCTGCTGCTGCTGCTGCTGCTGCTGCTCTACATGGTCAATCTCCAGCACTCCCCGGTCCTGCTGCAGCGTCGGCCCAACCTCGGCGTCGAGGGCGGTGCCCGAAGCAAAGTGGGCATTCGTGGGCCGTCGCAGCGCCATCGCAACGGGCCTCGAAGTCGACTTGGCCGCGCCACCGTTCCTCAACTCCGCCTCGCTGCTCCTATTCATCAGTGGGACCGCCGTCGCAGCTACAGCCGCCGCCGACGACCCAGCTGCCGTCCCGCGCTTGCGCTTCCGTCGGCGGAGCAGCAACAGCAGCAGCAGCTCGCGCAGGGCGAGGCCGAGAAAGGCGTCGCCGTCGAGCGAGGGCAGCGGGAGCATGTTGAGCAGGGCCAGCGCCCAGCTGAGCTGGAGAAAGTACTCGACGCAGAGCTGGGCGCCGCGGATCAACGAGGGCGGCAGGCCCAGATAGGCGTGCCGGGGCGTGTAGACGGTGACGGAGAGCGCATAGTAGATGGCCAGCCGAGGGCCCTGGAAGAGGACGACGCGCGTCGTGGGGACTGGTTCAATCCTGCTACTGCCATCGCCGCTGTGCTCGATGTCGTCGACCTTGTTGCCATTGTTTCTATTACCCCTGTCGGCGTTTGTCGAGTCATCCTGAACGGTGATGCGGACGAGCTGCTCGTCTGGATGCGGAGCGACGCACACTCGGCCGACGCCCGTGCTCGGGTGTGGCGTGCAGGCGTCGAGACACCGCTCGTATGGCCTTGTCGACGCCTTGGTGGGGCCACGGACCAGCAGCGAGGGGTCGAAGCAGCGACCGGGCTGCTTGTTGCCGTCGCCGCCGTCCGTCGAGTTGCCAGTCAGGACGGTGAAGCAGAGCGAGGAGTCACTGCTGCTGCTGTCCCTCGTTTTTCTTTGGGAGAGTAGTTCCGGTGAATCAACTGTAGCAGAGGTGGGAGACGGGGCTGACGATGCTGGCGTGTTCGTGTTGGCCTCGAGACGGTCGCAGCAGACCGTCGAAGAGGCCTGCCATGCCGACCGCGGCACGCACCACCCCATGGTCCCGTCTGCGCCCCAGCGCTGCGGTGAGGTGGCCGAGGGGGAAGCTAGGAGGTAGTCGTTCCACTGCTTGAGCCGGCCCTCGGGCGTAGCATAAACGCCAGCGAGGTCGAGGTCATCCAGGCGCGTGACGAGGCTGCTTGTCCCTGGCTGGAGGTGCAGCGCCAAGGGCGACGAAGGATCGACACTGGTGACCCTGATGCCGTCTGTTGGTATCCACAGGCTCTGTACGAGCAGCGAGGAGAGGCCGAGCCAGGTGAAGAGGAGGACGAGGCCTGCAGAGACGGCATTATGCCAGACGCCTGCTCCAACGATGCGCAGCCGTTCTCGATTGCTCATCAGCGTCGGTGCTCCAGTCAGCGCCTCGGCCTCCTCCTCGAGATCGTGGTGGTGGTACCTGCCCACGCTCTGGTCGCTGTACTCCTCGGGCAGCGCCACAAAGGCGCCCGGAATGATGGGGAAGAAAAGCACAAGGCCCATCGAAGTCGGATTGAGCCGGTGAAGGGCAGCGCAGAGGGCATGGCCAGCCTCGTGGATGACTTGGGCGAGGCAGAGGCCGAGGAGCAGTGGGACGACGTGCATGAGAGGAACAGTGACACCTGGAATCTGGAGGATGGGTTCAGCCCTGGCAAGTTGGGTTTATGAACTGGCTCGGGCAGACTCACCAGGGGAACGATGGCTGGATTCCACTTGGCCGCCGCCTGCCTGTCCTCTTCCAGCGAGACGTCTCTCAGCGAAGCATCTCTCTTGACCAACGCCGAGCTCGCAGGACTGGGTGAGCCATGAAGCTGCACCACGTCGGTGATGAGCTGCATGGCCCCCCAGCCCAGCACCAAGAAGGAGCCGACGAGGGACAGGGCAGCAAAGTAGACGCCCAAGTCGTAGAATCTGACGAGCGCTCCCTGGTCGCCCACACTTCCGTCTTCCTGGTCATCGCAGCCCTGAGGGAGGGACCCGACGAGGCGCAAGAGGCGCCTCGGCAACGCGTTGAGCCCCGTTGTCTCCCATGTCATCGACCATGTCCGCTTGGTGAAGGAGTACGACGATTCTCCATCTCGCAGTGGGCGCCGCCATCGGCGCCTCTGCGCGACGAGGAACCTGGACACCACCTCAAGAACGAGCCATGGAGTGATGAGGAGCAGCGCAAAGGCCAGGAATCGATCGAGACCCATCTCTTCTACTTCTCCGCCGCCATCGTTGCCGTAGATTTTGTCTTCCAGTCCTTCGGGGCGCGCTCTCTCTCTCCTTGGCTCTCTCTCTGTGCATGGGCCTCCATTCTGCTCTGCTTCCAAAAAGGAAGGACTCCACGGACCGTGGCACGTGCACTGGGCATCCGGCTTACTAAGCCATTTTTTCGCCTCTCGTTTCTTAAATTTTTCGAAAAATTTCCCACTTTCGAGACAGAGAGAAAGAGAGTCGCCGGCGTTGAAATTTGGAGAAAGAAGCCTGTCTACCTTTCCCTTCTTCATCACAACCAACCCTTTCCCCCTTCCGACGTTCCCTTCCATCCAAGGGTATCCCAACAGAGACAATAATGGGCAAGAAGGACAAGAGCATCAAGCCAGAGGCCGCTGCGGCCGCTGCGCCCGTCGTCAACGGAAAGGCGAGCAAGAAGGAGAAGAAGGAGGCGGCCAAGGTCGTCCCCGAGCCCGCCCCGGCAGCCGCTGCCAAGGAGGCCACAAAGTCAAAGAAGGACAAAAAGAAGAGCAAGAAGGAGCCCACGCCCCCGCCTGTCGTCGAGTCTGAGTCGGAGAGCAGCAGCAGCGAAGAGGAGGAGGACGACGACAGCGAGAGCGAGAGCGAGAGCAGCGACGAGGAGGTGAGAGATGAATGCGACCAGTCCACGTTGATTATCAGAGTCACTGACATCTCTATCTTCTTTCAGCCCTCCAAGGCCGACGTTGTCAAGCCCGCTGCCGCTGCCGCCAAGGCAACCAAGGAGGACTCGGACGACTCGGACGACTCCAGCGACGAGGACTCGGATGACTCTGAGGACTCGGACGAGGAGGAGGAGAGCAAGCCGGCCGCTGCTGCCGCTGTCAACGGCAACGGCAAGCCTGCCGTCAACGGCCACGCCAAGAAGGCCGATGCCGAGGCGTCTTCGAGCGACGACTCGGATGACTCTGACGAGGAGGAGGACTCTGACGACTCTGACGATGACTCGGACGACGACGAAGAGATGAAGCCCGCTGCGTCGACCGCCGACAGCAAGAAGCGCAAGGCTGACGATGCGGCCGAGGAGCCGGCCAAGAAGGTGGCCAAGGCTGCCGCTGGCGAGGAAGAGGACGACGAGGAGGCGCCCAAGCAGCTCTGGGTCGGCCAGCTCAGCTGGAACGTCGACAACGACTGGCTCAAGCAGGAGTTCTCGGAGCTCGGAGAGGTGACCGGTGCTCGTGTCATGACGGACCGCGAGTCGGGACGGAGCAGAGGGTGTGTAGTCTATTCTGATGCTCGTGTCACTCTCCCATCTGCTGACTAATTCTCTCTTTCTGCAACCAACAGCTTCGGATACGTCGACTTCGCGACGAGCGCAGATGCCAAGGCAGCCCTCGAGGCGGCACAGGGCATGGTCATCGACGGCCGCAACATCAAGGTGGACCTCCAGAAGCCCCGGCCGCCGCAGGAGCAGGCGCAGAGCCGGGCAAAGAAGTTCAACGACCAGCGCTCGGCCCCCTCGCCGGTCCTCTTCGTTGGTGGCCTCGCCTGGAGCCTGTCCGAGGACGACATCTGGGCTGCCTTTGGCGAGCACGGCGAGGTGAGCCGCGTCACGCTGCCCAAGGACCCCGAGTCGGACCGGCCAAAGGGCTTTGGCTACGTCGAGTACGCGAGCCAGGAGAGCGCCGACAAGGCCATTGAAGCCCTCTCGGGCGCCGAGCTCGGTGGTCGCGCCATCCGGCTCGACTACGCCCCGCCCAAGAACAACGACGGCAGCGGCGGTGGTGGCGGCGGACGCGGTGGCTTCGGCGGCGGTCGTGGCGGTGGCCGCGGAGGTGGCCGTGGCGGCGGCTTTGGCGGTGGACGAGGCGGTGGCCGAGGTGGTGGCGGCGGTGGCAGCTTCCGAGGCACGCCCAGCGGCAACGGCTGGGGCGCCCGGGGCGGCGGTCGCGGCGGTGGACGCGGTGGTGCCCGGACAGGCGCCGTTCAGCCTCCGGCCGGCAAGAAGATGACCTTCGACGACTAATTTTTGCCATTGTTCTTCACACACACTACCAAAAGGACGTTTTCCGTTCACCCATCGCACACGCACACACACACTCTGTAGTAGTTTCAGTAGTCGTGCCTACGCCTTCTTCCTTATTCTCATCATGTTCATTTTTTGTTCGTTATCGTATTACTTGCGGCTTGGTTCTCTCCATATTGCGAACTTGTAATGACCAGATTCAGCACTCTCTCGCGTTCGTTGCTTGCTTTATTTCTGTGATTGAAGGTATATCGTACAGGATGATGGTACAGCCAAAAAGAAAGATAAAAAAGGTGGAGGGAGAGAAAAGAAGAAAATAAGAGGTAAAAAAAGGTGGTGGATGTGTCTCAGGCGTGGCGCTGGAAGAGGAGCTTGCGCATCGGCGGCAGTGCTGGCTTGGCGCTGATGAGCGTCGGCATGGCCGTGCCCAGGTTCTGGGCCGCGTTGCCCATGATGATGCTTTCGCTCACGCCCTGGATCGCGTCCGTCTTGCCGAACAGGGCCGCGTCAAACAGGTGGTCCGTCGTCTTTTCAAAGCTGGCCAGCATCAGCACGCTGTCCTTCATCTTGGCCACGCCAAAGCGCGTGATGCCCAGGACCTCGCCCTTGTACGTCATGACGTCGGCCAGCAGCATCACGTGGCGCGGGTCGATTGACATGCCGTGCGAGGCCATCGTGTAGTCGATTTCGCGGAAGACAGAGGTCCGGGCGGCCTCGATGCCGAGGACCTCCTTCATCTCCATGATGTGGTTCGTGTGTGTCTGCAGGCCCACGACGCCCTCGGTGGTCATAACTTCTCGAAGGCCGTAGCCCTCAACAAGAAGCTTGCGGCTGCCCTTTTCGTCACTGATGACGGCCCGTGCAGCCTCGTGGATGCCCTTGATGATGATCTTTGGCAGCGCGCGCTTCAGCAGCTTGAGCCCGTAGTAGATTTCCTTTTCGTCGACGGGCTTGCTGTTCGCTCCGCCGTCGTCCTGGCCAATGTAGATGCGGATCCGGTTCTTCTTGGGCACCAGCGTCACGCGGTCGTCTTTGATCTTGAGCTTGGGCGCCTGGACGATGGCGCGGCGCACGTCGTCGAGCGTCACCTCGAGCTGCAGCTTCTCGATGGCCTTCATGTCGATGTGGACGCCCAGGTACACGTATGAACTGGCCCACGCCTCCTCGATGACGCTGGCCACATCGCCCAGGTACGTCTTCTCGATGCGACCCTTTACGATGCGCGCCGCCGTCTCGCTCTCGGGGTTCACGAGCTGAGCCGTGATGATGGGCGTGTTAATAGACTTTGCCGCATTGATGATCTCCTTGATACGCGGCACACCCAGCGTCACGTTCATCGAGGCCACACCGGCAAAGTGGAATGTCTTGAGAGTCATCTGCGTGCCCGGCTCGCCAATCGACTGGGCTCCAATAGCGCCCACGGCCGTGCCCGGCTCGACCTTGGCCTTCATATACTTGTCAAAGCAGATCTTGAGGAACTCGAGCACGGCCGAGCGCCGGACCTGGGTCTTGTTGTCGACGATGGCGACCACGGTGTTGTCGACGCCCATCGTCAGATCCGTGCCCTCGTCCATAAAGTCCTCGCGCTCCAGGGCAGGATACATGCCGTGGGCCTCGCGGATTTTGGCTGCCTTTTCAATGACAAACTCGCGCATAAACGACAGCACCTGGTCCTTGTAGTAGTCGTTTGTCTTGACGGTGAAGAGGGGCTCCGCCAAGGTACTGCGCACCAACTCGTCAATCTCGTACGGCAGCAGACCTCGCTCGGGTATGTGCCTCGTGACGGCCAGGGCGTGTCGCCAGGAGCGGTGGTACTCGACGGGCAGCGCGTTGCCCTCGAGCTCGGCCGGGTCCAGGCCGTCGTCCCCGTAGGTGAACTGCACCACACCGCCGACAGAGTTGCGCACTGAGAGATCGTAGTGTGTAGAAAGATCCTCGAGGGCCTTCATAAGACGCCGCTGCATGTAGCCCGTCTCTGCCGTCTTGACGGCCGTGTCCACGAGGCCCTCTCGTCCAGAGATGGCATGAAAGAGAAACTCAGTAGGGGTGAGACCAGAGAAGAAGCTGTTGCGGACGAAACCCTTGGAAGGTGGATCCTTGGACTTCTTGGCGAAGTGCGGCAGCGAGCGGTCCTGGAAGCCGTTGGGCACACGGGAGCCACTGATAATCTGCTGCCCGACACAGGCGACCATCTGGGCAACATTAATCTTGGAGCCCTTGGAGCCGCAGACGGCCATGATGAGGGGTGCATTGTGCTTGCTCAGCTCGAGCATGCAGATCTCGCCCACATCGCCACGGACGCCTGAGAGGACACCGGAGATCATGCTCTCGAGCGTCTGCTCCTGGTCGCACCCCGGCAGATTGTCGAGCTTGCCCCGCTTGGCCTTTTCGATGAGGTCCAGGCACTCGGTGTAGGCTGCCTCTACCTTTTGGTCTTTTGTCGCTCGGAGCCGTGCGCCAGGCATGACATCGTTGATGCCGAGGCTGAAGCCCTGGTTGGCGAGCCAGCGGGCGCACATCTTGGCCAGCCGGTTCATGGCCTGGATGGCCGCATCGGGCCCATAGTCGCGCAGCATGACGCCAAACACACTGTTCTTTTTCCCGTCGCCCACCGTGCTCTTGTCCATGACGCCGCACATGACCTCGGAGTTCTGGATGACAAGCCAGCCGTCGTTTGGGCTCATGTCCTTGATGTGACCGCCCTTTGGCTTCTCAAACGTCCGGCACTGCGCCTCAAGGTTGACGAGCACATTCGACTTGCTGTTCGGCCTGATCAGGGCGCTGAACACCTGCTTGCCCGTCCACAGCCTCTGCGGCTTCCAGACGGCGGGGGGAGGAATGTCGATGTGCAGGTTGGCGTCGGCAAAGTAGCTGCAGATCTGCGCAAATTGGCCCCGAGTAAAGAAGCGGTCCTTGCGAGAGATGAGAAAGGAGGCCGTGATAAAGTCCTGAATGGCCGCAATGATCGGCTCTCCGTTGCGCGGCGTGACGAGGTTGTGCTTGACACCCATGAGGACGGTGGCCTCTGTGCGGGCCTCTTCGGTCTGGGGCACGTGCATGTTCATCTCGTCGCCGTCAAAGTCAGCGTTGTATGGGTTGCAGGCGCACTCGTTGAGCCTGAATGTCCGCCAAGGCCTGATCTTTGCGCGGTGGGACATGATGGACAGCTTGTGCAGCGACGGCTGACGGTTGAAGAGGACAATGTCGCCGTCGCGCAGGTGGCGCTCGACGATGTCGCCCACCTTGAGGTTGGCTGCCGCCAGCTTCATGGACCCGGCGAAGCGGAGAAGTCGCTTGAAGCCCGTCTCGGAGTCAATGACAAAGTTGGCGCCCGGATGGACGTCGCAGCCGTTGAGAATGGCACGGCGCATCTCTTCGATGTTGTGGGAGAAGACGCGCTCGGGGTAGGTGAGGATCTTTGCCACGCGCTCAGGCACGGCCACCTCGTCGATGCGCAGGTTGGGGTCGGGCGAGATGACGGTGCGGCCAGAGAAGTCGACACGCTTGCCCGAGAGGTTGCCACGGAAGCGGCCCTGCTTGCCCTTGAGGCGCTGGCAGAAGCCGCGGATCGGCTTGGCACCGGGCATCGACGGCGCACCAGGCATCTCGGAATTGATGTAGAGGGCGACAGACATCTGCAGAAAGTCCCACTGCTCGACGAGCTGCGTCGTCGTGGTGCCCTTGCCGCCCTTTTGGAGGCCCGACTTGAGGAGGCTGTTTGAGAAGATGATCTCGGTCAGCTTGACCGTCAGGTCGTCCTCGTTGCTGGCTCCCTCCTGCTGAACGCTGGGCCGGATGCAGACGGGCGGGACGCAGATGTACTGCCAGATGTATTCTTCGGGCCTGCCGTGTTCTGGCCGCAATCCCAGCAGCTCGCAGTCCTGGGGCGTAGTATTACTATGGTCAGTTCCGTTCAGAGTGTCACCATCTCTGTGGACTCACCTCATCAGAAATGCGCTTGAACAAATCCAAGACCTTAAGCGGGTTCAGATCGTCCTGTGCTTTGGCGAGGTGCGTGGCCAGGTCGCCGGGCCCAGTGCCGCCAAGCTTGACTGCGCTGTCAAACGTGCGCCGAAACGCTTCCTTCTCGCTCTCCGTCTTTTTAGCCCGGAACTTTTCGTGGACGATCTTGAGGGCACCAAACTTCTTCACGACGCCGTTGGTGCAGCCGCAACGAGGGCAGTAGAGGACCTTTTTGGCAGCCGTCTGGACAGCCTTGAACGTCTGTGTCCGCTGCAGGTTCTCGAGGTTGCGCCGCCGGAAGATGCTCAGGTACTTTCGCCGCGCATGCTCGTCGAGCAGCACCGTGGCGCAGCTCTTGCAGATGACCTGGAGGATGGAGATGATGTGCTTGAGAAAGCCAATGTGGAACACGGGCAGGACGAGCTTGATGTAGCCGTAGTGGCCCACGCAGTCGGACATCTTGAGGCCGCATGTATCGCACGAGTTGAACTTGTCCGAGATGCCCTGGTTGTGTGGGATCGACGGTCAGTACAGTTGATTCTATTGGGGTAGGGGAAAGCCCATCTCTGTTTGCCACGGCTACTCACCAGTCGTCGGTCGAGAACACCGTGGCTGACGGGGTAGCGCTCGCCGCCATCCTGGCGCAGGGCGTACATGTCGCGCGTCGTGCATTCCAGCTCGCTCATGCCGACAATCTCCTGCGCCGAGAGCACGCCGAACTGGATGTGCTTGATGCGCTTCGTCGCATCTTGCGGCACCAGCTCCTTCATCGTGGGCGCCCCCTCTGAGTGTGTCGCTCTCTCTCCTCTCACTTTCTCGTTGAGCGCTGCGTGTCCTTACTGTCCCGATCGATTGAGCGAAGAAGTGGCTACCTTTTCCTCTCTTTTTTTTTGGGTTTGTTTCCCTTTTTTTTTTTTTTCCTGGACCAAAATCACATGGCAATTCTCGTGTCAGATCGCCGAGCGCGACGGGCGCAGACGCGGTGGAGAGGGCGAGAGCAACACCACCATCCGACGACGTCCTCACGACGACGTGCGAAGAGAGGATGCTGGTCGATTGAGAGATGGCTTCATCGCAGTGGATCAGAGAGGCAGACTGCTCGCCAGACGTGCGTGCGACGCAGCGTCAGGCCAGCAGCAGCAGCAAGAAGACATTCACGCCACTGCTGCTCGATGTCGACGATGGCAGGGACCTCGAGACGACGTCCAGAGGCCGAGGAGTGGACCTAGAGAGACAGAGAGCCACGACGGCCAAGCGAACGAAGCGGAGGAATGCCGTGCAGACGACGCTGCATCGTCATCTCGAGAAGCAGTCCTCGAAGCCGCTTCGCGAGAGGAGCAGCAACGTCGCCCTCGCAACGCCCAGCCCCACCAAGCCGCGCGCAGCCACTGAGCGAAAAACCTTGTCATCCGATGCACAATCCAAGAGCGGCAAACTACCTTCTCCTTGGCTGGCCAATCCCTCTCCCTCGCTGCAGAGGGCTCACCCGCCATCGGCATCTCAGCTAGACCTTCGTTTCGCGTTTGGGCCCGCGCCTCCCTCAAGTTTGCTTGCAAAGAATCGGTCTCCTCCAAAGGCTCGTAAGTCGCCAAGCAAGCCAGAGCAAGTAGCGAGCAGCAGCAGCAGCAGCAGCAGCAGCAGCAACAGTGAGAACGAGGAGATGGAGCGCGAGATAGAAGTGGACAAGGAGAACAAGAGTCCATCGTCGCGGCCGCGTGCAAAAGCGGCGACTACAAAACCACGAAAAGGGCCGGCCTCTTCCTCGTCGATGGCGTGTTTCAGCCTCGACGTCGAGGCGCTCGACAATGGCACAGACAGCAGCAGCGACGTGGAGGAGCGGGAGGAGCCACATCAAGCGGTCGCAGGTGGTGCACAGCTGCCGTCGATTCGGTCGCCTAGGTCAAAAAAGAGGATATATGCGCTCGAGACTCAGGTCTTGTCAGACGATGGAGCTACCGGAGCAGATGGGCATGGTGTCAATGATGAGAGTGCAAAGAAAAAAATGAGATCAGACGACTCGGACGACTCGAGCTCTCTGTCGTCGCCGCCACCCGCACCGCCGAAGGCCGAGGCGACCCTGCAGCGACCATCTTCAGGACGACGCGCTTCCCCGGCCAGCAGCATGACAGAGCCTGGTGGGTCGTTCAACGCCATGACTTACAGCAAAGAGATTCAGTCACCTCCGCAGTCTCGCTTGTCAACCACAACGCCGAGGAGGAGGCCCCCACCGATGTTTGAGTCTGAGCTCTGCTCCGAGGAGGAGGAGACGCTGCCCTTTTTCGATGAGACGTACCACGACGCAGAGGTGGATGACGATGTGGTCCTCATAGGCGAGCCATCGAGGCTCCAACCGCCAAGATCAGTCAAAAAGACGCCGGTGCAAGCCCAATCAAAATTACCGAAAGACAAAGAAGAGGAAGAAGAGGAGAGCGAAACGCAACTGCTACCGTGGGGCGACGAAGAAGCCTCGCCTTGCAAGCCCAGGGCGTCTCCCGGGCCAGAGAAGAGGCTCAAGAAGCACTCGAGCGCATGGAGTGACATTGAAAAGGGCTGGAGCGGTGTCGATCTGAGCGCCAAGGCCAGGGCAGCGCCTCCAAAGGGTCCGCCAGGCAGCTCACCGTCAAGCGCTGAGCAGAGCAGCCTCGACCTGTACGGCTTCACGCGCCGCCATGAGAAAAGCCAGACCGCAGCGGTGCGGACTCCATTGCGTGACGAAGCGAGTGAGCGATATGAGGTGGCAGAAGACGACGACAAGGACGATGGCGCGCCGTCGCGGCCCAGGGTGGGGAAGCAAGCCTCGCCCCAAAGACCGCCGTCTTCGTCTGCGGAGTCGACGACGCAGACTGACGCCACTCAGCCGGCATTTCCTGTCGAGGCTGACCTTGACACCCAAGCCAGACGTTGGCTGTTTCAGGACCACTTCTGATTCAGCCTTCTCCCTCCTCACACCACAATGTATTACTACCATTACTACCAGCTAAGCACTTCCATCAGCCTGTCATCCTAGCCAATATTCAATGTGTTAAACCTTTTGTAATACTGCCGCGCCCCACGTGCTTCTAATTCTCAAATGAGAAAGAAAGCCTTGTCGAGAGATTTTAAGCTCTCGCCCTTTTAGCGAAGGTCGAACGAAGGTCAAGAGACTAAGTGCGCATTGCTAGCCCGCGATACGAGAGAGGGAGAGAACGACTGCACACGACGACGACGACGAAGACGACGGCGTCGAAGCAAATAGACACACCAACCCTCCTTCCTTTGTTGCACGCTTGGCTAGTGGGTAGGCCTACCCACCTTGCACCATACTCGCCGCAAAGGCCAAGCGGCTCTCGAGGCCCCCACCACCGCGGCCGGCCCCTCCCCGTCCAGCGTCGCCGCCGCCGCCTCCTTCCTCTCCTCCCCCTCTTCCTACTGCCGCTGAGGCGAGCAGTCGAGAAGAGCAGACGAACGGTAGCCCGGCCACCGTTAAGCTTCCCAAGTCCCGTCCATCGACGCCGACACCGCAGCAGCAGCAGCAGCAGTCGCCGCCCTCGTCTGAGAAGAAGCTGCAAGTGCCTGGCTCGCCCATTGACCAGCCAGCTTCACCGCAGCACCCGCCGCCTGTCCCCGCAGCAGCCACACAGAAGACGTCATCGTCTGGCCTCGCCGCACCGCTGTCACACGTCATGGCCTCCACGCTCGTCCACCCTTCGCAGACGCCCTCGCCGGCTGGGTCCCACGCCACGGCGGCGACGTTTGGCAACCGACAGTCGCCCAATCCAAATGCAGCCGCTGGCGCCACTGCCAACCAGGGCGGCGCAGCATTCAATAATAACAACAACAACAAGCGAGGGGGCGCACAAGCGCTCAACAGGCCCGCTGCGACGGTGCCACACGTCATCGATGGGCCTGGCGGCCGGATCCTCTGCGTGGCCGACGTCCGTGGTGGGTGTCTCCCTCTTTCTCTGTTTCTTTGTAGTGGTTGCTCACGCTCCTTTTACTTCAGGAAACCTGTCCTCGCTCAACACGCTCGCGCGCGAGGCAAACGCTCAGGCCATCATCCACACGGGCGACTTTGGCTTCTACGAGACGGACAGCTTCTCGCGGATCAGCGACCGTACCCTCCGCCACCTCGTCCAGTACTCGACGCTGATCCATACGGCGCTCCGCAACAAGCTCCTCTCGGCCGATGTGCCCCCTGGCCGCGGCTCCGTCACCACGCCTGGTGCAGTGCCGCCGCCCACGACATCGTGCAAGGAGATGCGCAAGCTGATTCTCGACGATGCAGACTGCCCGCTCCTCACCCAGTTCCCTGACCTGCTCTCGGGCAAGCTCCGGCTCGAGGTGCCCGTGTACACGGTCTGGGGTGCATGCGAGGATGTGAGGATCCTCGAGAAGCTGCGCACGGCCGAGTACATTGTCCCCAACCTCAACATCCTCGACGAGGCCACCTCGCATGCCATCGATGTCGGCGGCGTCCGCCTCCGTCTCTTTGGCCTCGGCGGCGCCGTGGTGCTGCACAAGCTCTTTGACAATGGCGAGGGCGCCGCGACGATTGCCGGTGGCCAGGGCACCATGTGGACGACGATTCTCCAGATTGGCGAGCTCGTCGACACGGCACAGAAGGTGATTTGTGCTCCTGTCCCTTTCCTTTTTGTCACCATATATGCTGATTCAGAGTGGAACTGATAGTCATACGATGCCTCCGAGACGAGGATCCTGGTCACGCACGCGTCGCCTGGCCGTGAGGGGCTTTTGATGCAGCTGGCCCTGGCCCTCAAGGCCGACCTGACCATCTCGGCCGGTCTTCACTTCCGCTACGGTGTGTCCTACAACGAGTTCAGCGTCCAGCCCGACGCCGAGGCGCTCCGGCGCAAGCTCAATGCCTCCAAGGCGTCCTTTGGCGAGGTGTGGGACTCGGTCAGGTCTCAGGTCGAGGACGTCATCGACGACCAGCAGCGCGTCCTCCTCAACCATGGCCTCGCCGTCACCAACAAGGTCCCCCCTGCGGCCACGAGCAACGGCGCCGTGGCTGAGGAGCCGGCGTGGAAGAACACGTGGAACTGGAACCTGCCCGACGCCGCCTACGGCCACCTCGTCCTCGACCTCAAGGACGGCAGGATCTCGAGCGAGATGAAGAGCCAAGGGTTCAACTTTGCCTACCGTCGCAACAATGCGCCCCAGAGCGCAGTCACGGCCACACCCCTCAGTGCCGTCGCGCCCAAGACAGTTGCAGCACCATCTGTGCCTCCTCAGCAGCAGCAGTCCGCCAGGACGCCACCGAGCGGGCCAAAGAGCCTTGCGTCGAGGCCAGGCTCAGCAAGGGGACACGGCTCCAACAAGGGCTCAGGCGATGCCAGGGCCGCTGCCCCGTCCAGGTCTGCTGCTGCAAATGGCAGCAGTGGTGGCGCCGCTACGACGGCAAACTCGCAAAAGGAAAAGGAAGCCGCTAGCCAGGCGACGCCATCACAGCAGGCGACGACGACAGCAGCAGCAACAGCAACAACAGCAACAACAGCTGCTGCTGCTGACGAGGGCAAGGGGAACGGCAATGGGAATGGCAGTGGCGAGGGAGGCGCCGCGCCATCCAAGGCGCACAAGAAGAACAACAGCAAGCGGAGCAAGTCCAAGGGCAGTGCTGGCGGGTGGACGTCGGGCGAGGACGACCAGTCTGCGGGCAAGAGCAAGGAGGGCAAGAATAGAGACAAGGACAGCGAGGGTGCCAACAAGGGCGCAGACGTCGATGCTGCCGGCTGGGACACGCCGGCCGACAACAGCGGCAAGGAGAGTGGCGCAGCCGAAAAGGCCACGGGTGGTGGTAGTGGCGGCGGCGGTGGCGGCGGTGGACGAGGAGGCCGCGGTGGTGGACGCGGTGGCAGTGGCCGCGGAGCGCGAGGCGGCGGTGGCGACAGGGGAGGCAGGGGTGGGGGACGAGGAGGGCATGGCGAGCGGCGCAAGTCGCAGGACGCCAGCAGCAACAACAACAGCAGCAACAACAACAAGGCCGCAGCGCCCTCGCCAGCGCCTGCTGCTGCTACGTCCGTGACGACGTCCTGAAGCAACGCAAAAAGCATCGACTGTGGAATTCCTTCGCTCTCCCTAGACTGCTCAGCTCAGCTATACCTGCGGCCTTCCCTCACTTTCTTCTTCAACACGACCTCTCATCATTTCCTTCTTCAAAATTCACCGACGGGCGCTTCTATATGAAAGGCGTCCCTTTTCTCCTTGTCGACTTCTCTCCGCTCTTCTCCGTTTCTTCTTCCAAAAACTTGTCTGATCTTGGGCCTTTCCTTGAACCGAGCCTCTTCGTCATCTTTGTCGATCTCCCCCCCTTTTCTTTCCCCATTATGATCGCAATTCTATCGACTTTTCCTTCATGATGAAACGGGGCGCACACGAAGCGCGTTTCGGACGCCCACAACTGCTGCTGTTTACTGGTGCGTTTGTGTCATTGGGCGTGTGGGCGCCGTCGTCGGGCGCAAGAGTAGATAGCCCTTCTCGACGAGCTTCCCTTCCCTCTCCTTCGCAAAGTTGCCTATTCAGCAACCGTATCGTACAGTACATGTGCCTGCTTACATTGACGCACTTGTGTCTTCGAGCACAAGAGACTGACTGATCGCGATGCTCCAGGCACTCCTGCTGCACCTGCTCCTTGTCTCGTCGGCGTCGTCGTCGACGCGAGCCGCTGGCGAAAAGCCCGGTCCCCAGCCGTCGAAATTTTCATACAGACAACCGCCACTGCCACCACCGTCGTCGTTGCCATCATCGTCGCTGCTACTTGGGCCCCCGCAGCTTGCTTCTCCACACCACCGCCGGGCCCCTCCAGCTGCCCCAGCGCCAGTTCCAGCGCCAGCGCCAGCTCCAGCTCGCTCAGCCGCTCGCATGCCGCAGTTCCCCAGCACACACCGGGGTCCAGCAGCTGCGCAGAAGCCACATGCCGGCCATCTCGACGCATTCGACAGCGCCGGGTCTGCCTCGCCGCTGGGCTTCTTCCGCTCCGACCTTGTCGACGACCTCGACAGCGATGAGCCCGACTCCCCTGCGCATGATCCTAGCGTAACGAGCGGCAATGACAACGACAACAGCAACAAAAAGGACGACAATGTCGACAGCAACGGAGACGGAGACGACGACGACAAGGCAGACAACGTCGTCGCGCCGCCCGCCTCCGTCCTGACGTCGTCCTCTGGCGCAGGAAATCCAACAAGTGAATCCGAAGCCCTGCTCGCAGCGATGTACCCCTGTGGCGATGCGGAGCTGGCGATGCTGCGAGGCTACCGACAGCGCCGGCGCGTCTGGCGGCCCGGCCCAGGCACAGGCTCAGGACCAGGCACAGGACCAGGGCGAGGCAAGCACGCAAAGCACTCGCGGCAGGTCGTCGTGATAGTGCCGAACCCCGTCAAGGTCAGCTCGATCAAGGGCGTGGGCTGAGAGAGAGAGACTGCAGCAAGACCACCCAATGTATGACGTAGAGAGAGAAACAAAAGTAGGTATCCTTGGAGAGCGAGAGTAATCAACATACAGCAGAGCTTCTTCCATGACGGCACACGAGAGGAGTGGTGATGGGGTGGTGGTGGCTGAAACATCAGATCTCGGCCCAGCCGGTGCTTTGACCCTGCCGCTCTCCGCTGACGAGGGTGAGGGCAAAGACGAGGGCATTGGCGCCGACGGCAAAGCCAAAGCCCCTGTAGAGCGAGTAGAGGCCGCCGAGGCTGCTGTGGCCGTGCTTGGCGAGGATGCCGCTCTTTGCGAGGTCGTCATCGTCGTCTTCGTCGGCGTCGTTATTGCTCCGAGACGCTCGCTGCTGCTCTCTCCGTCGGCGGGCAGCAGGATCGCGGGGCACGGGCGTCGTCGACGTCTCCTCGGTCAGGATGCGGTAGATGGCCTCGGTGACGCCAATGTAGGGCCGTGGCCGTGTCTCGACGCACGTGCGCAGCGGCCGCGAGAGCGCAGGGAGGGGCGCAGCACCCGTGGCCGAGGCGAGGGCCGTCGCCGCCGAAGAGCCGTTCTTGACCTTGGGCACCGACGACGACGAGGAGCGCGTGTGGGGCACCGCCGGCCTGGAGCCGTGGATCTTGTCGGGCTTCATGCCCCAGGGCGCGCGGGCCTGGATCTGGAGCCGGCGCCTGACCGTCTCGATGGGCAGAGTAAAGACAAGGGCGAGGGTGCTGAGGACAAAGTCGGCGAGCGCATATGCGACGGGGCTCGTGTTGGGGTCGATGCGCAGCTTGTGCTCGATAAGGATGGGCGCGCTGAGCGACAGGAGCGGACGCAGGGTAAAGTCGAGCACGGTGGGGATGAGTAAGTTGGGATGCAAGTAGATGGTGCGCCAGCCGCCCTCCTCGTGGAGGATCTGGCGCAGCGCATCCCACGGGCTCCGGTACTTGCGATGGGGCGGCAGCGTCGACTGGACCACGAGGCGGGTCCGGACGAGGTCCAGGGGCGAGACGAGGATGCCCGTGACGAGGTGGGAGACGACGAGGAGGGACAGGGACCGGTACGGGTGGGGTGCATAGGGCAGCGGCAGCGGCGTCAGGGCCGAGGGCGAGAAGACAGAGAGGACGGTCGTGACGATGGGCTGGAGCGTCGATGTGGCCATCTCGAGAACGAACGTGGTCAGCGAGCCTAGGGGGATTCCAACCATACGAATTAGCCCAACATTTCAGAGATCTGACCGCCCTGTATGCGCATCACTCACCCTTCCACAGACCGAGCCAGCCCTCCTTGCCCCTACCCACGGCCTTGATCATCTCCCACACGCCACCACGGACGACGACGGGCATGACAAACTCGGGCCTGGTGCCGTCCTCGTGGATGCTTCTCCGCACGACGTAGCCCGCAGCGTCGGTCCGCTTCCTCCGTGCGCCCGTCGAGCGCCTGGCCGACGTCTGCACCGAGGGCCGGCGCATGGGCGTGTTGCTCAGGTCGCGAAAGTAGGCCTCGGCCTCCTCCTCGTCCGACAGCTCGTCGTCCTCGCCGCCAAAGTCCCGCGCCCGACCATGCTCCTCGTCCCGCTCCTCCCGCCACTCCTCCGCTTCGGGCGGCACATCATCATCGTCGTCGTCATCGTAGCCGCCGTCCTCGTCTTCCTCTTCGTCCCCCTCGCCATACTGTCCCCGCCCCCGCCGCCGGCGCAGCGGCTGCATCTCGTCCTCGCGCGCCATGCCAGCCACAGCACCGGCGCCCGCACCCGAGGATTCGCCAAAGGCGACCCAGACATCGTCGCGCGGGACCCACTGGACCTGGAGGAGGAGCTTGCCGACCTCAAATGGCATGGCGAGACACGTCGACGAGTACTGCAGCGCGCCGCTCACGAGCAGCGCCCGCGCGACATCCTTGACGCCGCCCGTGCCTGCGCCCGCGGCTGCAGCGAGGTCATCGTCAGGCCGTATGTACCGGTTCGACGCAGATGACGAGGGCGCCGACGCCTTCGCTGCTGCTGCTGATGATGATGACCGAAACGAGGAGCCGGCCGGGGTGGACGACGAGGCAGACGAAGACGAGGCCGAGAAGCGCGGCGCCGTCGCCACAAACGCCTCGTCCTCCGACGGCCGGTAGTACGGACGGAGCGGGTGCGGGGCTTGCTGCTGTGGTGAGGCCATTGTCGACACCCGGAGAGCTTGGGGACAAGCAAGCGAGAGAGAGAGAGAGAGAGAGAGAGATAGGGTGGGCAGTCAGTCACTAGAGCGGGTTGCTTTCCGAGAGATGTCTCTCCAAAATCCATGAGGCCACGTGGTCTAGTTAGGAATTGGGCGCACGGGACGCCATCCTCACAATTTTTTTCCCCTGGGGAATAAAGTAGGCCTTGCGCCCACAAGAGACAGGGAAAAAGCTGATAGTAATACAATCGTGACAATGGTAGACAGCACAGAGAGACAATGTCAGGCATAGCCAGGGCTAGAGAAGAGATCAGCCAGCGAGTCGAGGCCAAAGCCAGCGTCGGGGCCTGCACCGCCGCTGGAGCCGAGCCCAGGCCCAAAGTCCATGCGCCCGGCGCTCATGGAATCTGGCGTGTTGCCCAATGGCTGCTGCGGAGGGCCCATGAGGAGGCTGCCGGCATCAAAGCCGCCTCCCAAGGCCCCGCCTGCGCCGAAAATAGCGCTGCTACTGCTGCCACTGCCGCCGCTGTTCTGTGACACAACGCCACCACCACTACTGCTGAGCTGAGAGGGAGCAGAGCCCAGACTCTCAAAGTACGGCTGGAAAAAGTACTCGCTCATGTCCAGAGCAGCTGCCGACGATGAGGAAGAGGAGGAGGAGTACTGCTGCTGCTGTAGCTGCTGCGGGTGCTGCGACTGGGCCAGGTCGAGCAGCATCTGCTCTTCTGCGTACGCCTGTGCCTGTGGACGCTCGTGGGCGTGCTGCGGCGTCGTTGCTGTCGCCCACGGGCGGGGTGACACCTGCTCGCGGGCTGTGCTGGTGTTCTGTGATGGCCTCCACGAGCTCGACGAGGAGGTGGTCGAGGCCGACGCGGCGGCCACCGTCGACGCGCTCCTGGTCGGTCGCGAGGCGGCGGCCGTATCGCCATTGCCCATCGCATACAGCCGTCGGTCGGGGCACTTTGGATGCTCGGGCAAAGGAGCTGCATCGATGTCGTGGGCGAAGAAGTGCTCCCTCTCCTCCCGGTCGGTGAGGACGCCTCGGAGGGTGGCCGTGGCCGAGGAGGCCGTCGAGTGCGGGCTCGTCGACTCGGACGCAGCTCGGCCGTTGCTGGGGAAGTAGGGCGGCGGTCTCGAAAACGACGACGTGGACGACGACGACGGCGCACCTACTCGCTGCGACAGGAGGCGCAGTACGCTTGTCGAGGCCTTTTCAAAGGCATCGCGTAGCCGCCTGGCCGTGGACACTTCTTCGTACGCCGTGAGGCTCTCGAGGACGACGGTGCAGTCCTGCACTTGGAGCACGACGTCGATGAGCGGCAGAGGCATCTCGTCGCCGCCACCGTGCTGGCTGAGGGCCTGGAGTGAGTGGAGAAAGGTGAGGCCCGAGAGAAAGAGGTTGCGGATGGCCATGCCGACAAAGTTGATGGCGAGCTCGCGCTGGAGCCGGCGGTAGATCTTGAGGACCTCACCCGAGGACTGTAGGGCGCGGCGGAGGCAGTCCATGCTCGGGTTTGGCCGACGTGGACTGGGTCGCAGCAGGGTGGTGGTGAGGAGGTGGTACTGCAGGTCGACCCAGTTCTTTGTGACAAAGGGCGAGGGCACGGTGAAGCTCTCGTGCCAGCGCTGCAGCTCGCCCTGCATCTTCCACGTCCACGCCTCGAGCTCCTGTTCTCCATCTTCTTCTTCTTCGTTGTTGTCGCCGCCTTGTCCCACACCGGCGCTGGTGGGCGTGTAGAGCCGGCCGTGAATCTCGGCCTGGAGCCTGCGGGCGTGGATGTGGAGATGGTGAGCGAGCTTGAGGTGGCAGACGGGGCCCCTCTGAATGCCCTGCGAAGTGATGCATTTATCCTCGACGACGGCAGGCAGACCGACAGAGATCCAGTCCTCAGCCAGGGTCAAGGGCCGGCCATAGACGCAGGCGAGCATGCGTTCGATGCTGTACGTGGTCCAGAAGAGCCGCTTGGACATGTCGGCCAGCAGCGGGTTGGCGACCCTCGGCTCGGCATAGAGGCCCAGCTCGGTGACGAGGCGCATGGCCTCACCGGAGAGGCGCCAGAGGTCTGTGTTCATTTCATCAGGTTAGTATCAGCATGTATTGTACGGCTTCGGCAGAAGAGAGAAGGTACGCACCCTTGCTGTTGGGGACGAGGAGATGGTACTGGACTTGGAGGAGGACGTTCTGCAGTTTGCGCCAGCCGGACCGGGGCGTGTGCGAGGCGTGAGCGACGGCGGCATAGTAGAACTGACGGGCCAGCTGGCTCGTCTCCGACGTCAGGTACTGGGCCCGGCCGAGGGAGGCGAGTGCGACGGCAAAGACCATCAGCAGCTGGTAGCGGTCCATAGGCGAGGCGAGGCTGCTGTTGGTGCAGTAGTCATCGACCTGGATGGCAAACGCCTGCTCGTGGAGGCACGGCAGCGGGCAGTTCATGTAGGTGAAGTAGCGGCGCACGATGGCGTCTACGACTTTCCGCTCGTATCGGGCCGGCTCGAAGCGGTCCTTGACCGAGAGCCGGCGCACCTGGCGTGAGACGGTGGCCCGCAGCGCGGAGAGGGCTGCCAGCTCGCGGTCGAGCCAGGATCGACGGGTGTCGCCGTTGGGCAGTGGCATGGCTGATGTTCCTTGGCGCTGCTGCTGGACCGAAGACGGGGATGGCCCGGCAGCTGTGCCTCTGGTTGGGGGATGGGGACCGTTGTCAGGCTGCTCTTGTGCGACGGTCGCATGACGTCGCTGCTGATCCTGCTGCTGCTGCTGCTGGTCATGCTGCTGCTTTTGACGGTGCTGGTGATCCTGGTGGTTCGTTCCGTCGCCATCCTCGCCTGACTCCCCGCCATTGGGCCCGGGCGAGGACCGGCTCGTGTCCGTTTCGGCATCCTGGAGCGCGGCCTGGACGAGCCGGGAGAGCGGGTCGTGCTGCGGCGGGCGGTAGAAATCATTCTCGACTACGCTCCTCCGCCGGCTCTGAATCCCGTCGCTCTCTACGTCATGCTCGTTGTCATTGCCGTTTTTGTCGTCGTCGTCGTCATTCTCGTCGTCGTCACCTTCGTCATCGTCGTGCCTTGGCCTCTTTCGCGCATGGCTTCCATTGCTGTGCCTGGCGCTCCTACCTGCGCCACCCTCAGAATGCGACATCGCCGCGCGCGGCCTCGCACCCCGATTCGAGTCGCCCCTCGCCGGCGTAGTCGGGATCGCGACTGCACCCGCCATTGACACCGACGACGCTGCGCCGTACTCAGGCCGAGCACTGGCAGACGTGCCCGTGGAAGCAGACGAGGCGCTCACGTCGGGCGCCGGCGCCGGCGAGGTGCTGCATGTCGCAGCAGCAGGCCCAGACGGCGCCTCGGTCGCGCTCGCCTCGAGCTCCTTGATCCGCTGCTCGAGGGCCCAGATGTAGCTGGGAGGAGATGGACTTAGCTTTCGTGAAAGAGTCGCAGTGAGAGAAATGTACGGCACCCACCTCCGCGACACGGGCCGGCCCGCGGCGTGGTCCTCGCCGTGGCACTCGACGCCTGCCTTTTGGCACGGCGTGCATGCCGGCAGCTGGGCGTCGCACTGTAGGACGAACCAAAAAGTTTGATATTGTGCGTCAGCCTTCCGATGCCATTGCGACACCCTCCATCGGCATTTCCCCGGGGTGGGTGTGTTACTACTGCATGGGGGCAGGCAGAGGCAAAGACGCACCTTTGTCTTGCGCAGTCGACAGCGGTTGCATGCGGGAATCTTGGCCGCAGCAACGGCCGCCATGTTGCTCTTCCTCCTTGTCGTTGCTGGCCTCGTCGTCGTCGTCGTCGTCGTCGAGGGGGAGCGAGGAGGAAGGGGAGTCATGATACGCGAGTCCGTGTCAGGCGACTGGGCCTTTCTTTCGGGCATGTCCGTCGGCGCGCGCGATAAGTTATCTCTCTCCCCACACCAAAAGTCGGCCCTAATTTCCAATCCAATCCAATCCAATCCAAAAGTAGGAAGAATGATTTGCAGAGAGCTCGCAAATAGCAAAGACGTTAGATGCTTGACTTGCACAGCTGGTCCCCGTCTTCTCTTCTCGCCTGACTGTGTGGCCACTCGGACTCGATGAGACTTGGAGTCGGGATTCAGTGACTCACTCGCAAAGTCATATCTATGAAGTTAGAGGCAAGCAGGGAAGGTCTAACTAGCATGTATTGCAGAGGAAGTGCAATAAGCTCGAATTGCAGAGTGTATCGGACATCAACCAGTCACGGGCCACACGGCCTTCTCGCCATAGTTCCAATGCACCGCCTTTGTCTGGACATAGGCGGCAAGGCCCTCGATGCCCAGCTCGCGGCCGTAGCCCGACTGGCGGAAACCGCCAAAGGGCACGGCGTTGCTCAGGGCGAGGTACATGTTGCACCACACCGTGCCGGCCTTGAGCTTGTGCACCATGCGCATGCACCGGCTCGCATTCTCGGAGAAGATGCCGGCGCCCAGGCCGTACGTCGTGTCGTTGGCTCGCTGCACCGCGTCGTCCTCGTCGTCAAAGGCCATGACGCACAGGACAGGCCCGAAGATCTCCTCGTCGTAGATGCGCATGCCCTTGCGGCAGCCAGTAAAGATCGTCGGGCGCACAAAGTAGCCGCCGTTGTACTCGTGCCCCGCGGCAAACTGGACCGTGTCGCCGCCCGTGGCGACGGTGGCGCCCTGCTCCTTGCCCGACTGGATCAATCCCAGGATCTTTTTGTACTGCATCTCCGACACCTGGGGCCCCTGCGTCGTCTTGTCGTCAAAGGGGTCGCCGATCTGATGGGCCTCAAAGTTGCGGACAAGGCGCGCGACAAAGTCGTCGTGGATGCTCTTTTGCACCAGCAGCCGCGACGACGCCGCGCAGTCCTGGCCCATGTTGAAGAGGATGCCGTTGGTGACCCAGTGCGCGGCCTGCTCCAGATCCGCGTCCTCAAACACGACGGCGGGCGACTTGCCGCCGAGCTCGAGCGTGGTGCGCTTGAGGTTGCTCGTCGCCGCCGCCACGGCCACCTTTTTGCCCGTGACGGTGGACCCGGTAAAGGCGACCTTGTCGATGCCCTCGTGCTCGGCAATGGCCTGGCCCACGATCGGTCCCAGCCCATTGACGATGTTGATGACGCCCGGCGGGAAGCCGGCCTCGACCGAGAGCTCGGCGAGGCGGAGCGCACTGAGCGGTGTCTGCTCCGCCGGCTTGAGCACGATGGTGTTGCCCGCCGCAAGGGCAGGTGCCACCTTCCAGGCGAACATTTGGATCGGGTAGTTCCACGGGATGATCTGCCCCACGACACCGATGGCCTCGGACCGGGTGAATGCGCTATCCGAATGTCGTCTGTCAGGCCCCGCTCTGGAAGGAAGAAGAGAGGGGACACCACACTCACAGCTTCTGCCCTTCCGTCTGCTCAATCGTCTTCCCCTCTACCTTGTCAGCAAGCCCGGCATAGTAGCGCAGGCAGCCGGCACTGTCCATGATGTCGACGTCGCGCGCCATCCACACGGGCTTGCCGTTGTCCAGGCTCTCGAGCTCGCCCAGCTCGTCTGCATGCGCCTCGATCAGGTCTGCCCACTTGTTCAGCGCCCTGCACCGCACATCGGGCGTGCTGTTGGGCCCCCACACGGTATCGAAAGCCGTGCGGGCCGCCTCGACGGCGCGGTCGACATCCGCGCGTGTGCCGGCACTGACGTCGCCCAGCGGCTTACCCGTCGCCGGGTTGATGGACGTGAGCGTCGTGCCATCGCTCGACTTGCTGAACTTGCCGTCGATAAAGAGACCCGTGGGAAAGGCCACTGTCCTGCCCCGGGGCGTCTTGAGCGAGAGCTTATCAGTCATGGTTGTTCGTCTTGCCCTCTTTTCCTTCTCGCCCGGGTGTGGCTTTATAGGAAGAAACGAACGCTCTCGCTCTGCGGCCGATAAGAAGGATGCAGATGGGAGACGCGCGTTTGAATTCGCTAGGCTAGTCCCACAAGATTGCGCGCATGGGCCACCGCCTCTGTACAGCGGGCAAAATCCGATTGGTCGCGCTTCGGCGCTGCCCCGATGGCGCCCCCGCCCACCGTGAGACCAACGCTTTTTAAAAGAGCGAGGCGGGCAGGTGGCTCGGTATCTTCACAGCTCTCTGCAGTTCACCACCACCACCACCAATACAAACAGCAATGCCGTCCACCACATCGCAAAAGACCCTGGGAGGCATCATTGCCGCCGTGCCCACGCCCTTTACCGCTGATGGAAGCCAGGTCGACGTCGACAACATCCATGCCCAGGTTGAGCGACTCGTCAAGGCCGGCATCCACGGCGTCGTCACCACGGGTACGACGGGCGAGTTCCCTGCGCTGACACCCGACGAGCACAAGCTCGTCGTCAAGACCTATGTCGAGGCCGCACAGGGCCGTATTCCCGTCGTTGCCGGTGTCGGTGCCAACTCGACCCGGGCAGCCATTGACTTTGTTCAGCACGCTCAATCGGTGGGCGCCGCCGCCGTCATGGTCGTCCCTCCATTCTACGACCCACTGGACTTTGACAGCCTCGTGGCCTTCTACAAGGACGTCACCGCGTCCATCGACATCCCGCTTATGTACTACAACCTGCCCCACGCCACCGGTGTCCACCTCAAGGCCGACGAGATCCGCACGCTGGGCAGCATCAAGGGTCTCGACTACCTCAAGGACACGTCGGGCAACGCAAAGGAACAAGTCGACCTGCTCACCAACCCACCCGCCGATGTGACCGTCTTCAACGGCTGGGACACCCTCACCTTTTCCTCGATGGCCCTGGGCGCAAAGGGCGGCGTCTGGGGCGTCGCCTCCATCGTGCCCGAAGAGGCAGCCGAGTTCTGGGAGACGTTTGCCGTCAAGGGCGATCTCGTCAAGGCGCGCGAGCAGTGGAAGTTCCTCTGGGCCGTCAGCAGCTTCCTCGAGTCGGTCAACTACGCCGCGGGTATCAAGGCCGGCCTCGACATCGTCGGTTTCCCCGCTGGCCCGACGCGGGCCCCCACCCAAGGCCTCGGCAGTAAGGACATCGAGCGGTTCCGCCAGATTCTCGCACAGCGCAAGCACAAGTAGCGTGGTTGCTATCAGCTGCCTCTTCATACACACTTTCTTATATCTCTTCTTGTCATTCTTTCTCTCAATTCAATCGTGCTCTCCTTCATCATCGTCATGCTCGAGCTGACCAGCTAAGGCTTTGAGCTGAGTGTGATCCATGCTGCCTTGCGCTCCACATCTCGCCCGCGCTGGCATCTAGGTGACTTAGTCCTGCTGGACCAGATTGCGCAGCTCAGCACCTTCTCTTATCATTGCCAGCAAAACAAGTACTCTGCCGTTCGACAACGAGAGCCGCAGTCAGAAACCGATGCCCCGCTCTCCTACTCGTCCGAATAGGAAAATAGTAGAGCAGGATAAGAAATGCAAGACCGGGACCCGAGTCGATAAGGCCCTCTGAGCTTAAATTACTGCCTCAGCGCGCGGTCCATCGGCGAAGCTCCGAAAGGGTTGGTAAAAGTCCGCCAGATTTGCAGTCGAGGGTCGCCAGGGGATGCAGGCTCAGTAAAGGTAAAATGTAATCGATGCAGTGTCGGTGCGGGTGCGAAGCTCTATGCGATCTAGCCCAGGGCAACTCGCTCCAATCTGCTACATCAGCACCCATATTAGCACGACACCGAGCGTGGGGGAAGGCGAATTGCACCTAGCTGTATCGGCTTGAAAAGACAAGTCGCACCTACCGTCACCTTTCTTGCCATTTTCTTCCCTACCGCCCTTCCCTTCTCTCTCTCTCCGCCACAATTTCTTCTTCTGGAGATAACACCAGCCTGAGGGGAACACGGTTGCAAACATGAACAGAGGCAGCGTGCTGGACGAAAAGGTGCACTGCATCGCCGACCTCGAGGCGGCGGCGACACTGACGCTGCCGCCTATGGTGCGCGACTTTTACGCAGGCGGATCGATGGACCTCAAGACGCTGGGCGAGAACAAGTCGTCGTTTGACCGGTACCGTCTGCGCCCACGTTTCTTGCGCGACGTGACGAGCGTGGATCCCTCGACGACGTGCCTGGGCTCCAGAACGAGCTTCCCGCTGGGGCTGAGCCCGGCGGCCAACCACTGCCTGGCGCACCCCGATGGAGAGAGGGCCTCGTCGGCAGCAGCAAGCAAGCGGGGCATCAACATGGCCCTGTCCATGTGGTCCAACTGCAGCCTTGAGGACGTCATTGCCCAGTCCGATGCCCAGGGTCGCGCGACGTCGTACGCGCAGAACCTGACAATCGTCAAGGACCGCTCCATCAACCTGGCCATCATGCGCCGTGCCGAGCGGGCCGGTTACAAGGCCCTGTTCATCTCCGTCGACTGCCCCTGGCTCGGACGGCGGCTCAACGAGTTCCGCAACACCTTCAGCCTGCCCGAGCATCTCGGCTTCCCAAACGTGCCCGGAATCGACCCGCACAACATGGTCACGGCCGACGAGCGCGTAGCCTACGATGCCAGCCTGTTGTGGGAGCACGTTGCGTGGCTCAAGAGCCAGACCAAGCTCCAGATCTGGCTCAAGGGCATCCTCACGGCCGAGGACGCATCCAATGCCGTGGCGGCAGGCGCGGACGGCATCATCGTCAGCAACCACGGCGGCCGGCAGCTCGACGGCGTCCTCGCGACCATCGATGCCCTGCCCGAGATTGTCGAGGCAGTCCGCGGGCGCATTCCCGTCCACATGGACGGCGGCATCCGGCGCGGCAGCGACATCTTCAAAGCGCTTGCCCTGGGCGCAGACTACTGCTGGGTCGGCCGCGTGCCTCTCTGGGGCCTGGCATACAATGGACAGGACGGCGTCAGCCTCGCGCTCAACATTCTCTACGACGAGTTCCGGCTCGTCATGGCCCTTATGGGTTGCAGAAGCGTCGAGGAAATCTCACAGGAACACCTTGCCCTCCTCCACGGGGACGGCCGTTTCCACCGCATCGCGACGTACCCCTGGAAGAAGTGGTCGCAGGGCATCGGTGCCGACAAGCCTTCCTCGAACTCACGCCCCTCCTCTTCCTCTTCATCTTCTTCTTCTTCTTCGCTTACATCGCCGAACAGCAACGCCACCCACGTCATGCCCGCAGCACCCGCGACGCTTCGCAGCAACCCCACGTCCGTTGACGATGGCATGGTCGCAAAGTCGAGACTCTAGCTGCTCTCTCTTCCTGTCTTTTCTTTTGCTCGCATTCACTCCTACTACCTCACTCAAGGCTCCCTCTCACGACATGAATCTGAACATTGTGCGCATCTTATGACGTTGTCGAACCGAAGAATGAGTTGCGAATTACCAGTTTTGGCCTCGCCACGGCGACTTTCCTCGTTTACGGCAGTCCATTCTGGATCGTTGACACTCTAATTGAGGATTGCATTAATGAGGAGACAAGGTGACGGTGATGACATTGCGATTGAATAGGGCAAATGCGTTGACGGAAGCGATGGACCGGGCAAATCAAGAAATCGTATCTTCCTTTTACAGTGGGAGAAGCTACCTCGTCAGGGCCGTGCGTGTCTGCAGCCGCATCTGGATCCTCGCCACCATACCCTCGAGACCCAGATCGGCGTCGGTGCCCTTTCCTCCGCTCATGGGCTTGCGCTCGGGCAGGTGAATGTCCTCGTAGAAGCAGGCCTTTTTCACGTGGCCCATCCGCCATGTCTTGAGCATCCGCAGCGTATCATTTATGCTCTTCGTGGCAAGCGGGAAGCCCTCTGCTACAGCTCGTTGCCGAATGTTGGCGGTGCGGAGCGTGTCGACGAAGTCGCGCTGGCCCTTTGTCAGGTGCGTTGGCGGCGACGTCGGCGGGATGCCGAGCAGCGCGTCCATCACCCGCACCATGACGGCCTGATCCCCGCTCACGCCCTCGAAGCCATCCCAGCTCCAGCCGTGGAAGCCCTGGGCATATCGGGACCAGACAGCCTTGGACACGGTAGGCTCTTTGAGATACTTGTAGAAATAGGCAAATGCCTGCCGGATCGCTTCGTTGCCCTCCTCCAGTGCTGTGCTGTCCTTGCCCCGTCCGATGACATCGTCGGCTAGCTGGACCACGCTCCGATAAAAGGGCTCGGCGATGCGCTCCATCTCGTGGAAAAGCTTGGCGTTCCACAGCTCGGCCGCGATGATGTCTGGGGTGAAGTTCTTCGTCATGCTATAGTAGATTACGTCACGCTCCCGGTCGTAGTTGCACAAGGAGAGAGTCGTAATGGTGCCACCAGTAGATCGAATGCCTAGCCGGCCGTTGAGGTACATTTGTGCGGCGAGAATCATGTTGGGCAGGTGGTTCCTCTTCTCCTCCTGGGCGGCTGTCAGTGTGGGCACAGAGCCCCATCTGACAACAATGACAATTTTGACAGGTCAGCGCAACGTTTAATCTTGAAAACAGAGCAGAAACGCACCGGTACATGTGCGCTAGGGTGGACATGCAGGCCGCCATACCGAGAATCTGATGCTGGTTGAGAGAGCGGAGCGCGGTCAAGACCTCGTCGGTGGGCTGCAACCTCTCGACGAGCCAGGCCCGATTGGCCTTGATATCGTCGTGCTTCATGCTGGCATAGTCAGGCCGGCTGAAGACATTTGGCGCCTCGAGCGCCAGCTCATGGAGCTTGTCTAGCGGACTAGGAAACTGGCGCGAGGGCGATGGAGGCCAGGTGCCCCCCGACTCGTCGACAAGCTGCGTCCAGGCCTCGTCGAGCATTTCTTCTCTTCTCTCTATCGCACAATGTTCCAGTTATGTTCGTTGTGGTGGGAATGAAAGGCTCAGAGAGCGAGCGAGTGTCGAGTGCAAAGAAGTCGGACCGACAAGTGGGCGGTGGAGAAGAAGAGATTGGAGGTATGGTAGGTGTAGTGCACACAGACTTTAGCCTCTCGTCGGCACTCCGATGGAGATGGACCCCTCCTTCTCCTCTGCCCACAATCTAGCTTACTACACAAGATCGACCGACAAGGCCGTGCGTGCCCTTGTGTATTGCAGAATATCCTATCTAATCGCTTCTCGTGCATTCCCCTTCCCACCCCCACACTCTGATAGGTCTCGGGCCGTTGCCGATCTGCAAGCCTGAGATGCAGGAGCTGCATTTCTTTCTTCCTCAGAGTGCCCCCAGAAAGTAAACTAGGTCACGTGTCATCACCCCCAGATTGCCCGTCGGCTTGGTGCCACCCCAGCTACTACTCGGGCGCGGACCGATGACGGAGGCTCGCCGTCGTTGTTGGCGGACAAGGAAGGCTGCAGCTCCATTATCGAGGTGTTCTATTTGCGCGATGCCTTTACCGTTACACCTTTCAGCTTTGGACGTGACCTGTGGCAGCATAGAGCTGTAGTTCCTTGCGAATCGAGGCAGAGATACGTCGAAGGCCGTACCTTGACGCTTTGCGGGGTAGATAGCTTATCTGCTGCCCTACCATTCACGACCTCTCCATTGCCCATCGCATGCTTGCCGTTGGGCCATAAAAGTGCCGCCAATTCTCGCTTGCCAAGGGACGACTCTCCACCCAATTCCCCTCCCCTCTTCGCTTCTCTGCCGCCTGCAAGCAAGACGGCAAGCAACCGAAAGCAATTAGACACTCATCACTTATCGAGATCAGCCATGTCGCCAGCCTCGGACCTGCAACAAGACCGTGAGCGCTTCGAAAAGGAAAAGGACCTCAGCAGCAAGTCGGAAGTCGACGTGCCCGAAGTCGCGATGCAAAAGGACCTCGCCGTACAGACCGACGAAGAAGCCAATGTTCCCGCTGGTGGCGAAGACGTCTTCAAAGTCGGCGGGGAAGGAGCTGATTTCAGAGGTGTCTCGATGTGCGTGGTCCATATCCTCCCTGTGTTGCCGCCATTCCTACTCACTCCTTCTTGTGACTTTCCTTTTGTGCAGGTTTGGCGCCGCCATACTCGTCGTAAAGACGTCCTTCGGTCTTGGTGTGCTTGGCATCCCGACGACATTCGCAGCTCTCGGCTTCTTCCCCGGCCTGCTGTGTCTCGTCATCTTAAGCATCGTATCGACTCTTGCTGGTTGGTACATCGGTCGCTTCCGTTTGCATCATCCGTCGGTGCATTCCATCGGCGACGTCGGTTTCCTTCTCTTTGGAGAGGCCGGGAGAGAGTTCCTCGGCGTCTCGCTTTGGCTCTTTTATACCCTCAGCTACGGCTCGGGCGCTTTGGCAACATCAATTGCCTTTAATTCGATCACCGACCACGCCACATGCACCATGGTCTGGGTCGTCGTCGCTGCCATCATCGCCTTTGTCATTGGAAGCATGCTGCGGACTCTCAAGTCGCTCGTCTGGCTCGGATCTGCCGCGATCGTCTCTGTCTTTCTTGCCGTGTGGATCGCTGCCATTGCCAGTCTGGTGCTCAAGCGACCGGCCGCAGCGCCCGCCTACCCGGCACCCGTCGAACTGAACAACGGTCCATTCGCAAGCAGCACGAGCTTTGCTGCCGTCATGGCCGCCATCAGCACCCAGCTCTTCTCTCTCTGCGGCACCGCTTCTTTCTTCCAGATCCACTCCGAGATGAGGGACCACCGTCAGTGGACGAAATCGCTCTGCCTGGGACAGGGCTTCGTCTGCTTGAACTACATCGCCACCAGCGTCATCATCTACGCCAAAGTCGGTCAATACGTGCCCTCGCCACTGCTGGGCGTCGGCGGTGAGGTCGTCAAGAAGGTCGCCTACGGCATTGCCCTGCCGGCTCTTCTCTATACATGCATCTTCCAAGCCCACATTGCCGCCAAGTACGCCTTTGTGCGCATCCTCCGCAACACCCGCCACCTCCAGTCCAGCACAAAGATCCACTGGCTCACCTGGGTCGGCTCCATGACGGCTGTGTGCATCTTCGGCTTCATCGTCGCCTGCGCCGTGCCCTTCTTTGGCGGCCTGCTCGGCCTCATTGGCGCGCTGCTCGGCACCACGTTCATGATCACCGTGCCCGCCCTGATGTACCTCTACGATGCTGCATTCCTGGCCAAGGGCAGCGAGCACGGTTTGCGATACAAGGTTCACACCTGGCTTCGCCATGGTCTCTCTAGCAGGCCCCTCTATGGCCTCATTGCCATCTTCTTCGTCGTCGCTGGCCTCTTTATCACCGTGGCCTCGACCTACGGCTCCATTGACGGCATCGTCGAGTCGTTTGAGACAGGGTCCAACGGCGCCGCCTTCAGCTGCGTCAACAACGCGGGCAGCTGATCGGCCGCTGCTCTTTCCTCTCCGTCTCAAGCTTTGTGTTCTGTTTGTCTCATTTTACTGTACCATACCACGCCAATTACCCCCTTTCACTTTCAGGTTGTCTGCTTTTCCTAGCGGGTAATTTTCCCTTTCGGGGTACCCACGGGCCCAGCCTGTCAATTGCGGTAGAATGCACTGTACTACTGCTCCCTTCACGAGTCAATCGTAAAGGAAAAGATCGAGTCATGGGACCGCATTACTGCTGGCATTCGCCACAAGCGTGGGAAGGGCAGAGGGCAATTCACGGAGAAGCAAGGTGATGAGCGCCCTGTCGACTCAGCATGACGGAGGAACATGCTCACTTCCCCATCCCTTCATCCCCCGATCTCCCCGCTACGGAGCATCTCGCCACGCACCCCGGGACCTGCCGATAGTAGTCACTTTATCGGATTCTTCTATCTGGTTCCAATTCTTTCTTACCCAGCGCGCGGAGCAGCACCCTTTTTCCCTTTTCTTTTTTTTTCGCGCTTTTTGTTTGCGCTCTTTTGGATTCTGGATTTTTTTTTTTTCTTTTCGCCTCAGCTAAAAGAAGAAAGACGCCACGGGGGAGAGGGACCGACACAATCTTGCGATTGACCAACCCAGCACACGCTCATCACTGCGACAAGGCTCCGCCCTCACCGCCCATTTTACACGATCAGACCAGACAAGGGCGCGGCAAGGCGAGTGCGCGGATACGCAGACCCCCGCATATACGGCCGAGATCCCGCTGCGACGACGACGACGGCAGCAGCAGCAGCAGCAACGACGACAGCGACGACAAGGCAGACCAGCTAAAGAAGACCAATCCATTGAGGTGGTCCGATGCAACTTGGCTGGCCTAAAGGAGCCCATCAGCTCCTCCTCGATTCCTTTTCGCCCTCATCTGCTTCGAGGTGAAGACGAGGCAAGAACAAGACAACAAGACACGAGAAAAGAAACAAGGCGATTGAAGAGGGTCTGATCGGAAGCCACGATGCCGTACTCGATGGCCTCCAAGATTGGCCTGCACTTTGTGCGCTTCGCCCAGTACTCGGCCACGACAGCCGGCGCCGCGGCGGCGCCCGGCGGCCTCCGAGGCGCATTCAACAATGCTGCCTCGTCAGCTTCGGGCTCGTCGTCGTCTGGCGCCTCGTCGTGGGCACAGGGCCTCAGCTCAGGGGGCGCAGGTCCCGGTCTGGGGGGTGCAAAGTTCCATGCGGGCCGCGGCGCACACTCTTCGTTCCAGGTAAGTGCAAGTAATACTACTGCTGCTGCAGAGGAGACAGGGTCGGGCCACTGATGCGCGGGAGCAACTTCTTACAGCACTCGGGAAGAGCGCTAGCCAATGCCAATGCTACCTCGGCGACCGACGGCAGCAACACGTTCAACGATGACGACGACGAGCGCGTCGCCGCGGCCGGCTCGCCACTGCGGCCGGGGCTGAGGCCCAGGCGTGCGACCAGGCCCGGGTCCGTGTCTGCCATGGCCAGGTTCCGCGCCAGAGAGGGCCTCAATGCAGCGCGGAATAGCCCCATGATGCTCCTCTCGGCCACCTTTGATGGCGTGGCCCAGTCGAAGCGCACCATCACCACATCGGGTCCCCCGGCACAGGCATCCAAGGCCGCGTCGATGAGGGGTCAGATGCTCATCCTGCCGAGCAGGCTCGACACAGTCATCGAGGACGACGCTGAAGGATCCGCATTGTCGACATCACCGACTCGGCCGACGCCGCCGAGGAGGCGTCTGACAACATCGGCCATCAACGATGGCGAGGCACCGACTGGCCGCGCACCCTCGATCCAGGAGCTCGAATCTAGCATGCCCCTGCCCTCTAGTGCCAAGGAAGGGAAACCGTCAACGTCGACGACAAAAACGTCGACGACGACACCGCCAATGTATGCTGAGCTCATGGGTCTGCATGGCGGCCGGTTTGGCCCGTTGCACAAGGCCATCGAGCAGTTCCGCAGGCTGCCCAAGTCGCAGCTCTCCACGCCCTCGTTCAATGCCGCCCTCGAGGGCCTCATCGAGCTGCGCAACCGCTCACCGCCGGGCGAATCGCGCGACGGCCTCACGCAGGATGTCATTGACACGTATGTCCAGATGATCGACTGCGACTGCGCCCCCGACGCCCGCTCCTACTCTGTCGTCGTCCAGGCACTGTGCCACCGCGACGAGCAGGGTGTCGCCGACAGCTTCGACCAGGCCTTGGGCCTCGCCGACCTGGCCCACTCATCGTCTGCATCAGGTTTTCCCACCGTGGAGCCGTACAACTCGCTGATCCGGGGCTGTATGCTGCGTGGCGATGCGACAAAGGCGTCAGAGATCATTGGCATGCTCGCAAAGAACCCAGCCGCCAAGGCCGATGACAAGACCATCCAGCAGCTCATCTTGTCGCACGCAAAGGACGAGAGCATGGACCAGCAAGACAGGCTGGCGGCGTGCAACGACATCTTTGACAAGTGCGCAAAGGTCGCGCCCGTCGACAGCGTCTGGATCTGGAACGCCCTGCTCAAAGCCCGCTTCCAGCTTGGCGACCAGGCAGGCGCCGTGAGCCTCGTCGAGGAGATGCTGACTGCATATGCAGAGGACAAGGGACCACGACCAGACGTATCGACATCAAGCATCGTCATTGGCGGTCTCCTCGACAACGACGATGTTGCCGGCGCTGCAGCTTGGTTTGACCGCATCTCTTCGCCGCGCCTGTCGGGGTCTTCCGATCCCGCGTGGGCTGGGGAGTCAGCGATGCCGCTGCCGAAGCTGTCGACGTCGACGCGCCTCTTTCTCGAGTTTGTCGAGACGCTCGAAAGCGCCAATCTAAGTGCGCTTGCTACAAAGGACGCCCTCGATTTTCTTCCGGCCCTCCAGGCGGCGAACAGGGCTTTGCAGGTGTGCTATGATGGACTCATGGAGATCGATGACGCAAGCTACAAGGTGTCCTTTCGCTCCTTTAACAGCCTCATCCAGCTCAACATGGAAATGGCCACGAGACTGAACGAAGGCGAGCCGTCGTCGCCCGCAGCATCGGTGGATCTCATCGATTCTTCACTGAGCCACCTCAAGGCGCAATACGAGCTCATGGGCGACCATGCACACGGCGGCAAGCACAGGGACCGTAGTGTGCTCGATGGAGCCACATTCTGGGGCCCGGCCCACAACGTGAAGGCGATCACCAGTCTTGTCAGCCACCTCGTCAAGACTGGGCGAGTCCAGGACGGAGCGGCTGCATTCACCTACGCCCTCTTTGCCATGCCGACGATGCCCGAGAATGCTCGTGCTATCAAAGACACGCATCCGATGGATTCGTGGAAGGGCGTCCTCAGGGACATCAACGGAAACATCAAGTACATCCTCTGTGGCAACAGCAACCTGCACTTTGTTGAACCCATCCGGGACCTCTCTCTGCCCGCCGAGCCAGTTGAGCACCTTGCGGCTGGTGCAGAGGTGATGTACGATGCCGTGCTCCAGTTCGACCTTGCGGCCCACGAGTGGGCATGCCAACGCATCGTACAGCTCTACGCCGCTGCACGCGCTGACGGGGAGGTCAGCCTGTCTGCCAAGGGATGGAGCAACGTCGTCGCTGCCTTTGTCAAGGCTGAGGAGCTCAGCCCGATGGCCGATGTCCAACGAATGCGGAGCCAATTTGGTCCCATGTTTGACGACATTGGCCGGCTCGACGATGAGACCAGGTCGCAGGTTGCTCTGCAAAATGTTTTCAGCATCTTGGCCAAGCGCTACGGGCTTGACGAGGCCACCAGCCTCGTTGCACGCGCGGACGCAGAGGCAGCCGCGTCGATGCGCGAGTCTTCTGACGACGCCTCGAGCAGCAGCATCGACAGCATGGCGCCGACGTCTGCGACGGAGCCATCGACTCCCATGACCACCGAAAGCATGCTGCGAGGATACGATGCGCCAGAGGGCCTGCCGTCCGACAAGTTCTCGGCAGTCCAATCCGTGGACTCGACCCTGGACGAGCATATGCTCCGCATCATGAGCGACGGCTTCCCCAAGGGCCAGCGCATCAACCAACAGCTCGTCACCGCGGCAGCCTACGAAGCCTATGGCGTCATGCAGAGGTCCATCGAGGAGACGGGCACCTACCCCACGCCATTTGCCATTGTCCGGCTCCTCGACGTCTTTGGACGCGCCGGCGAGCTCGCGAAGATCCACGAGGTCTACGTGGTCGGCTGTCACATTGTCAGTGCACTGGGCAGCGACCTGGCGTGGCAGCAGCAAGCGTGGTACGATGTCGAGAATGCCATGGTCGCCGCTCTGGCTCACGGAGGCGACACAAAGGCAGCGAGTGCACACCGCCACAAGGTCATCCAGGCCGGCATGGTGCCCAGCGCCGACTCCTATGCTGCCCTCATTGCCACGGTGCGCGACACGACCGACGATGCCCTCGTCGCTGAGGAGCTCTTTGACGAGTCGCAGCGCCTCGGCGTCCAGGCCAACACCTACCTGTACAACACGGTCATCTCGCAGCTGAGTCGAGCGAGAAAGGCAGAGCGCGCCCTCCAGCTCTTTGACGAGGTCCTGGCCGCCCAGGCAACGGGCGATCGACGGTGCAAAGCGACGAGCATCACCTACGGTGCCGTCATCAATGCATGCACGAGGACCGGCGACGAGATCAATGCCGAGCGGCTGTTTGAAGTCATGGAAGCCAGCCGAGGCTTCACCTTCCAGGCTCCCCCGTACAACACCATGATCCAGTTCTACACGCAGACAAAGCCAGACCGGGAAAAGGCACTCAAGTACTACCAGAAGATGCTGGCCAAGCAGATCAAGCCCACGGCCCACACCTACAAGCTCCTCCTCGACGTGCACGGCTGTTTGGAGCCGGTCCAGGCCGAGGCGCTCGACAACGTCTTTGGCCGCCTCGTTGCCGATGCAAAGGTGCCCGTTCAGGGCACCCACTGGGCCTCGCTCATCAATGCCTACGGCTGCCACCTCCACGACATGGACAAGGCCGTGTCGATCTTTGAGGGCATCCCGCGCCACTTTACGACGCCCAAGCCTCAGAATGGCGCGTCGCCAAAGGTGGACAGCGTCGCCTTTGAGGCGCTTCTCAACGTCTTTCTTGCTCATCATCGCGTGGACCTCATGTGGGAGTACGCGGCCAAGCTGTCGACGATGGGCCTTCACCCCACTGCGTACGTGGCCAATCTACTCATCAGGGGTCTGTCGTCGCAGCAGGGAAATCACGACGAGGGCATCCAGCGTGCCAGGGCCATCTTCCAGCAGATGAGGGACCCGCCCATGGGCGTCGCCGCCGCGGGCAACCACCCGCCAAACCACCGGCAGCACGCCAATGCCCCGCGCCACCCTGAGCCTGAATCGATGGCAGTAGAGATGGAGCCGCAGCAAGAGCCGATCGAGACGGGAGAGCACGATGCGCACCTTGCCTTTTTCAGGGGCGTCCTCCGCGAACCAAGCACGTTCGAGGCCATGATCCGAGGAGAGATGGCTTGCGGCGAGACGCAGCGGGCCATGGACCTCGTCCAGCGCATGGAGTCGAGGGCCTACCCTCCGGCGCTCGTGGCCAAGGCTAGGGCCCTCGTTGCGGGCGACGTCAAGCAAACCTACGTCTAATAAAGAAGAGCGACAAGGCAGAAGGGACTTTGAAGGAAGTGAGGCAACGGGACAATCAGTGATGCGTGTCCCGACCGACGGAGGGGCGGCGAGAGGAAAGTTCGTCAGGACGACGGGAAGACGACGTCGTCAAAAGACAACAAAAGCGAACGAGCGAAACAAAAGCAAAATTTTACAGTCAGTCAACCAACCAACCAACCAACCACCACTCTTGTGTCCATGTTTTTGTACAGAGGTCCCCTGTGTAACATTAGAGATGTGCCTTCTCGGAATGATCTTTCTTCCTACAACTTTTTACTTGATTGTGTGTGTGCGGTGGCTCAGGAACCAGGGCTGCCACCTGCTACCAGACCACAGAGTTCAAACCAGAGCTTGGGCGAGCCAGGTGAGGTTGAGGTCAGTCAGGAACCGTGGTCATGAGGAGCGTCGTGCGATGGAAGATTGTTCCTGCCACATGCGCATTGGCCGAAGCAGGAACAAACGCTGGCCATGTGGAAGCTCTGAAGCTTAAGGAAGGCCATGTCGCTCTTATCTTCGCGGTCTCGTCATGAGACAAAGGGACTCGGAATACTACTACTGCGCATTGAGAGAAAGGCAAATCGGCCAGGTCGCCGCCTGCGCATAATTACCGACGGGCAAACGCTGCGTTCCATGATACCATGAGGAAACGAGCAAGCATGGGAAGCATGACGGCTACTTCTACAAAGAGAGGCTGGGACCGGACCCCTCGACGCCAGAACATTCGTCATTGATTTGCCAATATTTGCTCTAGCTGCGAAAAGAGCAAGCGGGTAGAAGCCCAGAGCTCATCGAACTACGAAATACTAAAGTAGCAGCTAATATTCCTGCTAAGGTGGAGTGGGGAACGGGCGTGCCTTGTGTTCCTTTAAGGCTGCCGTGCCTGAGCGTGCAGCGTGCCCTGCTCCAGCTCGCGCACCTAGCCAGTCTTCTGGGCAACCTTAAGCAGGCGGGTGTCGAATCGTCCCGGAAGGGAAGGAGCGAAATTGGCCTTAATTCCTCTTTTGTTTTTTTAAATTACCCACCATCGACCACGTTGGAAGACCAGTTAATCGACACTGTTTGTTTATTAGAGGAAAAACAAATCAGTAAGAAGAAGAGAAAGAGAAAGAAAAAACAAAAAAACGACGCCCTCTGCTCCACTGCTGTGTCGATGGGACGGGCTTCAATTTTTCATTAAATTTTCGAGCTCCTATCGGCTGGCGCTAAGGGAAAGAGGCAGGCAAAACAAGGGAACCGGAGCACAAGGCGTAACATCGGCCGCAACTGAGGGGACAGCTAGTAGTAGTAGTAGCACCGCGAAGGCCTTCCATCATCGTCCCCTCCGTCCAAAATTCCGACCTCGCGGTCGCCTCTCTCTCACCCTCTCATTCATTCGCCACCAAAGGTAGCGGCACACACACTCGTTTAGTTTCAATTTCTTGTCTCGCTTCTTCGCTCCCTTGTGCTCTCGATTTCTCTCTCGTCTGGCTCCGATCTCGGCCCTTCCTCTCTCCGACCGCGTGCTCGGTCCTGTCGCTCTCGCCATCTGCCAGCAGCGGAGCAAAGCACACACTTTTGATAGTGTTCAGACTGGCCCGCCGCGTGGATCGCTGCGCTTCCGTGCAAACGTTCCGTCTTCGTCCATAGCTCCGTCCCACTCGCTCCTCTCTCTTTCTCTCTCTCTCCTCTTACTCGTTGGAAAAAGGGGGTCGCCGACGTCGGACCACGACTTGGACGCCTACAGGAAATGTGAGTAGCAGAAAGGACGTGCCCAGCCGTCGGCTCTTGTGAGGCCTGTCTTGGCAGGATCCGGGAGGGCGGAGAAAAAGTGGGAGAAGAAGAAGGATGAACCGTGGCAACGGCGGAGGCGGCGGCAGCGGCAGCGGCGGCGGAGCGGGGAGGTTGGTGCAGCGTGATCAACACAGCGGCGGCGCGTTTCTCTCGCTGGACGTTTGTCCTCTTGTTGTTCTTTATAAAAGGACAGCGTGGTGCGGCGTGCACTCGAGGGTAGACGGACAGGACCTTTTTCATTCTCCGGCTTGGGATCTTAGCAGCGGCGGGCTGACACAATGTGCTCCCTTGTTCCTAGCCAGTCAAGCGAGAACGAAGAAAGGGAGGTCCACATCCTCGTCTCCTCTCTTTCTCTCTCTCTCTTTCCGTGTGTAGGCGCAGCTGCGTCTAGGAGATTCGCGTCTCTCAGTGAGTCGATAAGCGCATGCATGTTGTGTCCTCTTTTCTCTTGTGTGCTGACAAGATGGTCGTCCAGCTCCCCCTTCTCCTTCTCTCTTCCTCTCCCCCTCCCTTCCCTCTTCCCTCTCTCTCTCCCTCTCCCTTTCCCCCACCTTTCCACCCAACTCACACCACCACGTTCATTTTTTACCCGCTCCTTCCTCTCCTCTCTCTCTCATCTTCTCTTTCTCTCTCTCTCTCTCTCTTCTGTCTCCTCGTCTCTTTCTCTGCCGCCGGCAACAACAAAGGTCACCAGCCGGCGATGCAGTTCAAATCGACCCAGCTCATCGCCTTTGTCGCCCTCTCGCTGAGCCTCTTGGCGACGGCGACCGAGGCCGACGCCTACCATGTCGGGCGAGCAATCGCACCTGACAGCCTGACCGGCCGCGGCATGGCGCCGACGAAGCGGTTGGGCGACGTGCTCCAGCCTCGACTCGTCAGTGAGTCACGGGGTCTTGTTGGGGATGCCATCAACAAGGTCACGGGAGGCAGTGGCAGCAGCGACAAGTCTCAAGACAATTCGCAAGACAAGTCGCAGGATGACAGCCAGAAGAAGGGGGGGAGCGACGACGACGACAAGGAGCAGGGTGGCATCACCAGCAAGCAGGGCAAGGACAGCGACAGCAGCCAAAAGCAGCAGAGCAAGGGCGATGACGATCAGTCCAAGCAAAAGGGCTCATCGCAGGACAGCAGCGACTCGAGCAAGAGCGAGAATGGGAACACAGGAAAGAAGCAGGACAGCAACTCGAGCTCGGACGACAGCCAGAACCAGAACAAGGGTAAAGACTCGAGCTCGAGCGACAACCAGGGTCAGAGTCAGGACCAGAACAAGGACAAGAACATTGGCAACGAACCAGCCGGCCAGACGGTCCATGCCCTCGGCAGCGGCACCGACGACCAGAGCCAGGACAAGACGAGCCAAAGGAACAAGAGCCAAGACAACAAGAGCCAGGACCAGAACAGCGACAGTGGCAATGGCAATGGCAACGACGACAAGTCACAGGGCGGTCTTGGCAGCGCGCTTGGTGGCATCGTCAACAACGTCGGCCACAACCTCGGCGACGGTCTCAAGCAGATTGGCGGCGGCCTTGGCGACGGTGCCAACGAGATCGGCAAGAGCATCGGCAAGGGCCTGGGCCAGGCTGTGGACCCTAGCCAGGGTGCACTCAAGGGCATCAGCACCATTATTGGGGGCGACAAGAGCAGTGACGATGACGATGGCAAGTCCAATGGCCAGGACCAGGACCAGGACAGCAAGGACGGTAAGAAAAGCCAGAAGCAGGACCAGGGCAGCAAAGACAGCCAAGACGACGACAACGAGACTGGCGGCCTTCTTGGTGGCCTCGGCACCGTTCTTCACGGTCAAGACGGTAACAGGCAACAGCAACAACAACAACAACAGCAGCAGCAGCAGCAGCAGTCTGACAGTGGCAGCAAGAAGAGCAGCGACAGTGACAACCAGAGCAACAACGGCGACGACGACACCGGCGACAATGGCGGTCTTCTTGGTGGCGTAGGTGCCGTCCTTGGAGGTGGCCAGCACAAGAGCGACTCGTCGTCATCATCTTCTTCCTCTGCCGCGCCTTCACGCCAGTCTGGCTCGCAGCAGCAGGACGGCAAGAGCGACCACGATGGCAGCGATGACAACGACAGCCAGGACAACGGTGGTCTCCTCGGTGGCGTCGCCGGTGGCCTCGGCGGTGCTGTCGACGGACTCGGTCAGGGCGTCAAGGGCGTCGTCGGCGGCTCGTCTGCCCAAGACGGCAACAAGGACAAGGACTCCTCGTCCTCGTCGGGCAGCAGCAATGGGTCAAAAGGCAGTGGGTCCAGCAACAGCAACGACAACAGCGACAGCAACAACAGCAATGACGGCGAGAGCGGTGGCCTCATCGGTGGCGTCACCGGCATCCTGGGCGGCACCGGTTCCTCCAGCGGCTCCTCGGGCTCGAGCAGCAGCGGCTCTCACAGCGGCAGTGGCAACAGCCACAGCAACAAGGGAGGCAGCAGCGACGACGACGGCAGTGACAGCAGCGGCGGCCTGCTCGGTGCCGTTGGTGGCATCCTGGGTGTCGGTCATCACCAGTCAAGCAGCAGCTCCGGCAGCAGTAGCAGCGGTGCTTCGGCGAGCAGCGGCAGCGGCAGTAGCGGCAGCAGCAACGGAGGCGATGACAGCCAGGGCGGCCTTGGCGGCATCATTGGCGGCATTGGCAGCGGCATCGGCCACGTTCTCGGTGGCGGCGACAGCAGCAGCACTTCTGCGGGCCAGGGAGACCAGGGCAGCGGCACTGTCACGCCAACGCCCACCCAGGGCCACCAGCAGGACGACGAGGGGAGCAGCAAGGACAAGTCTGGCTCTTCGTCGGGCGGCGCCATTGATGATGGCGACGGACAGCTGCACGGCACCCTCACCGCCACTCTCCCCAGTTTGACCACCCCCACGCCGGGAAGCAACAACGGCGACAAAAACGGCAGCGGTGGTGCCTCTGCGACCGCTTCGAACACCGACGGGGGCGACGATGGCAAGGCGTTCGGCTATGCAGACACTCGCAGCCTCATTATGCCCTCGCAGACGCCCACGGCCGGCTCAGAGTGGAGCCAGTCGTCGGACCCAGCGTCGACGGCATCATCGGGCGGCACCGCTGCAGCACCGCAGTACCCGTCGTCGATTGTGCCCAACAACGTGCTTGCCTCGCAGCCACCCAACACGACTTCGATTGCCATTCTCTACAAGCCCATCCTTTCGTGGATCTTCCTCGCCAGGTCGCCCGACACGGTGGCCCAGGTGTTTGCCTTTATGCCCACCATCATCAGCGACGCCCTCGACATCCAGCCGGCCGATGTGACGACGGTGAGGCTGCAGGCCTACTACAATTCGTCGAACCACGACGAGAATTTGGCCAACTCGCTCTACATGGCCTACATTCCCGACCCCAAGGCCACGCTGCTCCAGGGCATGGTCAAGGACCAGCCCAACTCGCTCTTCTACACCAAGCCCGCCAACAATGCCGCCAAGGAGCTCGTCAACAACGTAGATGCCAGCTTTGACATTCTCAGCTACAGTGGCTACACGCCCACGACGAACGCCCGACAGGACTCGCAGACATACAATGGCGACGACAAGGCCACGCTGCGAAATGCACTCATCGGCGTTGGCTCGGCCCTGGGCGCATGCATCGTCGCCTTTATCGGCTGGAGGCTGTGGAAGAGACAGAAGAAGCAAAGGAGCAGCGCACCCTCGGCAGCCTATGCTGGCGGTGCAGCAGGCCGGAACAGGAGGATGCGCGACAGCGGCGGCCACACCATCCGGTCCTTTGGCGGCAACAATCTCCGCGAGACGTGGGCGCCCAGCATTCATGAACAGGAGCGCGTTCTCCACGGTCAACTCGCAGAGACCTGGGACCATGCCGAAGGGCCTGTCACGACAACGGCCTTTAGCAGGTCGGCCGGCAGCCCTGACAGGACTCCCTTCGACGACGCTGACGACGACGCAGACAACTTTGTCTACGCGCGCAGCCACTTCAGCAACGGTCAGGGCCCCTTCTCGGATGCGTTTGGCGCGCCCTTGTACGACATGCGGGCAAGCCGGGAGACGGAGCGGTCCAATAGCACCGGAGGAAGCGGTGGTCCACAGCCTCAGTCGGCGGCCAGCTTCGCCTCGGGACTGACCGAGTCGCAGCGCATCCAGCAAGAGTACATTGATGCCCACGCTGGGTCACACATGCCTCTGAGCCCGACATCGGCCATTGCGGCAAGCTACCAGGAGAACTACGATGCGCCGATGCAATACACCTCGAGCCATCAGTATGGGCCCAGAGCAGCCGACAACCGGCGGAAGAGGACAAGCAGGGGAAGCACAATCACCACCGACAGCATCGGCAGGCCTGAGATGAGGTCAAATTCGATGCTGTTCTGATGGCTTCTCCTCGCACCCTCCTCTTTACCAATCAGGGATCTTCTCTTTTGCTTGCGCCGTCTTCTCATCCATCCCGATCATACCCATTTCTCTCTCTCACTCAATCTCTCTTCGCTTTCTCAGTAGATCTCAGTTAGTCAGCCCTGGGCAGCGCCCGCACCAACCACAAACCACAGTCCTTTCCCCGTTCCTCCGACTACATCTTCAAAAGTCGTTCAGATGTTCATCCGTGGTCTTTTCCCTTTTCCCTTGCATCTTCTGCGATGGGAGGGACATAACAATGCAATGGTCTTTTTCTCCTGTTCTCTGCATTCGCTCGGCCTTACCTTGGCTTTAGAGGCACGTTTGAGTGAGAAGTGATGGCGGCGAGAAGGATGTCGAGAAGAGGCACGTGTGAAAGTGACAGAAAATGACCCTCGCAGAACAACGTGGCTTTCCAAGGACACGTGTTTCGCGAAGGCCACTCAGGAGGTGCGTTGGTCGGCGCTGGCCGCGACTTACTTCACACCCTCGGATCGGCGCCTTCCTCTTGCTCTCGCTCCTTGATCTTTTCCAGACCAATCCTCTCAAGGTGAGCACTCGCTCGTGAGCCATTCCTCTCTCTGGGAGACTGAAAACTGACCAGGTCGCTGATCTCTCGCCACTGCAGACACCATGTCCGCCGCCGACATCAACTTTGAGCTGTGCCCCGTCTACGCGCCCTTCTTCGGCGCCATGGTGAGTCCTGCCCCTCTTCTCGTGCTCCTCTGTAATCGTGCGAGCAGAGCCATGCTCACATCGAGCTGTCTCATCAATAGGGCTGCACGGCTGCCATCGTCTTTACGTGCCTCGGCGCTTCGTACGGCACGTCAAAGTCGGGCGTCGGTATCAGCGCCATGGGTGTCCTTCGACCGGACCTGCTCATCAAGTGCATCGTCCCCGTCATCATGGCTGGTATCATTGCCATTTACGGTCTCGTCGTCAGTGTCCTCATCTCCTCGGACATCAAGACGCCCATGAGCCTCTACGCCGGCTTCATCCAGCTCGGCGCCGGGCTCAGCGTCGGCCTTGCCGGTCTCGCTGCCGGCTTCGCAATCGGGATCGTCGGTGATGCCGGTGTCAGGGGTACCGCACAGCAGCCGAGGCTCTTCATTGGAATGGTGAGCTAATTTTGTTAGATCGCTTTGGAGCGATGAGGGCGGGAGAGCTGACAGTAAGAGGCGATGCTGCGCACCAGATTCTCATTCTCATTTTCGCGGAAGTCCTTGGTCTGTACGGACTCATTGTTGCCCTGATTCTCAACACGAGGACCCAGGACGACCGATTCGGGGTAAGTGACTCTCTGCCTCGCATTAGCACTAGAATAGGAGAAAGCTGATAGATGTCCTTCTACAGTGCATGCTCCAGTAAAAGGAACGAGCGAAATGGAAAGGGTCCCATGACTCGCGCCCGATCAGTTCACCTCGCACCACTCTTTTTTCGGCCATCTTACACTCGACGACTCCTTCTCATCCCTGGGACTTGGAGAGGGAGGTCGTCGAGCAAGACACAAACACACGCATCGCCAAGCAAAGGTACCAACCAATCGAAACCGCCACCCGTATCGTTCTTCTCTATACTCAACTCCCAATGACGATGCAATTTGCTGATGGATGAGGGAGCAAGGGGGATCATGGCTGCGATCGAAATTATTTGTATGTGAGGGTTGTGGTCCGCTGAGTGCTGCTGTGGGGACCCGAGATGAGCTGCCAGGGGAGAAAGGGTTGCGCGTTATTACAGCTGCATCGTCTGGAGATGGTCCCTCGTCGCAGCTTTGACGATCTCCTCGCCAAGCGCCTTGGCCAGAGGGACTGGGACCGCGTTCCCAATTTGTCTATGAGCCTCCTTCGCCTTGCCATTCTCGCTTGTCGACGCAGCGGCGTGGAAGAAGACGTCATCTGGGAACCCTTGTGCCCTCGCGCACTCACGTATTGTCACGACCCTGTTCTGCTGAGGGTGTATAATCCTGCCCTGGACCGACTGCAGCTTTATGGAAGTCATCACGGTGTCAAAGTGACCCTGCGGATCCAGTCGCCGGAACCAGTTTTTGCGATCGATGAAGCCCCTGTTGTCAAGGGCTCCATGCAGGGCGAGACGCGGGACCGAGTCCAGGATCAAGTAGTTGTACTTGGACTCTGGAGGGATGTGTGCGACTCGCTCCTGGTTGATTGACGAGACCGTTACGGTGTGGTGCTGCGCAACAGTGACCGCGTCGCGACGGACCAGCGCCTGGTATGAGTTTCTGGGTGGACATGCGTACGCCCTCGACGAGCTGGCCGGAGGTGAACGGCTATCTTTGGCCCAGTCGAATGGCGGAAGATCGGAGATAGCCTCGTCGACACTCAGCGCAGGGTACCTTGCGCAAGATCCCTTCTTGAAGACGTGCAACGGCGCAGGCAGCTCGGCAATGGAGACCGCTCTCCCTTCCGTTGACTTTATTGTTGCGAGAAAGATGACCCTCTCGCGGGACTGGGGGACACCAAATTGGCCAGCCTGCAGTTGTCCAATTCGGACATCGTAGCCCAGAAGCTGGAGCGTATGGACGATGAGTCGCGCATAGCCCAGTGGGTTTCGGTCAAAGGAGGCTGTGGGCGACTGCTTCGACAAGATGCCGTTGACATTCTCAATGACGACGAAGCGAGGACGAAGCAAGTCCACATATGAGAGCTGCGGTCAGAGCTGTCATTATTAGTCCGTTGAGCAGTTGGAAGGGAGAAAGGTAGCGTACCACGGTACAGATGAGGAGGTTGAGGTCTGAACGCCCATCGTGCCTCTTCCCCCTTGTCGTTGCCCTTGTGAAGCCTTGGCATGGAGGCCCCGCAGCAATGACGTCGACCTCACCCCGCCTGGGTAATATGCTTCGGTGCTCTTCCTTGAGGAGCTCATTTGCATCTTGCTGCAGGATAAGAGCTTCGGGCGAATGTGCCGCAAAGGTTCGACAGGCCGCCTCATCGTCATCGATGGCCCACTTTGTCTTGATTTTGTCTGTTTGCTCGAGACCTAGCGAGAAGCCTCCGGCGCCGCAAAACAGATCCAGACAGGACAGGGTAGGCATTGAGCTTCGCGCAAGTGCGAGTTGTGCTCGATGAGCTTGGCAGATTTTGCATTGTCTTTCGATCACGTCTGGCGTCCAGAAATCGGCGTGCTCGTTGTCAATAGTAGCCGATCGAGAGGAGACGACAACATTGCAGCGGCCTGCGATCGACCATTGCGGCTTGAGAACAAATACCGCGTCGCTGTCGACGAGCTTGCGGTGGTCCACAAACATGTTTTCGCCGCCATCGTCGCCGCATAGCTGTCGCTTGTAGAAACGGAGCTTGACTTGAATGGGGAGCCTCTCCTCTGCTTTGTTTGTGTTAGATGATGACGACGGTGATGCTTGAGAACCAGACGGCCACAGTGCAATCTCTACCACCTGTGCCACGCGAAACAACCCTTCCTTCCCCTCCTTACTTGTTCTTCCCTCATCAATGAGGACAAAGTCCCAGAGGTGATAGACGGTCCCGTCTTTCATAGTGATGCTCGACGTGCATCCCTGCTTGCGCCGGATGCTCCACGTCTTCAGCGCAGATCTCGCCTTTGCTCCCTCAGCTCCAGCGTCGGCATGAGCGAGCGCGAGAATTTCATCGACGGACGGGAGCGCGACGTCGCGCACCCGTCGAAGCACTTCGGACGCGATGGGCAACTTGTTCGTTGTGGCGCCCTTGATGCCAAAGTGGCGCTTCAGAATCGCCGCGACGAGCGGCGTGAGGACCGTCTTGTTTGAACTTGGAGGAGACGAGGCCTGGGACGGAGGTCGAGAGGAGGAGGACGAAGAAGAAGGTGGGCGTGATGTGGTCGAGAACCGATGCTGGGATCTGATAGGCGGCATGATGGTGATGACTGGTTCAAGTAGTAAGGGGCCTTTCCGGTGAAGGTTAGGAACAAGAGCTTGCCTGCAGATAGAGGGGGACAGAGGAGAAGGTGCAGCATTGCTTCTTCAAGCAAAGCGGGCTCACGCCTTGTCGCACCCACCACCTCCGTCTTGTCTCGGAGCGATTTATCCATCTTTGGCCCGTATAGATACCGCTCAACATGAAAAACACATGACTACGTCGCAGAACAGTCTGGCATGCTCGGAATCTTTGCTTGATAAGGTGTGCTATAATACAATGGTGTGGACTCGCATTCAATTCATACCAGGACACTGCCCAAGCCTTTGGCCAGGACATCGAGACAGTTGGCCAGCTCCCTCACCGTCGTCGCCAATTCATCGTAGGTGGCCTCTCGGTTCGTCGAGACGAGGGCCCGCGTGTTGAGCGGAGGAAGCTGCAGGGGCAGTTGACCAGCAGTCGCACCAGCTGCGGCTGTCAAAGACGAAGACGACGGAGACATCGACAGCGCAGCGACGCCGTTGCTGGCGGGGGCCGAAGCGATGTTGTCCAGGGAGCCGCTGCGAGAGTGAGCGCGATCGGAGCGAGGTGAGGGAGTGTCGAGCGGAGATGCAGAGGAAGACGAAGGGGCGGATACGAGCGACAAGGGGTCAGATCCTCCGTGCTTCTGTTTGGCGTGGGCAGCTGTCAGTGCTGCCGATGATGAAGAAGGTGCTCGCTTTGAATGTTGCTGGTGGTGAGACTGAATGCTGGGAACAAGGGGCACGGCATCCATGATGGGAGCCGTAGCCAGTGGTCTCGAACGCGAGCCGCTCCTCGCTCGGGCGCCCATCATCTGGTGGGAGGAAGACGGGAGGTAAGGAGCAGCGAGCTGCTGATGAGGATTGACACGGGCAGGGGCCGAGGACTGGTGCACGTTCATGTCGCTGATGGACCGATTCATGCCCCGCCGTTGGGCACCGCTGCCGCTGCCGCTGACACTCCCACTGGTGCTGGTGCTGGCGCTGCCACGCTCCTCGGGGCCATCGATGCTCGACAGGCTGCTCTTGCCGCGCCGATGAGCGAGCGATAAGCTTCCCTTCCTTCCATGCACAGCCAGTTGCTGCTGGAGGGCAAACGTGGACGCTGGCTTGCCGTCCTCTGCGCCTTCGTGCATCTCCTCGATCGACGTCGCACTCGTCGAAGCTGTGCGTCTTCCAGTCAAGGTACCAACGCCAAACGATGAGTCTGCGCCAAACGAAGAATCGGCGGGCGCAAACGAGAGCGACTGGTCGGGCGTCGTCTGCGGGCTCAGGCTATTCTCGAGCGGCGCTCTTTCGTGTGGAGCTGAGTGTGGTGTGCTGCTGGCCAATGTGGGCGTCGTCTGTGCATCTTCGCTCTTCTCTCTGGGCGTGGAAGCACCGCCACCGCCACCGCCACCAAAGCGGAAGGGCGTGGCGCCAGTGCCCGTGAAGCTCATCTTCTCCACCGTGGGCGTTGAATTGCCTGCAGCGGAAAGCGACGGCGGCGGCTCCAGTTCTTCATCATCTCTGACAGTGGCGTGACCCGAAGAGGAAAGGCTGGGCGCAGACGTGGTCGTGGCAGCCGCAGGGGGTCGCTCTGGGGTCGGACCAGGGGGTGGAGGAGCAGGACGGACCTCGGCGCCCTGATAGGTGGGCTTGCTGTTGCCCGACGAAGGAGCATTCCTTTGGGCAGCAGCCGATTCATGCTGGAACAGACGGAGCAGGGGATGGTCCCTGGGCGGCAGCTGCGAGGGCTGCGCGGCGATTGGCCCATCGTCAAAGTCGTCAAAGGAGTGGCTGCTGAACTCCCAGCCGTCGTCGCCGTCCTTGCCGTCGAGAGCAAACGAGTCTCGCGTGTTGCCAGCCTCGTTCAGCTCGTTGGCTTCGGCACCCAGCAGGCTCATTCGCATGCCTCCGCTCTTGACCCACGCGCCGTACTGGCTGATGAGATCCTTGAGGAGCACCGTCGAAACCTTGGCCGTCGCCTTGATCCACTTGTGCTTCTGCAGCTCCTCTGCATTGGGCCGCTCGTTGGGCTCCTCGTTGAGGCACGCGGCGACAAAGTCGCGCATGGGCTGCGAGAAGCTGCCTTCGGCAGGCAGGCGTGGCGGCTTGTTCTTTGGGATGAGCATAATGACGCGCATCTGCTCCTGGTCGGCCAGCGGCGGGTTGCCCGTCACCATCTCATAGATGGTGATGCCCAGGCTCCAGATGTCAGCCCCCTGATCGTAGCTCTTTCCCTGGGTGATGACCTCGGGGGCCATCCAGTAGGGCGTGCCCACAAACGTCGTTCGCTTAGCCGACGAGGAATTAGCAAGCGAGGCAGCGACGCCAAAGTCGCACAGCAGCACCTTGCCCGTGACGGTGAGGAGGATGTTGGCGGCCTTGATGTCGCGGTGGATGATGCCCGACTTGTGCAGATAGGCCAGGGCGACGAGGGACTCGCGCACGATGACACAGGCGTACTTCTCCTGAATCGGCCCCGCATTCATGAGTGTCCTCACGCTGCCGCCCTCGGCAAAGTCCATGACGATCCACAGCTCGGCGCCCTTGAGCCAGCAGCCCCAGTAGCGCACCACGTTGCGCTGCTCTGTCTCGCGGAGCTGCGAGAGCAGGGCGACCTCGCGCTGGATGTCGCTCACATCGTCGTCAGGCGTGTCGAGATTGACAACCTTGAGGGCAACGACGGCGCCTGAAGAGTTGTGAACGCCCCTGTACACGGCACCATATGCACCCCTTCCAACCAGATTGAGGCGGCGAAAGATGGAGTTGATCGAGCCTTGCCCAGCTCCGGTTCCAGGCCCAGCTCCAGCACCTCCTGGTCCACCACCGCCGCCGCCGCCGCCGCCTCCTCCTCCCGATCCTCCTCCTCCTGATCCCCCTCCGCCAGCTGCTCCATGGCCACCCCCACCGCCTGGAGGTCCACCGGGTGGTGCGCCAGCCCCGCCGCCGCCGCCGCCAATACCACCGCCTCCGCCTCCTCCTCCTCCTCCTCCTCCTCCTCCAGCGTGTCCGTTGAGACCAAAGCCGTTGCTGCCAAGGGGTCCGCCAGCGCCCGAGCGAGGCGTCTCCCCAGGCCCACCAGCTGAGGATGCGGCCGTCGTCGTAGCCAAGGAAGTAGAGGAGGCGAGGGCATCGACAAGGGCCGTGTAGGACCGCCTGGCAAAGTTGAGCGAGGGCGACGGGGAGGGCGCAGGCGAAGGAAAGGCGGATGAGGGACCACCAAGCGAGGGCGACCGACCGTCGAAGCTCGCCTTTCGCCTCGCTGCGCCAATCAGGCTTCTGCCTGCAGCCACGACGGCGTGGGTGGCCGTCGTCGTGGCCGTGTCCAGGCTGGCCCGCCTGGGAGTAGCGCTGCTGCCGTTGCTGCTGCGCCTCCTGCTCCTCCAGGGCAAGCTTCCGCTCGACGGCGTAGCCATGGATGGTGGGCTCGGTGGTCCTCGCCGTCCAGCGACCTTTTCAAACGTGCTCGCGCCCAGATCGAGCGCCTCGGGTCGCTTCTTGGCCTTCTTCCCCAAGGAAGCCGAGGCCACGGCGACCGGCTGCTGCTGCTGTTGATGCTCCTCGTCTACAATCGAGGCTAGTCCAGCGCCCGATGTGAGCTGCTGGTGCGATCGACGGTGGAGCTTCTTTGCCAGGGGCGCCTGCCACGACGACGAGCGGAGGTTCCGGAGCGCCGACCGAGAAGAGGACGGCAAAACTGTCTCGTTGCTGGCATCACCACCTGTGTCGACTTCGTGGCGCGGGCGGAAGGAGGACAGGAGAGCCTCGGAGCTGCTCCTCGACCGGTACCTCCCCCTCGTCGGCACCGGCGTCATCATGGCTGCTGGAGGTAGCAGTGGCGGTGGGGAGGCCCTTAGTAGCGAGGCACCGGCGACACCACTATCGCCCAGGACCGTCGCTGCTGCTGATGATGATGATGACGTTGCTGCTGCTGCTGGCCCACCAACAGCAGGCGAATGCCAGAACGAGGGCGACGACAAAGACGGCGACGAGGAGAAACCTGCCGGAGCGAAGGCGGACTGTCGTTCGACCGAGGAGGAGTTCCAAGAGGTTCGGGCAGACGCGCTCCCCGCCTTTCCGTTGCCCCCCATCGAGCGCAGAGAGGGTGTCGAGGGCGGAGAGGACATGGTGAAAGAAGAGGCCGTCAAGGCGGGCGACGAGAGGTTCAGGGCACCGGCAGGCAGGTAGCCCTTGCCCGTCGATGGCGCGGGCGGCGGCGTTCGCTTGTCACCGAGCGCAGCAAGGACGGAGCGAGAGTAGAGGTAGGACTCGTGATGTTCCCTTGTGATGGTGACATCGCCCTCGCCATCATCATCATTGTCCTCAGCCTCATCGTCAACGATGAAATTGTCAAGGTTGGAGAGGTGGTATGCGGCGGGCCTGGCTACGGGTGCCACCTTGATGTGGTGTCGCACATCGTCCAAAACGACGGCAGCAGCAGCAGCAGGATGTACAGCGCCGTTGCCCCCACCGCCGCCACGCCCGTTGCCGCTGCTCGAGCGGACCCACGGCGTGCTCATCTCTCTCTCCTCTTTCTTTCTTGACTTTCAGTCGTCGTCGTGCTGCAGATGTCAAGACAGGTAGATGTCTCGGGCGAAGTCCAGGCTCGATCCAAAAAATCAACACGCCGATGTCCAAACCGGGTCTGACTAGTCTCCCAATTTAGATTCGGCCGAACAAACTAAACGTCAAGGCGCGCCTGACACCCTACGCCAACTTTTGTCAGCTAGTTTGGGCGGAAGAGAAAAGAGGTAGGGAGGAGGGTTGGGGAAAGTACAGTGCGTCGTCAGAACTGGGAACACACAATCAGCATGCAGTGAAGCAGTAGCATGATACGCCGTCGCTTGGCTGAGTCCGCTTACTGTTAGGAGTCGGTAATCGTGGAACAGAGCGGAGCGGTTAGTTCCGGACTGAGGAGCGCTTGGCGTGGCGTATTCTGACTTGAGTGGCGGGCAAGATGGAGGTCCAAGTTCGAAAAAGTGGACACGGAACTTTGGAGCTTGTTTATGGGATCCTGGTTCGCACAGCCCTCAAGACTGCTGTTCAACAGCCGATCTTCTGTGCCTTAGAGACAAAAGACTGGGCTGTAGACGTCGGGACAGAATAAGCGCCAAGGAACGCTTTGAGCAGGACAGAGTTGTCAAATCGAGCCAATCGATGGTACGTGCCTTTCGCAAGGGGGACATTGGCGCTTCCAAGACGGCGTCTCCGCGCGCAAAGTCAGACTGTTCTGGGAGGCGTGACACAGTACGGCAACGTGCGTCGCCCACTGTCGTGTGCGCATCGGCCGGAGTGTAGCGGCAAGACAAAGAGAGCCTTGGTCAGAGACAGGGAGCAGGGGGCTGTCGATTGAGTAGGTTCCCTGGGCACGATATATAAACCGGCTCACACGACAACGATCCCCACTGCTCCTCTTTCCAACACACTCTCTAATTTTGGCGAGACTAACATCGACATTGTGACACTACGATGAAGCCCTTCACTATCTTCAGTCTTATACTCCTTTCTTGTATGGGCCTGGTACGTGCCTTTCCCACTTTCCAAAAGTCTAAAAGAAAATGTTAGCTGACCATCAGAGTGCTTTCAGGCCCTCATGTCCGTCGTCGAAGGCACCAGATATCCCAAGGGTCACCCATGGCACGATTTAGGATTGGTGCCCAAACATGAAAAGTTCAACCCGGCCAAGATCAAGTACAACGAATGGTGGTTCCACGATATCCGCGGTAAACCTCTCGTCCATTGCCTAGGAAACGGCATACCATTCACCAACGAGAAATATATGTGCGGCTACAAAGGAAACGAAGATATCGGCATTAGAATATGGTTTTGTGGTTCCAAAATCAGTGAAAGACAGATCAGGTCCACCGACCATGAAGTATATGTAGCAGCCCACAAGGTGAGGAGAAGAAGGCTCAATACGTTTGAAAGACGGCTGATAAAAGCTGCACAGGCTTGCAATGCTGTACCTTCCCGTGCAGAAGACATAATCTTTCCTTAGTCATACAAGGGGGACCGAGAGTGCTTGTCCAGAGAATGTTCTTATCCGTCCAAGATCCACATAATCCATACTTTGTTTCATTTCATATTGCTATGCTTCTATATAGTGACGTCGGTCTGTTCTTGCCATATGTGCTATGCTTCTGATGGGAGGATAAGGAAGAGCTCAGGGCGTCTGAAGGTGTGAATTCAAATACACGGACAACAATGCAGCGACGAGACCGGAGCACTGCTTGTCTGGTCCCAGTTACTCTTAGAAGCCGGGAAATTCCTCAAAAAGGTTACGTGGGTCCCAATCTCCAAAACGTTTACGTGGGTCTCAATGAGATTGGAGAGGAGAGTTAGCGCAGCATCCTCTGGTACTGAACTGAGAGTGGGGGCGTGAGTAGAAACGGTCGACTCGCTTCCTCGACCCCTCTTAGGCTCAGCGCTCGTCTGATATTTCTTGAAGAGGGCTGAAGCGCATCGGAGCTTGCTTGTTGGCACTCAGGCCGCCCAGCCGTCAAAGGGACTTCCGCAAGTTCCGCTTCTCTCGAAAGAGCGTGGCTGGAGAGAACAGCAGCCGGGAGTGCTAGTCGGGCGTCTGGGCAATAAAAAATCCTGAAACGGAGCCAACATGACTGTACGCCATTCAGGAAAGAGGGCTATAGTCACATTCAAGAGGACATCTCCCCGATCAGGGCCAAGGAGCGTTGCAAGGTACGAAACAGCGCTCCGACAAGCGCCCGCCGCCACCTACACTCTTGTAGCAGAGTAGCGCACGACAGAAGGCGTTTCGGAGCCAACCATAAGGTGTTGGAGCAGATTAAGACTGGGTATATAATCCGACCACAAGTCGACGGCACAACCTTTTCTTGACCAAAAACAGCTTTCCTCTGCAACAAACAACACCAAAGTCTGTACCGATGAAATCTTTTATCCTCCTCCATCTTCTCTTTTTTGCTTGTCTCGGTATGGTACGTTCCTGCGCTATAACCCAAATACTTTCAAAGAACTGACCTTCAAGGTGTTTTTCCAGAGCCTCCTCTTCGTTGTAGAAGGCAAGGGAAACAACGCCGACAATCTACTCGTGGGTATTAAAATGCTCAGGAGAATCAAGACCACGGAATTCCAGTGGTGGTTCCTCACTATCCACGGCTACCCGTTGATAAATTGCCAAGCAAAGGTCGCCCCACCTCCTGACCACGAAGCATTTTCTTGCACCTTCTCGGACGGTAATGAATTCGGCATAGAAGTGCACCATTGTGGCGGTAGGAAGAGCGAGACTACCAACATCAGAGTCACGGACGACGACATGTACAAAGCAGCCTATGAAGTGAGCATGGAACACGATTTACGCGAGGAAGACGGCTAATGAAAGATGCACAGCTATGCCTCGCTGCGCAAAGCAAAGGCTTAGTTACCAAAATAATAGCCAAACACAAGGATCTATGAACACAAGGATCTATGATGTTGGAAACCGCCATTATCAGTACTAGATCTCAGGCTCTATCTCCTTCTCAAACAAGCGGTTCGAGGAGACTCGGAAAGACTCCAGAGCCAAAGGCCTCTCTTACCAAATGTCATCCCCACCTGTTACTAGTTGAAATCTGAATGCTCGACGTAACCCCAGTCATTGATGGAGATGAGGAAGGACGCTGGCCGAGCTGATGATTCTCAGTGGAGTGTCCGAGCGACAATAGTCTTGGATTTTGACCGCCTGTGAAATTCTGCGCCGATCCACAGCTAGTGTGGGCGAGAGAGAAGAGGCAGGGAGACGGGTTGGGGAAAGCGCAGTGCGTAGTCAGGACTAGGAACACACAGCCAGCTTGCAGTGAGACGGCAGCATGAACCGGCATCACTTGGCCGACACCGCTTACTGCTAGAAGCCGGTAACCCTTGAGCAAATCGAGCCGGTTTGATGGTACGTACCTTTAGCGAGGAGGCCGTGGGCGCTTCCAAGACGGCGTTTCCGTGGACAAGGCCAGGCTGTTATGGGAGGCATGACACAGTACAGCGACGTCTGTCATGTGCGCCTCGGCCGGAGTGGAGCGGCAAGTCAAAGAGAGCCTTGGCCGGAGTGGAGCGGCAAGTCAAAGAGAGCCTTGGCCAGCGATAGTGAGCAGAAGACTGTCGATTGAGCAGAAGTCCTTCGTTCAGTACAAAAGACGCAGCAACGACAATAGCTCCCCTTACCCTTCTTTCCATCACATATTCTCTCGAAATTCGGCGTGACCAAGATCGACACCGTGACATTACGATGAAGCCCTTCACTATCTTCAGTCTTACATTCCTTTCTTGTCTGGGCCTGGTGCGTGCCTTTGCCATACTCCAAAAGTCTAGAAGAGAAAAAGGTGCTGATCATCATGGCGCTTTCAGGGTCTCATGTCCGTCGTCGAAGGCATCGAATTCTACGGCGGCGATTTTCGAGGGTTCGATTTGGCATTGGGGACCAAACCAGCAGGCCTAAAGACCGTTAAGATCAAGTACTTCGAGTATTGGTTCCTCAATGTGCGCGGCCACCCTCTCGTCCATTGCCGAGGAAAGAGCGCACCATACTACAACGAGAAATTCACCTGCCGCTACAGCGGATACGAAGAGGTCGGCATTGAAGTATTCTTTTGTGGCCCCGGTCGGAGTAACACAGGAGCCAGGTATTCAGACCATGTTGTATACACAGAAGCCCACAAGGTGAGCAGAAGAAGCTTCAACAAGATCGAAACAAGATCGAAAGATGGCTTATGAAAGCTGCACAGGTTTGCAAAGCTGTGCCTTCCCCCGCAGAAGATATGATAAATCCCATTCCATAGACACCAAGCTTTCCTAGTCATGCTGTGTGGTCGAGAGAGCTTGTCCAAAGAATTTTCTTATCTTTCCAAGGTCCACGTAATCTAACCTCCGTTTCATAATATGTTGCTGTGCTTCCGTACGGTCATGTCGTGCTGTTCTTGCCATTTGTGCCATGCTCCTGATAGGAGGAGAAGGGAGAAGTCTGTGCGTCGTCAGAAAAGAGTTTAAAGAGATAGTACCCAATGTAGCAACGAGACCGGGGCACTGCTTGTCTGAAGCCGCATACTTTTAGAGGCCGGGGATTTCTTGAAAAAGGTTACTTGGGTCTCAGATGGAGAGGAAGAATTGGCGTAGCACCTTCTGGTATTGAAGTGAGAGTGGGCGTGAGTAGAAAGGGTAGATTCGATTTCTCGACCTCTGTTAGGCTCAGCGCTTGTCTCAGATTCTTGAAGAGGGCTGAAGCGCATCGGAGCTTGCTTGTTGGCTCTCGGGCCACGAAGCCGTCAAAATAAGTTCCGCAGATTCCGCTTCTCTCGAAAGACAATTTGGCTGCACAAAGCAGGGGCAGGAAGTGCCAATCGGATGTCTGGGCAAATAATTGCTGAAACGGAGCCAGCTTGACTGTACGCCTTTCAGGAAGGACGGCTTAAGTCGCTGTCAGGAGGACATCTCCTCGATCAGGGCCAGAGATTGTTGCAGTGCGCGAAACAGCGCTCCGACAAGCGCCCGCCGCCATCTTAACCCTTGTCGCAGAAGAACGCACAACAAAAGATGTTTCGTAGCCGAACCTGTGGGAAGGTGTTGGTAAGACAATAAAGATTGGGTATATAATGCGACCACAAGTCGACGGCACAATCTTCTCGTGACAAAACACGGCATTCCTCTGCAGCTCAACAAGACCAACGTCTGTGCTTCGATGAAACCTTCTACTCTCCTCAACTTCCTCTTTCTTGCTTGTCTCGGCATGGTACGTGCTTGCGCTATATCCAAAACACCTTCAAAAGCTGACCTTCAGGGTGTTTCTAGGGCACCCTCTTCGTCGTCGAAGGCATGGGACACACCGGCGAAAAATTTCTCCACCGACGAGATTTAGCGCTGAGTATTCAGCGTAGGTATGTCAAGGCGATTCCGACCAAGATCTTCGAGTGGTGGTTTCACGATCGCCACGGCTATATGATGTTGAATTGCAAAGCAAACGTTGCCCCTCCCCTCGACAATGAAGCATTTGATTGCGGCTGGATGCCGTCCAATGAGTTCGGCATAAAAGTGTATCTGTGTGGCAGCAGGAAGAGCAAGACAACAGGAGTCAGAGTCACGGACAAAGACATGTACAATGCAGCTCATCAAGTGAGTATCGAACTTGATTTGTGCGAGGAAGACGGCTAATGAAAGATACATAGCTATGCCTCACTGCGCAAAGCAAAGGCTTAGTAACCAAAGTAGAAATCAAATTCAAGGATATACCATAGACGTAAAGCTCCTTCCTGGCCATACCATGGGTTCGAGAGAGCTCGACAAGAGAGCAGTACCCCTTCCAACGTCCACGTATTTTCCTGCTTTTTTTCGGTATTGCTATGCTCCCATATAGTAACGTCAATTTTCTCTTCCACATGCACCACGTCTCTGACAATGGGTCTTGAAGTGAGCAGAGAAGCATTGGTTTGCATGAAACAAGTATTCGGGTAAGATGACGCTTAAGTGAAGTGAGTGGTGGAGGAAAGGACCAAACGCGAAAGGAGCCCACATCAGACTGATGAATGTTATGATATATTGGCAACATCCACACTGAAAGAAAGAGAGCTTTCAAAGAAAGAAAACAGGACAGTGGAACGGCAAGTCAAAAAAGGACTATTTTTAGAGAGACTATGGGTTGAGTAGGGACCCTGCGTACAGTACAAAAATGGATCACACGACAACAGCTCCTCTTTCCCTTTTTCCCATTACATGTTCTCTCTACAACTCGGCAAGACGGAAATCGCCGTCGTGACTTTACGATGAAGCCGTTTACTACCTTCAGTTTTATAACCCTTGCTTGTCTGGGCCTGGTACGTGTCTTTGCCATCTTCAAAGTCTTAGAGAGAAAAAGAGCTCATCATCAGGGTGCTTTCAGGGTCTCATGTCCGTCGTCGAAGGTTTCGAATTCTTCAGCGGGGGGTTCCCAGGGTACGACTTGTCATTGGGGAGCAAACCAGCAGGCTTAAAGACCGCTAAGAGAAAGTACCACGACTGGTGGTTCCACAATTCGCGCGGCCACCCTCTCGTCTATTGCCAAGCAAGAAGTGCACCTCCCAAAAACGAAGTGTATGGTTGCCTGTATAAGGAATACGAAGAGTTCGGCATTAAATTATGGTTTTGTGGCGCCTCGAGGAGTAACACAGGAGCCAGTTACACAGACCATGATGTGTACACAGCAGCCCACAAGGTGAGCAGAAGAATATTCAATAGGTACGAAAGACAGCTAATGAAAGCTGCTCAGGTTTGCGAAGCTGTGCCTTCCTTAGCAGAAGACAAAATAAGTCCCATTCCCTAGACACAAAGCTTTCCTAGCTATACGATAGTCAAGAGAATGTTCTTACCCTTCCAACGTCCAAATAATCCATACTTTGTTTCATATCGCTATGCTTCCATATAGTCACTTCGGGCAGTTCTTGATATATGTGCCATGCTTCTGACGGGAGGATGAGGGAGTGCTCATTGCATCGTCAGAACTCAGTGCATCGTCAGAAGAGAATTCAAACAGCCGATCGCAATATAGCAACGAGACAGGGCACCGCTTGTCTGAACCCCTTTACCCTTAGAAGCCGGGGATCTCTTTCAGAAAGGCGACGTGAATTCCGATGAGATTGGAGAGGAGACTCGGCGCGGCATTCTCTGGCATTTGAACTAGCAATGGGCAGGAGTAGAAAGGGTCGACCCGATTCGTCATCCCTTCTTTGACTCAGCATTATTCTGAGAAAATTTCTTAAAGAGGGCTGGAGCGCATCGGAGCTTGCTTGTTGGCTCTCGCGGGCCGCGTAGCCGTCAAAAGAAGTTCCGCAGAGCCCGCTCCTCTCTAAGGACACTTTGGCTCGACAAATTAGGGGAGGATGTGCCAACCGGACGTCTGGGCAATAAAAAGTCTGGAACAGAGCCAGCTTGAATGTAATTTACAGTACTGTACGCCATTTTTGAAACGCGGCTATAGTCGCATTCTGGAGGACATCACCGCGATTAGTGCACGAGATAGCGCTCCGACAAGCGGCCCCGCCATCTGCACTCTTGTCGCAGAGGAACGCACGACAAAAGACGTCTCGTTGCCGAACCTGTGTTGGTAAGCAAATAAAGATTCGGTATATAAAGCCGACCACAAGTCGACGGCACAACCTAGTTTTTATTCTATTACAAAACACAGCTTTCCTCTGCAACTCAACAAGACCAACGTCTGTGCCTCGATGAAACCTTTTATTCTCCTCGACTTCCTCTTTTTTGCTTGTCTCGGCGTGGTACGTGCCCCCGCCACCACCTCAGTACAGATCTTGATCTTTCAAAAAGTTGACCTTCAGGGTGCTTCCAGGGCCTTCTCCTTGTCGTCGAAGAAGGCATAGGATACACTGGCGGAAAATTAATACAACGACGCGACTTGGCATTGGGTATCCAGCCTAGGAATGTCAAGGAGGTTCCTGTCACGATCTTCGAGCGGTGGCTTCACACTCGCCATGGCAATATGTTGATGAATTGTCAAGCAAACCTTGGCCCGCCCTCCAACCATGAAGCATTTGATTGCGCCTCCACGGCGGCTAACGAGTTCGGCATTAAAGTGTACTTTTGTGGCGGCAAGAAGAGCGATACCACAGGAGTCAGACCCTTGGACAAAGATGTGCTCAGCGCATTTTTCAAAGTGAGCACCGAACACAATGTGCGCGGGGAAGACAGCTTATGAAAGATATGCAGGTATGCCTCATTGGGCACCACAAAGGTGTAGTAACCAAAATCGTACTGAAAACCGATCATATACCAAAGACATAAAGCTCCTTCCTGGCAACACCGTGGGTCCGAGAGAGCTCGGCAAAGAAAGCAGGACCCCTTCCAAAGTCCACGTCATCCCCTGGGCGTTTCGGATTGCTATGCTCCATGTAGTAACGTTAGGTTTACTCTGCCAGCTGAATCACCTTTCTGACGGTGGGTCCGGAAGTGAGCAGAAAAGCATTGATCTGCCTGAAAGAAGTTATCCGTTAAGATGACGCTCAATCAATCTGGGTGATCGACGAAGGGGCAAAAAAACGAAAAGAGCCTACACCAAAATGTTTAGTGATGCGGACACAATGGAAGTCCACAGTCGCAATGTGGGACGGTAGCGCACCCTCGGTCTTCCTGACAAGCGTCAATCAAGGCCTCGTTTTGGGACGACGTTGCGCTCAGCTAGGCTGCTCCTGCGCTTTCAAGTGACCCCTTTGCGGCGCTCTGGGACCACGAAGTCAATAGTGTCAACGATAGAAAGGCAGCAGTTGATCGGCGACCAAGAAAAGGAGTGTTCTTGGCGCGGCGTGTTCTGAGTTCGTAATGGCGATGTGTCGCGCGGAAGAAAGGTTGACCCGACATCTCACGTTGGTAATTTCGAGCCTTATTGGGCAAGAATGATCAAGAGGCTGATTTGAGAGGGGCAGCGGAAAATTGGATTTGCCGGTGGGCTGGCGGTTTGGCGGGCTGGCGGGCCGCACAGCCCCTTTATAAGCTCCTCGAAACGGGCTCCTCTACGTAATCTTACAAGACAGAGTGGGCAAACGCGGAGCAGCGAACGCCGAAGACAGAGCAATCGCACGTAGATGCCTGACGTCAAAGGGAGCCGGAATGTTGCCACGTCAAAAGCAACAGGAGCTCGTGCCGCGATTACGGCAACAAACAGCGCGGCGGACAAGGCTAGGGCGCAGAGGGCGGCCTGAGCCAAGACGACGGTAATGCGCCCCCCGCAATCTACGCGTCAATCGCGGTGAAATCCGCAACGGAACCCTGACCCCTTCCCCAGTTCACAGAGTGGAAGCTGGAGACAGAGAAGGGCAAGACTCGAAGAACATAAGTACAACAGCAAAATGTGGGCAAGACGTGGGCACACCTCATTCCTCCTCCAGCTAAGGTTTTCACAAGTCAAAGATCAGCGCCAGCATCATCACGATGAAGACATCAAGCTTTCTCAAGCTCGCCGCCCTTGCTTGCCTCGGCCTGGTACGTCTTTGTGCAGTGCCTGTATACATTGAAGAAGCTCACTGCCGAATGCTTTTTACACCAGGCCCTTTTGACCGCCGTCCGCGGCAGTGATATGTCCAACCGTGGATTAAACAGCAAAGGAAGTCATCTCGAGGCAAGCGGCTATGAGTCCGGATCTTCTGGGCCTATGTATGCTCGATGGTGGTGCAAGGATGCCAAGGGTCGACCAATTTTCAGCTGCGATACCACATATCTCCCATCAAATTGGGATCGAAAATATCGTTGCAAGAGCGATGAACATGCTCAATATCAAAATATAGAGCAGTTCTATTGTTACCCGTTGAAAGGTTGGACTTACGACCAAACGGTCAAGGTTCTTACCAACGTGAGCATCATCCAGAATCTGCAATCTGTATGGCTGGCTGACGGTGAAAGAAACAGGACTGCAAAAATGTCAGAGGCACGCCCCATCTTTACATGCGGCACAAGAAATAGACTCCTTCCAGGCCGAACGATGTCCCAGATGGGTAGAGGAAGAAACGCTTTCTAGCCAAGCCATGTGATTCCTGCCTCATTTCTCATAGTAATGCAATCAGACAGCCAGGTCTGACAATGTCTGCCAAATGTGCCGTGGTGCTGAGCACAGGTCGTGGAATCTCTTGCCGGTCAAGCGTCATGCCTGAGGTCACCTCTTTCAGATGAGCCATTCTCCGCCTATCTCTAATCTTTACTTCAACTTTCCACGTCCTGCAACCTCTATACTGTACCATTGCTTGCTCCAGAAAGTGGCATGAACAAGACTGACCCGTACAAGAATAGTGAGGAAAGACGAATTGGTCTAACAAGACAGCGGAGCTTGTCATTGCCCCGGTGGTCTCGCTGACAGTCTGTTTCCGGCGAAAGTGGTTCCTCTCTATAAATCTACAAGACAGAGTAGACAGGAGAAATCCGGAAAAGAAAATGCCGAAAGCGGAGCAGTCACAGATAGCCGAAACGAACTCACGCCAAAGCAGTATGAGCTTGCGACGTGATTGCGGCAACATCTCTGCGCGGCGGACATGGCTGAGTTGCATGAAGTGGCCTAAGCCAAGACTACGGCATTGCGCCTCCCGCCATCTGCACGTCAATCGGAGAGGAATGCGCGACGGACCGCATTCCCTCCTCCCAACCCAGACAAAAAGCTTAGGATGGAAAATCCGAAAGGGCAAAGCTCGAAAGCTATAAATACAGCGTCAAAATGTGGGCAAGATGTGAGCCTACCTTCTCCAAGAGCTAAGATTTTCACAAGTCAAAATCAGCCCCAGCATCACGATGAAAACAGCAAGCTTCCTCAAAATCACCGCGCTTGCTTGCTTCGGCCAGGTACGTCTCTTAAGGTATGCCAAGGCACACTCAAGACGCTGACCGACAAGCGTATTGCTCCAGGCCCTCTTCGACGGTGTCAGAGGTGGAGACGTCTCAAGCGGCGGGCTCGAAGTCGAGGAACACCGTCTCGAGGCGAGACTATACACACCGTACACCGACGGCTACCAGATCTCCTGGCTGTGGCAAGACTGGAGCTTCAAAGATGGCAAACGCACACTCTACTATTGCCGTTCCAGATTCCCTCCACCAGGAGCCAAAAATTACAAATGTGACGGTCCGCATGATATTGGCGACCAAATAGCGCTTTGGCACTGTAGCAAGGCAGGATCTCTCCTCGACAGCGATCTGCTAGCGGACGCCACTTCGGTGAGCCTCGAAGGATCCTGTACGCATGCAAGACTGCTGACTCAAAATGCTTAGAGTTGTGCGAAGATGCAGGGCAAACGTCTACACTCGCATGGCCTTTATTAATTCGAGGCTGTCCCTCATGTCTATCACGATTTGGTCGACACGACTCGTAGTGATTCCATGTTCCAAGCCCCAAAGCGCCTTCTCCTCCTTAATTTTTATCATCTTGAAAATCGTGCAGCGAGGTTGGGCTATACTTGCTCGCCTCGGTCGCTGATCGTAAGATTTATAGTCAGCAAAGAAAGTGAACAAATCTGAGAGTGTCTCTTCGGAGGACACAACGGGAAAATTGAGGTGAGAGTGGCTAAGAAGGAAGCAATTGCGTCCAGGAGCAATCTTTGTGATCTTCTCTTTCAGCTTGCTTTCTTGGGCTTGCTGCTCGAGTGGGTTGTTGTATCGCAATGACTCTTGGTCTTTTCGTCTACCACGAATGCAGCAGCTTCTTGTTGAACCATGACCTTCCCCGGCCCATAATTATGAACAAGACCGCACCAAAATAATGACAAAAAAACACGTGGCGCACCTGATCGAAAGGGCGTGTGGCTCTCTCGGCAGACAGCGAGACAAGGGGAATCGAGCGCACCGCAATCTTCCTCTTGTCCTTTCTCCACCTTCAAACCAGGACACGGAACCACCACCCCTCGCTCGCTCGATCGACCGACGATGTACGGCGGCGGAGGGCCACAGCAGTGGGGCGGGCAGCAGCCACAGCAGCAGCCGCAGCAACAGCAGCAGCAGCAGCAGGGCGGCTACCTGCAGCCAGGAGGCTATATGCAGCCGCAGGCGACGGGCTTCATGCAGCAGCCCCAGCGGCCCATGATGACGGGCATGCCCAATCAGCAGGCCGGCGGCTTCCTCGGGCCACAGCAAACGGGCATGGGCATGGGCATGGGCATGGGCATGGGCGGCATGGGAGGCATGGGAGGTATGGGTGGCATGGGAGGCATGGGCATGCAGCCCCAGATGACGGGCATGGCCAGCATGCGCCAGGGGTACCCCGGCGGCCCTGGAGGCAGCGGCATGCTCGGCGTTCCTGGCGGTGGCCAGCCCCAGGGCGGCCGCTACCTCTCGCCGGGCCCCACAGGCGTCGCAATGCGGCCGCAGCCCACGGGTTATGGTGGAGGAGGAGGAGGCCCCATGCAGATGCAGGCCACGGGTCTCATGCCCCAAATGACAGGCATGGTCATGGACCCGCGTCTCCAGCTCATGTCGGCCCAATTCCTGCCCGCCGCACAGCCCTTTTCCGGTGGCCCACCCATGGCATCCAACATGAACTTTTCCAGCGCCTCGATGCAGCCGTCGAACTTCCAGTCGTCGATCCAGCAGCTGTCGCAGCAGCAGCAGGGCTCGCGGGAGCCAAAGATTCCCTGGGCACTCAGCAAGGAGGAGCGCAAGTCCTACGACTCCGTCTTTCGCGGCTGGGACCAGCAGGGCACCGGTTTCGTCTCGGGCGACGTGGCCCGCGAGGTGTTTGGACAGAGCGGCCTGGACCAGGACAAGCTGATGCAGATCTGGCACCTGAGCGACACGGAGAACCGGGGCAAACTCAACCTCGCCGAGTTCCACGTCGCGATGGGCCTCATCTACCGCGCACTCAACGGCAACGACATTCCCAACGAGCTGCCGGCCGAGATGGTGCCCCCCTCGGCGCGCGACCTGTCTGACTCGGTCGACTTTCTCAAGGATCTGCTCAAGCGCGACACCAATGTGCGCAACACGACGGGGCTCAACATTCCCGAGGCTGGCTCCAACCAGGGCGCGCAGTACGGCAAGTCGCGCTCGTTCCACGAGAACCCCGTGGTGCGGCAGGATGCGACAGCATACAAGCACTCGGACGACAGCGCCGGCACGGGCTACCGGTCCAGCTCGCGCCACCTGGACCGCAAGACGGTGCGCTACGGTGGCGAGAGCGCAGCCGAGGACCTGAGCGAGATGAAGCGGCAGCTGGCCAACACGCAGCGCATGCTCGACGAGCAGGACGACGACAAGGACGACGACGACCGCGAGGTGGAAAAGGACATGGAGGAGCTCCGTTTCCGCATCAGGCGCGTGCAGGACGACATCGACTACTACAACCGCCGCGGTGGGCGCGAGGCCAACGAGAACCGGCGCAAGGCCGAGCGCGAGCTGCTGCACCTCATGCACGAGCGCCTGCCCCAGCTCGAGAAGCGGCTCGAGGCAAAGGACAAGAAGACCAAGGACAAGAAGGCCGTCGAGAGCCGGGAGCGGGACCGGCGCAACGACACCTATGCCCGCCGGGGCCGGTACGACGACGACGGCGGCGACTACGACTACAGCGACCGAAACCGGGACCGTGATGGCGACCGCGACAGAGACAGAGACAGGCGGTATCGCGACGAGGACAGCAGGGGCAGCACCCCCACGCCTCGCAGCGACGATCGGAGGGGGGACAGAAGCAACGATGACGCCGATCGCACGCGCAGCCCGGCGCCACCGCCGCCTGCTGCCGAGCCAGCGGCAAGGGCAGCGCCAGCCCCTCCCGCACCACCGGCCGTGTCGGCGGTGGCAGCGCCTGCGCCGGCACCGTCGTCGGGGCCACCGAAAAACATGACGCCCGAGGAGCGTCAGGCGTGGATCCGCTCCGAGGCCCAGCGGAGGATCCAGGAGCGAATGCGAGCGCTGGGTGCTGCTGCGCCGCCTTCGTCATCTTCGTCGTCGACACCGGCCTCGCCAGTGCCCGACACGACCGTCGAGAGCCGTCTGGCCGCGGACCGGGCCGAGGCAGAAGCGCGCGCAGCCCAGGCCGACGCCGAGGCCGCTGCTCGCGAAGAGGCCAGGCGGGCCCGCCTCGAGGAGCAGCGTATCGAAAAGGAGCGCGCGGCCGTAAGCACCATCAAGTCGGAGCTCAAGGCTCAAGAGAAGTCGGACGCGCCGCCGCCGGCCCCGGTGATGCAGGCCGCGCGCGAGGAGGTCGACGAGCAGGAGGCGATGCTCAAGCGGCGCGAAGAGGTGCTCCAGCGGGAAAAGGCCGAGCGAGAGGCCCGGTTCAAGCGCCTCGAAGAGGAGGAAGCCGAGGCCAAGCGCCAGGAAGAGGCCTTCAAGGAGCGCCAGAGCATGTTCCAGAACCAGGGCAAGTCGGCCGCCGGCGGCCTGCCTGCGCCCAGCCGCAAGCCAAAGGGCGGTCCTCCCCCGCCGCCACCTAGTCGAAGCCGCGCACCGCCGGCACCAGCGCCTGCTGCAGCACCGGCTCCTCCCCCTCCTCCTCCTCCAGCAGCTCCGGCAGCCCCTCCTGCACCAGCAGCTCCAGCAGCGACTGAGGCTGGGTCTGCTGCGCCAACGACGACGACAGAGGGAGGCTCGAGCACGAACCCCTTTCACCGCATGCAGGGCTCGGCCACCACGCCCTCGGCCACGACGCCGGGCGGTACCAACCCCTTCTTCCGAGGCCAGCCTGCGCCGGCAAGTGCCAATCCCAACCTGCCTGCGCCGCAGCGCTCGACACCTCCCGTCAGTGCCGTCGCCTCGCCTGCTCCGGCTGCTGCAGCCGCCGCAACCCGCGCCCCACCGCGCGCTCCCACCGAGGACGACGACGACTGGGGAGACGACGACAGGAGCCACGACGACGATGACGACGACGCCGATGGGCCTGGCTCCACGACGAGAGCCACGAGACAGAACCTGGCCCAGGCCCTCTTCAGCGGCCTGGTGCCTTCGGCGACGCCACCACCACCACCTCCTCCTCCTCCTGCGCCACCGGCAGCAGCAGCAGCAGCAGCAACAGCAGCCCCTCCGGCCGCGCCACCAGCCCCCGCGGCGCCACCTGCTCCTGCTGCACCTCCCGCTCCTGCTGCGCCTCCGGTGGTCGTCGCTGCGCCGGCGCCTGGCCCTGCCGACCGCGGTGCGCTCCTCGGCCAGATCCAGGGCGGCCTCAAGCTGCGCAAGGCCCAGACCAACGACCGCAGCGCCTCCAGCCTCGCGGGCGCCGTCATTGGCGACCCGTCGCCTCCTGTCCAGAAGTACGTCCCACCGCCAGCAGCAGAGGAAGCACCGGCGGCAAAGGCACCAGCTCCTGCCGCAGACGACGTCCAGGTCAACCCCAATCGGCAGTCGGTCGACTGGGCCAACAACCTCGCGGCTGACCAGATGAATGGGAAAGCCAGCGTGCAGCCCGACGAGCCATCCGTCGTTGAGGAAGACTCCGACGACGAGAACGAGGGACCAGAGGACGTCGATGGCCAGAGTCTGGCCCGCAAGGAGGGCGTCGACGGGCACGTCAACGGCGGCATCCCCACGGAGCCAGCGCCCACGACGGACCTGGCCTCTGCGGCAGATGCAGCAGGAGACAAGGCCGATGCCGAGGACGGTCTCGCCGACTTTGACCTTTCCAAGACGGTCCGGGTGCGCACGCTGTACCAGTACGCAGGCCAGCGCGACGAGGACCTCAGCTTCGAGGAGAACATGGTCGTCCTCGCGCACCCGGCCAAGGACGGTGCGCCGAGCGACTGGTGGTACGGCACGCTGCTGACGGATGCAGCGGGCATCAAGGGCACGTTCCCCAGTGCCTACGTCGAGGACATTGAGAAGCGTGAGTGATAGATTCCCTTCTCTATTCCTTCCCCGCCATTCACTGATACATGAGATAAATACACACACACAGCAAAGCAAGCCAAGGCTCTATACGACTTTGTGTCGTCGAACCCAGAGGAGGCCTCCTTTGACGAAGGCGCGACGTTGGCCGTCGTCGACGACTCGGACCCCAACTGGTGGAAGATTGAAAAGACGGACAAGATCCTGCTGGCGCCGGCAACGTACATGGAGCTCGCCGGTTAGTAGACAGACCATCCACTCTTCAGACCCCTTCCTCCAAGCAGCCTTCTCCAATCTATTCGTTTCTCTCTCCTCTTTGTATCTTCCTCTTTTCCCTTTCTCCTCCTCTCCTTCCTCCCTCCTCCCTTGCCATGTTCGCCTTCTCCCTCCGCATCGCTCCTTCGTCTATCTCTTCCCTTGCCAAACTCCTCCTCCCTTCCCTTCCCCTCCTTTTCATCCCTCTGTCCCCGTGTCACCGCGCCCCCTTCCTCCCTCCTCCTGTTGTTGCCCTGCACGCCGTGTGGGATTACCCAAAGGTCCCTTGTGTTCTCCCTTTGCAGCGTCGCGGTCCACCAACTCGGGGCTGGGAAGGGGTCCTGATGGACCGGGGGATCTAGAGGGGTGAAAAGAGAGGAGAGGAGGGGGACAAGGCTTGCGCAGGAAGAAATAGATTGATTAGCGGAAAAGGGGGACACGAGAACAGGGCTGGGAACGAGGGTGGACAGAAGGAGGGGGGAGAAGAGGAAAGAGGAAGATGCGAAGAGCAGGAGAATTGGGAAAGGGGGGAGAAGGAAGCGGTTGATGGGGGTGGAAAAGACCACGCTGTATGCTGTGTTGCAGAAGGAGACTTACGCAGACACCATGACCTCTTCTTCCCCCTTTCTTTTTTTTTCTCCTTTCCTGTTCCTACTACCTTGCTCTATTCGGAATGGGACAATCTCAAAATCGCATCCCGTCGCCCGCCGTCGTCCTTCGTCTCCGACTCTCTCTCTCTCGTCTTGTTTGTATCGATGTGGTGGCGCAGACCGGCCGGCGCCTGCTGCGCCCACTCGGCTCGAGATGGGCGGGACATCGCACCGATCGGCGGCGATCGCGGCACCAGCAGAGGCCGCCGGCCACAAGGACAAGGGCTTTCTGACGCCCTCAACGGCGCGCACGCCTGTCACGCCCATGTACGTGCACGGCGACGAGGTGCTCAAGAAGAAGCCGTCGGTCCTGCGCCAGCCCTCGTCCTCGCACCTCGCGGCAGCGCCGTCTGTGTCTGTGCCTGGCGAAGGCGAAGGGGAGAGCATCGGCGCAGACGGAGAAGAAGACGTGGCGATGCAGGAGGCCATCAGGGCCTCTGAGCGCGACGAGCGCGAGAGGAGCGTCGCGCGGGCCAGAGAGTGGGTGTTTTGGAGAATTGGCATTGCGCTTTGATTGATTGACTGACGGACCAATTCTTGCACCGTTGAATTTGAACAGAGACAAGGACCTCAAGAGGGCGCTGGCCTTGTCAAGGAGGGAAGGGGAAGAAGCGGAGGGAGAAGAGGAGGAAGACGAAGAAGAGGTCTCGGACGAGGACGGCTACTCGACGACGGGCTGGTCGAGCAGCGAGGAGGAGGACGAGGAGGACGAACAAGGCGGGGGCGGAGAAGAGGAGGATGAAGAGGCGAGGGAGAAGAGGGCGGCCGAGAGGCTGAGGGTCCTCGAAGCGGCGGGCATTCTCATCAGGGGCGACGCACCAAAGGGCAAGGCAGCGGCTGCTCCTGCTGCAACAAGCGGCGGAGAGGAGCCCGCTGAGACGCTCGATGCCGATCCGCTGGCCAAGGAGGAAGCACAGGAGACAGAAGAGCAGCTGCTGCAGAGAAAGAGGACGAGGCGGGGTCCAAAACCCGAGCGGCCCGAACGAAAAGGGTCGCGGAGACCAAAGAAGCCCCAACGCGCGCCACCTGCCGTCCCTCCTCCCGTTCCTGCTTCATCTACATCTACTTCCAACATACCCGTCGACGGCAAGCACGAGGTCGGCCCCGCTGTGCCGGCCAAAGATGCGCCAGAGGTCGAGATGGACGATGCCTATGCCCGATATGTCGAATTCACCCAGGAGGTTTCGGCAAAAAGACCAGTCGAGACGCCAACGACACCCGCCGCTTCCTCGTCCAGACACTCGGGTCTGTTCTCGAGCAAGAGGATCCCCTCGCTTTCAACCACCTCGCCCCCCTCTTCGCCACCGCCTGCTGCTTCCGCCTCGGGAGCAGGAGAGTCATCGAGGGGTAGTGGCTTCCTGTCGACGATCATGAGCATGTCCTCGAGGCGGGGCGCTGCCTCTCCCGCCGAGAGAAAGGCCACGCCGACGATTTCCGGCCCCATGGCACTTGGCTCCCCTGTGCCTTCTCCCGCCCCTGGAGAAAAGCCCATGCCGGATCGGACGAGCCTGATCAGCAACTCGTCGACCTCGTCGTCTTCGCAGGCCACGACGCTGGCCACGACGACCGACAGCGCGGCACAGCAACCGTCGATGACGACGACGTCGTGGTCCAGCCAGCTTGGCGGGGACAATGGCGACTTTCTGGCCCAGATGCCGGCCAAGGAGCGCAAGAGGCAGGAGGCCATCTTTGAGCTCATCCAGACCGAGACCACCCACGTCCGCGACCTGCAGGTCATTGTCGAAGTCTTTTACTCGTCGCTCATCGCGCCCCAGCTGGACGGACAGCCGCCCGCGCTGACGGACAAGGCCACGACGGTCATCTTTGCCAACATCGAAGACGTGCTTCTGGCGGCCGTGTCGCTCCTCTCGGACCTCGAGACGCGGCAGCGCGAGAGCCACCTCATTGTGGACCGCATTGGCGATGTACTGCAGACGCACATGGAGCGCATGGCCGTCTACATCCCCTACTGCGTCAACCAGAGCACGGCCGCGCAGATCCTCGAGGCAGAGCGCAAGAGAAATAAGTCGCTGGAGTCACAGCTTGCGTTGCTCAGGACGACGCACCCCAAGGCCCGCGGTCTCGACCTGGCAAGCTTCCTGCTGATCCCGATGCAGCGCCTGACGAGATACCCGCTCCTCATCTCGCAGATCGTCAAGTACACCGAGGCAGAGGAGGGCGAGGTGGCCATCTTTGAGCAGGAGGTCGACTCGCTCAAAAAGAGCCTCAGGGAGGCCCAATCGCTCCTCGATACAACCAACGAGACGATCCGGCTGAGGCAGGACCACGAGCGCCTCCATGACATTTCGAGGAAGCTCTACATTGGCTCGTCGGAGGGCAAGAACGGCAGTGTGCATCTGGACCTCACCCAGCCGACGCGCTTCATGGGCCGGCGCCGCATCCTGCGAGACGAGGTCCTGACCAAGCAGAGATCCGGCCGCAAAATCTCGGTGCTGCTCTGCTCCGACCTTCTGCTCCTCCTCGTCGAAGGCATCAGCTCCTCCAAGTCGGCGAATGGCGGGGGCCCAACGACGGTGACGAGGCTGTACCGCATGCCGATGCCGCTCGAGGAGATCGTCGTGGGCGATGCACCAAACGTGGCAAAGGCCTTCAGCGCCAACCCACGCGACGATGCTGCATTCCAGGTCGTGCACCAGGGACGCGAAAAGACAAACCTGCGGTGCCAGAGCGCACGGCACGCGCACCTTTGGATGCGAGACATTGACGTAGCCAGAGCCGCGTGTCTGGCAGCTGCGGTGAGTCGCTTGTGACAGGCGCGCCTGTATGACGATAGAAGGAAGAGCTGACATAGGAAGAGGATACAGAACAAGCAGCGAAAGGCATCAGATCGACGGTCCATGATCGCTATGAAGTAGGGCGTGGCGGGGTTCCCTTTGCTCTTTCAGTCGCCTCGTGACAATCTGTAGACGGGTCTATGTATTAGGGGAAAGTACCAGCCAAGGTTTACAGATCTATAGGCCTGAATGAGCTGTGACGGGGAGAGGAGATAAGGTAGGAGGGGAGCACTTGGGTGGGCAGAGAAGGAACATAGAGCGAAAGAAGTTCAGCGCGTTAGCGAACTCGGCGAGCTGCCAGGACCGCCACCTGCTGCGCCAGGAGGATGGGGACGACGAAATCGAGGAGTCTGGTCTTGGCATCCGACTATGATGACGAGCTCGACATACTGCAAAATTGACGCACACACCCAGTCGGGGTGATGCTTTTGAAATCGGTGCTGTAGAGCGATCGTGTCAGCAGAACAATGGCATGATGGTTTCGGGAGGAGACTCACCGACAATTCTGTGCCGTCGCTGAACATGATATCAACGTAGCCCTTCCCAAACGAGTTGTCATAGCAGATATAGCCCTCTTTTTGTTTTCTGAACACCCTGGCAAAAGGGCCGTCATTATTCTTTGTTTCACGTCAGCGCTCAATACGTCTGCAGAGGTCACCATTCAAGTCGCTCACTTCGCAGTAGACGGACATGCTTGTTTTATCCCGTCTTGGGTCTGGATCCACATACGAGAGAAATTCGCCTAAAGGTACCGAGATTTTTCCCCGAAACCCCTTTTCGTCCCGGTCCTGCCATTGTGCGCCTCCAAAGTCGGGAGCGAGAGCGTAGGCACAGGGCGAAAGGATGACGCAGATGTGAAGATTATCGCACGCGTCTCTGCAGGGCAAGAGTTTGAGCAGTGATTCAGAGGAAAAAGCAGAAGGAGACCGTACTTGTCCTTGCCCTTGAATTTTGTCGGTACTGGTCCTTTGCAAACACTCTGACTATTGTGGTGGCCGCCAGTGCGTAAGTCGCCATTCACGGACGCCATCGGTCCATAGGGTACTTCAATGGCCAGGCTTGTCGCGAGGAGGGTGATAATGAGGAAAAAGTGGACAAGGGCTCCGGTGAGAGTCATTTCCGTAGTATGTTGGGGAGAGCGAACAATCACTTCGAGACTCCAGAAGACGAGAGTCCGTATGAGGCGGTGGTGTCTGAGAGAGAAAGAGAAAAAAATGACGGAGCGGATTATCTTGAATCTTCTGTCTTTTTTTGCTTAGGTACAGGCACTGACGGCGCGACTCCTAGCCTTCTCCGTTGTCTGCACCATAAGCGCTGAGCGGTGCTCCGTCCAGTACTGAAGTCTTGTTCCGTCTCCATCGCCGCTCCGCTTCCTTTTTTGTATTTGGTGTATTCCCCGCTGCTTGTGGATTTCAAGGCGAGCAAGATGGATGCTCCGTACAAAACGACCAGCTTACTCTTGATCAGGATCAAAATCCGAGGAGAAGTATCACTACGGAAGGAGGCGATGGGAGTAGGCACAAGAGAAGTATAGTGGAACTTCGTAGGCAAAGATGGACCATACAGCGAACAAATCTCAGCCCGTTAGCGAACTGGGCGCGCGACCAGGACCGCCAGGACTACCTGGGCTGGGGCGGGGCCGACGAGGTCGAGGAGCTGGGACCCGGCATTTGACTTTGATGACAAGCTCTGTCTTCTGCGTAGTGGACGCGCACGCGTAATTAGGATTTGTGTCCGAAACGCCCTGTTGAAAGAGCAAAAATACTGCAGATAGGCATGATGACTCCCGATGACCAGAAGAAGAGCGACTGAGGAACGCTCACAGAGTCTGTGTCCTTACTGAAATGAATATCAATGTATCCCGCTCCAAGCGAATTGTCGATGCAGATTTTTCCGTCATCGTTCCATCTCTTTAACCTGGCGTGAAGATTTTCATCTTGGTTCTTCACGTATCGTCAGTATCTCGACGAGGACACGAGAACCGCAATGGCTCGCTCACTTCGCAATGAATGAACATTTCTGTCCCATCTTCTTTTGGGTTTGGGCTTGTGAATGATAAAAACTCGTCCAGTGGGACGACAATCGTTCCGCGTTCACCTCTATGATCATTCGCCTGCCAAGGTACGCTAAATTGTGGTGAGTTGGCGTAAGCGCAAGGACGAGAGAATGATGCAGACGTGTCTGTAATCGCAAAGCTGTCTGCAGGGCAAAACTTTGAGCTATGGCTAGAAGGGCAGTAGAGGGAGATCGTACTGTGAAAATGTTGCCGGCTTTGCGCCGGTGCACGTTTTCTTATGGTGCCTGCCAGCAGGCAGCTTTCGGTGCACGGTTGCCATCGGTCCATAGAGCCCTCCGATTGCCAGAGTTGGCGCAAGATAGGCGGTTATGAGATAGATGTGGACAAGGGCTCTGGCGAGAGTCAGTGCCATGGTAATGTCATGAGGGCGAAAGAAGTAGTCGCGATGAATTAAGAAGATGGCTGGTCGGAGGCTGTGGTGTCTGAAAGAGAAAAGAAATTTGGGTGACATTGTGCCCAAGCTGGCATTGACGGAGAGGACCGGCGTACGAAACCAGTCTTGTTAGTGCCTGGATAAGCCCAGGCACTGCTGGCAGGGCCCCTAGCCAGCAGCGCCAAGCGGTGTTCCGTCCTTGACTGATGTCATGTTCCGGCTTCAACGCCAATCCGCTCACCTTTATCCTCTAATTTGGTAAACGCCCACTGCTTACGAATTTTAAGATGAGCAGACACACTGCTCCGTGCCCGACCGTCTTTTTACGAGACTTTACGAAACGAACTTTGATTAGGAACTGACTGGTACACTAAGGAAGAGGGAGGCTATAGGAGCAGACGCAAGAGAAGAACAGCAGAATATCTGGTATAGGCAGATCAGGGATGACCACTGCCAGGACCAGGGTTAACTTTACGGTGAACGGCATAGGGCTTGTCTCGACAGATAACGTGGATAAGGAGCTCGGTCTTCTGTTGATATCCTGCGCACCCCACGTTAGGATGCTTCGCACGGTTTGGGAACTGTTCAGAATCACATGAGCAAGCACGGAATCGATTGATCGAGATGATAGTATAAAGAAGGCTCACAAACCATTTTTTGTCCGGGCTAAAGTAGGCGTAAATGTAGCCATTCCCACTCGAATTGTCGAGGCAGATGGAATGCGAATGCCCGTGCCTCCTTATACTGACGCGCGCACTGGGATCTCCATACTGTCCTTCATTTCAGCTCCACGCTACGAACGCGCAAAGACCATTGCTTTGCTCACCTGGCAGTAAACGTCCATCGAAGGAAGGATGTCCGCGGGAGACAAGAAATATCCGCGTCCACCGTATTTATCCACTTGCTGCCATATTTGCTTCACATTCTTCGATTCTGCTTTAGCGACGTAGGCGCAGGTGGATAATGTTAGGCAAACACCGTAGGGCTTTTCACAGCTGCAAGTGCAAATCAAGAATGTAAGCTGAGGCGAAGAGAAGAAGCTCAGAACATACATCAGTTTACTCCTAGCAATAGGAGGGGGGCCGGTACAGACTGGGTGCTGCCGCTTGCTGAGCATCGTGCTGTCCTTCGCGCATACCATCGCTCTATGATAAGCGCTGTCGCCTAGCAAAGAGATGAGCACGACGAGTGAGAGAAGAATGTCAACAAAGACCCTGATGAGAGACTTCGGGCGAGATGTCATCGTGGAGAACAAAAGGCCGTCCGAGGAGTGGTTTTTTTTCTAAGAAGGAGCAAAGAAAGTAGAGTGGGTCCCATGTCTTGCTTTTATCTGCTTGGACTTATCCGAGGAAACGTCGGCGTAGCTCCTAGATTAGCTGTTATCGTGTCAACTACAAAAACCGGACTGAGTCGGACTTTGCAACCAGCGGTTTCGTAGTTGGAAATTCTGATGTCTCCGACCGCTTCGACTTTTCGACGTATGGTGGTCCAGACGCGCAAACGCTCGGACCACTTTGACGCCTATTACTTCTCATTTGTGATGCTCTCTTTTCTCTTTATCTGATTACATCTCTTGCTCTTCTTCGTCGTCCGAACGATCGGGAGAGTCGGGGGCCGGAGTCACTCCAGTACTCAAGGGCGGTTTTGTCTCGGGCCGAGGTCTTCGCTCACGCTCAGCCGTCCTCCTCAACTCCGTCAACGACTGTGGGCACACCGAGCGACCAGACTTCCAACTGTCACGACATGTCACGGACCAATCTTCGAGTAGGAAGAACTTTGATTGAGTTACAAAATCGGTACATTTATGAAGAGAGAGGCAATAATAGGAGCACCGGCAGGAGAAGAGCAGCAGAACACCTTTGTTTATGTTAGGGATGACCATGGCGAGGAGGAGGGAGAGGATTACGGTGAGGAGCAGCAGGGTTGTCTCTACAGACGACGTTGATGACCAGCTCTGTCTTCTGCCGATATGTTGCGCACCCTGCTTGAGGTTGCTTCGGATAGTCGAAGAACTGTCAAGAAACACATGAGCAAGCACGGGCACGATGGCGCAAGGGGACGGTATAGAAAGGCTCACAAACCATTTTGTGTTCTTGCTAAAGTAGGCGTAAATGTAGTCGTTCCCCATTGAATTGTCGATGCAGACAGATGGCAATTGCTCGTTCCTCCATATGAGGACGTGGTGAGCAGTATCTCGGTACTGTACCGTATTTCTTTTCAGCTCTACTCTACGAGCAGGCAAAAGTTATCCTTTTGCTCACCTGGCAGTAAACCTCCATCATAGGGAGGGTAGCCGCCTTGGCCATGAGAATTCCGCGTCCCCCATATCTATCCGTACGCTGCCAAAGCTGCCCAGGCACGGTCAAATCCAGAGAAGGAACGTAGGCGCAGGCTGAGAACGTTATGCATACACCAAAGGAGGCACAGCTGCAGTGCATTTCAATGATCAGAGGCGAAGAGAAGAGGCTCAGAAGGACACCGTACGTTAGTTCTTTCTTTTTCACGGGAGGGGGGCCGGTGCAGGCTGGGCGCTGCCGCTTGCTGACAATCATGCTGCCCTTCGCGGATACCATCGTTCCATGATAAGGACCGACGCCTAGCGAAGAGATGAGTACGATGAGTAACAGAAGAATGTCCACAAAAATCCTGATGAGAGGCTTTGGGCGAGATGTCATCGAGGAGAGCAAAGGTTGTCCGAGAAGTGGTGTCTATTCAGGAAAGGAGCAAAGAACGCCGAGTTGGTCCCTGACTCTGGTTTTAAATGCCTGGCCTTACCTGAGGAGAGGTCGGTGTAGCTCCTAAGCAGAGCTCATATCGTATCCGTCAGAAATCAACGGCAGGAGTCGGACTTTGCGGCAAGCAGTCTCTTATGGTGCCCTCCAGCCGACAAGGTTCGATGCACGGCTGCCATCGGTCCCTAGAACTCTTTGATTGCCAGAGAGGGCGCAAGATGAGCAAGACGTAAAGAAGGGCTCTGGTGAGAGTCATTACCTTGGTACTGTCGTGGGGTTGAATAAAGTTCTCGTGATTGAAATAGACGACGGGCCGTGCAGGGCGGTACTTGAGCGACATTGAGCCCAAACTGGCATTGACGAAGAGGACCGGCGCACGAAAGCCTGTCTTGGTATTGCCAGCAGAAGACCAGGAACTGCTGGCACGCCCCCTCGCCAGCAGCGCTGAGCAGTGGTCCGTCCAGGATTGATGTCATGTTCCGGCCCCAGCGCCACTCCGCCCACCTTCCTTTCTCTTATTTGGTAAACGGCCCACTGCTTGCGAATCATAAGATGACCGAACGCACTGCCCCGGCCACGGCCATCTTGTCAGGAGAGGTAATGGACCGAAAGTTGAACAGAAGGAACCGGTACATCAAGAAAGGAGGCAATAGGAGCAGACACGGAGCAGACACAAGGGAAGAAAAACAAACCTTCTTTCAGTATTGGCAAATTTCAGAGATTATCAATGCCAGGACTACTGCCGGGATTAATAGGGCGAGGATCAGGGCGAGATTTAGGGTGATAACCAGGGACACGCGGACAGAAAACACGGATGACGATTTTCTGCTTTTTTGGTGCGCACAATAGATTGCTCCAATACTCTGGGAGCTGCTCAAGAAACACATCGAGAAACACATGAGCAAAAACGGGCGCGATGGTGCAAGGGGTAGGTATAAAGAAAGCTCACAGAAAATATCGTGTCCTTGCTAAAGTGGGCGTAAAGGTAGTCACTCGCAGCCGAATTGTCGATGCAGATATAATTCCGGTACTTTTTTATGGTGACGTACGCCATGGTATCTCGATTCTGCCCTTCCTTTCAGCCCAACTCTACAAGCGAGCAAAGACCAACCCTTTGCTCACCTGGCAGTAAACTTTCATGTCACGAAGCTTAGCCGCGGAAACCGTAAGAGACCCGCGTCCACCATGTCTATCGATTCGCTGCCAATGCTCCCCAAGCACTTTCGGATCTGCTGCAGGCACGTAGGCGCAGGTTGAAAAGAATATGCAGACCTCGGAGGAGTCACAGCTGCAAGTCAAGTCCAGGGTGTAAGCAGATGCGAAGAGAAGAGACTCAGAGATACACCGCACAGTAGGTCTTTCACAAGTACCGGATGAGGGCCGGTACAGATTGGGTGCGGCCGCTTGCTGGCGATCGTGCTGCCCTGCGCGGACACTGTCGCTCCATGATAAGCTCCGCCGCCAAGAGAAGAGAAGAGTACGATGAGGAAGAGAAGGACGCCGACAAAGAATCTGACAAGGGACTTTGGGGGCAATGTCATCGTAAAGAACAAGCTTCGTCCGAGAAGTGGGCCATATGAAGGAAAGGAGCAAAGAATGTAAAAAGCTGTCTGGTCGGTCCTTGATTGAGGAGATGGCGGCGTGGCTCCTCTTGAAAGCTCATAATGTCTCCGTTATAAAAATAGACGGACACGGGCTCTGTGGCCAGCGGCTTGCTGTGTCTCATTCTGACGCCGATGCCGCTCCGCGTCCCTCGTCTGCACTACTCAACGGCCCGCTGGTTCTCAGCTTTTCCTCCAGCCAGCAGAGCACCGGCAATGATTTTGCGAAGAGACCGGCCATTTTACTTCTTTCAAGAATCATAGATGCGAACAGTGATGTCTTCGCGGAAGACGATGCCTGCGTCTCGGGTCCAAGGCCGAATTCATGAGTGAAGATCGGAAGACATTCACACCCCATCCGGCCCTCGATGATCGTTGGCATCGGCTCTTTACGCCGTTCTTATTCTCCCCCATGTTGATGCTCAAAATCCCCTTCGTGGCTATATCGCTACATACAGTCCACAGTCAAGAGTGCGGTGACGGCTTTGGCCATAAGCACTTGATGTCGATTATGAACGGGTTACCTTTATTCTGGTCAAAGGGGGCGAGATAAAATGTCCCTTTTTTCTTTGTCTGCCAGCGAGCAGCCACAAGGTCGTTATGTCAGTGATCGCAAGGAGATGTAAAGATCGGCTACTCACCCATACTTTGAGCCAATCCTTGCGAAAGTAGGCATCTACGTAGCCGGCGCTAAGGTGATTATCTATGCCCATGCCCAGATAACCTTGTTTGTAACTTCTCCAAACCCCAACTGAGAAGGGTTGACCCTGAGAGAAAGTCAAGAAACATTGGCGAGTTGGTCTAGTAACAGGACAGGAGCGCGCCATAGAGATACTCACATCGCAACTGAAGAAAGCATAAACATCTTCGCTTTGGAAATAGTTTGTCTTGTACATGCAAAGTTGTCGGCCATTTCCTTTCCTATCGAGCTTTCTGCAGTGGTGGTCGCCAGGCGCTTCCACTGCGTAGGCGCACGAGGGCAGGACGACGCAGACTATTCCCGCAGTGCAGTACTCACTGAAAAAAGAGAGAGTAAGATGAAGACTGCGGTGCAAAGAGGTTCCAGAGACTACCGAGCTAGATTGGAAGGAGCCACTCACTTGATGTAATCCGGGTCGAGTTGAATTGGCCCACGGCAGACTTTTACCTTCTTCTTCTTCTTCTTCGTCTTCTTCTTGTGAGTCCTATCTGCTGACTCGGCGTCTTGTAGGTCTTGGGTGTCTTGTAGGGCTTGAGCGTCTTGTAGGTCCAGGATGTCTGGCAGGTCTTGAGGGGGAAAGCATGTCACCCACGACAAGACGACAAGGATCGGCACGAGGTAGCGGAAGGCCCTCATCGTTGTAGTGTTCCAAGTGAAAAGAGAGCGAGAAGGAAGAGGTAAGGATATGGAAGAAGTGTTGATCCCCTCCAGGCATGGCCCTCTATATAAGATCACGAAAGAGGGCGGTGGCGGCTTGCGTCTTCAGTCGCCTGATTGCACACACGGAGGGGGAGGAACTCACTCAGATCATCCCGTTGTCCGTCTTCTTTATCCTTCTCCGGTGTTGTGCTCCGCCCTTGCAGCCAACTCGGCTATGTCTACCGTCCCCCCCCCCTTTCTGTCTACAGCGTAGTCACAGAATGGATCGCACTCCGACAGATTATTCTCCCACGACTGTGAAAAAGGGAAAGGACGGTGTGACTGAGTAGAGTGAAAGGGGACAGAAGGCCGAGGGCAAGCGGCCTTGACAATGACGGTGGACTGCGACGCAACGAGAAGAGGCGCGGCACTCTGCGTCCAAAAGATAAATAGAGAGGCCCGGGTGTTTCATTGAGGGGATTATCAGCGCGATGCCTGCATTGTATTGATCAACGGGGTTATGCTGACATTGGAAGACCAAGCTTTTCTCCGCTCGATGCATGACGGTCGCGCGGCGAGGAACTGGGGTGCCTCTGAGTCAGCCACGGGCGGCCCGCGATTGGACGATGGCTTGCCGACTGTTCACAGCCAAGCGTTGACCGGCAGGGAAAGAGGTAGAATTCATCTTGGTATAGCATTTCAAGCATACGGGAAAACAAGACATTAGAGTGGTTGGCATTAGTTGGCAAGGCCGCGCCAGAGGCGATTGTCGTGAGACTCGTTGAAGCGCAGGACAAAGTTGACGATGGTGCTGGCCAAGAGCGTTGCGCAGAGGAATGTAGGGCCGTAGGCGTCAAAGTAGATGTTGCTGCTCTCCTTTTTGCGGATCTTAAGGCTTCTCCAGACGTAGATGATGCCGCTGTATGCGATGCACAGGAGCGAGACAACGGTAAAGAGACCCGAGGTGATGAGGCCGATCTTGTCACCGGGCTTGCTGTAGTTGACCATGCCCACGGCAAGCGCGCTAATGAAGACGGAGAACTCGAGCCACTTGAGGAACGTCCGCTCGGCAGCAAAGTACGTCTTGGGCTCAATTCGGATGGGCAGAGACACCTTCTTGCCGCTGGGCGCCTGGAACGATGTGACGTACTCTGGTCGAAGCGGCATCGTGGGCTCCTCTTCTTCGTCGCGGCCCTGGAGCCTTCTGGCGGCAATCTCGTCTTCCAGCTCATCGTCACCGTCTGCATCTGCGTCGTGCTCGCTGGTGCCATCGCGCGAGTACTTTGCCCTCCAGAGGCGCTTGATGTTCTTTGGCGTCAGCTTCGTAAAGTAATTCTTGTCGAATGCTGTGCTCGTCGACAGGATCTCATCGCGGCCGACGGGCGCCTTCTTCGCGCTGCCTCCTGGCCCACTGCTGCTACCGCGGCGTACGGCACCGGGAGGAGAGACGGCAGACCGCTCGGCGGCCAAAACGCCAGCGGCGAGGTTAGAAGTCGCATCCGGATTCTCGGCGCGCTGCTTCTCAAGCTCAGCCTGGCGGTCGCGAATGTTTCGCATGCGCTCCTCGCGGGCCTCGCGGATCCTCGGGTCGTGAGGCAGCAGGCCGAGGTTGTTGGCCTCGTGCCGGTCGTCGGCAATCACACCGCTGTTGATGCCATGGGTCTCCTCGTCTTCTTCTTGGCCCTCAAACTCGTCCTCGCTGACGGGCTCGTGGTAGGGGCTGGCACCCTTGCTGCCCGGCGTGTCAGGCCGCGACGACGAATTGGAGTTCTGGTGAGACGCCGGACGGGCAATCTCGAGCTGGCGCGTGGGCGCCTTGCGAATGTCGATGTCCATCTGAGGCAGCCAGAACGGCACGAGGTCGACTCGGTTGGCCAGCAGCGTAGCACATCCATGGATGAACTTGGAGAACTTGGGCACCGCCTCGACGAGATGGCTGGCCACGAGCTCGCGCACCCACTCCGGCGGCTCCTGGCCCATCTGCGTCTGCAGCTTGACCTCGAGGACGCCGTACGGGAATCGTTCAATGTCGTCGGCGGGTAGCTGGTCAAAGGGGTAGTCGATGCCAATGTCCATGCGCCTCCAGTTGTCGGCTGCGCGCTTGCGGTTGTCCCAGTTGTCCTCTCGGACCAGCGAGAGTTCCGTGTCGAGAGAGATGCGGACGCGGGCGTCACCGGGCAGCTGAAAGGCAGTGCGGTTGTAGAAGGAGCGCATGACGGGCTGCAGCTTGCGCGTGAGAACAGAGTACTGCACCTCGCTGGCCAGCTGCAGCATCGAGTCGATGTCCTTGTCGCTCTTCTTGCCCTTTTTGCGCAGCGCCTCAAATGTCTCGTCCATGCGGTACTCGCCACTCATGTACGCATTGACATTCTCCTCCTTGATGGGGAAACGCGCCTTGACCGACTTCTCACCCGTCCAGTCCTCCCTGTGCGTCTTGCGCTCAACGAAGATCTGCTTGTTGTCCATGCCACCGTACCACCGCAACCGGATGGCTTCTGCGCCCTCGGTCTTTTCGAGCCTGCCCAGGTACAGCTCCAGGTCCTCGTTGTCGTAGTAGATGGATGTGATGGCGCTGTCTGCCGGCTCGTACTCCTTGTCCGGGTTGAAGACGAGGACGGGGAGGTGCTTGAGGATGACGAGCTTGAGGGGCACAATGTTGTCCGGGTGGACCCAGTACTTTGTCGTCTGGCGCACAAAGGCGCTCTGGGAGCCACCGGCGCTCGAGTCGCCCTGAACAGGGTTGCCCCTGGTGCGGACGAGGTCAAAGAGCTTGGAGAGCTTGACGATGAGCTGGTCGTAGTTCTCCTTGTAGAAGGGGCGGGCGGTGAGGTAGTGCTGGACAAACTCCTTGCGAAGGAGCCTGCCCGTTTGCTTGTCGTGCTTCTTGACAATCTTGTGGAAGCCCGTGTAGTTGAGCTTGGTGAAGAGGGCAAGGTCGTGGACGTCTGCGATGATGACGGCGAGCCTCTCTTCGAGCTCGAGGAAGCGCTCCTCGTAGGCGTCCGAGTCGTCGGTGTCGCTGTCGAACTCGTCGTCGGTGCCGACGTCGTCTTCGGCGTACACGGCATCGTCGTGCCCAGCAGCCCCTTCCCCGTTTGTGCCCGCAGCGTGGTCGGAGCCGGCATGCGAGCTGCCATCGCCACGGCTGAGCGAGGAGGCCGAAGAGGTTCTCGACGAGACGAGGAGGTGCACCTCGCTCTGCGCCTTTCGAATGCGTTCGCTCAACTCCGTCACCTGTGTAAGCCGCGCCCATCGTTTGCTCGTGTCAGCCCCGCCGCAACGCTCAAGCAAGACCCATCATCCGGGATCACGGAAACCAATAGCAACGCACCTTTAGCTTCTGAAAGTCATAGACCTTGTCCAGCTCCTTTCTCAGCTCGTTGACAAACTCATCCTCATCCCGGTCAGTCCAGACGCCATTGTTGTCGGCGATCCTCTTCTTGATGTCCTTTTTCAGGTCGCTGTACCGAAGGTACTTGGACGACCACTCCGAGTAGAGTGACGTCTTGATCGTCCGGCCGAACTTCATCGCAGCGTCGGTGGATGACGAACGGAGGGGCGAGCGAGGGGTGTGTGAGACGGAGGTGAGACGTCTACAGCGGCGGCGACGGCAGCAGCGGCGACGACGGAGGAGAAGGAGGAGGAGGTGGTGGTGGTGGTGGTGGTGGTGGTGGAGGGAAGTAAATGCACGAGAGGAATTGGGGGGGAAGCAAATGGAGGCCCTAGCGCAGACGATCTAGCTGGATTGAGGAGCTGGCTGGCGGTATGCGGCTGTCTCCAAGCAATAAACGGAGGGAGGAGGACAGAGCTGGGCGGCGGGCTACCTTTGCTCGTGAATGGAAAGACAGACGTGGACAGACGATGAGAGGAGGAAGAAACGTGACCAATGACTGTGGCTGATGGCCTTCCCTTCTCTTCCCGGGATCGCTCGTCAGAAGATGAGAGGGCAGGTCGGTCAAGTTCAGCCAGGCCCATCGAGGCCTGCAGGCAGAGGTCGGTCGTTGGGCACGTTTGGAACTGCAGCTAAGAAATTAATCTCAACCTGCGCGTACGCACGGATGGCTCTGGCCAATTCCAAACACTCCTTCATTACCCGGCAGCGGCCAGTCTTGAGAAGATTCAAGCAGCCTCAGCCATTCAACGTCACACACACAGGTCCGGCTCCGTGCCTTTCTCTTGCCTTGCTAGCTCGGTATTCTCGCAAGCTCGGCCATTGGTCTTGATCTCTCCTATCCACATTGACAGCAGCCTTTTCAAAGTAAAGCCTCTTCGCGCCTAGTTTGAAAAGGTGGAGAAGATTGTATTCCACTCTATCTTGCACCCCCATCTCCATCTCTCTTTCCTGCTTTCAATATGTATCCCCCGTCTCTATCTCTCCCTCTCTCCTTCTCGACTATTGCGACGGGGGACGGGCGGATGTTCTGGGTTGTAGGAAAATATCTGCTCAGAGGTGGTATGCCAGCCAATCAGAAGCGCCAATTTGTGCACGTTCTTCCTTTCGCGCTAGCTGGACTGTCTGCATCGCTATGCATCTGTCCACTCCAGAGGAAATCCTCCGACGCCGGAACTGGTCAAATACTAGCTATAGAGAAAGAACAGTCACTATCTGTCATCGTCGTCTGCCCTGCGTCAAGTGAATAGAAGAATGCCCGTTTTATCTCGCCAGCTCCTTGGAGCGGAGTCTATAAATAACAAAGATGGCTGAGGAGGACTAAAGGCTTGGCAATGCTCGTTTGGTCTCACCCGTCGTATCCGACGCTACAATTTCAAAATCAAGCCGTAGGATACACCCTCTCCCGCAGGTTGTGTGCCAGGCTATTCAATGACGAATCTGGGCCTATTTTGAAAAAGAGGCACTTGTGCCATTGCAACAAGCATAAATTAGCAGCGAGCTCAGCTTTCACTGATCGATGACTGCCGCGACCACTCTAACAGGCACTTGGAACGCTGTCGTGTGACAATGTTCCCAGAGCACAATCGCACTAGTGTGTAGCCTTTCCACTTGTCAACGTCGCCTTAGAAGAGATGTCTGTCGGCTTCGCTAGGCCATCACTGCGGTGTCAGGCTTTCACGTATCTAACACGCTGTGGACGCAAACAGAAAGAATGATTGAATTGAGAAGATGTCACGGCTTGGTGACGAAAGGCTTCTGAGAAGTGTGTAAGCGAATATTGACTGTCTGTATAGACGAGGGGTTTTGGACGTTCTGAATGTAGAAGAGAACGAGGTAGCCATGTCTACAGCGAAAGAAGCTCTTTAACTCTCTGAACGGGGTACGACGGTGAACGAAGGAAGATGAATGAGAGATTCACATGAACCTATTCATCCGACAGCGGTTGCAAGCCCTCATTCGGCATTCAGAGCACTCGAAGATATACTCGAGCATCGTCTCGAAGCAATTCTCGCACTCGTATATGCCTTCAACCCGTTCCCAGTGCCCCGCGTAGCGGCACTCGTGATGGTATCGCAGGGCTGCCACCTCTCTGCGAAACAAAATTGCGTCCAGGAAGCGAGCGAAGTAACCTCGAGGCTCGTCGCGTCGGACACGCTGTGTGGCTTCTTGCAGAAGCCGATCCTCATCCTATTGCTCGCAGGAGCACATTCCCCAGTCTTCGGCGCAAAGATAGCAAAATTCTGACCCACAAAAGCAAGTCTTGTTTTCAGAGAGCGGCGCTTGTCAGTGGCAATGGTCAAACTTGGTCCGCAGCATGAGAGCTCCGCTTACAATGTGGTAGCATCCATCGATGAGCTCTACCATGCGAAGGCAGCCCGGGCACCTCTGCATCCCGATGTCCCGAAGTAAGTCGATGGCTGCCTCATCAGAATCGCCAGCACAGATGCTCTTGTACCCGTGCCATGGTCCCTTGCACGCCTTGCATGTCTCGTTGCCGCAGCGGTCGCATTTCTTCGGCTGCTTTGCCTCTCGTTCGACCGCGCCAAGAAAGGCTGAGCAGGATACATTGTTGCAGTACAGCCGGTCCTTGGTGCCAAACTCTTCACGTTTGCGAATGAATTCGTCCCTGTCTTCTTTATTGAGCAACGGCAGGAAAAGATTCTCGTCAATGCCGACCTTGCAGCACACGGGCGGCATCAAGCTCTCGTCCTTCATAGAGGCATGGATGAGAGCCAGGAGGCAACGCGAGTGGTAGATGTGGCGGCTCGGACACGAAGCGATGTACATAGCATCCCGCGGTACCGTGATGCAACATATCACGCACTCTTGCAACTGGCTCGAGGACGGCTCGCTGCTATGAGCGTAGGTCGTCGTGGGTTCTCTAGAAACGCTGTTGCTCGATGATGCCTTGTCCTCTAGCATGTGACACCTCTCAGATGTGGTAGCGTTTACTGCCGTAACTGGCGTACGACCGGAACCAGCAGCACACAGCGCTATTTCCCGATCCTTCCAGGCGACCTCGTCGAGCTCGTTATCCTCCTGTAGACTCTCATCGTCGCTGTTGCTGCTTTCATCCAGGCTTTTCGCAAGGCGTATGTCTTCCTGACGAAGAAGATAAGCCTCTAGATCTTCTGCGTAAAGCTTGAAAGCTACTTCCTCGTCCTTAAGCGATGCATCTTCACGAGCCTTTCCCTTTCCGATGGCCCTATGGGTGATCTCATTGATATCTTCCAGGTGAAGCGAGGCTATTAGGACTTCCAGCTCGTCCGTCTCGGACGCTGTGGTTGTCTCATTTTCGTTCGTGGAGGGCCGGTGCTTAGGAAAGGAGCTGACTGAGGAAGATGCCGCTCTCATCTTGCTTGGACTGGACTGCAGGACGTTTCTTTGCCAGCGAGATCAAGACGAGATGAAGTCTAAAAAGCCCTTCGGTCTCTGTGCTCTCCGATTCGCGATGGTTTTTTTTGGGGGGGGGGGGGGGCGCGGCACGCAATGACAATGAAGAGGCTCAACTTCAGACGGTGCGTTCGACACTGCAACACTTTCAGGGCGCCGTCTCCGTCTCAATTGTTTGAGCTTTGTCCTTCCTCCTCTCCTCTTCAAAAGACACATATAGGGCGAACTTTTGTTCATCAGACCTCGGATGACCGACGAGTCACTCGCCGCCATGGGGGACCTTTGCCCATTGTCCTCGCCCAATTTCTCGACGCTCTCGAGACCGCACCAGAGCGACACCGACCTCAGAATTTCCAAGGAAAGCTCGCGTGGCAAAAAGAAAGGGAAGGGGCTTTTTTCTTGTCGGACCCGTCAGCCGTGGCCGTCATCCTGAAGAAGCCTCCACATTGAATTTGCTACCTTGGTCGCCGACTGCCGTTCCTCGTCTCTTGCATCCCATTCACCACCCTGTAAAACTCAAAAAAGACCAAATCCACCAGCCAATAAGCAAAGATGAGTAACGGAAACGCAGGTGAAGGAGTCGGCAATGCCATCAAGGGGTGAGTCTAGCCAGCTGCCAGGCTCCGTTTTGGCTTGCTTGCGGCTCTGCGCAGCCACAGAGTCGCTGACGAAAAACTAACTTGTCGGGACCTCTCGCTTCTCGCAGCGCCTTTAACACGGCCCACGGACTCGGCGAGACGATCCGCGGCACCGTCAATGGCAACCTCGACAAGTTTGGCGAGGGCATCACCAACAACGAAGCCGGCGGCCGGGGAGGTACGGCCAACAGCACGACGAACCTCGAGGGCAGCGGCGCCACGGCGGCAGACCACCAGAGCACGGCGCAAAAGGGCCTCGACGAGATCAAGCAGGGCATCTCGAGTGTTCAGGGCGCCGGTCACGGCGGCTCGACTACGGGCACGGGCACGGGCACGGGCACGGCTAACACTACGACGCAGTAGAATGCTAGTGCACACATTTCCTATGTTCTCATTGAGAATCACGCCACTCTCTTTTTTTGTCCTTTTCTCTTCCCCTTTGATCTTGGAATGAATCTCTGCATGCATCCTGGTATAGCGATCGAGTCGACGAAGCAAGCTAATCACAAAAGGCCGGATCACCACAAAGACCAGGAGCTCGCTGCTCCTCTTGACACGCTCGATGCCTGCCTACGCGATTCGAATCCCATGTATTCCGATCCTATGTGGTTCCTAGACAAGATAGACGAATGAAACAGAGCCGTCATCGTAATTTACAAGCACGAGATGGAGATGGAGATAGAGGATGAGAGAGGATGAGAGTGAGACCAAGACGGAGAGGTGAGAGATAGCGAGACCAGGAAAGCTAGGACAACAGTGAGATGGTCGGTCGATCATGAGGAGGGAACAAAAAGGAAACTCTATAAATCTAGTAGTAGTAGTAGGTAGCAGTGGCTGTAAAAGGGGTCGTTTATGGAATGTGAATGTGACATGAATATCAATTAATCACTTGGTATCTCTGCGTTGACGCTTGTCGGCTCCAGCGGCCGGCGCAAGCGTGGGAGGAGCGGGCGCGATGGGCATTGGGCCGTTGTGGTAGGAGACGGTCCTGCCGCCAGCATGAGCAAGGGGCGGCTGCTGGTGCTGCTTGTTGAGCTGCTGGTGCTGCTGCTGCGAGGCAAAGTGCGTTGGAGTCGTTGCCGACGTCGGCGTCGTAGACTGCCCGGATCGACTGCCATTCGACTGGGAGGAGCCGTCCTTTGCGGCCGCAGCTGCTGCTGCCGCCGTCGCACCAGCGCCACCGGTGCGGTTGCGCTTCTTGATGACGTCTGTCTTGAGCGACAGCGGTCGCACGACGCCGTGCAGCTTGAGGAACAAGCCACAGGCGTTGCAGAGCGGCTGACCCTCGGGGTCTCGTCGCCACAGTGGCGTCTTGGTCGTGTTGCAGTTGGAGCACACCGTCGGCGGATCGGCCGTCGCCATGCTGACATGATCCGACTTGGACTGCGTGCCACCTCCGCCGCCTGCAGCACCGCCCTTGGAGGCTGCGTTGGCCCCCGACTTGCTCGCCGCTGATGCTCCTGCGCCCTTGCCACTCTTTGCGTCTGCCTTGCCGTTCGCCTTGGCATTGGCCCCACCACCGGCAAGATTGCCCGAGCTGCTCGATCGAGAAGGACCGCCGCTCTTCCTCGACGCATCACCGGCTGCCGATACCTGTCTTGCGTGGATGCCCGTGGGTGCATCATTGAAGGCCGAGGCCAGGGGCGAAGACTGGTAAGAGTTGCTGATGCTGCTCAGCGGCGGCGGCGTCTCAGCAGGCGACTGGTTGTTCGTGCTGCCGGGGCTGTATGACCAGGCGGGCGACGACGCTGAGCCAGCGTCGTCGACAGGCACAAGACCATTGAGAGCCTGCATACCCTCGATCGACGTGGGGCCCATCTGCGAAAAGACCTGGTTGGGGTTGATGTGCGTCAGAGTGGGCTGCTGGTCGTCACCACCAACGCCACCGCCGTAGAACATGTGCATGATGGCCTCGAGATCCACGTTGTTGTTGCCGCTCGCATCTGTTGCCCCGCTCTCGGAGCCAGAGCCACCTGCTGCTGCTGCTGCTGCGGCGGCGGCGGCGGCAGCCGCAGAGCCCGCTCCTGGTCCACCGGCAGCCGGCGAGAAATGGTAACCAGTCGTCGAGGGCACCGCAAAGTCAAACGAGGAGGTCGGCACGGCGTTGAGGAACGTCGACGACTGCGAGGCAAACGAAGGGAGATTGCGAGAGAGACCCGCGGCGATTCTCTCGTCCGACGACACAGGCACGGCTGGACGAGCGGGCGAAGGCTCATAGGGCCGCTTGCGGCTGTTGACTTCGGCGGCCGCGGCGTCGTGTGCCTCGTCATGCTCTTCCTTGCGCGATGGCCCACGGGACAGGCTGCGATCCTTGACCTTGTGGTCGAAGCTCGTCTTGCGCACCAGCCGAGGCAAGAAGCCGTACTCTGGGTGCTGGTTGGCCGAGTGGCCCACGTAGTCTGCAATGCCAGGTACACTTCCAAGGTGCGAGTAGGGAGCACCCATCATGTTGGCCGCTCCAATCGACGACATGTCCCAGCTCGTCTTCTTGCCGCCACCGTGGAAGAAGGGGACGTTTCGATCGTCAAAGGTGGTGGAGCGAGGATGGTGCGCACCCGAGGCCATGCTGCCTGCGAATAGGTCGGTGTGGGCCGCGTCCTTGAAGGCCTCCTGCATCTGCGTCTTCCTGTTCGTGCCCGGCGGGCCCGTTCTCGAGGGGCCTTGCAGCCACGACGAAGCATTCTCGTTTGCGCTCGAGCTCGACGTCTCGTACGTAGGCATGGGAAGCTGGCCCAGGGAGAGAAGATCGGGCACACCGTCGAGGTTGTGGCCATCAAAGGCGGTGAGGTCGGCAAAGCTGAAGCCGCTGCTGTTGGGCGCCGACTGGCTGAGCAGGTTGCTAGCGTCCATCGACGACGAGGCAGACGGCTCCTCGGCCATCGTCGACAGGCGGCCCTGGGGCGCACGTGAGCGCGAACGGCTGGCTCCTCGCCAGTCCATGGCACCGACAGAGCGCGAGCGCGAACGGCTCTGGCTCTTTCCTCGCCAGTCCATCGACTCTTCGTCGGTTGCCGGCGTGGGGCCACCGGTGCCGGTCGTCGTCGAGGAACTCTCGGGTGTCCGTGGGCTCCTTCCCCGGCGGCCTCGTTCCTCCTCCTCGACTACCTCAGCGAATCTCGTCTTGCCCTTTGTCAGGCGTGGCTGCTGGTGGTGGTGGTGATGATGCTGCTGCTGCTGCTGCTCGATCGAAGTCATGCCGTGGAAAGGCCCTGTGCCAGGTGCAGACACCTCGGGTCGCTCGCTGTGGGAGCCGCTGCTACGGCGCGAGTCTGCCAGGGAGACTCTACTGACCGAGGTGGGCGAAGTCTGGAGCGAGGTGCCCTCGGAGGGAGTGCGAAGATCGCCGTTGGATGAAGAAGAAGCGCCGACAGCAGCGGCGGCGGCCGCTGCGGCTGCCTCTTGCTCTCGCTTCTTGCGCAGCGTGAGCGCCATCATGCGCCAGGTAATGTTCTGCAGACGAGGCTAGGTCAGCTGCGGCCAGGACGGTGTTCAAGACTCGAAAAGCTCACCTCCATTCTCGCCCCGTTCTGGAGCGTCTGGCGTTGCTTGGCGTACATGCGCCAAACCTGCGTCGCCAGTGGGTCCTTCTTGGCCATTTCCTCTGGGTCTGCGTTGGCATCTTCCTCGTCGTCAGCGCCGTCGACGCCAGCAGAGCCCCGCCTGGGCCGTACCGCGGCAAAGTGTGCTGCTGGGCCTGCGGCCAGGAGGGACGAGGCGTCGCTGGAAAAGGCATTGGGACCGCTGCTGCTGCCACTGCTGCCTGAGCTAGCTGAGCCTGGCAGGGCTTTGTTGTTGTTGTTGCTGTTGTTGCCGACACCGTTACCGCTACCGCCCACTGACTTCGAACCTGCTGCCGAGGAGGACGAAGAGGGACCAGCGTCGAAAGGCGTCATGGGGCTCAGATAGCCTTGCATGCCTGCGCTTGCATGGAGATCTGGCGACTGAATGTCGAGGGGAGCATTGGTGCGATACTGCTGGAAGGCGCCGGGCACAGGCTGGCCATTGGACCAGGTCCCTCCGCCGCCGCCGCCGCCACCTCCCGCTGACATGGCTGACCCAAAGCTCAATGGCTGCTGATGTGGGTCAGAATTGAGCGGCGTGTGGGGCCGCGAGTGCTCGGCACTCGGCACGCTGGAATAGTGCGACTGGCTGCCACTAGCCTGCCTGCTGTGCGTAAACGCAGTGGCGGGGGGCTGTGGCTGAGACGATCCATAGCTGGTGGGAAATGGAGAGTAGAACGGTGTAGACGGTGGCACCGCTGTGGTCGGCGACGTCGACAGGCCATTGTTCCACTGCTGGTGCTGGGACGGGTAGGATTGCTGACGGGCCAGGTTGGCCTGCAAAGCCTGGGAGAGCAGAGACATGCCTGACTGCTGCTGCTGCTGCTGCTGCTGCTGCTGTTGCGATTGCTGCTGCATGGGCATGCGGCCAGTCGGAGAGGCCGGATGGCTCGCCTGTGGATGACCCATGTGAGAACCGTCCGAATACGCCGACGGATGGAAGCCAGCCTGCTTGTGTGCGGTGTCGTTCCAGCCGTGGATCGAAGGCGTAGAGGAGGAGGACGATGGCGTTGCAAACGAGCCTATATCGCCGTTGCTTGCTGCCAAGCCCGTGTTCAGAGATAGTCCTCCTGCTCCTCCTAGCGGGTGGCTGCTGTTGCTGATGCTGTTGCTGTAGCTACCAGTGTGAGGCTGCTGCCACGAGGTAGACGGTCCACCACCTCCGCCTCCATCGACGGTGAATGGACCCGATGAAGCGCCGCCGCTGCGCCAAGCGCCTCTTGCGAGGTTGTTGGACGGTTGATGCATCGAGGAGCCCGTGCTGCTGGTGCTTGTGCTATTCGTGCTCGTCGATGGGTCATGCACGGCCGCCAGGCTGCTGTTGGACATAAGGAGTGGTCCTTCGATGGGCAAGGAAAGAAGAAGCGAGGAAAAGGCAATTGCGCCAGTCTCGCTATCTCTGCTCCTCTAATGGGTCGTTGTGCACAGGCAAAAGAAAAGTAAGCGGGCAGTGCGCGCGTCTGTCTGTGGCGCTCTGGTGGCAAGGCCCGAAAGAGTCGGTAAGTGGTGAGTTTGGAGGGCTGATCGATGTGGGGGGATACGCAAAAGGCGAAAGCGACTGCGAGTGACGACAGGTATCGAGTGAATAGCCTCGCTCTGCCATCAGGAGAGAGAGAGAGAGAGAGAGAGAGAGAGAGAGAGAGAGAGAGA